GCTTGACACCTCTCGAACTTCGGTTCCTGATCACTGCGACTAATACTAAATGTATCAATCAAGTGATGTCCGGGATTACAATCTCGACACTGTAGTCAATCGTACAATTTTCGCCGAATCCTTGGAATTCAAAAATTGTCCAAATGTCGGTCCTTCTCTAGTTGCCAAAACCGATCTAAAAGCAGGCACTAAAGTGCTGGTAGAAAAGCCCATAATCTCATACGAGTTGAATCCCAAGGGCAGATCCTCAGTTTCACCACAATATACAAAGAAGATTTGGAATGAATTGTGCGCTATTGTCCTCGAAATCGAGCAAGAGCAGACACCAGACATTAAAACCTCATCAAAAAGTAGCGGTTACGATAGTGATGAAAGGGATAGCGACTCTGAATACGAGGACGACGAGGATGAAGACTCGACAAAGCCAGTATCAGCATTCTGTCCTGGTGTTCCTGCTGCTATGGTTGCTTATTTGTCCATAAGTCCACCTCCTACCTCGAATCAACGCAAAAGCCCACAAATGTGCGATGCGACAAACCTGAATTTTTTTTATTATCCTGATCTCACCGAATGGGCAGATCACTCCACAGTAGCTTTGATTCGCAGAACTGTTGAGAAAGCCATCCTTGACATACCTGCTTTCGGCCACATTCAAGCTGCCGATTTAATTTCATTTGTGCTCAAGATCTATTCTAATGCTCATACCGTTGCTTATGAGAACAACCGTACACTACAGACTCACAGTAAGCGCAAACAACGCCGGGCAGACTACCAACAAAAGATAGCTGTCAGTAGATCACCACTAGAGCCCACTTTCTGGCCATCTGAACCTGGTTCGAGAATGCTGTCCAAGATCATACTGTTGCCGTGGGGGTCAAAGTTTGCTCATTCATGCTCACCCAACATGTTTCTTCGATATGAACCAGCGACTAACACAATGATCCTCACTTTGATCAATGATGTTAAGTCAGGCGATTTGTTGACGTTTTCTTACCTTCCTGAAGACGATACTAGTCTCGGCGGTCTTCTTTGTGGTACTACTCAATCCCGGCGACACAAAACCTGGAACTTCAAATTCTTCAACTGTAATTGCGATCGATGCATAGATTTCGACTGGGCTAGAGGCGTTCAATGTCAAAAATGCAGCAGTGATCGTTGCTTCCGAGAAGGTGGAGTCGCTCCCGATGAACAGCGACAATGGACCTGTCTAGACTGCAAACAAAAATTCAATGTGGACGAAATAGATTTCATTGCCTGTGGAAGAGAGCACAACGTTCAACAAGTTGCTATCGCTTTCGGAGTCCATGTTAAAGGCACACCGGAGCAAAGTATGATACGCATGATGGAACCATATCTAATGTCTCTACTTGATCCATCCACCGACCCTTACGATAGCGATGGCGAACTTAAAGATCCAGTTCCTCCCATACCCAAAAATCATTGGACATTCGCTTACTTCCACTATTTGCTGTCTGCCTATCACTTGCAACTATTTCCTGCGTACTTTAGTAGCGGTTTAGCGAAGCGACTCGGCATGCTAGAGAAAGGATTTGATGAAGCCTATGTATATATAGACTGGCTCGACAAGAACCTATTTACAGCGCCCAGCCACTTGAACGATACTCCTGAAGTGAATCAGAATGGCACCAAGATGTCATCCTTTATTGCCAGCTGGCACATAGCTGATATTTGCATTGATGTCCTTCTGAAAGAAACCAATCCAAAGGTGGCAAGAAAGGTAAAGGAGGATGCTAGTGAAGACTCTAGTGATAGTGAAGACGAAGTTCAACTCGACGAAAGTATGAGCTCAATGCACCTGCATGACGGTACCCAACTTCAACCTATTGCTCCGTCTTGCCTCGACAAGTGCGTGAAGATGATTGACATCATGCAACATCACTGGATTCCCCTCATTGAAACAGTGTTCGATACAAATAATGAAAAGGATCCATCCAATATCATGGTTATAATGGTGATCAAAATTAGACAATTTATAGAGAGAGTGCAACAGCTTCAAGATTTAAGCATTTAGATTTCCGTGTTCTAACGATTGCTGCGATGCTGAATATGTACAATACAATTTTTCATTTAGATATTATTCTGCCACTGCCTCCTTTGCTATGTCATGCATATTCTTGGGCCGTTGTCCTCGAGCTAAGCGCTATAATGCCATGTCAGTCAGCGGTTTTATTTCCATTGCCTCTCATTATTATCGCGACAACTTACATCAACCTGGTCTGGATCTACAAAACTGGGTACTGGTGTCTCCTCTATAGGCGTTGCTATCTTCGCGACTTCATGATTTCCCTCCTCGAAAGTGGCGCCTAGGTTTTTTAATGCTTCTATTCGATTTACTCCGTGAGGCATTGGTTCAATGGGACTGTCAGATACACTTTTTCGTGGCTGGGAATCAGGCTGAGCGTGCAGTTCTACTTGTTGGCTCTTTTGAAAGTTGTTTTCTTGTGCTTGTCGTAGAGGATTCATTTTGGTTATGGAAAGAAGAGTAATATGGAAAAATTTCAGCCAAGAACCATTGACGTTGATTCATTAGCCTTGCTTGCGGAGCTGTAAAGTATGCGCAAGCAATTACGACAAAATGTTTGCCTTTTTCTGAACGGGCCTGACAGCATGGCTGGACTCGAAATGGTACCCAAATTTTTTGGGTTTCTTTCCAAAAAATATGCGACTGGCAAAATGGCAAGCTCCGAAGCGTTCATGAGTAGCGGGCGGCATCATGCCAATTGTCTTGGCCAACATGAGTCGAAACTGAGCTTAATCATGCACATTGAGTTTAACAAAAGCCGTCGTTTGTTTGCTCCGTTTCTCCGTATATGGATCATTCACCATTTGCGGGACAGCCCGAATCGCAAACATAAACCCCGTCAAATAATATCCATTGAAGACATTAGGTCTATACCCGACGGCCGCCAGGGATTCGGGCTTCCGTAAGAGTACACGCGAAAATGATCATGTAACTCTTTGAGCATCCAAATACCGTCGTCCAAGGTATGGAGATCGCAAATTGACAACTACTTTTGAGTTCAAACAAATTGCCCTTGAAAGTAACAAGTACCTTTAAATTGCGATCTATTTCATTGTAATTTTACTAGTAGTTGTGAACCCATCCCCGATAGAACTCCTTTGTTCACACCCGAAAAACACAGTTTGTAGTTTTATGCTCCTTCAGCTTTGCCGGCAAGCTTTCATTGCCATAAGAAGCCCATTCGTGCAGTGACTAAACACTGCAATGGAAGTACCGTTAAGAATTATGCTGGTGAAAGCATGCATTCCTACCATTTTCAAACAGTGTTAGATACTTCGCATTACCCCTTAACATACATGGGGCACTCAATCAATTAAGCTTTGACATCTGCCCGTCCAACAAGTTAGTATGGTCGGGACTTTTGAGGTAAATTTCAGCCGCCAGCTTTTTAAAACTCGCGGCTCAGAGGAATTCGCCCCACAGCGAGGTTGTTCCTTTCAGCATGAAACAAAAAAACCCAACCAACTTTTCCCTTGATAAATCATCGTCAAACCCTGTCAAGTTTGACAGTGGTGACAACACCATCCAAGTTCATGTTGTCAGCGACTGTGTGATCCGTGTACAGCACCATTTCTCTCACGAAGGGTGTCTGAAGGAAGCTGTATCCTCCTCGTTTAAGGACTTTGAAGTCGCAGATGACACTCAATCATCACTCTCTATAAAGACAAGCAAGATCACGGTCAAGGTCAACTATAGCCCGGACTTCTACTTGACTTGGTACTACAACGACGATTTAGAGACCCCCTTTGCGGAAGACTTGGCTTGCCGCGCATATCCTTATGACCCAAAGACCGGAGCCATCTGGCACTATACCCGACGAAACGTAAAGGATCATTACTATGGTCTAGGAGAACGATCTGGTGATTTGGATTTACATGGAAGACGCTTCCGCTTAGAGAGACTTGACTGTATGGGGTACGATGCTGAGAATATGGATCCACTTTACAAGTTTTGTCCGTTCTATATTACGCTCTCCGGAACCTCCAAGAAGGCTCATGGAATATACTATAACAACTTTACACGATCGAGCTTCGATCTTGGCGATGAAAATGACGCGGTAAGTTAATGCTCTTTCCACCTTACTGTCAAGTGGAGAGGTAAACTGATATAAACTTCTGTTAACAAGATGTGGGGTCCCTACAAGTACTACAATGCTGATTGTGGTCCGCTCGACTACTATGTCTTCTGGGGTCCTGAAATTAAGGATGTTGTTCAAGAGTTCTCTGACCTGATGGGAAGACCAAAGGAATTGCCCCCTCGCTACTCACTTGGCTATCTTGCCTCATCCATGGCATATGCTGAAGTGGATAATGCTCAAGAAGCACTCGAAGAATTTGCGCAAAACTGCCACAAGCATGACATCCCCTGTGACGGAATGCATTTGTCTTCTGGTTATACTGTCAATGAGGAGGGGGAGCGATGTGTCTTCACATGGAACTTGAATCGATTCCCCGACCCGAAGGCATTCACCGACAATCTCCGCAAAGCTGGCATTCATCTTTTTGCAAACATTAAACCATGGTTGCTAGAGAGCCATCCAGACTACGATTTGATGAAAGAGCAAGGTGGATATGTATTGGACGATGAAGGCAAACCCGGTCGAGTCATGCAATGGAAGGGTGGCAGAGGAACGATGGGTGCTAGTGCATACATTGATTTCACTACCCCTGCTGGATTCGACTATTGGAAGAGCAAGGTCAAGGAGCAGTTGTTGGAATACGGAATTGAAGGTTGCTGGAATGACAACAACGAGTTTACCATGACTGACGATGACTTTTCGATCGCTTGCGAGAAGCACCCTTGGGTTGATGTTTTGCATAAGTTGCCCACTGAGCGCACCGCGATTGGCTATGTTGGCACACCCCTGTTGACCATGTTGATGGCGCAATCATCTTATGAGGCTATTCGGGAATTCTGGCCCGAGAAGCGACCTTTCGTAATTACACGTTCTGCCACCCCATTCATTCATCAAATTGTACCCCAAACATGGAGCGGTGACAACTATACAGCTTGGAAGACCATCAAATACAATGTTCCTATGGGATCAAGTGCTGCATTGTCTATCTTCCCTGCAGGATATGGTCACGACGTTGGTGGTTTTGCCGGACCAAAGCCAGATCCAGACTTGTTTGTACGATGGGTGCAACAAGCCATCTATATGCCAAGATTTTCCATTCACTCTTGGAACATTGATGACTCTGTAACAGAACCCTGGACGGTGAGTGTGCATCCAGCTACGATCCTTATAAATTACCATGGTTAGCTAACGTAACTTTTGATTTCTCAAAAATTAGTATCCTGAGGTTCTCCCAGTGATTCGCTCCTCTATCCATTATAGATACCGATTGATTCCTTTCCTTTACAATCTTTTGGTCAACTTCCACCGAACGGGCCAGCCTGTCCTTAGACCTATTGTCTACCACTGTCAAGACGATCCTGAAACTCATCAGCAGAGCTTTGAGTTCATGGTTGGCGAGTCCCTCATGGTGGCACCTGTGTACGAGCCCAACGTGACCAAGCGCACAGTCTACCTTCCCAAGACATACAATTGGTACCATCTTCAAACCGGAAAATATTATACCGGTGGTCAGAAGATCGATGTCGATGCTCCTCTTGACGCTGAGGCAGCACCTGCATTTTTCCGTGAATCATCCCTTATTCCATTGGGTAAGACGATGCAGCACGTTGGTTTCAGCGCTGATGATGAACGTGTCATCGAAGTTTGGCCCTCCCATTCGTCCTCCGGCGAGGTCGAGCACAAGCAGCTACTTGTCGAGGATGATGGTATCAGCACTAAGCATACTGATGCAAAGGAGTATACAGAGTTGGAAATTTCAATGCGCTCCACTGCGAAGACCATCACTTTGGATATAAGCGTTGTTCACCAAAACTTCAAGCCAGCATACAATACTTTGAGCTTCGTATTGAAGTCTGCTGATGACGACCGCGAGATTGTATTTGCACAGAAGGAAGGTTCGCAATTTAAGGTACATCAAAAGAGCAAAGGAGCTTTCTCAATTGATATGCCCTGGAAATGATATCTGTCAGTAACTGAACCTTTGAACGCCCAATTTTGATTCTTTTTTACGCATAAATAAAAACTTGTATTTTGTCATATAAACAGTGACGCCTTCAACTTTTCCTGAATTCCACTATCACTTGGAGCTGAACCTCAAAAGGTATTGGCACGAACAGATCGCCATCGACCATGAAGGAATTAGACCCCATACCGGTATGAAACAGTGTCAAAGATGTGGCAACTTTTGTAACCATCAGGCATTAATCAGATCCTTGTACGATCGCTGGTTTCGATCTTTCATCTGTTTAGTTCACTGTTGAATTGGGCCAGTTTTATCAACGAGCCAAAACGTCAGGCACTGTTAATGTCACGATGAAGCGATGTAAGCAGCCGAGAGATCGAGAAAAACGCAACCCTTGCAGCAAGTATACTAATATGCTCATTGGATAGTAACCCGAGAGCCATCACAAGGCCAGCGAAAGCGCAAGCTGGAAGATACCACCATGACCGAAGCTACAGAGACATCAGCAGACGATGACAAAGAGTATGTGTGTCTTATAAGAGCAAAGTTCAAAAATGAAAACATTAGCACTAGGGTAGGTGACTTGTTCAAAGTAGGCCATTGATTTGTTGTGGGCAGATTGAACTAACCAACGGGTTTGTTATTTTTTTTTTAGGTGAACGGCACAGAGTACGAGAAGTTTCAGCAGGCATACAGTAATATAATCAAGGCATATATGGACGCATTGAAGAAAAAGGACCGAAAAGCCAAAGTCAATCAAAAGAAGCCTACTGCCGCTGCTGCTGCAAGCAAACTCAAGCCTTCTGCTTAATTCTTGGGACGTTTCGGATAGATTTGTTGTAATTTTGTTCTTATTCTGTTGAAAATCCAAGAGACATCTTATTGAATGGTTCTCAAAAAAAAAAAAAAATGAGCCGATAACAGCAATAGTATTTGCTGCTCCTGTATAACAAATAATCAGCTGTGCTTTTGTCTTTGGGGATGGGCAGCGTCGATTCTTATAGCTGACGTTACGAGAACGAGATTTTAGCACCACACCGTGGCGCGGCGATAAAAAAAAGGTGGTCACAGCGACCATGACACGTACGGGTAACAGTGGTGTACTGCGAGTCCGGGCTCCGTGCATCATTGCTTCTCGTCCTACTGCACTCTAACAGATTATTCTTTCTGGAGTTATTCCGATTTTGCCTCTGCAGTTCGCATTAAGACGCTTTATTTCATTCGTACTTTGTAAATATACAATTAGCAGACCATGCGACTGCTCACTGCGACCTTGACAGGGCTGTCCCTGCTTGCGAGCTTGGCTAGCATCGGGCCTGCTCTGGCACAGGACGTCTCTCAAACGTCTTTTGACAATCCACCAACGTCATATTTTTACTTTAAAGATTCCGAGGTACGTCCTTGCTCTTGTCATAATATGACCTGCCATTTGCCAAGCCCAAATACCAAGACGTTTCTCATTACAGGTAATGCTTTTGCATGATGCCGATTTCCAGTCTGTATGGAGATCCAGCAACCAGGGCAAAACATGGTCCCTTGTAGAAGGTGTTCCCAAAGAAGCGCGAGCCGTTTTTGAGCATCCCTTCGATAAGAACAAGGTAATGATTCGCCGCTATTGACTCAGCTTCCTCCTGAAACTTGCCTTTAACCCCAGTATTTTTTGTAAAAATCAAAGGCTTATATACTCGGAGCAGATACCACCCATTGGAAAACAGATGATCAAGGCGCAACATGGACGAAGTTTACCACTCCGTTGCAACCTGTGCCGTATGCCTTGAATTTTCATGCTGAACGCTCTGATTACCTGATCTTCGCCGGACAACAATGCCAGACCTCGTATGGAGGATGCCAAACAGATGTAAGACCCTTCCACCGTTGATGAAGATATGTGGCATTGAAACTGAATTACTGTTATGGGTGGGACCTATAGAGCTTTTATACATTGGATAACTTTGCCACCATCCACAAATTGAGATCGAACATTCAAAACTGTTTGTGGACCGTCTCATCCGAACAATTTAAGAATGCACCAACCAAGGAAATTATGTGTATCGAACTATTCGACAATGGCAATAATCCTATGCGCAGTTCGCGCCTCGTTCAGTCTGACAGCTTTTTTGAATCTGGTCTTCAGAGAATCAATTTTAGCCAAGACAAGGACGTAAACGGTATTATTGACGTCAGAACTATCAACAAGTTCATTGTCGCTGCCGCCCGATCACCTACCTCAATGGAAGAATTGGATTTGTATATATCCAAGGATGGAGTTAATTGGCATGAAGCTGTCTTCCCCAAGGGCCAGAAAATGGTAGAAAGAGCCTACACTTTGTTGGAATCCACAGATCATTCGCTGATGGTGGATGTGCTCAGCAATCCTATCGCCTTGTATGGTGACTTGTTCCGATCCAATTCAAACGGTACTTTCTATGCCAAAAGTTTAGAATATGTCAACCGCAATTTTGAAGGTTTCGTAGACTTTGAACGGATTCAAGGCTTGGAAGGTATTATGATGGCCAACGTCCAATCTAGTCCTTCTGACATGCTCTCTGGCAAGGACAAGAAAGTTCAAACCCGTATGAGTTTCGATGATGGTAGTACTTGGTCTCCTCTGAAAAAGGTCAAGGATCAGGATGGAAAAGATATGGAATGTAACAACGTAAGTGATAGCAAGAATAACACAGCATTTGACGTTCATTCTGGTTTCTCACAAATCCTCGCACTGTAGTGTGTATTGAGTTTGCATTCAGTTACTGGCAACCAAAATGTAGGCGTGGTATATTCTTCCAAGGCAGCTGTCGGATTCATTATGGGCGTTGGACATTTTGGAGAATATCTTCTCCCATATGATGAATGCGACACCTTCTTGTCCAGAGATGGAGGATTGACTTGGAACATGGTAGCTGAAGGAGCTCATAAATACGAATTTGGCGATATGGGCAATTTGATCGTCATAGTGGACGATGAAAAAGCTGTAGATCACCTCCGTTGGAGTAAGGATCAAGGTGCAACTTGGTAAGCTACATCTTCATGTTCAGCAGCATGAATAATGGTGTTACATCTTTGCTAATTGACTCTGTCGTTGCTGATAATAGGAACGATGCCAAGCTTGATGTGACTGTACGAGCTCATATGTTGACCACCGACCCAGAATCAACCTCTCGTGTTTTCAACCTATTTGCCATTGATCCCAAATCTGAAAATGGCCAGAAATACAAACTCTTCCAACTTGATCTTTCCAAAGTACATTCAAGGCAGTGCCAACTGGATGAAAACGATAAGGATAGGAGCGACTTTGAGACATGGGCAGCCCGAGATCTTACTGAAGGACCTGACTGCCTCATGGGCCACGAACAAGTAAGTTTGCATGGATGCCCAAAGCAAAATTTTGCAGTTACTAATGGCAATTTTTAGATCTTTTACCGTCGAAAGCAAAATAGCGATTGCTATGTTGGCATGGACTTCCAAGATCCCAAGTTGGACGATAGACCTTGCAAATGTACCGTTGCTGACTATGAATGCGATTACAACTTTGTTCGTTCTGACGATGGCAAATGTGTTCGACTTGGTCCTGATCCAATGCCTGCCGGTTTATGTAAATCTGATAGCGATCTTTATCCTTCATCAAGCGGATATCGCAAAATTCCCGGCAATACATGTGAGGTACCTGACTCAGGTACACCAATGGATGAACCTGTGGATCGCCTTTGTTCTGAAAATAAGGGCGGTGTTGAATACGGTAAACCTGAAGACGGTCCTGCCAAAAATTATGGTCTCGCTACTCCTGGTGATGAACGTATTAAAGTGACACCTTACTACTTCCAACATGAAATTGAGCAATTTGTTTACTTCAGAAACTCTCCTGCGGTCCTCATTCGTCTACAGAATGGTGATTTATTTAGAACAGGAGATGCTGGAGCCACTTGGAAGCGCGTGCTGGAAGATGCTGGAAAGATCAACTCCTTTGTGATGCATGAGTTTGAGGATTCGAGAGCTTACGCTTTTGCTGGAGAAACCATGTATTTCACAAATAACCAAGGTGAAAGCTGGGAAAACATCAAGATCCCTCACCCTGTCAGCAAGGTCGTCGTCCAACCCATTGATTTCCATCCCGGCGAAAAAGATTGGCTCATTCTCATTGCGGACTCGCCTTCTCCAGCTCACACCATTGCCTATATCTCCAGAGACAATGGAGGTAACTGGGAGCAAATCCAACAAGTCAAGTCTGTACAGAAATGTATTTTTGGCCGCGACTCCAATTTCAAGATCGAAAAACAAACAGTCTATTGCTCTGCTCATAAACTTGAAAGCGGCGATCGCAACAACCCCTTACAGTTGTTCCGAACTACTGATTGGGGCTCGAACAATGAATATCTTTTCGACAACGTGGTTGAATTCTTCGTCATTGAAGATTTTATGGCTGTTGCAACGGAAAACAAGGGTAACCTACAGCTGTTTGTCAGTGTAGATGGTGATACCTTTGCCCCTGCACAATTCCCACCAGATCACTATATAGACAGAAACACATTCACTGTTTTGCAATCCACAACGCATTCTATTCTATTGGATGTTTTCAAGTCTACTATCACTGGCAAGGAATACGGCGATCTTTACAAATCAAATGGCAACGGCACGTTCTATCACTTGTCTTTGACCAATACCAATGGAGACTCCAGAGGCCTTGTTGACTTTGAAAAGATGCAGAGTGTCGATGGTATCATCTTCGCTAACCAAGTCATGAACACCGACGAGTTACGCGGAAGCAATGATGTTTCAAAGAAGGTCCGAACCATGATTAGCTGGGATGATGGTAGCACTTGGCAACCACTTCAACCGCCTCATAACTACGACTGCAGTGGAACAGATTGTTACCTCAACCTTCACAGCCGTACCGATATCAATGGCCCTGGTGCCATTTTCTCAGTTTCTGGTGCACCAGGCATTGCCATGGGCGTCGGTAATGTTGGCGCGCAATTGCGTCCTTACGAACAGGGAGATACCTTCTTGACTCGTGATGGTGGACACACTTGGGTAGAAGTCCGTAAAGGAGAACATCTGTATGAATTTGGTGATCATGGATCTGTTATTGCTATTGTCAGCAATGAAGGTCCGACCAACGAGCTAGTGTACACTTGGGATCAAGGTGAAACTTGGGAATTCATCAAGTTCAGCGAGAAGCCTATTAGAGTTACAACGCTTACTACTGAACCAACCTCCACCACCCAAAAGTTCGTTATTATTGGACATACCACCTCCTCATCAGGTGAAGCCCCACAACAAGTCTATATCTTGGTCGATTTCCTTCCCATTGGTATGCGCCAATGCGAAAATTCTTCAAACTCCATAGATTCTAGTGACTTCGAGAACTGGGTACCCAAGGATGATGATGGCGATAATAGCTGTTTGCTAGGAAGTCAAATCACTTACATTAGACGCAAGAAAGACCGAAAATGTGCTGTTGGTGACAGATACCAATCGCCCAAGATTACTCAACAAACTTGTAAATGCCGAGATATTGATTTTGAATGGTAAGATACTCGGTTTATATGTGTAGAGTCATAAGATCCTTTACATTAATCCATACTGCTCTCCCTACGCTTTTTTTAACATCTCTTAGCGACTTTGGATTCTGGCGAGATGAGGATGGTCATTGTGTTGCGCACGGCGTTCACCCAGATAGACCACGCGATTGTAAAGACAAGTTTACTGGTCGATCTGGTTATAAAAAGATTAGCAAATCAGTTTGTGAAGGCGGCGAAGACCTTTCCAAAGACAAGGAATGGGAATGTGGTGAAGGTAAGACGATTCTACGCAGGGTGGTACTCTTTACTAAGATGCATTTCTAAACACGCTTTTCGTTTAACACAGGTGGATCCGTTACATCAAACAAGGTAAGAAAAAAGATAAAATACAGCGGTCTGAGATGTACATGTTCTCACTATTCTTATGATTTTCAGAACGAATTTGGCGATGATATGGTGAACTATATCTTCTTCAACAGCACCGATGTAAGTGTTGTAGATGTAGAAAAAAAAAAGGAAGTGATGGGAGAGTATGTTCCTTACTTACTAAATTCTTTTTTTCAGCGTGTGATCGTTCGTACCAACGACCAAAAGGTGTATTTGAGTGAAAACGACGGCTATAGCTGGACCCAGCTATTCAAGGATACACCTATTATTCGCATGCTGCAGAATCCACACTTTGAACAGCGGGTATGTATTACTACTGTGAGGTTTGACCTTAACAGATCATTTCTAATACTCTTCCTATTAGGCATACTTTATCACTGATGGAAAGTCGCACTTCATGACAACAGACAGTGGTAGCAATTTCCAGAAGTTTGACGTTCCTATGGCCCCATCCCAAGTCCTCCTTGCTCCCATTATGAATTTCCACTCTGGATCGGCTGAAAATTTGATCTATGTTGGTGAAACTAGTTGCGATTCATTTGCATCGGTTGACTGCCACACTGAAGGTTTTTATTCTCTGAACGGTGGTCAAAATTGGGATAGCATTGGAACCTATGTTCGACAATGTCTTTGGGGTCGAGATGGTACCATCACTGCCACTGATCCTGATTCCATCTTTTGTGAGCAATTTCACGAAAAGTCCGGCAATCAGAGAACAGCTTACGCCAACCCACTTGAATTTGTCTCCTCCACTGACTACTTTAACAGCAAGAGCTACTTGTTCGATGACATTGTTGGTGTCGCAATCTTTAATGGATATATGGTCGTGGCTTCGGTAAGTGATATGCATACATTCACATAGAAAATCTTTAGAGTCGATTCTTACAAAAAATTTCCCTAGACTGGACACGGTGGAGCCAATTTGCAATTCTCTGTCAGTCTCGACGGCAAAACATTTGCCGACGCGCACTTCCCTACTTCATTGGATCTTCACAAAGAGGCATACACCATCATGGAGTCCAAGTACAACGTCTGGCTTCATGTTTCCACGAACACTCATAAGAATGGCGAGTTCGGTCATATTTTCACCTCTAATTCCAATGGTACTTATTATGTCCTGTCCCTTCAAAACGCCAATCGCAATGAATTCGGTATCGTCGACTTTGAAAAAATGCAAGGTATTGACGGTATCGCGGTTGCCAATACGGTCACCAATCCCAACCAAGCCAATATTGGAGATAGCAAGAAGCTTCTAAGTATGATTACATTCAATGCTGGTGCGGACTGGAACCCACTTACTGCACCTTCTCAAGATGCCAATGGCAAGAAATATGACTGTTCGGTAAGTTATATGCACCTGGTTATGAATGAATTGATGTCTGTATCACTAATTCGTATGCTTCTTGAAGGATTGTACCCTCAACCTCCACAGTTATTCTGAACGACGCAACCCAAGAGATCTCATTAGTTTGTCGTCAGCCGTAGGACTTATGGTTGGAGTCGGAAATGTTGGAAAGACTCTATCTCCTTATCTGGATGGCGATATGTTCCTGACCAGAGACGCTGGTAAAACTTGGACAGAGATTTACAAGGGAGCTCATCTGTGGGAATTTGCTGACCAAGGTGCCCTTCTGGTTCTTGTTGACGATGAAGAAGCGACAGACAGCCTCAAGTGAGCATCCATCTCTAGTCAATTCTCATTCTCTTAATCCTAACTCACCCATATCATTCTTTGTTTTAGATACACCACAGACGAGGGCAAAACCTGGAAATCGTATCAATTCGTAAAGGATGATAAAAAGATCCGCGTTTCTGACATTATTACGCAACCAGATGGTACTAGTCAAAAGTACACTATCTGGGGCAAGGAACGAAGCACTGGCAAGACTGTTGCATACCATGTCGATTTTAGCACCATTCATCCCAGACAATGTAAACTGGATCTGGAGCACCCTACGGATGATGACTTTGATCTTTGGAGCCCAGAAGATACCCGAGGTGAAAAATGTCTATTTGGTCGCGAAACCAGATACTATCGTCGTATTCCTGATCGCGACTGCTACATTGGCACAAAATTGACCCAACCACATGAGGTTACTCGTAACTGCGCCTGTACTAAGGAAGACTTTGAATGGTAAGTTAGGAACGATCTTGTATTGCACGATGATATAAAGCATCTATGTTAACACTTTTCCCCCAGCAATTTCAACCATATTCGAAATGAAAATGGAGAATGTGTTCTCGTTGAGGGACTAACACCTCTTATGCCACAATGCGATGGTGATATGGACTTTTACTATGAACCAACTGCGTAAGTGGTGGACATGTTTGACGATCTACATTTGCCTAAGATCAAAGTAACTGACCCCTTCCCCTGTAGATATCGAAAGATCGCAGCTTCCACTTGTCAAGGTGGCACTGAACTGGACAAAGGAGATCAGATTTGGTGCCCAGGAAAGTCATATTCAAAGGGTATCTGGGCCGTCTATATTCTGTTGCCGTTTGGAGCGGCCGCCGCTATCTTTGGAGTACTTACGTACCGTAAGAAACGTGGTTTTGGCAGCATTCGATTGTCAGATACTGCGGAGGCTGGTAGTAGATTATCTGGTTCATTATTAACCAAGCTTGCATCTGCTGCCGTCGTCATTCCCGTTGCTGTGTTCAGCTTGATTTCTCGAATTCCTTGGCCAACTTCCATCCCTGACTTTGTACGCAATATTCGTTTGCCTACATTCGGTCGTAGCCAATACAGTCGACTCAACCAAGACGAGCACGCTGGCGTTCTAATGGACGACTACGAAGTGTCTAACTTAGATGATGATGCTGATGAACTGTAGTGCATCATCCTCTGCTTTGTCTTTTATATTAGAATTTTTTGTTTCATTCTACGTGGCCGCGATACCTTTATGTGTTATGCTCAATTAAAGCAACCTTAACCCATTATTGAAAATTAAAATCAGAGAGTCCAGATTTATAGTTGTTGTGTGGTAAAGAAAGACAGGTACGTATGAACAGAAAGAGGGTGCCGACTAGTGAAGTGTAAGTTGCATGCAGAAAGAACGAAAAAGAATTGAACATAACATAACGAAAGCAGTGAGATGCGAGAGAAGGGGTGATAATGTAATCAGCTTGGAAAATATAGTGAAAGAAGGAACGGAACATAACGTGAAGTTGATAAAGCAAATTAAATCGGTTTCACTTGTGCGTGAACTACTTTCTTTGATACGCGCTTACAGCTTGAGTAGGTGCGCTACGTCTCTTGGTAGCTGCTGCTCGATTCGCTAAATTCCTAAGTGCTGCAGCTGATGCGAGGTCTGCATGGGTATTGCTTGACGCTGTAGGTGGAGGCTGTCTAACGACAGTAAATACTGCATTATTGCCTATTCGCACATATTGTTGTCCATATCTATTTTGTTCCACTGTTGTTGCTGCTGTGGGCTGTTTCACGACTGGATCTGTTCTAGCCGTTTTGTCCTGAGAGATTTTTCCATAGAGTCAGCGACTGATGAAGCATCATTTCTTTCCAACAGTGAAAAAAGAGCACTATACCATCTTCACAAGTGTCCAATCAAAAATATAATCCCATACATAGCGTTCGCGAACAAATAGGTCTCTGAACAGCTTTCGCAAATATCTATAGTCAGGTTTGTCCTCGAAGCGAAGTGACATGGAGTACGTCATGTATGCTGCGAACTCTGAAGGTAATCCATAGCACAATGACTGTACAGATGTGCTCATTTTCTTTTCCATAATTCGATCATATTTTTGCGATTTGGTAGTTGCTTTCAATCCCTGCCACGGTAAGGACCCTCGATAAAGATATAAAAGAACATATCCAAGTGAAATTAAATCGTCGCGTCGAGATTGTTCTGTTGAAGGCGTTAGTGGCCCATTCCATACAGTACCATTCACATCTCATACGCCCTTACCACAACCGGCATGGGTATTGATGCTTGCATATCGAGCTGTTCCGGTTAAATTTTTGTTATCTCGATAGGGTATATGAAGACTTGTCTTTGGGTCGCGGTATTTCTTGGCCAAACCAAAATCAATCATGTTGACCTGATAGCCCTTTTTACCCACGTTCATCAGAAAATTGTCTGGTTTGATATCACGATGTATAAAGTTATTGGAATGAACAAATTCCACTCTTTGAATCTAAATGGCAGCAATGGGTATTAAAAAACATGGGCCATGAATCAGCGAGTTTAAACAAACTTGGATTGAAAAATACCATTTGATCCGCAAGCATAATGACTGTTTTCAGGGAGAATTTACGGTTACAGAAATTAAAGAGATCTTCAAGCGATCTATTCCAAGCAAACGATCAGATTTAGAATCGAAACCCCATATCAAGTCGCAATTGGGTGAGATCGGTAAAGAAGGAAATGGAAATACTCACGGTCCAAGAAGGTCCATAACAAGAGCGTTGTAATCGCATTCTTGACCATACCAACGAATCATTGGTATACCATAGCCCCCAGCTAATGATTTATATACCTTGGCTTCATACTCCAGTTGTCTATGCTTAGCTTTGACGGATTCCAGTTTAATAGCTACCTCTTCTCCGGTCATGACATTGGTGCCTGTAATATGTTTGTCAATGTCTTATTAGTGACGGGCTCCAAAATGACATAGTTTGTATCTCCTATCGATATTTCCCTTCATCTGATCCTTCTATGATCGATATCCCACTTAGATTAAAACATATAACTTTTCGCATGTCGGACGTACTCCCCACCTAACCCCCAATCACCCCTTTTTGTGTACAGGAGCCAAGTGTGGTAAGTGTCCCTTCGTATTTGCAGTTGCCATGTGCTTGAGCTGAAGCACCATTGTTACGTCTCGCGCCGCTTGAAAAAGGTAAAGAGCACAGCACTTTTCGTGGTATTACAAGTCGAGACGCACAAGGGTAGAGTGAGACAGGAATAGCTTACCAAGGTAAATTTCGCCAAAAGATCCCGAACCGATTTTGCGGCCAATACGGTATTTGTCGCCAATTCTCAAATCCATTCTGGAGTATATACTTTACAACTCTTCAGTAACCCGCACAAGTTCGGGAAATAAAAGAAGCACAATGAGAATGAAAAATAAGAGAGAGATTAGGAACTAGCAACAACAGAACGCACTTGTAAACAGGAAATGAATGGGGGCGAGGGCACGTTTGAGTACCAAATATGGCAAGCCATCATTGCCGTAACCTCATTCCAAGCAAAAAAATAATTGAGTGCTATTTTTTTTTCTTCTGTAGCATGTTCACTGCGGCTAACCTAAATGCTCTCAAACGCTTGATTAAAATACAGTCAAGGATGTCGAGAACATGGCATCATTGGAAGCTTGAAGAAGAACTTTCGTTCCGTCAGTCATTTAAGGTTGTTATTATTCTTTTACTGTATGGGCAGTGTTTACATTACTGTGGTGAATTTGGAAGATCCTAAGTGGTACGCACCCATTTTTCAGGCCGAATATTCAAATTTCGTCTACAACACTTTTCAGTACTGTACTTTGCGATCCTATTCATCCATGAGCTGTAACGGATTGCTGCAACGGGTAGACCTAATGTAGGTGTGTCATGTGTACTTCCACTACGTACCGTTGTTTGGATGTGGCTGAACCGAAAAGTCCATCACGCTTCTTCCCACCTTCATACTCGGGTACCAAGAATGAAGGCGCCCAAAACGCTTCACTGCCGACCGATCTAATAATACTCCCTGTTTTTGTGTAGATGTCACTCGCTCAGAAGAAATGAAGGAGAGCAGTTCTTTCCATGCGGAATTCGGTGACTAGCTTAACGACTTTTCTTGTCTGTCTGAAGTTGACGTAAAGGCATCAGAAATGTGGTGCAGAATCAAATCAAGTAACCAAACTACGCAAACCTCATGTCTTGTTAGCGAATTCAATCATCAGTGTGGCAGATCATTCGACAACACAATATTCATATCGGCTGATATGATGATTTTGCACCGAATATCAAATAAAAACAACCTAGCTTTCCACAAGACCACGTTCCGATGACAAACTTGCTATTTTCATAGAACTAAAATAAAAATATACGTAGATTTTGGAGATTATTGTGACTAATTTAATGATCCGAGATTACCAACATAGTTTTATTCATCCTTCTTCGCACCACCCGCCTTCTGCTTTCTCGTTTTGGGTAGCCACCAAAATTTCCAAACAGTGTAGAGAACAAGGGAGGAAGTGAAGACGATCCAGAACACCACTACTGATAGAGGAGCAGGCTCAGGGAATTCGCCACGGCCATACTTGATACATATAAGCGTCTCCGTGAAAATATTTGCAAGAATAACCCATGCATGAGGTCCAAAGCGTTTGGTATTCCTGTAAGTTGGATGAGTATACATGCAGTGGGTAAAGATGACCCGTTTTGATATAAGGGAGAACTCACTTGTCTACCAAATACTGGTATGCCTCTCTCGTTGCTGGAAGAGCAAAGAAGAATATGAGAATTAATCTATAGGTGAGTAGAGGGTGCTCCGGAGGAATCCAAACGAGGTATTTCAGATAGAAGCAGTTGAGTTCGCATTGCAAAAACTGAAAGAAAGGAAAATAAGGGCAACGACGTAAAACAAAAAAGGAATGAGTGAGTGGGATGTCTACGAAATAATGGCCAGGATAATGCGGTATAAACCCCCAACTTACCACAACAAGAAGTGCAATGACGGCCATCCAATGCTTAAAGCTGCTAGTTGTCTTCCACTCGAAGCGAGTCCAGTCATGAGGAGTAAACTGCTGAACCGCCCGCTTGGCCTTTCCTTTGATACCCTTGATATGTCGCAAGTGGCCAGCCCAAGAATAGTGCTTGACTTCGAAATACTCGCATGTCTTCATGCCAAGATAAATACCGAGCCAGTTGCAGGTCAAAACATCCAGGATCCACTATTAACGCAGGGGGTAAGCAACACCACTCATAAGTAACACTGCCCATCCCATCAGCTTACATGATCCCACCAGCATTCAGCGAAATTCGCCAATTGGTGCTGTAACGAATATTCCATAACTTCAAACATGATGGATAATATCCAACAGAACCAATAATCTCGAAGAATAAGTGCCTTGGCGTACCAGCCAAGAACATGGGCCAAGACAAAAATATCGATTTGATTCTAATGTGATGTTAATTCACAGATCTTTTAGCTTCATCACGCTATTATTTCCTTTGTGACTCACCTTCAAATTATCCATGGTCAACTCACAACCTTCAGCGTAAGATCGATCAGGAAGTGGTACACCTAATTCTGGATATACAAACTTAAGCATTTGTCGGGCCTGATGCTTGTTCTGCAACAGATGAGGTGTTATTAGGATCAGTCAATATTACCATAATAGATCACGGAGGCGTCATAACAGAAGGTGTGACTTACCAAAAACAAGAAAAAGACCAGAGCCATTTGATATAATACGCTCAAGCTAAGAACAGCTCGCCAGAACGCGACATGAGGACGGACAAAAGGTCCATCTCGGAACTGAAGCATTCCAATAAACACAAAGCAAGCAATAGCAGCTGTGATACCAAGTTTAACATTGGTTTCAGTTGAATCAATATCTGGCGTGACAGCCACATAGAGTAAGCAAAGCAAAAGAACAGTCAAGGCAGTCAAGGTTCTTGGTCGAACTGTTGAACCGAGAAAGAGCAACGTCAATCTTTTAAGATCATATTGAAAAGTGTTACTCGAGGCGTATACTTACGGACAGCCTCAATAGCTGGATCTGGTTGTTGCTGTAGTTGCTGAATGTCCTTCTCCAGCAATGGAGTATCCAGTTCTGAACCGGGGGATTGAGCATATATTGACGACGACGACGTATATGATCTCTCCAGGAAAGGATCCTGTGGAGTAGTCATGACGTACAATTGAGGTTGGGGGAGAAGGAAGAACAACAGCACGAGACACAACAATTGTCAATTTCAAAATGTGTGGCAGGAATTTGGCTGGTATTGGCTCAACGTGGTCCTGCACGTGACGAGTTCCATTGGACCATTCTACACCTAACCCCGCTCTGGTAGAAGAAAAAAAAAAATTAAACCCCAGCTGTCATGAATGGTCTCTTTGGCCAGGAACTCGATGACAATTCGTACTCTGATTATCGACAACTATGACTCGTACACATTCAACCTGTTACAACTGTTCCCAGAACCCTCTAATGTAGTGATCATTCGCAATGACCAGTTCACATGGTGAGTGCATTCAGCGTCAATGCCTCGTTCTCATGGTCCAGCCACTCATACTGCTCATAATCTACCCACCTCCTAGGCCACAATTCGTATCCAGTGTTTTGCCGCATTTTGATAATATCGTCATATCACCAGGACCGGGTCGTCCGGAGCATCCGGATGTAGGTTTATTCGAATTGATTGGCATTTGCTGTCGACAGCTTATACTCAACCATATCCTTGTAGGACTTTGGATTGTGTACCCCATTACTACAAGCACAGAAAGATGGTCCAGATCATTTGAGAATCCCGATTTTTGGTGTGTGCCTTGGCTATGAAGGAATTGCACATGTTTTTGGCGGAAAGGTAATAGCTGAATTCTGACAATTTGAAAAGTGTAAGGTGGTAATTAATAATATGCAATAGATCGGGTATGCACATCGCATTATGCATGGAAGAATTTCCCAGATCGTAAGAACCGAACAAAAATCTTCAGGCGATGTGTTAGATCACCTACCTGTCCCATTTTGGGCCGTAAGGTATCATTCCCTGGTGGTCGAAGCGGAAAGTAAGTGACAAACGGTACAAATGAAAAAATCGTTGACTGAGGTCTAATCTTGTATTGATTAGGTCTTCCTGCCTGCTTGAAAGTGACAGCATACTGCAGTGAACAGGATGCTGATATGGAAGCCTTAGAAAGTGCACCTTATGTCAGCGATCAAGGAGAATTGGCCAATGGCTTGCACAACGATCCCGCCAATATCATTCCTCATCCGCCACTTGAAAATGACGAAACCGTAGACTCCGGCAAAAGAACATTGATGGCTTTTAGACATGAAAGTCTTCCTCTGTGGGGTGTCCAATTTCACCCCGAATCTATCTGTACAGAGTATGGTGTGCGCATGATGTCCAACTTTAGCAAGCTGACACTGGATTGGATGGCAAAGGTATGAATATACATAATCCTTAACCTTGTCTTCATCAAAGTTACCTGTTTTTGTTTAACATCGTTCATCAGGCTGGGAAAAAGCTGAGGAAAGAGCGCATTCCAAGTAGCATCCTTAAGCTCTCTGTCGTAGCGGATGCTAATATGGAAAATGTAATGGTTGATGGTATCCATAACCACCATGAGCTTCGCATCCTACCTGTCGACATTGAGAATTTTTCAGTGAATTCTGGGGATTTATTCGAAGAAATAATTGCTAGCCATCAGAATGAACAAATACCAATCACTTGGCTTGATAGTGCCATGGTAAGTTTCCTGTTATTTTTTAATACAGCAATGGATAGACGTCAGCAGTCTAATCGTATTCTCCATAGAAACAATCTCCCTATTCCAAGTTCAGCACCCTAGCTGTGGACCCGGCTTTCACCATTAGTTATTCAACATTACATAAGGAAGTCACCACTACATCAGGCACTGCTAGTACACGGGAATATATAACAGCCAACGAGACATTTTACGATCGCATTTCCAGCATCATGTCCAACTTCAACGCCATACCTCAAAAAGTAATTAACGACGGTGGTGATTGTGCTTTGGAATCATTACCTTTCCGAGGTGGATTGGTGGGTTATCTTGGATACGAAATGAAGAGAGAAAGTTTGGCGGGATACCATGTACCAAAGGAGCAAGAGTGCCACTGCCAGATGCATGGACCAGATTCCCCTACAGAGCAGAACTGCTGTCGTTGTCAAGAAATTCCGGACGCCGCCTTTCATTTTGTTGACAAATACTTCGCTTTTGACGTCAAGGAGCGCTATATTTATATCTGCTGCTTAGTGAAGTGTGGCCAGTCAAAGTTTCCTCAGGTCGGACTCTCCGAAGAAGCATCTCGAGATTGGATGAGGAACAACAAGCAGCTTGTTCTTTCTATTGCTCAACGACTAGGACAAAGCCAAATGGAAACAGCTTGCAGTTCGCCGATCCCAACAAACTCAAGACTGCCAACGCCACCGGATAACAAACCTATCTTGAAGGAGGACATTTTCGAACCGGATACTACCCATTCAAAGTATATTGACTCTATCAAAAAATGCATTGAGCAAATTAGGGAAGGTGAATCCTATGAACTTTGCTTGACTACTCAGTTTCGACATGCTTTGCACGAAGACATTGCTACCAATGCCTGCGACCCTCAATTGACCAAGTTGTATACACGGCACTTAAGACGTAACAATCCAGCACCTTTCTCTGCTGCTTTGTCGTTTCCCACGTTCAAGATGAGTCTGATGGGATCCAGCCCAGAACGATTTCTTAAGGTAGACGGCAACGGCATTGTTGAAATGAAGCCAATCAAAGGAACCGTCAAACGCTGCCTCACTTGTGTTTGCGATGATCATCCTGAAATCGACTGCGATATGGATGAGGAGTGTACACGTCAAACTGCATTGGAAGATCAGAGACGCATGCAGGCCCTTTGGAGTGATGTCAAAGAACGCGCGGAAAATCTGATGGTGAGTGTAAAATAGCTACAATATTGTACAAATTTTGGGGAAATTACATTGCTAATCAATATTATGGCGAACCTGTAGATTGTGGACCTTATTCGTAATGACCTTGCTCATTTTTGCGAACCCAAGACGGTGTCTGTTCCAAAGTTAATTCACGTTGAGACATACGAGAAAGTTCATCACCTTGTTTCTACTGTCTGTGCGCAACTCCGCCCCGACATTGATAGTGTCCGTGCGGTTCAAAACAGCTTTCCTCCTGGGTCCATGACAGGGGCTCCTAAACTGCGTTCTGTTCAAATTCTCGATACATTGGAGCACCACATTCCTCGCGGCATTTACTCTGGTTGCCTAGGCTACTTCTCAGCTGGTGATGCTAACTCTGCGACCGGTAAAGCTACTGCAGAGTTTTCTGTGGTGATCCGTACAGCTATTGCCTCCACGAAGGCCACTCATGTTGAGATGTCCATTGGGGCTGGCGGTGCCATTACCTTCCTTTCAGACCCTGAGAACGAATGGCGCGAAGTCCTACTCAAGACCAAGAGCGTCGCTCCAAGGTAAGTTTGACCGTCTCTACACTGCACGAATGAAACTTGCCTGCGCTAATGCAAAATTTTGCGTTTACAGCGTAGAAGAATACGTAGAAAATGCCTAAGAGAAATGAGGCAATAGAAGAAAGACGCCAAAAAATATACACGCCATCTTTTTACATATAACACACACTTTGTACAGTTCAACACTAATCGATATATCACGTTCAACACTGCCATTTACTAGTACCTTTTTTGTTTTTTATTTTCTCATCGTCTTGTAATAAATCCAAAGTGGTTTTGTCTTCAATTTTGGGTTCCTTTGAATGTCAGAGGATTTATATGTTTGACCATAATCCGTCAACATTTTTCCCATCACAGCTTATGACACAATGGTTGCTATTGAACTTGCACGACTTGATCCCCTTCAGGATACTTTGGTATCTTCAAGTCGAATTTTTCGGCCAAGCTTGGAGGAACGAATCGCCCACCAATGAAGTGACGCCCTTTGAACGCCTGTGCACATAACTTGGGTGCTGTCAAAGACACTAAGGTGTCAGGAGAGAAAAATTGATTTTCTGGGTCGCCTTTTTCCACATCCCATCCTGATGGAATATCAACGGCTACAATGGGAACATGAGTTTCCTTGAGATCACGAACCACTTCCTTGAAAGGGTCGCGCACATCGCCAGAGAAACTGAAGCCAAAGATTGCGTCAACAATGATATCGCTTTCTTTAGGCGACGCCTTCTCTACAAATGGAATATTCAGGTTGTTGCATTGGGTGACAAGACGCTGAAACCCCCCGAGATGATGTCAAAAAGTTATACGCTGGGCGAGATGTATTTCGACAGATAGTCTTCCTTACCTTATACAGATCATTTTTGCTCTGCTTTGGATAGTAGATACTAGGCTTATAGCCGAAATGGAACAAATGGCGAGCAGCAACAAGACCATCTCCACCATTGTTTCCGGGACCACAGCAAATAAGTACACGTGGATGCTTTTGAGTCGGGTAAGTCTTTTGGACGGCTTGCGCTACACTTAATCCAGCTGCGTCGATGGTGGAACAATTTGTTTAATGAGATAATGCTGAGCTGCAATTTCAAACGGTGGAGTCCGCCTCCACGTCAAGTCTAACTTCCCCACACCTACCTAGTTCCATAAGTTGGTCAACCGAGAATCCACCAGCTGCTGACATGAGGTCTTCGTCAATTGCCTGGGCGACTTTTTGGGTAATGAACTGCGACATGTCGAGTAAGCACCTTCTCGACAGAGAGAAAAAGCCCGCATAGTCTATGAACTAGAGCTGCACTCGTACATACCTTGAGTGACATTGCAAGTGGAATGGTATAAAAAAAGAATACTGGTCCAAAATAATCAACCAGTCATTCTATTTCTCCCGGAATTTTTGGTGGTGCGTCTGTCCCAAATCACGTCGAATTGAAGTCACTTGTGCGTAATTAACGAACTAGACTTGGAGACAAATTTAATATGCTATAGAACGTGTGATAATATGTTGTGTACATATTCTAACAGGGTCCATCGATTATCTGTAGGTCAGCAGCGTAATCGACTACATCCATCGATTTGTGGACATCATGTTACGTTGCACCAAGTACAGGGTCCACTCAATTTTTTTTCTTCGTGTCTCATTCGCTTGGCCTGCGTTTAGATTGGGATTTCATCGTTGTTATCTGCAGAGTGTCGAAAGGTTTTAAATTATCGCCTAATAAATGTCAGAATCGATTTTGTAAACGAACATCTGGCGTGTGCACATAGCAAGAAGGAGGGTTTTCAAATATGATTTTTAAGAAGTCTAATAGCGCCACCACGGCAGCTCGCAAAGCGTTTGTTATTATTTTTCTTAGTTTTACCCAGTGTACTTTAGTTTGAAAAGTGGTCTCTAACATCCCCCTCCCCCCAAATATGTGTACCTACAGCCTGTATCGAACCATGGACAAAAGTGATAGCATAGTAGCTTTAGCGCGTAGCATGGAGCAACTCTATGATACTGTTACGTTACTAATATAACAACGGTCAGGTGGGAAATATTATCTAACGTTACAGAAAATAGCCAAAGCGAAGATCCATAAAGAAATCTGTCTGTGGATGGGTGGGTTCCACATAGCGTGTGACACGAGGCTACCTACCATTTTTTCTCACCCGCGCCCTCTTCCTCCCCTCAAAGTCTGCTCACTGGTATATTTCCCCTTGCCATCCATTAGTTTACCCTCTTCTTTCTTTACCCTTCTCTTCTTCTTTTTATGATGACTGTTGAAGCCGAAAACGTTGCTGTTGACCCTATCTACCAAGTTCCCAAGCGATTGCTGGACAAGGCCAGTGCTCCTACTCCTTACGTTGACTCGTTTGAGAAGTACCAAGAACTGTGGAAGCAAAGTGTCGAGGATCCTGACACCTTTTTCTCTAACGTGAGTCAAGAAATCAACTGACTATCCATGGGGTGATACGTTACTAACTTGACATGTGTAGCTCTCCAAAGAACTCTTGTCTTGGTCTAAGCCGTTCACAACTGTTCGCAGTGGAGGTTTTGAACAAGGCGACGTGGCATGGTTTCTGGAGGGTGAACTGAACGCTTCGTACAACTGTGTTGACCGTCACGCATTGGCAAATCCTAACAAGGTATGTAACGAAACCAGAGGACATGATTTTGAAAAACCTATAGCTTGGATGAGGCTGAAGGTTTAAGCCCCAAGAAGTGGCCTTTACTTGCGGATCTTACCGATTTTGCATGGGATGGCACTTCTCGGGGTGTATACCTAATTGCGCCTCCTAACTCCTTGATATATGTTTAAAATGCAAATATAGTTACTGTTTACCATACTAACATTGACCTTATTTACATTGGAATTTGAAATTTTCAATAACAGATTGCCATCATTCATGAAGGTGATGAGCCCAACTCCGTCCGCAACATCACTTATGGTGAACTTTTGCAAGAAGTTAGCCGTCTCGCTAATGTCCTCAAGTCTCTCGGTGTCCGCAAGGGTGATAACATCGCCATTTACATGCCTATGATTCCCGAAGCTGTCGTGGCCCTTTTGGCTTGTGCTCGTATCGGTGCCGTTCATTCCGTTGTGTTTGCTGGTTTCTCCTCGGATTCTCTCCGTGACCGTATTGTAGATGCTTCCGCCAAGGTTGTTCTTACCGCTGATGAAGGCAAGCGTGGTGGCAAGGCCATTGCCACTAAGCGCATCGTTGATCAGGCTTTGTTGACCGCTCCCTCTGTTGAAAGCGTCCTCGTTTTCCGTCGCACGGGTGCTGACGTTCCCTGGACTAATGGACGTGATTTGTGGTGGCACGATGAAATGGCAAAGGCTCGCCCTTACTGCGCCCCTGAGCCTATGAATGCCGAAGATCCCCTTTTCTTGCTCTATACTTCTGGATCCACTGGCACTCCTAAGGGTGTCATGCATACCACTGGTGGTTATTTGCTCGGAGCCGGTGCCACTGTCAAGTATATCTTCGATTATCATCCCGATGATATCTTTGCCTGCATGGCTGATATTGGTTGGATTACTGGACATACATACATTGTCTATGGTCCCTTGACTCTAGGTGCAACCACTTTATTGTTTGAATCTACCCCTACCTACCCCACCCCATCCCGTTTCTGGGAGGTTGTTCAGCAGCATAAGGTTACCCAATTTTACACTGCCCCCACCGCTATCCGTGCGTTGCGCCGTTTGGGTGATAAGTGGTTGGATGGTTATGACCTTTCCACTTTGAGAGTCATTGGTTCCGTTGGTGAGCCCATTAACCCTGAAGCTTGGGAGTGGTATAACGAGATGGTGGGTAAGAAGAACTGCGCTGTCGTTGACACTTACTGGCAAACCGAGACTGGTTCCATCATTGTGACCCCACTTCCTGGCGCCATCGCCACAAAGCCCGGTTCCGCTACCTTCCCATTCTTTGGTATCAAGCCTGTTATTCTTGACCCCACCTCTGGAAAGGAGCTCGAAGGCAATGATGTCACCGGTGTGCTGGCTGTTGCTCAGCCCTGGCCATCTATGGCTCGTACCGTGTACAACAACCATCACCGTTACTTGGACACATACCTTCGTCCTTACAAGGGTTACTATTTCACGGGAGACGGTGCATCGCGTGACAAGGATGGCTATATTTGGATTCGTGGCCGTGTTGATGGTAAGTTAAAAAAAAGAACGCTGAGAAGACATGGGTTGTGTTCCTAACCTTATTACACTTTGTACTATACTAGACGTTATTAATGTCTCTGGCCATCGTCTTTCCACTGCCGAAATTGAATCCGCCCTCATCTTACATCACTCTGTTGCTGAGGCTGCCGTTATTGGTGGACATGATGACTTGACTGGTCAATGTATCCATGCATTCACCACCCTCAAGCCTAATATTGAGGATAGCGAAGGCTTGGAAAAGGAATTGGCTCTACAAGTCCGCAAAGTCATTGGGCCTTTTGCCACTCCCAAGGCCATCTACTGTGTCAATGACTTGCCCAAGACACGTTCTGGCAAGATCATGCGTCGTATCTTGCGCAAGATTGTTAACAACGAGGCTGATCAACTTGGTGACACTTCCACTTTGGCCGATCCTTCTGTCGTCGACATGTTGATCGAGAAGGTCAAGTCTTCCCAAAAGTAAATCGACTACTTTTGAGTGCTGCCCATTTTCACCTACTGGCTTCAATGCCCCCCAAAAATAGTTTTTTCGCAATATCTTTTTTTTTTTTTTTTTCATGTCCATTATTCGCTTATATTCTAATTTCATCGTCTTACTTCTCTATTTTTCTTCCTTCTATGACAAAAGATATGGATCGATTTTATACGTCGATATTATGGGCACTGTGTGCATGATTGCATACTGTAAGCAATTTAATAAACACCATCATACCGGACAATAGCTATAGGGTTGATATTCCCTCCTTAAGTTGATCTTTCAAAGGAAGAAACGATCGACAGACGTCCGCCCGCATTTTTGTTTTCTGGTACAAATGGGAGGAAAAGCTTACATTAGCCATGAAAGCCCAAGTTTTTTTATTTATCCTCTTTTCACTCTAGTTGTTCTTTCTTTACACTCTTTTTTTTTTCCCACATCACATTACACTATGGTTTTACTACAGCCAAAAGGAGCAGCCGAACCAAAATTCACAGCAGGCGAGAAGAGGCTAGCAAAACTGCAGGAACAAAGCGACAAACTTAAGCAACAGCTACAGATGGACTGCATACCTGTTTCGGATGCTTCCCGCGAGTCAGTATCACTACAAGTAAAGTTTTTGGGGTGTACATATGCTAATCATGAACTCTATTGTCATAGTTTGATCAACTACTGTAACAATACCAAAGATGCAATGCTTCCATCGGTATGGGGAAGGGAGATGGAAACGCTTTGGCTGGAACACCAAGCAGCTGGTTGTCAATGCCAGATAATGTAAAGGACCAGATGGAAAAGGAACCCACGCGAAACACTACCATTCGTCCTACTAGCTTACTTAATATCCTTCAAACAAAAGTCGTTCTATGTTGAACGTAAACGATCTTTTGGGTGAATGAGACTGGGTCATACATTTATATAATCTGCACCATCTATATTTCTTTTCAACCCATCCATGGGCCCAGCGAAGGCTTTATACCTATCAAAAACCCTGTTTAATTCCTTTATCTCAACAAAAATATATCTTTCCACTCGTATAGACTTGGACTATGTTTCGGAAGCATGCACTGTCAAGTCATAGAGGTCGTGCTGCAAGTAATACAGTAATAGCTTAGTCTACTTTGCATGATAAGCATCACGATAAAATCTGCATCCTTCTAAGTATGTATAAACTCCCATAAGGGAACGCAGGAGAGGAAGATGGTTCAGGATTCTAGGCCAATTCCAAGACAAGGGACAGTGTTCCTGAAAATTGAAAGGGTGATCTGAGCAAGTGTGAAATGACAAACTTCTTACGACTCGAGTGCTTATGCCGCTGCTTTATAAAATGGTACTGATGGGAAGGTTCAGCTTCTATGTGTTTTCCTGGACAGGGCAAAAATTTACACATCAGCAAATGCTGACACATTAAATTTAACGCCTCCGCACCGGATTGAAGCAGAAAGGTGGGGAGTAGCTTGTATCAAGCTACGTCCGAACCAGCAAACAAAAATCTACGGATTGAATTTGTTCATATTGTTTTCAAAGTGTACTGCTGACCTAGGATCATTAGCATAGCGGCTATAGTCTCCAATGCCTTTCAGTTTTTACAAAGTCATCTTCACGTGCCTGGAAACGATCAGACCCGACGTCACATAATTCTTTGTTGAAAGCCTGCCTGGGTTACTTCCCCACTTTTGTCTCCACCGCACCCCCGTCTCTAAACATCAATGTCCAAATCACTCCGCATTATCGTTCCTGTTAAGCGTGTCATTGACTATGGTTAGTGTTGATCCATCTCATCTCATCAACAACAGCTCTGTGCTTTCAATGGTACCTAACTTCTTCTGTGCACACACTTGCCTTACTCCACCTCAGCTGTCAAGGTTCGTGTGAATCCTGCCAAAACCGACGTCGATCGCAATGTCAAGCACAGCATGAACCCTTTTGATGAGATTGCTGTGGAGGAAGCCGTTCGCATTAAGGAAAGATTGCCTTCTACCGAGATCATTGCTGTCTCTTGCGGATCGGCAAAGTCTCAGGAGACTTTGCGAACTGCTTTGGCCATGGGTGCCGATAAAGCCATCCACGTTGAAGTAGCTGATGATAGCAAGCTTCAGCCTCTCGGTGTTGCCAAGCTCTTGAAGGCTATTGCTGAGGAGCAAAAGCCTGACTTGATCATCCTCGGTAAGCAAGCCATTGACGACGATTCCAACCAAACTGGCCAGATGCTTGCTGGTCTCCTCAACTGGCCTCAGGTAAGAGCTGTTCTCGCCCTGTATCGTTTAGAAAAAGTCTGACAACTCAACCCGTCTATTTCTTGTAGGCTACCTTCGCCTCCAAAGTCGAGATCACTGACACTTTGGCAAAGGTTACCCGTGAAGTTGATGGCGGTCTTGAGACAATTTCTTCCAAACTCCCTGCCATCATTACCACTGATCTTCGGTAACGTATTCATGATTTTTTGGTTCAATTGGTTTAGCTTTACTAGGTCGACTCATCTGTGTTTGCCTTTGTCCAATTATTTTTTCTCACGCATGCAGCTTGAACGAACCCCGTTACGCATCACTCCCAAACATCATGAAGGCTAAGAAGAAGCCTTTGACTAAGAGTACACCCGAGCAACTCAAGGTTGATATCACTCCACGACTAGAGACCATTAAGGTTGAGGAACCAGCAAAGCGACAGGGAGGCAAGAAGGTCGAGAGCGTTGATGATCTTATCGACAAGTTGAAGAACGAGGCCAAGGTTTTGTAGACATATTGTAAAAGCAAATAAGAAAGATGTACCCTACTCAAAATAACATAGAAGTTTTATCTTTGTGTTTTCTCAACCGCATTACTGGGGTGACTCTTGCGCGCGCCATGACTCTGTTTTATTCTTTCTTTTTCCATCATGATGATAGCATGTAATGCGGGATATTCTAGGTTATGTTACTAAGGTCGGGTGCGGGAGTAAAATACAGTTTGAGGCAAGGTGAGGTGGAGTGGGAACTAGAGAGTTCTTTATGGGCTACTAAGCATAATTTCGACAGCTCGATTCAAATCGTTATGAGCAGTGGCCAAAGCATGGATGACAGTTTCACGAGTTTGCCCAGGAAACATGGTCATTAAGATCGCAATGTGTTCTTCTGATGGAGGCCTTGCTGATGTGCCTGCTTCTGGGGCTCGTCCTGCGAGCGTTCCGATGTATTCCTAAATCCCTCTGGTTACTATTTGTACTGACCCATAGCCAATGCGAGTGTTCTACTTACTCTCATAGTACCATCAACACCGCCTCGGGGTTGTCCTCCACGCCCAGCCTGTCGACGATTACGGATACCTGTCGCCATCATGGCTTCCATTGGCAGACCAGTTGATTGTGCTCTTTGTTCAGGAGTGGTGGCCGTGGATCGCGCAGCAGGAGCTGAAGCTACGACGGGTAAAAGAATTCGAGAGGCAAAGTTGTTCACGATCTTGGGAAAACGCCACCTCTTTATGCCCATGATATCCGATCTATACAATGCTCCAGCAAACAGACCACACGCGGCCGGGGCAATGGTAGCAATAGACTGGGAGAGCATCATCTGAGATAAAACAATATTCATTTACACAAATGAGTAAATCGGGCTTTTTTTCTTCCAAATCGATATCTAACACTGATACTTACATGCGCTGCAATGACATAGATGTACGTCTTGTCGCTTAGTGTTGCTCCAAAAATTTTGAATTTGTAAGTGACCGGGATGATGCGATGGTACTGGTACAACATAGCAAACAGAATTGCCAATCTATTATATGAAATAGGTCAGATAATTCTGCTCAACGGCAAGTGCCCTAAATTTAAAAAGACTTACGGTCCAGCGGGTATGCTTCGTAGACCCAGTTTGGAAAGCATCACTAGAGCACCGACTTCTAATAATGTGGAAACCAGCCATGCGATGGCAATGAACGCCTGTAACTCCAGAGTTAGGCAATGTAATCCAACCAACATTTTCGTATCACATCCTTCGTCTTACCGCATATTTCGCTGTTCCAAAGTGACGCTCAATGACTCGCATGTGGTAGATCATGATGCCACCGAACAGCAGATCACTTGAGTTAGCGAATGCGAGGTGGGATACAAAGAGTCGCCAAAACTATTTATGCCAAGGCCATTAACAATAGTCTCCAGGTCATTACCATAGTCATAATGATTCTTACCTGGTGATGTGTGGTGAGATGGGGTGACAGCTGTAGATGAAAATAAGGCTTGATGTTCAACACCGAGGCCAGCAGACTAGTGGCGCCGACACTGAGAGCAATGACCTTGCTGATGGGAGCATTGTAAAAGCCTAAGTAGGGTTAGAAAGGTCGACGTGGTGGTCGAATGTCTCAACCTGAAGCGCAAATCACCTGCAGGGCCCACAGATTGCATGGTTGCTAAAAGTCTGGGAGCAAGCGGAGAGAACCAAGGATTATTTTTGACGTTTTTCAATTTTACTGGCTTGACGGTACGAACGAACAATCACGAACTCCCCTAAAATAGCTTCGACATACATGTAATATTTGACACAATGGAAAGATGACATGGGATGAACAAAAAACACAAAAGGGATTCATATTATTAACTGCTATTGCTACTTGAGTCAATATTGGACCTTGATGATATCTTGGCTAGAATAAGGTATACACAAACAACAAGGACGAGTAGCCATCGCCTCCATTGATTGAACCGAGATTGTCGGTTCTGCTGTACTGCTGCGGTGGCACTTGCTCCTGTATCAGCGACAATTTGTGCCGTTGCTAATGCTACAGGATTAGCATTTGCGGTTGTTCGATTGCGTCGTTGCGTCATATTATGACTAGGTGCATTATCATGTTGTGGTCGAGTAAGGATTTCCGGTTGACAGAATTCAGGGAAAATATCTATTTGGGAGAAAGGAAACGAGGTAGGCTTAAGTTCAAATGAAAAAGGAGGGCGACTCTGTTATCGATAGAGGAGAACCCTTACCTCGAAATTTCGTACTGCTCGTATTGAATTTATGTGATCGAGCTGCGTATATCCTCTTCTCTGCATCGTTCGTCTTGATACTTCCCGTTGTTGTCTCGTCCGTTACCATGAAGCTTAGTAAACCGTTAAGAATGGTAGCCACAGACCAGCTAGGATTCCATGAACTAGGATGAAAGTCACTCATGGTAAGGCACAATCTTGTGTCTGTCTGGAACCGGCCAGAAGGTGTGGACATGCGAATACTAGGTGGCTTGAATGGATAATCCGATGGGAAGATGAGCTTTCCCCAATACCAGCCATTATGGTATGGTGTATCTGGCGGCCCACGTATTACATAGTGCCTGCAAAAGATGACGATCGTGGCAGAGATTAGTATTCAAAATGGGCGCTTCTGACTCGGCAAGGTTGGGCATGAACAAAGACTTCTGAATCATACCACTCGAGAATATTGCTTTCCAGAGGTCGAGCTGTAATGAATGGAGGCGGACTGTTGTACCATCGATGCAATGGGAGGATTGAAAAATACGATAATGGTCAGTGGACTGATATGGGTGCAGACAACGAACAAGGTACGCTACCTTTTCTGAATGGCAAGGTATTCTTTTGTTAAGCGTTTATATGCGGCTTTGCTTGCCATGATTTAGCACCAATTGATTTAATGTGAAAGAAAGAATTCAGTCAGAAAAAACGATTTTTTGTAAATGGCTGAGATCGAACGGCACATGATTGCAGCCTTTTTTTGTAATGCTCCGGTTTTCATGGTAAAAGTAATCCCTTGGTACACCCACCCACCCAACAACAAGGTGTTGGCACGCACACACAGTAAATAAGGTGGTAATTTTTGAGTAAAAAAAAAAAAAAAAAGGCAAAGCACATATATATAAACTGAGAGATTCTACAGAATAAAGAAGACGAACAGACAAAAGTATAAGGAAAACAGTGGGAAAAAGGACATGTTTGTGAATCAGTAATATTTCGTTCCACATCAAACCATTTTTCTTTCTTTTCTTCTTTTTTTGAGGATTTTTGTAATTGGATTTTCGTTGAAGAGGGGCAAACGCCGTTTGAAGATGTTCGGCCGACGGTTGATCTTGTTTGTTTTTGGCTTTTTCTTGGAACAAAAAAAAATTGTCTATGTTATTGCAATTTGTGTCAAATATATCGTATTTGTCGAATTATTGGAAATTGAGATGTTGAATTCATTTTTTTTTTTTTGAGATAGGATGGTAAGGCACTTTACTGAGCTGTGGCAGAAAGCCCGCTAACGCTACCTCTTGGTTTCTGCAGGGGGATTAAGTTTAGTCAAACATAAACCTTTTTCATTGTTGTTATCTAATCAGATGCATTGACTTACGCCGTGATGTGGGACAGTATACGTTTCGGTATGAACTTTGGAGGGCTCGGCTTTCTTGAAGTCTTCTAAAGTCTTGTATCTAGCAAGAATGCTGTTCAAACGCTCGTTTTCAGGCAACTTGCGCTTGTTCTTGTCCTTGCGGTAATACAAGTAAGCCCAGAACTTCTCAAGACCATACAAGTATCCATTGTCATAATCCTTGAGCGTCAACTCCATAAAGTCCTCGAAAATCTCGAGACGATACTTCTTCTCCAAGCCATAAGAGAAGAATCGGAACAGGCATTCCAAACCATATCTAAACAAGAATTTTTTTTTTCATGAATACACATATTAAAAAACACAGGCATGATTGGGCCCTCCGTTGCTTACCTATAGTTTTGATTAGCATCCTCAACCGCTAAACGCTTGAATTCTCCATACATGCGCTTGTTGAAGTGATCACGCAAAAAGTGGGACCAGAAACGGAATAAGGTGTTCATTTCTTGTGACTGACCAACACCAGCCTTCTTGCGCTCCTTAAGAGCCTTGGCATGGTATTTGTAGTACTTGTGCTGCATGAAACCATTTTCACGCAAAAGATCGTGACTGGGATGTTGGAAGTTAGGGAATGATTGAGCCATATCAACCGAAGTAGATAAAATAGATTCGCCAGCAGTGTACATGGGAGATGTACCAGTGTAGCTGGAAGACAAGAGATCATTGGGGTTGTAGTGGTAAGGTTGATCGCTGAGGACCCAACCGACGGCAGATTGAGCATGATATTGTCTAGAGTCCTTCTTGTTACCACTGGTAACAGCATTAGAACGAGGAAGCGATCCGGCGCTGGTACCATAGATGGCACTTTGAGGAAGTGATTCAGCTCGAACGGGATAGAATCGAGGTGCCTTCTTGCCAGTGCTGATAGGTGCCTGGGTGATCTTGGTGGAGGACATGTTGTTTCCGGTAAGAGATTGGCCACCATGGCCAGCAGCCTTGGCACTAGCACTAAGCTCAGCGAATTGGTCAGGATCCACGGTTTCGACCTTAACGTTGTTGGCAGCATTGGTGGTGCTGGTTCGTGTCTTCTTCTTGTGAAGGTCATCCTCATAATGGTACAATCCTTCATTAATCATATCGGAGATCTCGTCGTTCATCTTGGATCGTTCGAACGACACATGGCTCTTGTCACGCTTGCGTTGAGTAACAATCATGATACGAGCGACCATGTCATCATCAATGTCGATGGAATCCTCATCATCGTCAGAATCTTCATCAGAAAGATAGTACTTCTTGACGGTACCTTCACGCGCATTATCGCCCCAGTCTTCTTCGAATTCGAACAATTCATCGTCCTCGCCTCCAGCTGGTTGAGCCTTTGCCGATGCAGAGTTCGGTGCACGGCCGTTGCCGTTCAATTGAGGTTGTGGTCTCTTAGGGTTGGGAGAGTGATGGGTGTTACCAGCCAAGGCAGCAAGTGATGGGGCAGGCTTGGTAGCAACCTTGGATGCTACTTCAGCAATGGTAGGCTTTGGCTGCTCACTGGCAGGCTCAGCAGGAGCCTCCTTGGCAGCAGGTGCGGCGGGAGCGGTGGCGGCTTCCTGCTCCTGGGGCTTATCAGCAGCCAAAAGCCAGAAGTCCCAGCCTTCTCTCTTGCGAACTTTGTCGTCCAAAACTTCTACCAATTCGCTCTGAGCAAGAGCTTCTTTGATGAGATCCATATCGGTTGTAAGATTCTTGACCCGGTTGAAGTTTGCAACAAGTGTTATATCGACGTAACCTTGATCATTCATCTAGACAACATGGAAATTTTTTTCAAATTAGTCTAATTTGTCTCCCATCCTGAAAATGGTTATCTCCAAATCCATACCTGTTTGCGCAAAAAGATATCTTTGCAAAGGTTATCAATGCTGAAGTAGTATTCACTAAGAAGACGAAATAGTTAATATTACTGGTCACTCAATGCCTGCACAAAGAAAAAAAAAATTTTTTTTTGAAAAGTAATTCACTTACAGTTGTTGAAGAAGGAAAGCTTTGAGAGTCTCAGCGTCGACATTAACATATCCAGGCTTAGGGCGTCCATTGACATAAGGAGCACCAGTGGAAGTCTGACTGTAGCCACCACGGCCACGGCCACGACCACGAGTAGCACCACGGCCTCGGTAAGCACCTCGCTGAGCATGAGCCTCCAATGCTCCATTGGCTTCACCACTGGCTTTGTTAGCAGGCGACTGAGATAATTTGCCTTCTGAAGTGGCAGCATTTGACTTGTCTTGAGTGCTAGACTTGGATTCTATTGATGCGTTATCCTTTTGAGCACGGTGTGATTTCTTCTTGTTCTCACTGTCACTGCGACGACGGTTTGACCGAGATGAACGGCTTCCGGGAACGGGAGTGGTATGAGTAATGGTGGGAGTTATAGCGGTCCATTGTCCCTTGCCTATGTGAATAAAGAGGTTAGTCAGCATATGTATCCTATTGCAAGGCTGGGTAGATATCTCTGTCAATAGACTGTGGTAACATTTACCTCTTGGGGGACGCTTTTCCTTCTTTTCGGCGGATTCTACTGGCAATTCCTTAGCCTCACTTGGAGCAGGCCAGGAAGTTGAATCTTGTAAAGATGGAATGTCAGTGGGCTTCTTTGACTTTTTTGATTTCTTGGCTGCAGCCTCTGTTCAAATGATACGGAAAACAAAAAAATTGGGTCGAAGGTAACCAACATTGTTAGGAACACTGCATAACTGGGTGACACATGGTCTTGAGAAAAGCTATGGGCCCCACAAACAAGTGTGTGGAAATCCGCTTCTCATAGTAATTTACCTTCTTGAGATTGCTCGACTTTTTCAGTTGTATTTGATGGAGCATCTTCGTTGCTGGGAGAGCTGGTCTTTCTAACCTGCCAAACATTGACGGAAGGAATAGGTGCAAGAATCTTTTGCTTCTCGGCGGATGTATCTTCAGGCTGGACAGCATCGGTGGAGGCGGCGCCAGCTTCTACCTTTTCGACGTTCTGCTTTTGCTGCTCGGGCGTCACCTCTGTGGAGCTGCTGGACATGACGGACAGTGAAGGGTGTGCTACTATAGAAGTCGAAACGAATGAGCTGGTTGGAAAAAAGTTTGTAAATCTCGACGTGTGAAACTTGGGTCGAGCGTAGACAATGAATTTACGAACTTTGAGTTTTTGAAAAGTTAGAATGTGGAAAATGCACTACTTTTCTTGTTGGACCACAAGCGAAATCTTGCCAAAAACACTTTTTCCCCAGTCTCTTTCTTTTTGCTTTGGGTGGCTTGTTGAAAAAATTGGATTGCCCGAATTGGCACCCATAGAGCAGTCACAGGTAAAAAAATTGAGCTCCCCAGCCAAAACCAATTTCTACCAAGAAGAGGATGTTTCATTGTGTTCATAACGGTTGTATTTTTTGTACATTACTAGCTACTCTCCTCCATCTATAAACGAATTATCTGCCCAAAGTCTAGTCTAATTTGACCTTCTTATCTTGATGAACAACATTTTCAATGCTGAACTCGAGAAGCTTATTGAGTCGAGTGACCATAGAGCGTGGGTCGTCTAGAACACCAGCTGCACAAAGAGCATTATCGTAGATTTGCTCAGTCACCATCTTGGCCAACTCTGGCTTCTCATTACGAACCTTGAACAGTCCCTTCAAAACAGCGTGGTCGGGATTGATCTCTAGACGAGTAGGTTGTGCTTCCGGTTCTTCCATCTTAGCCGAACCTTGCATCATTTGCATCATACGACGCATTGCAGGGCTTTCGTGCTCCAAAACTTGAAAAAACAGTACATTGTCAATGACATCGCTTATAAACGGCTATTCAATGGAATTTTGCTGTATGTGAAAAGAAAATACTTACCAACTGCGGGATAGTTCACAAGGCGGCGTGACACATCCACCTGTTTAACAACGTTGTTACCGAGGGTTTCTTGAATGTACTTGGCCAATTCCTTGGCATCCGTCTCAGAGAGCTGCCCACCACTAGTGGTGTCGTTTGTGCTCAGGCTGAGGAGAGGGTCATCAGCAGCTTCGGCAGAGTCGGCAGCCACCAAATCAAGACCTTGGAATTCGCGAAGATGGTTTACAACGAATTCATCCACAGTATCGTACAAGTACAAAACTTCAATGCCATTCTTCTTGAAAGCTTCGAAGTAGGGACTTTCTTCCGCAAACTTGCGCTTAGGTGTCAGCAAGTAGTAAATGCGCTTTTGATCCTCCTTCTTGCGATCAGCATACTCCTTCAGACTGATCATTTCATTGTCCTTGGTAGCTGAAGTTTCGAATCGGAGAAGCTTGGCAATATCCTTCTTATACATGGCGTCAGTGCATACTCCTTCCTTGATGAATTGACCAAAGTCCAAGAAGAAATCGTTGTAGCGCTTGGTATCACGCTTGGCTTCGCTTTCCAGCCACTTGATGACACGAGAAGTCATAACAGTACGAAGTCGGGAAAGGATATTATCTTGAAGCAACTCGCGAGAGACGTTCAAGGGGATATCCTCAGAATCGACGACACCCTTGACAAATCGAAGCCAGTCGGGCAAAAGTCCCTTAGACTTGGGTTGAATCAATACCTTGCGAGAGTAAAGTGACACACCAGGCTCCTGACGCTGACCAATGATTTCCATATGTCTCTCAGGAACATAGAGAATAGAAGAAATGGTGATGGGAGCGTCAGTCTTGTAATGAAGAGTATATTGTGGCTCATCCCAAGCACTGGCAATGAATCGATAAAACTCCTTATGTTGATCAGCGGTCACGCTGTTCTTTTCCTTGGTCCACAACGGCTCGACAGTATTGACCTTTCCGCCGTTGAGGTAAATAGGGAAGCCTACAAAGCTAGATGTAACAAAAAAAAATTGTCAGTAATTATAGCGCATGAGGATGAGAAGTCAGGGAGTCGAAGTACATACTTGGAATACTTCTTGATGATAGAATCAACTTCGATTTTGGAAGAAAACTGCTTGCAATCGTCACGAAGTTCGATGACAATTTTCGTACCGACAGCGACATTATCGGCCTCTGCAAGTGAGTACGAACCTTGTCCATCAGTTGTCCAGCAGTAGCCTTTGGAGTCAGGTTTGGCAGAGCGAGTATAAACCTTGATCTTGTTACCAACCATGAACTGTTGCACGAGATTAGATATAAGGTACCAAATTGTGTTACGAACAAAAACGACCACCACTTACAGTAGAATAGAAACCAACACCAAATTGTCCAATGATGTTTTCCTTGGATCCGCTTCCATCCTTGTCAAGCTTTTCGAGGAAAGCCTTAGATCCAGAGCGGGCAATGGTTCCCAAATTGTCATTAATTTCCTCTTCCGTCATACCGATACCATAATCCTATTGACGAGGTCATTATAGATGTCAATTGAATGCATTTCCAAGCCAAGCACAACATACCTGGATGATAAATTGCTTTTTGCTCTGGTCAACAGAGATGTGGATTTCCAAAGGCTTTCCGGAATCCAATCCTTGATCCATCATCTGGCTGTGACGAAGCTTCTCCAAGGCATCGGCTGCGTTAGATACAAGCTCACTAGAGAAATAAATGTCAATTTCACATATATTGTGGTTTAACTCTGTATGATGTATGTTGCCTCGCTTACCGAACAAAGATCTACCAAAACAAGCATCTCAGTTAGTTTATCTGTCAGCACGTAATACTAATAAACAGGACATCACTCACCTCCTTTTCGGAATACAAAGAGTTGGCGACAATACTAAGTAGCTTCTTTGTTTCGGTTTTGAACTCATGCACTTCTTCCTTTCCAGTTACAACCTCGTTTTCCTCAATGAGATCCTCCTTTTCCTGCAAATTGAGCGGGCCATCAATAAGCTGTCAACGTACAACTTGAGTCATTATATACTTACATTGATAACATCCGTGGAGTAGCCTGCTCTCTGCCATCCAAATTTGGATCCTAGTGGAATGGTTGCGGCTTCAACCAAAGACTTTTGGACCAGGGCTGAAGCACTCTGAAAGTCGTCATGACCAAGTTAGTTTCATTCAATGACTCTATGTAAAACGCAATACATATGAACAATACAATACCTTGATGCTTCCGGCAGTGAAAGACCCGGCCAATGCCTGTCTGGAACGAGCTGCGGCCAAGCTAATCGAGGATCGAGTAACAATTTTTAGCATTTATGAGTCAAGGAACAAAGGGCAACCTAAGCCACTAAGATGTGTCAATTATCTGCGCGGAGTTAGAATGTCCCGATAAAACTGGTAGAAAATTTAGGTGGTGCCTTCAAGTTGATTTCCTCGAAATTCTGAACCAATCATTATGGCTGATCCTAGAGAAGCTTTAGATAAATCTGTCCAAGAACAGGGCAACAAGATTCGTCAATTGAAGACTGAAAAGGCAGAAAAATCTGTCATTGATGCTGAAGTTGCCATCCTCAAAGATTTGAAAGCCCAGCTTGCTGCCATGGACGGCACACCAGCCGCTGCAGACGCCTCCAAGAAATCCAAGGAGAAGGTTGCTAAGAACTCTTTCACCCTCAAGGTTGCCAAGGTATGAAAAAAAAACAACGTGTAAAATGATTTTTTACCCATTCGACTCACAGTCACTGCACTAACAGGGTACCAAAGATTATAACGACAAGGAGATGGCTATCCGAGAAAAAGTGTTCTCCACCATCACTACAGTTTTCAAGAAACACGGCGCTGTTACCATCGACACTCCTGTTTTTGAACTGAAGGAAGTTCTCACCGGAAAGTATGGCGAAGACAGCAAGTTGATCTACGATCTGAAAGACCAGGGTGGCGAAGAATGCTCCCTTCGTTATGATTTGACCGTATGTTTTCTTTATCTTGTAATGTAATTGGAGAGGTGTTGTGCTGAACGTCTAACGTATCTTAATAGGTTCCTTTTGCTCGCTTCTTGGCTATGAACGGCAAGGAATACCAAAATTTCAAGCGATACCACATTGCCAAGGTCTATCGACGCGATCAGCCTGCTATGACCAAAGGAAGAATGCGCGAATTCTATCAATGCGTAAGTTATTATCTTTTTTTTTTTTTGGTTCTCTGAGTAAAACTTAACATTTCTCCATGTGCTAACTATCATATAAAAGGATTTTGACATTGCTGGTGTCTACGACCCTATGATTCCCGATGCCGAAATTCTTCGTATTGTTGTTGAGGCTTTAACCGCTCTCGATGTCGGTGAATTCACTGTTAAGGTACGTAGTTTCCTCATATTCTGCTGATGTTGCTCATTGTTATAAGTGTACGCATACTTAACTTGTATGAACTTCAGTTGAACCACAGAAAGATCCTTGATGGTATCTTCGAAGTCTGCGGAGTTCCAGCTGAAAAGATCAGACCCATCTCATCTGCTGTCGACAAGCTTGACAAGGTTTGTATTTCTGCGTATCTCGCAAAACTTGCAGCATGTTCTAACTTTTCATCTCTGATAGCTCCCTTGGGAGGATGTCCGTAAGGAAATGGTTCAAGACAAGGGTCTTGCTCCCGAATCCGCTGACCAGATTGGTGAATTCGTGAAGCTGAAGGGTGGAAAGGATCTCTTGGATATTCTTTACAAGAACGAAAAGCTTACTGCAAATGCTAGTGCCTTGAAGGGTCTCGACGATATGAAGCTTCTGTACAGCTACCTGGAAGCTTTCCAGGTCGATCATAGAGTAAGACAAATTGTGAAGGTTGGAGCATGGTATGGATGTACGCTAACTAATATGGGTTTTTCTAGATGTCTTTTGACTTGAGTTTGGCAAGAGGCTTAGATTACTACACTGGTATTATCTATGAAGCAGTTACTGACAAGTCAGCTCCACCAAGTACGTATATATTTCAGCCTCTTTGTTCCTGCAACAAGTGATACTGACGAATTATTCTTGCTTGTAGAACTCGCAGAAGGCCAACGGCCCTCCATTAAGAAGGGAGGCGATGAAGTTGACGAATCTACTGTCGGTGTTGGATCCATTGCTGCTGGTGGAAGATATGATGAGCTTGTCGGTATGTTCTCAGGTACCAACAAGAAGGGAGAGCCAAACTTGAAGATTCCATGCGTCGGTATCTCCATTGGTGTTGAACGAGTGTTCTCCATTCTTCTTGCGAAGCAAAAGTTGGAAGATATCAAGAGTAATGAGGTTCAGGTCTTGGTTGCCTCCATGTCTGGTCTCCTCCCTGAACGTATGCAAATTGCAAGAGAGCTTTGGGACGCCGATGTCAAGGCATCATACATGTTTAAGGTCAAGCCTAAGCTTCTCAAGCAATTCGAAATGTGCGACAAGGATCAAATACCCCTTTGTGTCATCATCGGTGAGGATGAGCTTGCTAAAGGTGAAGTCAAGATCAAGGATATGAGGTCCAAGGATCCATCACAATCTGGTGGCGCAACTGTCAAGCGATCCGAAATGATTGAATATATTAAGGAGTACTTGGCACGACAGTAGATAATGAAATTGAAATTAGAGCATTATCCAAATCTAAGCGTCCACGGTGACATTTGGTTTTCAAATTTTCACAATATAATCAATAAAAGAACACAAATAAAGAAAAATATATTCATAATGTTTGGAGCTGTGTGGTCGGGGTTAATTTAAGTTTCGATAAGTTGTACTTTTGTTTCTTTTGAAATAATACGAACTTCTCCATAGCAGTCATAGCTTTATTTTCAAATTCATTTGAAAAGGGAGGAGCTGAATAGACAACGATTTAATATCATCCCTACGACGATAAAATATGTATTTTGTCTAGTTCTTGGTCCAAAAATTGTTTGAGCAACCTTACAAAAAGCTGGTGACTTTCGCGATAATGGAAGTAATTATCACTACGAAGTTCCAAAAGGAAGTATACACGTGACATATTACGACAGAATTAAATTTTATGATCTGATGACCTCATGAAGAATTGATCTGCACCACAGCATGCCCTTTATGCGGTCGGTCTGAACTTCGACGCAATTTTGTTGCAGTGATCATGTCAGGTTCTGGAAATCCTTCTGGTGATGAAAATGATCTAGATCTCAAAGAGCAGGACCGCTTCCTTCCAATTGCGAAGTAAGTATATCGGATGAAGTCTAGTACCTACAAGAATAGCTATCGAACACTGTTTCTGATCGACAAGCGGCATTAGTGCGGGAAAGAATGAAAAACCTAAGAACACGATTCCATTCTATTAAACACGACCCTGTGCTCTTCTATTATAGTGTTGCGCGTATCATGAAGAAGACGCTGCCAGAAAACGCCAAAATCGCTAAAGAAGCCAAAGAATGTGTCCAAGAGTGCGTCTCTGAGTTCATATCATTTATCACCAGCGAAGCAAGTGACCGATGTCAGCAGGAAAAACGAAAGACGATCAACGGAGAGGATATTCTTTGGGCTATGCAGTCTCTTGGATTTGAGAACTATGCTGAAGCATTGAAAATCTATCTTGCCAAATATCGGGAGGTACGTATCGGAACACGCTCGTCTGACGTGTCAAGCGGCGTTTTATCCCTCTTAACTAATTGAACCATTTGCTTTCTGCGCGTGTATCTCCCATATTCATCAGACCACCAAAATCGAAAGAACATCCAACCCTACCAACCCTGTGTTACCAGAGCACTAATATTAAGATCATTCCAGACGGTGTTATAATTTCTTGAGAACAGCTACCTGTGAAAACAGACTATAGTTCTGACCGAATAAACTGTATAAAGCAAGCTATCCATTATGACATATCCTTTAAAGTGGTAATTGAATGGAAGATGGGGGTTTCAACATTGCCAAATGAAAATATTCTACGATGCGATAAGGTACCGATGCGTCGTGATTCGCAGTAAACCGAAATATGATATCACGCTGTTGCATTTGGCTCAATATGGACAGTAGACTTCAGACGTTTTTGCGTGATTCTAATCTCGACGACCTGTGGTCGTACCTTTTTTATCGTCGTTGCAACTTTCGTCCCGGCGAATTTCGTCCCCACCATAATTTAACCCAGGAGATTCTGACTATCAAATGGACCTAAAGCATTAGAAGCACATTTTCTGGTTAGCACATTTTTGGGCAGGTTGTCTAATATGAATTATGCCAACTATGTCCATTTGTGTGACCTTCATAGCTCATTTGTAGCTCTCTCCACTCTCCTCGATAATTATATATTGAACCTTCTTCTTTTCAGCGAGATGGTTTAAAATGCAATACCTAAAAGAAAATGGCGTGTGAAATTTGAAAGCCAGACAATAGAATAATTGTGAGTTTCGAGTGTGATGGACGCAAGGAAAGTCATTGATTTTCTTATCATTCATATTGTTTTTGGATCTTACATTATGTTTCTTGCTATAAACTTAGTGCCTGCATGGTACTTCTCAGGGACCGCCGAAGGTTTGCTTCTAATTGCGAGACAGTCTCTTGTCCTGGCGCGTCGAATTCATCAAGGAGTTAATCTTCCGCTGCGACTTTACGCTTGTTTCACCATAAAGACGACAGAGTATTAAGAGGAGCCATTTCACCCCTCGAGATTTGGATTATCTTTTTTCTTTCCACTCTACCTCGCAATCTTTACATATAGAAATGAGATTCGTAGGTGTAATAGGCCTCTTGTCATTGGTTGCGATGCATGCTCAAGCTCAGCTGGTCACCCGCGAACCGACCCACATCATTAAGTTCAAAGGTCAAGCAAACCTCAATCAGGAAGCTGGTAAGCTACAACTTGATTTCAGAAGCTACAGTAACCACCCATTTGATAATTTTAACCATACTTTTTGTTAGCTGCCCGATACTTTACGACCCAATTCAAGGAGTTTGTTGCTGGGGCTGTTATGGAAGATCACATTGTGAGCTCCAGCTTCGATACCGCATCTCTCTCCATGATTGATTTGAGCAAAGAATTCCATGCTGTTTCTGGTGTTTTCCACGAAAGATTTGCTCAATACCTAGGTCAACGCAATGACATTGAGTATGTCGAACACAATCAAATCTACAAGGCTGTGCGAGCGCTACCACCGGTACAACGTCCCGATCTGAGAAGGCGAAGTGTAGAACATTATCAAACTCAAAGCTGGGGCTTAGCTCGTGTCTTCCATCGAGAGAACACAGACTTGAAGGAATATGAGGCGGACAATAGCAATGGGTAAGTCTTGGCATTTTCTTTGATATAACATGAAAGTCATCGCTCTAAAACATTTCCATCAAACCAAAAAGTGAGGGAGTCACGGTATACGTTCTCGATTCTGGCATCCATGCTAGCCATGAGGACTTTGAAGGAAGAGCCTCCAGTGCTGCCAATTTTGTCTCCAATGAAGACGACGACGATTATGCTGGACATGGTACAGTAGACTTTCGCTTATAAGCGCTCATGTTATTTAAAATTTTGGTTCATTCATACTTATACATTTTCAAACAGGTACGCATGTTGCGGGTACTATTGCTGGTAAAACATATGGTGTCGCCAAAAAAGCTACGATCAAGTCAGTCAAAATCTTGGACAAGCATGGGGATGGAACCACTGCGGGATTATTGAAGGCTCTAGCTTACGTTGCTTCGCATGCTACTCCTGGTAAATCGGTCATCAACTTGTCCTTAAGCGGACCAAAGTCACAATTAGTGGAAGATGCCATCAAAGAAACAGCCAAGAATCACAATGTCCCAATGTTCGTATCTGCCGGTAACACTGGAGACGATGCATGCAAGTACCTCCCGGCCGCCAGTAGCCATGTCTTCACTGTTGGAGCAACTGACGAAAAGGATATCATTGCTTACTATTCTTCTGTTGGCGAGTGTGTTCGTATGTACGCTCCAGGGTCAGGCATCATAAGCGCTTGGATGGGTGACAACAGTGCTACCATGAAATTGGACGGAACTAGTATGGCCAACCCGCATGTTGCTGGAATAGCTGCAGCCCTGTTGTCAAAGGAAAAATATTCCGACATAGAACAACTGTATGCAGACTTGGAAAGCAGAGGCACAAAAGATATATTGCAAATGTCAGCTAGCTTCAGCAGTAATAATTTGCCATTCAAAAACGTAATGGCTTACGCTGGATAATTGAAAACCATGCATCTCTTCATCGTTGTTTTTTATGTATATATTTCTATCCTTGTTTGCTGGCCTTTCATTCCCATCTTTCAATTCATTATATCACGCAATATTTACATAAAAAGTACTGAGAAGGGCTACAGCAATGAATATCAATACTGGGCAATATAATGCGAAAGTCTACTGCAGCTATTTATTCTGTTTCACATGCGTCGTTTTTTGCACCGCCTTTCGAGTCCTTTGCGCCCTTGTAAGCTACTCAATGAGGAGATTGGATGGCCTTTATGTGGTTTACTACCATCCCCTATAGCGTTACTACTATATAAAGACATTGCACGATCAAACAGTTCTTGGCACCATCTCCCATTGCATGCATCTTCCACGTCAGCGAGTACAACCTTCATCAAGTCTTGCGGCGATGTTGAAATGTGCTTGTGGTCATATAACTGATGTTCCTTGACAGAGGCATTGCTTTTTTCTACCAAGGGATTGAGCTGTAAGGAGCTTCGGATGATTTTCAACAAAAGGCCCATCGTTTTGATATTAAAAAATTTGACCGACTCTTCGTCGTCGAATACAATCGTGGTCTCGATGGCAATTTCCGTCTCCAGTTCACAAATTCTTTGTTCAGTAAAAGCGAGGACTGATTTTATCTCTTCGACTCTTATGTACTCAATACTAATGACACTGTTGGCCAAATAGATGCATTGATGAAGATGATGCTGTCGTTGGTATGAAAAATTATCACCACTTGTGACAATGAGTAATCAACAAATGGAAAGAAAACTTACTAGTTTCTCGCTATAGTCAGAATGATACTGTTCACTCCAGTCAAATAGGCATATCATAGCATTCATAAACCTATGAAAACCATTTCTACTCTTACGATAATAGGATACGATATGGTCAAAGTGAGAGCGGTCTGATTTTTGTTTCTCTATATGTGGTAATGGATTGAGTCTTTTCGAGAGAAACTTTGAATTCAGCCTTTTTTCTGTCAGCTTACCTGGCTTCAACGGCAAATATCTCATTTTTGCATGATAGTTACAAATCAACTTGATTATTTCAGTCTCTCTGTTGTGTAGCAAACTTGCGTTCCGTGCTAACAAATATTCTAGGAGACAGGAGGACCTTCTTGAAATTGGTACGAATGTACTTGTGCTGAGGGGTACAATAGATGGAAGACACTAATAAAGGACCCTTTGACATTAACTTCTTTGCCCTCGAGGACAGATGGTGATTCTCAATCAAATGAATACTTGCCATTGACGGTGGAACTATCCCCTGTTTTACGATTTCTGTCATGACGCTCACTACAGCTGTTTGCATATAGATGTCGTTGACCAGGACTAAATCTGTAATATTTTTGAAATGCGCTTGGACAATGGCAGAAACAGAACTACAAAGCAAATTCCTGTGAGCTTGAAGACTTGCAGCAATAACAAAATATTGTTTCTTACTTGTGTTTGCTATTTTCTAGGGCTGGTGCGCTCCATTTGGTGAAGTGTTCAGTTTGCTGTAATTCCTCATTGTCGTTCTCATATTCCTTTAGCAGAAGTTTCTTAAGTACATACAACAACTCAATTTTGAGCTCATTACTGGCTGTGTTAATCATGTTATCGAACAGCTGCAGAATGGGCTGACTTGTTAATAAATCAGGTCTGGCGTAAAGAAGAATGCCTATAATTTTTGTGTCAGCAAGTAGGCGTACAAGTAATCTGATAGAATGTATGAGCAACCTAAACAGCGAATAGCGGATTTTCCAATTATGTCGATATCTCTCTGACTTGATTCATTTCGAATTGACCAGCGAACAACATAAAGCATTTCCTTGACAACATTTAAAAGATGTATCTGACGATAATGAGGCAAATTTAAGCTTGCAATAGAATACTTCAATTTGAAATATCATATTCCTCACGTTGGATTCTTCGTCTACAAACCTATCAGCTACCAATTCATTTAAAAGTAAGAACTCTCTCAATAATTAATCTCACATACGTTTTCTTTCACCTCCGCTTTCTCGTCTATAGGAGTTGCAGGCACATATTGCTGATGTTACAGACAGAATGACGATATCATGAGCATGCATCGAAATTTCCTTGCCGTGCACGAGATGAATCAGTTTAGCTGAAAGTAATTTATATTAGACATTGATTGTGATTCCGTAAATGCAAAGTAATAACTCACTTAATGCAGTTTTTGAAACTTTGATTGACTTGCTACTGTCAATTAAACATAAACAGTTGACAGACTTTTCTAAAGCCTGCAATGAAAAGAATTTAATAATCATGAGAAGATAGGGGTGGCAATCTAATGTAATTACCCTGTATGACAGTGGCTTCCGAATCATGTTGGAAATCAACCGTTTAAGTTCCTCCATAATGCTCTTGTGTTGCAAGAACTTCTTCCAGCTTACAGCCTCCAGTATAGTCAGTATGCAGAAAGTCTTCTTCTATCACGGATGATTAACTAAACAAGTTATCTAATTTGGCGCATAGTGTGAAGCCTACTAACCTCCTCGCAAGTATCTACACTGGAAGACATCAAATGAATGTCTGCGATGGTGATAGCTTCAGGTTGGATTTTGATAATATCACTTATGATGTAGCCGAGAATATTGAATAGATTGCCATTAGGGTTTCCAGGTGTGTCTGTGGCAATATATTGGTGTAATAAAGTCGATGCTAAATCTCGTGCCAGATGAATTTCACTGGATGATGGGACCAAGCCGTCTTTGCACTTGCAATCAATCCGTGAGTTCTATAATAAATGATGTTGAATTGCATTCCCTAATTATATTACCTGAACATAGAGCTGTCTCATGATTTCGACATGGCCACCATTGTACAAGGACTCCGTTGTCAACAGCAGTAATTCCGCCCTTTCTATAGCGACCATTTGACAGAAGTCATCTCCAAATAAGAAGTCCCTCGCTGCTTTTACTGCAGCATTACTCACGGCCTGTTCAAGGTCCACTGTGGCCATCATTATTGCACTCAGGATTTTGACTCGGGATGTTTGATTTTCGCTATATGTATATAACTTTGATAGCAGCTGAACAGATTTCTTTCGAACAGCAGAGCCGACATCCTAAATAAATAGAATGGTAAATATATTTGCTTAATGGACTGTTTCAGAAATGGACTGTACCTTTGAACGCTCAATCGCAACATCAAGGGTTTCAGTCGTTTTCAGATTAGTGGAAATCGGTGCCTTCATCAGTAGATTCAATACCATTTTGCGTATAAGAATTGACGTATCATTAAAACGATGGAAGCATAGGTCGAAGAATGAATCCTACAATGAAAGATTAGCTATCAATTCATTAAGGTCGGCATTTAGCTACAAAATTATACCACAAAATACGGCAAATTTGATCGGTGACGGGTTGCAATCTTGAACAGGCATTTCAGGGCTTTCATTCTTGTTTTAACATTGTTCGAACATGTTGAACGTATTGCAGCTACTAACAGCATATTATCTGAATTTGAGCCGATGTTTACTCCAGAGGCATAATAGGATGAGGTTGAGCTGTGTGACTGTAATTCATCTTCATTCAAGGTGGAGAGTTCACTCTCTGGTGTGCTTTGCCTGTCGACCGGTAAGCCATTGGAGATCAAGGAGAGATCGGAAGAATTTGCTCGCTTACAGTCAATTGATAGGCTAACTGTCTCGTTGGAAGCATCAATCACCTTTACTGCATTCATTCATCATTTAGACAAACATACATTAGACCTACCCAACTTAACAACGCTCGAAGTGGCGACGTTCTCGATGGCAACTGATGGTAAATCATAGCGTATCATGTTTAACTTTCTTGGTAGCCCTCAATTCAATGGCAACGTGGAAATGCTTTTTGTTCGTAGTGGTGAAAAGGTTAACGAGTGTCTGCAGAAATTGAAGTGTCATTTTCTAGTGTCCGACAAGGACGATTACTTTTCCTCCAAAGAAGAATTAAGGCACATCGTTCGTGCATTGTCTATTGTGGTGGATTTTATTATGGTCTCTAGATGTTCTATTTACATGACAAGTTATGACTGAGCAAACACTATTCGTCTTTCTTTTCATTGAAATTCTTCAAATGCTCTGGTAACTCAATGACCGCACTAAGAGCGCCTGATCTATCTCGTTCCTCGACAATCTGTGATCTTTCTCGGGTCTTGATTTCATTAATTTTGGTTTTAAGCTTGGTCACTGTATTCCTACGGTCCATTTGGCACATCTCAAAGCTGATTGTTGCTATAGCACAAAAGGAACCAACAGCCCAATTGGCGGCGGATGGGACTGAGCGCCTTGCAAGAAACCTTATAGCACCAAATCCAGCTCCTCCGCCTAACACAAACACCATAAGATATCATTTCAGGGTAAATCTCATGCACTGTTTTGACGCGCTACTTACCAATACCGTACAACAAGCTATTTCTAGCACAAGGAATCTGAGGGATATTCTTAAGATCTTCGATCTTGACGGTCTATCAAAGAATTTTGAGGTTTTAGCGTTATTTGGAGTAAGCTTTTGATGTTCAATAACATGTACTGGACTCTAACCTTGAGAGCTTCCTTGATGGATGGTTCATTAGGATCTTTTGAAGTCATTGTTGGTCCGGTCAAATTGTAGGCAGGAAAATTGTTAATGGACCTCTTTGTGGCAAATTGAAGCTCAGAAGCACAACGGCAGACAAAAAAAGCGTGACATCATCAAAATTTTTGCGCTGCGAGGGGCCGTAGTGCAAACAAGAAATTTTGTTGGTGTGTTGGATTTTCCTTCTTGAAGTCATCAACATGTTCGCTGCTACTCGCGTCGCTGTTCGCCCAGCTGTAGCTCCCTTGAGGTGAGTTTCGACGTTACTTTGATATATTTAAGGCGACTTCCCGACGACAACAGCACAGTATAGCAGCAATCAACATGCATGCCGCTTTTTGTAATGTGTAAACAAGGTCCCCCATGGACTGTTTACACCCCAACACAACCCCCATTGACCCATGGTCTGGCGACTCCTGGCATTCACGAACGATCTGTACGAACTATAATTTTCGCGTAGTAGACGCAACGACTATAACATAGATGCACATCCGTCAACCAATGGTGCTCTTTGTCAATGCCATTTCGAAAAAGTCCATTCGTTGTTCAAAAGAATGACCTGAAACTAACGTTGTTACAACCATTTTTCCTCCCTTTCAGCAATGCCACTCAGGCCCGTAACATGGCCACCCTTAAAGAAAGTAAGTGAATTCACTTTACTCACAACTTTCGACATTTGCCCTCGGTCCATTGAACTGACCTTTTCCATCTAGTTCAACAGCGTTTGAAGTCTGTCCAAAACATTGAAAAGATCACCAAGTCCATGAAGATGATTGCTTCAACCAAGGTTGCCAAGGCTCAAAAGGCTATGGAGAACGCTCGTGCTTTCGGTTCTTCCTCCGGTGGTTAGTATTCTCTTGAGTAACTTGCGACCTCAGGTCAGAAACAGTTGTACTAACTGCTTCAAAAATGATTAGCTCTTTTCGAGAACGCCGAGACCAAGGTTGGCGAAGATGCTAAGACTTTGTTCGTCACTGCCTCTTCTGATCGTGGTTTGTGCGGTGGTATTCACTCCAGCGTTGCCAAGGCTACCCGTAGAGCCATGGAGCAGCACTCTACCTCCGAGCTTGTCATCCTCGGTGACAAGCCCAAGGCTCAGTTGCAACGTATCTTCGCCAAGAACATCAGATTGTCCTTCAACCAGATTGGCAAGGATATCCCCACTTTTGCTGAAGCCTCCGCCATTGTTGATGCCATCAAGCGCGCCAACATTGAATATGACGACGCCAAGGTTGTTTACAACCGTTTCAACTCTGTCATCTCCTACGAAGCTGTCACCATCCCTGTCTACTCTGAGGAGGCCATCAAGGCTTCTCCCAAGTTTGCTTCCTATGAGATGGAAGATGATGTTCTTGAGGATCTTCAAGAATTCAACTTCGCCAACAGCATCTTCTGGGCTCTTGTTGAAGGTCACGCCGCTGAGATGTCTGCTAAGCGTACTGCTATGGAGAACGCCACCAAGAACGCTGGTGAGATGATTCAAAAGCTCACTCTCACATACAACCGTGGTCGTCAAGCACAGATTACCAACGATTTGATTGATATCATCACTGGTGCCTCTGCCCTTTAAACGCTCCCTCCTTATATCGCTTGTAGTTTGTGAAAGAATCGGTCTTTTTTGTTTCATCTGCTGAGGCTAATGTCATAGAGGATGGATTTTTACAGAAAAGATCAATAGAGTTCGCCGAGCAACATAAAATAAAATAAAAAAATCCGAATTTGTTCCAACTGTATATTAGTGTGGAAGCGTAAGTCACTTGAAAATTGTCTTCGAGTCGAGACTTAAAAATCAGAACGCAAGAGATGCAGTGAGGGATAAGATGCTTTTATAGTGTTAAGTGTCTCAAGATATACTTTAATTCGTCTTTTATCAATACGAACATTTTTTTTGTGCGTTTTGTCAAACAAGAATACAGACAAAAGATTTGGTTTTTTCCAACAAACCTTTAGAGCACAAAATATCACATGTAATGACATACACCAAGCAGAGTGAAGAAGATCGATGTATAAAAAAAAAAGTTAAAATTTGGATGTGAAAGAGAATAGGAGGCATCACCGATGTAGTAATGAAGTTGAGGAAAAAAGTGAGCACATATGGAGAGAAGAGTAATAATAGCGGGAGTGGGGGGATATCAAAGTAGGCTGGGGAGAGAAAAACGGTTATTGAGTTTGGATAACACCAATGGTCTCGAGGCGAGTTCTAAGGTCATTGGCAATGTTCTTTCTGGTCAAGTCAGCGTACTGGTGAAGGTGTGATTGCAAATTCTGAAGGAATGGAAGGAGTTGATTTTGAAGAACTTGAACAATATTCTTTGCCTTTTGAACATTGGTCAAATCAGGCTTTTCGTATTCAGCACGGACAATTTCGTACTCATTACTGGCCAGGTCAAAGATAGGTTGAAGGCGTTGTTGAAGAAAAGGAGGAAGGCTGGGGGAATGAGTTTGAACAAAAGAAACCAATCCAGTAAGTTGGGTGGCCAGTTGGTGCGTGATATCGTTCAAGCGCTGGTTGGTGGTAACACTCATGCTATGAACACCTTCAGTAATGGAAGGGGGGATACGTTGCTGAGCAGCCTGAGTGGACAAATGGATCCATTGGATAAGAGTCGCATTCAAGTTACGGACTTGATCCTGGGCACTCTGCAATACAAAGTTGGTCTCGTTGACTACATCTTGGCGTGAACGAGGGACATGAGCACTGGCTGTGGTGATGGTGGTCTGAACACGTTCACGAAGTCGGGTTGAAACGCTACCAGCCAACTTGTAAGCACGGACAGCCTGGTTTTCACCTTCAGCCGAGGTGTCCTTGTTATCAGAGGTAGCCTTGCCTTCAGAAGCGCCGACCTGCTCTGTAGGTGGCAAATATTTGTCAACAGTCGCTGCAACATTGTCAATGACAAGACTAAGACGTCGATTGACGCCTTTGGCAGCATTAGTAGCTGGTGCAGTAACTTGAGTGATGGTCGTGTCAATTTTAACCTTGACGCCATCGATGTAAGCATAAGAAGGTTTTTTAATGGTGTCAACGATTTCATTGGTTGGCTTAGTCACTAAGGGGACTTTGGTTTCGAGGAAATCGAGTGACTTGCAGCCTAGTGCATCGGCTTTCTCCAACTGAGGTTGAACATAGGTCTGATAAGCATTTTGAACATAGGGCTGTTGACTCGAGTACTTCTTGGCGGATTCATAAGTAGACTCGGCGGTACTGAGGGCATATCTTCCGATACTGCTCTTGTTGGCGTAATCATGGACAGTGGTGATCGAGTCCTTGAGAATAGGGAGGGATGTCATACGCGTCACAAAACTGGTTGGTGCGTTTTCCGATTCATTAACGTGGCCATTGCGTTGTTGTTCGACGACCTCTTTCTTATGGGCAAGACCATTGCCTACACAAGCAAGGGAATAGAATTTTAGTTTTATGAAACCAGGCCGTTATCAATGGATCCAAATGGATTGGGGCGGTTTTTGAACCTTTAACAATGTATTTAATGACTTACCATTTTGATGATGATGGTGCTTCTTACGTTGAGTCATGATATGAGCAAAAGTACTTTCGCAAGACGATCTACTTGACGAGTAAAAGAGAGAAGGAAGAAAAGCAGATGTTGTCAAAAGGCAGAAGCGCTCCTATTTAACAGGAAGGGGGAAAAAAGAGAGAGAAAAAAAAGCCTGTGAAATATAAACAAGCCAAACACTGATATAAAACGGGGCCCAACCAACCAGCCATGCGGTTTTATATAATGGCCTGCGAGATAAGCAGCCAAAAAAAAAAAAAAGGGTAAGTGCAGTAGATGGCTGTAAACATGTGAAAATCGTCAATGATCGCCATGCTTCCTGTTTAAAGCGGTTTTTGTTTTACGAGCCTTGGAAATCCTTTTGGGTAAAATAGCTGAAAATGGATGGACCAACCATGTCTCTACTAATCAGTCGTAATCGCATCAAGTAATGAGCAAAACACTCGCTCTATTGTCATTTAAAAACCTCAGGTCTTATCGATGTAGCACTATAAAAATACAATTGAATGGCAGATTGGACGCCGCGAGTGTTAAACGTCTTTGGAGCTCGTGCTACCTGGTAATCCGTGCGTGCCGATAGCCAGCACAATCATAGGTTTTTCCAACAAGAAGACGTATCATAACATTTACTTCACATGTTCGAATTTAAGTCGTTTTTGACAGCATGATTGTTATTCCATTATCATTTCCTTATCCTGCGTTATCATATGGCAGGAAATTTTTGTGTTCATAGCTTATTCCAAAATCTGGTAAGACTCCGGCACACCTTATAACAGCGCACACGCTCATAGAACTGAACAACATTCCATAGCTGACTAAAAGGCAAGCCGTCTTCTATTGGCTTTTCTCGTATGGATCATCGAGGTCAATCATCGTTTTGACATGACGGTGTGACTGATAGCTGATGCCTGCGCGATAGCAGTCAGTGTGCCAAAGCGTTTGCATTTGACCGATAAATGGTAAATTGCACCTTACTTTGCCATGCTCACTAAAGCTCAATAACATGTGAAAATCAAACATCATCATGGGGAGCGGTTTTAAATACATACTTCAATAGATTGGTAGGTTTATTCCAAATATCAGCTAAATGCTGGGCATCGTATACAACAGAGACTTAAGAAAATGAAAAGGATAAGACAAGATTAACCTTGGTAACTAAACCTCGGCAGTAGTGGGGGCTTGAGGCAAATGTTGCTCCTTTCCGAGTTTCTGGAAAGCAGTGGCGATGCGGTAAGCTTCGGCAACTTTGTATACCTTGTGCCATGATGCCTTGATAGCCAGATGCTTTTGTCTTTCATCCAAACGAGCAGCAAGCTTTCTCTTGCGAGCAGGGGTAGGGAAGAGACGAGCTGTCAAAGCAAAGTCCCAGTTTCGGAATACATAGACCTTGACCTAGAATAAATACGAACATTAGTTGATGGTTCCTGGAAAAAAGGAAAAAGGTTCTACATTTTGGGTCTCCCCATTCCCTTTCCATATTTTCCATAGTAACTTAAAATAATATCGTACCACATCCAAAATCATAAAGTAGACGAGAGAGATGGCCAAGACAGCGATACCCCAAGGCCAGCCGCAAGGTGCGACATGTTCCTTTGAACCAAAGATACCGTAGACAGAGAAGAACAGAGCTACGATTTGAGTAGCAATGATGCAGGTAGCAAAGATCCAATGGGGCATGTTTTCCCACCAGAAGCCAGGAACACGAGTAGAGAAAATGACAAAGTGGGGAGCGGAACTGATGTGCAAGTACATGATGGAGTGCAGAACGTCAGGTTCAACCTTGAAGACATTGTTGGCGATGAACCAGTGAGCAAACGATAGACCAGCCAACAAGATAGCAAGAATGACAGAGAGTGTCAACAGCTGACCAATTCTCCATTTATCCGGACGATCTGAAATCTGAGTGTTATCAACAGAAATAACCAAGGTAGCAGCATCGTTCTATCGAAAAAGCAGTAGCAGGTTAATAAAGGCACGTGTTCATGCATGTAGAGCATAGCAACTTACCAAGACGCAGATCATAATCAGAAGAACAGCAGGCATGTTCCAGTCTTCAGCCAAAGTAATGATGAACATGAACATCAAAAAGTGGATGGTAGAGGTAATTCGGTACAAGGCATATGAACGAAGACGTTGGAAGATAGCACGAGAGGTCTTAATACCATCAATGATGGTGGACAAACCAGGAGCAAGCAAGACAATATCGGCAGCGGAGCGAGCAGCATCAGTACAACCATGGACAGCAATACCAACGTTGGCTTTCTTGAGAGCTGGAGCGTCATTGACACCATCACCCGTCATACCAATAAGCAGACCCTTCTTTTGGAGTAGTTCAACAACACGGTACTTGTGTTCGGGAATGACCTGAGCGAAACCATCAGCACGTTCACAATGTTCAGTGACTTCGGCTTCACTCTTGGTGGGATCAACAAGATGGTTAGCATCCAAGATGACACGACCCATACCCAGACGGGCAGCGACTTCTTTGGCAATAATCAGCTGATCACCAGTGACCATCTTGACATCGACGCCAAAGCTGTTACATTCGCGGATAGTATTTCCAGAATCAGGACGAGGAGGATCCAATAGTGAGATCATGCCAACCAATTGGTACTGTTCGAGTTGACCAGGAATGGTACGGGCGACACCAAGAGCACGAAGACCACGACGAGCAAGAGCGTTGACGGCACGAACGGCATCATCGTCACCACCGACAAGCTTGATGATAACTTGAGGAGCACCCTTGGCAACCTTGAAGACGTCCTTGGTTTCCAAATTGGCAACAGTGGCTTGAGTCATCTTAGTAGTGGGATTGAATGGCAAGAAGCTTGTGACCTTGTATCCGGGAACATCATGCTGACTTGTTCTGTTCTTGAGGACTTCCAAGGAGCCTTCAGCGGCACGGCGGACGGCCAATTCAATAGGGTCATTGGCACCAGGTTCAGCAGCGAGGTATGAGTAAAGCAGAATGTCATCAGCAGTGAATCCTTCGTTGAGGTAGGGTTCATCAAAAGTCAATTCGTTCAAGGTGAGAGTACCAGTCTTGTCTGAGCAGAGAACGGAGACGGAAGCAAGTTCTTCGACGGCAGTCAAGCGCTTGACGATGACCTTCTTGGCAGCCAGTTGCTTGGCTCCAATAGCCATGGTGACGGACATAACGGTAGGAAGACCAACGGGAATAGCAGCAACAGTCAATACCAGGCAGTTTTCCAAGACGACCTTCCAGTTACCCTCGTCGGTACCTCGGAACTTGACCAATTGGTAGATCAAGACAATGAGGACAAGGACTACAGTGGACCAGATAAGAACGTTACCAATTTTGGCGATGATCTTTTGGAAGTGACCTTCATCAGCAGTGATGGCGATCAAATTGGCAGCACGACCAATAAAGGTATTGGCGCCAGTCTTGGTGACAACAGCAAGCTGTTGTCCCTGCTTTACAATAGATGAAGAGTAAACAGTATTACCCTTCTTCTTGCTAACAGGCAATGATTCACCAGTAAGAGCAGATTGATCAATTTGGAGATCTCCTTCGGTGGCTTCACCAGTGACACCAATACCAAGAAGACGAGCATCAGCAGGGACAATATCACCAAGACGAAGTACAATGACATCACCGGGAACCAGGTCAGTGACATCGAGTTCTACCAGCTGGCCATCGCGCCATGAGCGAGTTTTGAGAGCCAAAGTTTGTCTGAGAGCATCCAAAGCGGATTCGGCCTTGGCTTCTTCGAAGAAACCAATGAAAGCATTGATAAACAGTAGGGCCAAAATGATACCAAAGTCAATCCAGTCACCAACGACGGCGGCAATGATACAAGCAATTTCAATCAGGTATGAAATAGGACCAGTAAAGTAACCCAAGAACTTCCAGAGTGGGTTCTTCTTCTTTTCAGGGAGCTCGTTTTTGCCAAAGCGAGCCAATCGTTCTTCAACTTCACTTGGAGAGAGACCTTTGGAAGGGTCAGTTTGAATGAGAGCCTCAAGCTCAGGGGAGATTTCATCCTCGTGTTCATGATGGGCTTGTTCTTCAAACTGAACGTTTCCGACCTTTTCCTCATCCTGAGGCTGTTTGGATTTTTCCTCCACTTCGTTACCCATTGTCAATTAACCAATAAGTGAATGGGCTAAGATCAGGCTAAGTTTCAGTACAGTTCTATAAAAAAGAGAGAGGAAATGAAACCATAAAGGGGGGCATGGATTAGCATTGAGATTGGTCCCTTTTTTTTCATCAGGTACCTCTAGACTCACCTTTTTCTTCTAAAAAAAAGAGACGCTGGTTTCAGGGCGGCGGGTAGGTAGGGTTTTCTACTCTTTCTGTTTCTAAGGCACTTGTTCCCTTTGTATTAGGATACCAAATAGGTCTACAAATCAACGACTTCTTGGATAGCTTGAATGAAAAGCTTACAACGGAAGAAAGAAGAATAAAGAAGGAGTTGAAAGAGAAAAGGAAAATGATATAATCTCCAGCAAGATTGGAAAACCGGAACATCGTAACGGTTTTTATTCCTCCTCATCAAAGTTGCACGCTAGATTATCCCAATCAAGAGAAAAACACACATTCGGGGGGACGAATGGATAATTAGTTTTGGCAGCTAGTGGCAAAAATGCCGTACTCAGGCTTTAAGCTTCAAGAATAAGGGTGTGTACCAACATGGATGGATGGGGGTCAGGTACCTGTTTAGCCAAAAAATTGCTTTACAGATCAGGAAATCATTATACACACAACACGACTCGGTGGTGGCCGTGAACTGGCAAAACTTACAAGCCGATCAACATCATTTACCCCGCATCTACCGGATACCCCATCCTGCCTGTTTGCCTTTCACGTCAGCCCTTCCCTAATCTACTGATCTGGGTCGTTTTGTCTGCCAAATGTTTGATTTTTTAATATGAAAATTCGCGCGCGGTATTGGGAAAGAGCTGGCTCAAGAGTGGCCGAGGCGACGGCCAAATTTTAGCCTGGATGCCTTGGGGGATCACACAAACTAGGTTAAGAAAGGACAAAGTAGGAAGGTAAGGAATAAAAAGAAAAACAGAATGTGATGTGCAGTAAAATAAACTAAAAAGAATTTCGCTGTTTCGAAAAGCTATACTGGAGAAATGGACATTTGAATTCAGTGAAAGGAAAATGTATCAAATGCTTTGCTATTTGCGTGTTTTTTGTTCTTATTTTTTATGATGGTTTCAAGACGAATACTCCATATCCCTTTTGAAATTGTTTTGGACATCATTTGGCTAAGGCTCAATTTCCTTGGAACACCCTCACACAACGAATATTTTTTTTTTCTGGATGGAGCGCAGTGCATTTTGGCGTTGTGGGGGAGTTCCCACGAATTTTTTTTTGAATTTTTTTTTTTACCAGTGACGATGGCCGGTCGACGAAGCGCAAGAAGGAAAAAATCGAAGTGTGATCAATTCTCCATGCTTCTTTGAGCAAAGTGGTTGTAACATTGAACGCCCTATCAGGAGTCATTTGAAGTGAGCATTGCGCGTGATAAACCAAACAAGGCCTGATCATCAGATGGCACCTTTTGCAATTTTGGAGCAGACACCTTAAAGAGGTTGGTGGATGAACTGAAATTAGTAAAAGGAGCGGCAGGTTCCAATGGAAGGTGAGGAAGGAGCAGTGCATGAGAAAATATTAGTGGGATGCCTAATACTCTCCAAATTGGCGTTACCTGCCCATATTTGTCGAACTGCGGGAACGAAGGCGGGGGGATAGCATGTGCTTTGAGGTTACTCGTGTTCTCATTTCCCAAGTGAAATCGAAGAACCATTTTTCATGGATCATTGGAAGTAGAAGCAGAAAATAATAGTTCCCGGGGATTCAAAAATAAGCATTGACGAAGATGAGCTGCCAAAGGGTAGTTTTTCAACCTCAGTCTTTTGTCAACTTGTAAAAAACCTTGACGGAGTGACGATATCGCCTCTGATAAAGAGCGATAACGCGCGGAGTTGCGACTTATTTGGGTGGATAATCTTCACATCACATCACTAGGGAAGGTAACCAACAAAGAGGTGATACACTGTCGAGGCGACAGGAAGGAGACTTGTTCGACAAGAGAAAAAAAAAAGGGAAGCGTGTCGTCCTTGGTTGATCTGGTACCTCTATTTATTGGGTTGGAGACGAACTTCTTCCCCCCTTTCTTGAAGAGTCATCAACTTTGGGCGTTGGCTAACCATTACCATAAACAGACGCTGTGCCACGCCATACCAGGACTTCCAGCAACACACGTGCACTTTTACTTGTCTTGGAGCAAATCTTTTATGTACATTGGTTCAAGAAGTGGAGAAGAATAAGAGAGATAAAGATTCGTTTTTTTGTTATGCTTTGTTAATAATTATATATCGTATTTCTTTGCAAGTGTAGAAAATGTGCTTCTCATAACAAATAATGCTTTGGGCTTTCTGAAACAACAACATTTGAAATATTGTTTCCTTCTAACCATCAACTTGCTTGGACTGTCAAAGCCCAGCCTCGTCTTATTTCGCCACAACGTTGATGGTCCCAAATCCAATGAATTCTCCACATCCCATTGACCTGAATTTTGACAGTTAGCTTGACGCTCGCCGATGCTTGGTGGTCAGGATCCATAATTTTGAGAGTGCATCCGGCCCCACGGCGTAAAGATCAAACACAAATTCATCTAAAGGACATGCGGGATCAGTAACACTTTCTGTTTTCATCCATGCCATGGATTCAATTCTTCCGCCCCCCCTGGGATCCTTTTTAACTCACCACCCTTCACGTGCTCTTCCAATGACTGTCGCTTTTGAAGAATGCTATAGCACTTTTGTAGCTCGTTGGTATCCAACATAGTCAGCGCTCGCGCCAGTTCGCACATATCCACGTCCTAAACAACATTAAAAAGAAGATGGATTACTTGGATTAGTACACTCATTCATGGAAATGATATCCCAAGCAAAACAAAAAAAGTCGTCTCTTTCAGCTTCCCTAAAAATGGAATCCATCCCATCCTGCCCTCCCCCAAAGGTCAACCCAAAACACTTTCAACACCACACTAAATCAAAACCAACCCAACTGCATACACACACACACAAAACTAACCTCTGGAACGCCCCATTCCTTCCGAGTTTCGGGGGACACATCGACCATTCGGTGTACGGTGTGTAAGGACACAGTATCCTGAGCTGTATATACATCGTCTTCCACAACCTGCTTGACCGGCTTCTTGTTGTTCTTGGGCACTTTCTTGGTGGTTTTACCTGCCAGAACTCGCTTGGGCTGATATTCATCGCCACCGTCGCTGTCAGCAGCCGAAGGTGGTGAAGCGATGGCCATATCCCAGTCGATCACCGATGAAGAGCTGGACGATCTTCGTTTTGCATCTTCACTACTTGCTACGCTACTTTCATCACTCGAATCCTGTCGCTTTCTTTTCGTTGCTGGCTGTGATATTGATGTATTCCCAGAGTTAACCCCATTTGACGTAATATTTAGCAACGCCAGAAATTCCTCTGGTGGGCTCTCAAACGTCTACAAAAACAGTATTTAAAAGTTAGTTTGTTGCATGTACACTTTCGTTTGTAATTGCACAGGGTGTCCCAGCTCAGGCCATTCCGCTAGTTCTTAGGCTAGCAAACACAAGTGTTCAAAAGAAATGGCCAAGAACGGAGAGACGCAAGTTGTATTTGACCATATACCGCCCCCACACAGACACCCCGAAAAAAATCCCTCGTTTCCACTTACCAAAGTGTCTGACACAGAATACGCTTCCTGAGCAAAGTTGAGATCAAACCACATCAATTGAGGTGCTACCAGATTATCGACAAAGTGGAAAATAATTCTTAGATCAAACGCGCCCCATCCTTTCTCTTGCAGTGTGTACGGTTCTCTTGTGCGTACTACCATCAGCGCAGTCGCAAATGGCCCCAAAGTTAGTTAGAAATTTGACCGAACATGGCATTCTGTTTTTCTCGTTTCTTTTCTCTCATTTCATCTGCCTGCCCTGAATAAGTGTAAACCCATTTTCTTACTTACCCATGCGAGGGGTTTCGAAAGATTCGTGCAAGATGTATTCAATATGATCGACAATATTGGATAATGGCTGCTGATCTTCCGATACTATTTCCACTTTCCACTTTCGCCATGCCGGATCCGTTGGTGCTGGTTTTTTCTTTGTCTTGAGAGCGACATTTGTTGAAACTATTTTGACTCTTTTTTCCACCTTCTGTCAGAGATCCATATGGTCAATATTCTAACTCTGTTCGTTTTTGAAAGCCTTGATCGTTGAGTCAACTTACCATCATCCACGCGTATGGATGTATATTATTTGGAGAGGTATGTACAAATTTGGAGCAGAGGTTCGTATTAGCAGCGGTTTGAGTCGCCTATGTATTGGATGGATGTTGCCTTTGTCTGCGGGAAAATCCACACTATCCCTAGTAATCACCACAAAGTGGAAAGCACATATTTTTAGTCTTGCAGTTGCTACCATCTCATTAGCAATGTAATGGGAAGTAAAGTGACACTAAGTTACCTTGAATGTAAGATGGTATATACAGTACGGTTGACAGCAGGGAATTGTCGGTTAATATCAGCTTGGTAGGGTTGATCAAGGGTACTCTACTGCAGTAAACGGTAACACTGTGCTCTGAATTGTGATTCACAAATTGTCGCAAGGTGACGATTAGCAAATTGTTGAATATCAAGTGTTCTTGTGGTGGAATGGGAAATGTCGGCGGAGCTTTATTTTTCGACCATTCATATTGCTTGCAGGAAATTCATTTCAATGGGACAAGGTAACTGAACATGAAAATGAGTGCTTGTTGGCGGCACCGGACGGGAGATGGTCGGCTACAAGCGCAATGTGGTGCGTTCTTTCCTTCAAAATGGAACGGGAAGATATGTCCGCAGCACAATAGCAAACATCCTCGACAGTGCACTATCTCGGCCCTGACAGTGGCAATCATTTTGCACCACTTGGCTGATGTCATAGGTTTACAGGGACTTTTTTTTTAAGCGCGTGCTCACGCAAAAAACGTCAACTTGTCAATCATGGCGCGCGGGGTTGCCTCATGGTAGGCTTTTTCCACCAACCATATTAAAAAACAGAATTAGTTTCCCACGTTTTCATAACGGTGAGGTATTGGTTTAATGAAAAATGGTTTAATGGAAGATATATAAGACAAAGGTACAGCTTTGGGAGAGGTTTTATTACACATATGGGTCTTCTGGGAATGATTTTTTGGTTTGTGCTGGAGCGTTAGGGCCAGGTGATGGTAGTCTAAGCAGTTCCACTGAACCGTTTCGGTTATGGCGTCTACCAGAGTATCCAGCAGGTACGTATTCGCTCTGATTAAATGGTAAGTCACTGTCGCTGGAACCAGTCGATCCGGCTTTGTGATATGTATTGGATGCAGGGGATGTGTCTCTAAAGATGTCTAGGCGTGAGGACCGGTCAGCGAATTTAGGAGGGGGGAGTCCGGCTTCAGCTGCAAGTCGGACCTTGCGATCCTTTTCGTAGTCGCCCCAGCGCTTCATGGTGATCTTGCTACTATCGAATTCTCCTTGCTTATCACCGTGATTTTCTTCCTTTCCGCTACCAGCCACCTTACGTGTTTCTCCCCAGGAGAAATCGTCAAAGTGCCAGAAAGCGTAGGCGGGTAGAACAAAGTTCCAAATGGGCAAAGAGAAGAGGTAGACTGTGAAAAAGAAAAATGCGTGCGTTTAGAAAAGGAATTCATCCCATTGCGACTGATTTAGTCCCATTCACTTACCCAACATCCATCCAACGTAGACAACCTTGCGACTAGTCATTACGATTAAAACAGCAGGTAAACCGAGAATAATGGCCAATAGAATAAGTGGGATAATAGCCGGCTTTCCAATGATAGCAAGAATAATAAGGTAAAGGGTGAAAGAGATGGCAGCGGGGAGAGCCACTGTTCCGACCAATTCCATGAAGACAACAAATTGCATAGAGAAACAGAAGGTACCGCAAAGATCTCGCACGAGAACCAATTCCATCAAATTGTGAATGGTAGAGTTAATCCATCGACGACGTTGTGACAATAGAACGGCAAACGTATCAGGAACAACGGTTTTACAGACGGCCTGAGGAACGAATACCATCTTACGCTTGGGGAAAGTACGCAACATGAGAGTGGACAAGTAACGATCTTCTCCGAGAAGCAACAAATTCTTCTTGTGAAGCGTATCCACAACGTTTTCAGAATAATGTTCGACAATATCAGGGTTGGCCAAGATAGGAACCCAGTAACCATTAGGACCCTTAGGAGCTTTGATACGATACATACAGAAACAACCAGGCAAACATGTTACACCACCAAAGATGGATTCGAAAGCCTTAGATTGATGGTGAGAGATATAGTATTCAAACACTAAGATTGAACCATGCGTTAGTGAAATGTTGCACATGATTCAGTTGAGATAGCCATGGCAGTGTTTTCTTACCTTGAATCATAGTGACCCAACTGTCCGTTTTGTTACCAATCTTCGTTTCACCGCACAGACCAGCGATTTCGGGATCCTTCACCATACAGGATACTAATCTGGAAAGGGCGTCGGGGTAAACCTTGGTATCGGCGTCCACCATGAGACAAATCTCGTACTTGTCGGGGCTAACCCCGGTAATTCGCCAAATGGTATTGAAGAACTCGTACTCCATCAAAGTCATGCGTTCATCAAACATAACCTTTTGCATGAAAGACATGAGAACAATCTGAGAATCACGTTTGCCACGATTACCGGGTTTCTTTTCTTTGGCTTCTTCGGGGGTACCGCACTTGACGACGACCACCATGGGTACACGCTGTTGTTGAGCGGGGTCAACGGTGTTGTTGTCATATTTGTAGAAACCACCGTAAATCTTGGCCATATTATGTCGCTTGGATCCATCAGCAATGGCAATGTAGGAATAAGGTTGTACTTGATTCTTGGGAACAATGCAATCACGCAACATGGATACACAAATATCCGGAGTTGACATGGCGTTACCATGACCAGTAATAACACCATCACAGACAACCAAGATAAGCTTGTGCGAGTTGGGATAATCGGTCGTGGCAATGGAATCCAGAGTGGTTCGAATACCTTCTTCTCCTTCAGAGTAACAAGTGACTAAGCAGATAGTGTGCGCCAAAGCAAAGTTGAACGGCATATAATCTGGTTTGGGTTGTTGAATCACATGCTTCGAAAGCGGGAAAGGACAAGTAGATTGTTGTGAAATGCTTCCCATGCCTGAAGATGAGACGGATGATCGTCGGGAAGGCGAGTAGATCTGACTCTGGCGATGAAACGAAGAAGTGTCATTGATGCCACGCAGTGAAGGCGATGCAGGAGGAGTTCCAAAATTCGATCCAAACATAGAATTGCGAGAACCAGAAAGTGGTCCGAGACCAGGGCTATGGTGTGGGGGTGAGAGGATTAGACCCAGTTCATTCATGGCCCGTTCGTAACCATAAGAAAAATAGAATGCATTGTTTTTTTGTGGTTTTTTTTCTTACCTGGATGAACCTGGTCCTGAATTCCAAAAGGTAGTACTGGTGGTGCGTTCCATAGCATTGAATCGATTAGAGCCAAATTCAGGTTGAGTGAAACGAGATGTTTGTGGCAAAAAGGTTTTTCGACGAGCATTCAATCCACCATAGGGAGAGGCGGCAGTGGACGAAGAGTAAGGGCTCTTTGGCTTGATAGCATCGGCAGGTTGATAGATGCCCTCTGTCCAATTTTCGATTTCTGCAGCACGTTTCATTCTCTCCTTATAGGATGTGCCTTCGTTGAAGTTACCCAGCTTCCACGAGAGGAACCAGCCAAAGATGACAGCTAGACCAAACTTGACAATGATGACTCCGAGAATAACGACCAAAGAAACATAAAGCACAATGTCGGACGCAATACAACCGATACTTTCCGTATCCAGCATACCGACGGTAATAATATCAGCAAGACAATCGGCTTCCTGTTTCCAGTCATTGTTTGAGCCTCTGAACGTAGAGATGTGTCTGGTCATGTCTCTTCCAACATAACCGGAAGAGTTGGCCAAGAGGGCTGCAATTAAACCTCCAGTGGGGACATTAAAGTAGTTCTGAGGGAGAGATTGCAGCAAATTGAGATTGAGCACATCACTATAATAAAGCAGAGTTCAGAAATTTTGTAGGCTATTTGGTTATCATGAGTTCTCCCTTACCTATTGTAAACCATTAACCCCTTTTCTGCAGTGACATCTTCCCAATTATAGTAGACACGTCCAGCTTTGTCAAAACCATTCTTATTGTTGGGTACACCGGTAGTTGAAAAGTCGTAGTACATGGTACGTGCAGAGGAAGACAAATGGCATCCTGAGTAGTTCAAGTAAGTGTTCGCATCAGGAGCAATGGTATTGTTTGGGTCGAACATGCGGCAAGGGAAATATGTCGGTACTTTGTTTCCGTCTTGGTGAATTTGCGCACCAGATTTAGGAACAATAATGTTGAGACAGCGTTGGTTCACATTCTGAAACAGGAAGGTGGCATCCATGCCACCAGCATTGATAGGAGGATAAAGTGGGTTGGTACTTTCGTTGGTGACGCCGGGAATGGCAGGATGATCTTGCCAGGATGATAATTGGTAAGCCCATCCATTGATCAAGAGATAACCATTATTGATTGATCCGGCATGAAAACTCAAGGGAGGGGTCGGGCAAACAGCCTCCGTAAATCCAAAAGTAAGGAAACCGACAAATCCCATGATAATAGCAATAATGGACAAAAGGCCGATCTTTTCACGCCATGCATACTGAGCACGCTCATCCTTGAGTCCTATGAGTGGGCGAGGGAGAGAATGGGTTAGTTCAGTTTTTTCAGTTGGTGAAAAAAAAAAAGGACGTCCATTCAATAACGGCCAGATCAAAATATGGGCATAGGGCAAGGCTCAAAAAATAGCCCTTAATTGACCCTCCCACCCCCCTTGAATTGTTTCCCCGGGAAAACAATACACATACACACAATGGTCATATCCACATGCTTTCTCTAGAAAAGGGAAGAGTTTGGTAACGTACCGAATGAACGAAGAACGCTGCCAGGAAAACAACACGTCAGGGCTCGAACATAGATATTCCACATATCTGGCAATCTGCTTTTGGCTTGATCGTCCAATACAACAGCGTTGGCTGGCGCTGCACTATCATTTCCAGTGATTGTTTCGGAACCATCAGAACCTCCTGCAGACGGTTGACTTGGTGTTCGTTTGGCAGCAGCAGGCTTGACATTTATTTTTTCCTTGGGAGGTTCTTCTCTGCCTAAGATACTTTTTCCACGTCTGACGGGAGGTACTTGACGTCGAAATGAAGGTAGTCTTTGCGCTCTTCGTTCTGGAACCTCTTGATAATGCAAAGGAATATTACCGGTTGAACTTGCAGCCACTTGTTCCACCCCAAGATGTTCTGTAGCACGTTGTCGATAATGAAATTGTCGATGATTTGGATCGATACGCTCTCGTTCAGGTCTGACCAACGATTTCTGTCGTCGCGGCCTTATACCTGTCGTCAAATTATCATCGCCCAGTCTGGAGTTAGTCGAGCGAGAACGGTCGATCTGTGGCTGATACGATGCAGCCGTGTTGGGGTCCATCTAGTTGGTTGGTATTGTGAGTGTCGTGTGAAGGTTAGGGAATATCTCAACCGAACAGAGAGGGTGAGGAGTAGGAAAAGTAAAGAAAATAAGTGGGGGTTTTAGGTATTCTTCACAATAACGTAGCGAAGAGAAATATTATGTATAGCCAGTTTCTAGTAGAGAAAAAAGAAAAGTGGTAATAACAAGAGTGGCGGAAAAACTGGCGGTGGGGGGAAACAATCTTGATTCTAACAGTGAACAGAATGCAAAAGGACTTCAAGCTTCTATTCAGTAAGTCAAAATGGTATAGATGAGTATTGAGATGGTGGCAAGCGATGAAAGATGGAAGCAAAGAAACTGGGCTCGTTCTTGCAATATAAACAAAAAATGGAAAGGTACCGTACCATTCAATCCAAAGAGGGGAAGCGCGTCACGGTGATGAAAAAGTCCAAAGCTGGCTAAGAGGCGATCGTATTACAACAGAATCGAGTCTTTCTTTTTCTCTTTTCAAACGCTTGTCAACGCTCAACAACAACACTACCAAGTAGGGGAAGTGGAGTGATAGTGAAGAAGAAGCAAGCAGAGGGCGGGCGGGACTGAAGGGGAATTTTCTGTGGCAACACACAATAAAAGAGCGGAACTTTTGTGAGATACACGGCCCAAAAAAAATAATAATAATAATAATAAGAGACAAAGTGAAGGCGAATCATGGGCCATCTATCTATATTTAAAGAGGGGTTAAGCAGGAGCGGGTGTCAAGTATTTTTGGGGCCAGAAGGACTTTTGATCGTTTCCTGATGGTTATGACATTGGCCATTTTCTAATGAGTGACCGCTGGGCCCCATTGCTGTTTCTTTTTTTAAATCGCTTGGTGCTTCGAAATCTATGCTTTACCCAATATGCAATTGGATATTGATTCGTGTAATCTCTAGAAAATCGTCGCGGTATTTGGCGACAATCAAGGGGTCAGCCAATCAAATGGCGAGCTGGACTTTAATTATAAAGAGGGTGTTTGAAAATTTTCCAGCTCCAGCACGCTCTTGGCACGTGTTTGGAAGGCAGCTGGAGCCCACAAATCTTGGATTTTGCTGCCAACCCACTGGTTTCCATTTTTTTTTGAGTTCCCCTCTTCTTTATTCCTCTATCGGCTCCTCTCCAAATGACCGTAGAGACAGCACCAAAAGTATTAGTTCTCGGAGCACTGGGCTTCGTAGGCCGTAATTTTGTTCAATACTTGGTTGAGAATAAGCTAGCATCCAGCATTCGCGGTATCGACAAAGCATTGCCACAAACAGCCTACCTATCGCCTGCTGTGAAAGCTGCGTTCGATCATCCAAGCGTTGAAATCATGCAGGCAAACTTGATTAATCCTGGTATGCAATCTATGGCGAATTGAGACATATACGAAGCCCACATTCTTGGACTGATGTAAACAACCCCAATTTCATTTCATCTATCCAGTCTCGATCGAAAAATGTTATACGCGTTCAGATGGGACAGAATTTGATTATGTGTTCAATTTCGCTGCTGAGACAAAGTACTCTCAGGTCTCGGAGGTGAGAGAGCCATACCTTGTCTTGCATATAGGCCTCCATTCACCCCCTTAACATGGTTTTCCTGCGAAAAATTTTTGTTTAGGTGTACCGAGAACGCATCTATAATTTATCTGTCAACTGCGCCAAAGAAGCCGCCAAACGCCATATCAAAGTGTTTTTGGAAATGTCCACTTCGGAAGTCTATGACTCTAACAAGGTAGGGAGAGAAAATCCTTTTTTTTTTTCTTCATAGTGCGCACGCCTTCCACATCCATAAATGGTGGTTCTGCGCAATGCGATTCTAAATTTTCTTGGTAATGTATCTCCGAAGAAAGAGCTAAAGATTCTTTTTTACAGGAACCCTCCACAGAAGGTTCGCCACTTAAACCCTGGACCTTAATTGCAAAGCAGAAAGTGGAGGTTTGCAAGACATTGAAGAACATGGAAGGGTAAGACTTCATGGAAAACGAATCGTAATCTGGGTTTGGTCTATGTTGGTACACAGTGTGACATTTGGCTTGCCGCCATCATGTCACGCCGTACTATCGGAGACGCTAGAGATGCAAGCGCTAATCCCCACTCCGATTTTATTTTACGTCAGTCTCAATCTGGTCATTGTCAGACCTGCTGTCGTGTATGGTGTTGGAGCCACCAGTGGTATCAGTAAGTTGGAAACAAAATAGTGCATGGTTAAGGTGATGTGTAAGTAATGTATGTTTGTTGGTCCTGTTTAGCCACTCGATTAGTGATCGGAAGAGTCTACAAAAAATTGGATGAAGAAATGAAATTGCTATGGAATAAGGACCTCAAATTAAATACTGTACATATACGCGATGTTGTGCGAGCCTGCTGGCATTTGGCGAAATGGTACGATGAGAACGGTATCGCTACTAGAAAGGACCGCAAGATTTTGTTCAATCTTGCCGATAAGCAAGACACAGGTTAGTTAGTTGTGAACCAAATATTGTGGGGTTTTCACCTTTACTCATCATGCATTGTGGCCCCATGTGTTTTATTATTATTTAGACCAAGAGACCATTAATCAACATTTAGAGACTATCTTCGGTATTAAGACTGGTTATCATAGTTCTCTCATATCGAGCTTTGCAAAGGTACGCTATCGTAGGGGAACGGACGTTTAGATCGGACTGAACATTTTAAATGAACGATTACGTACATTTTTATACATGTCTTGGCACGCTAACGGCTCAAGTTAATTCCATTTAGCTCAACTTGGGAACAGTGACTGAAGATGTGAACGAGAAGCATCTCGGACCTTGGGCCGATCTGCTCAAGGAATCAAATATCGCCATATCGCCACTTTCTCCCTACGTCGATGAGGAGTTACTGCACTCTCACCCTGTCAGTGTAAACGGTACGCTAATTGAGCGAGAGACAGGGTTCACCTATGAAGTACCTTACATCACTAAGGAGAAGTTGGAGGAGATTATCAATGGATACAAGGAGCTCAAGGTTTGGCCAACTGCAAACTAGAGGGGTTGCCTTCATTCATATTTGTTTTCCCTTGTCAGTCCAAATACGGTACGCCTTCTTGAAACGCAATGTCGCGTTAAAACCTTCCTTTATACTTATTCCCTGAGGCCTGCATGACCCCAACCTATGTACCAAGTAAATCCAAGCTCACCGCAAGATGGATGAAATGTTTCTATTTTTCCTTCAAGGAAAACAAAAGAGCAAGAGCATTATGACCCCCCATTATACCTTTGTCTTTTCCATACTTATGTGACAGCAATCAAAATAAAAAATAAAGCCAACAATCTAAGGGCATAATATAACTTTTTGTCGCCAACATTGCCGAAGTTTTAAAGTTTTAATAACGGAAAGGGATTAAGAAAAAAACAAATTATGAGCCAAGTTCTTGGGAAGGTATGCAATAGCTAGGAGTATGAGCGAGGAAAAGGATCATTAATGGGTGTGTGTAGGTGAGAAAGGGGGTTTATGATGCTATACTATTCTTTGTTGCTGTTCTTGGTAGATTGAGATTCATTATGTACAATATCAACCTAGCCAGTGAGGTTGTTTGTTGAACTGGTTCAGTTTTTCTTCTGGGCATGGTTCATCGCGATCGCTAAACCAGTTATCATCTTGATGGCACCGTCCAAATCCTCGTAGTCCGGGTTCGCAACCGACGTATGCTTCTTCAGATCTGCCAAAAGAAAAAGGGGGTGAATAACAAAGCTCCCTCAATGTTGACGGTAGATACGGGCATGTGAAGCCCTAGAAAACAACTGTACCTTTTAGAAGCAATCCGTAACGGGTGACTCTCTGAATGGGCATAATCAAGTAATCTGCAAGACCCATGCGGTTTGTCTCCAAGTTGTTGATAGAATCCTATAGGTAACGCAAAGCGGCTATCAGTCATGATTCAAGCGTACAAGAAAAAAATAATTGTGGCGTGGATGGAAAGTGCAAAGCCCCCCATGTCATTTTAAAAAAATTATAATGATACAAACCTGATTGAATTTTTGATATTCCACGTTGCGCACAGCACGTTTGAGGACTTTCTCAAATGAATGGTAGTCCAAGGCATACTTCACATAGCATCCCATGTCGTCATTTAAATCCTTGAAGATGTGACCAACTCGTAAGGGGCACTTGCGCCAAAGTATGCCACTTTCTTCCTTGTATTTTTCAAACTGATCGATTATTTGAGTTGATATCTTGATAGCATCAGCTAAATGAGCGAACAATATGGGAAGGTCTTGTGATCGTACAAGAGGACTTCCAAGTTTGGCAGATTCGAGCATAGGGTCCATGAATTTCTAACATAAAGTAATCCATGAATAAAAAAGTCTTGGTAATCAAGGAGATGGCAGCCACCCCTTGACCTATTTTCTCTAATATGGATAATGAACAGGCACCTACCGTTTTGACAATCTTGAGGTTCTTTAAGTAAGACTTTTCTGTGGTGTATATCTCATAAATGATAAACCGCCTCATGAGTGCATCTTTTTCGACTTTTTCCGGTGACTAGATCGTTCGTGTCATTTTGTTAGTCAGATTTAGTTATGCCAAGGGCAAACAGATATTAAAGTTTTACCTTGTTCAATTCCGCAAAGGTGGGCTCGTCAGGTCCAGCCTCCAGTAAAGCTAGGGTACTTGTCCTCCATATGCTGATAGCTTTGGTTTCTCGTTTAAGTACAGCTGCTTCTCTCTTGTTACGAAGAGCAGCTTTAATTCCTTTTCCTGGTCTGACATCGATGGTCATCACAGGCTGTGTATTGGCTCTTTTAGCAAAAAAGCCTTTTCGCTGACTTTCCAAAGGGTTTAGTTTAGGAGACGACGCCGCAGATACCGGTGCGGAATTGATAACTGTTGCAAATGCATTACTTTCGCTCCATAGCGTACTCTCTGAGCCTGAGTCGGTATCCGTTACTGGGGACAAATCACCGGCTGCAAGAGCATTGATCAAACGGTCAGAATGGAACGATCCGTGTGATGATAACGTAGAGGATGATGAGCTACTCCGATCGAGGGATGGCGTCGGCTCAATGATGCTGGATTCGTCTCCGCCACTGCGTGTTCGACTATGGTGAAGATTCTCATCCTTTGGCTTTTGGGGAGTCAAGATGGCTGATACAGGTCGACGGCTTTTAGATGAAAAAAGTGAACGTTTGAAAGATTTATTTTTTGGTGCGGCGGCCATGGGAGGGGGTGTGGAAGAATTTGGCGTTTCGGGTCGATCGGTTTGTTTGCTTGGACAAAGCGAACTATTCTCTTCAGAGCAAAAATAGCGGCAAAGCTTTGAATGGCATGGCTTCAAACTAGCTGCAGTGTTACTTCGCACTGGCTTGTCTCCTGCCACAGGGAAGGTTGTTGCGCGCTTGAATTTTGACTGTCGTTCTAAACCAAGTTTATTTTGAACATCAACAGCAGCTTCAGACATATGGTATGGTGCTTCACTGCTTTTGGGCGTAGTTGGTGAGGAATGTTCGTCGTCTGTTATTGGCGAATCCGGAAGATCAACATCCGAATGTCGTCGACTGACAGTCAAGCGAAGCTCAGACAACGCATCCAACTGGCCGATATCGATGTTGGTAGTAGAGTTTCGTTTGGACGTATCCATGATAAACGGATCGTCCCAGTTAATAATGGCTAAAGAGAATGGTCGCTTGTAGCTCTACGTATTGCTGGTCTAACGTCCTGCGAAAGAAAGAAAAATGACTTTGATAAAAAGTTGAAAAGAAAAGAATTTGAGCATCGGGTTTCACCGAACCCCCCAATTTTAAGAAAAAGGCTTCGCTAAGTATCGCTGTCTTTCAACATCGCCAATAAAAAAAACTGGTAATGTAATTCCTCCAATTTTGATTGGCCACCGTAAGCGATACTTGTCGGTCATCGGCTCATGTCCATTTTCTACAACACGGTCTCTTCACTTTGTCCTTTCAGCGACATGAAGCAACCAACGTAATTGGTCAAGTAGGATAGGGCAGTATTTCATAAGGTAACCCACGTCGATGATCTTTTTTTTTTTTTTTCAAACTAAACTGCACAGCCATGCCACCAATTAGACGCGCATGCATGCAATAAGCGCAATAATTTTCATCCGTGCTCGGCTATTGAAGAGCCGTTTTGGCAAATTAGTTGAAAAAAAGAACCTCTCTACCATCAGGGACACTGTTAGTAACGCTCTTCATATCTTTCATTTTACCAATAGCTTTCTCTTCAACATGTTTCATTTCCATTTTTTTGGGGGGAGACCTAATGGTGGTACCCATTCAATTAAGTGGAAACAATTAGGAAAATCATTATTAATATTGATTATTGAGAACCATTTGGATTTTAAAGGCAGCATAACAAACCTCTTTAAAGGGAAGTATGACCTTGGCCAACCAGGATACACGTTTTGTAGCGAGCTTTGAGCTCAGCATAGTGCTGACGAATTTGACACACGCACTCTGGGTACACACATGCACTCCGGGGGCACAGTCACGGACACTGTTTCATTGGTCGCTGGTGTGATAAAAGTTCATTACAACGCGTATTTATTCCTTAATTGAACTGGGTCAGCTTTAGATGCTGGCTCGCTCATCTTAGTCAAGTAGTGGCGAAAAATTTAATAAATATATACAAAGTTGGGATTCTGCATATCTGTCAAGTCATCGAACGAGTGAGTCAGTTCTACATCCTTTTGTTCTTCTTGAGCCTGAAGCACCTTAGCCTTCTTAGCATTCTGATGGATGAAATAGAAACGAAGTCCCAACATGACGCCGAACAATACACCATAGCATGCTAAATGGGCACCGAATCCTCGGATATATCGAGGAGCGTCCACTGCCTGGAAAACTTGTGGTCCTATTGGATAACAGTCGTTAGCAAAGTCATAGCATTTGGTATCGCAACTTCGGCGCATATCGCCTTTACATACCAATAGCATTTCCAGTAGCCCAAAGGATAAAGTTTATAGCGGTGGCAGTAGCCTTCTTGGTTTGTCCACCAACGTTACGAGTCAGTAGGGACATACACAGAGTAGAAGCAGCCCAGAAAGACAAGACCAGGTAGTAACTTAGGAGTAGGCCAACCTTGGTAGACATGCTTGTGTTTTGAACGGTCATCAGGACAACGGTACAGACAATGCTCCTATAAATACAATGAATTGAATTGTCAGTGTATGTGCTATCATGATTAAATTGTGAATATATGCAACTTACGGGACACAGTATGCCGTCATGATAAGCAAAGTTTGATTGTATCTCTTGGCCAGGTACATTGAAGAGAGACATACAATCATAATATATGAACCCAAGACCATGGCTAACAACTGAGTTTGCAAGACAGTGAATCCAAATCCAGTAATAATGATATTAGCAAAAGCTCCCAGACCAGATGTGGGGACAGTTGTAAGGAAGGAGATGAGACCGTAAGCCCAGACTTGAGGATCGCGGAAAGCTTCGAAGAACTGTTCTTTTCGGAATGTCCGGTTTTGTAAACCGGTTTGATTACTTCGAACACGCTCAATCATCAACTTCTTGTCTTCCTCAGTATAACATTTGGCTCTCATAGGACTGTCAGGCATGATGAAAAGGACAATCACACCCCAAATGAACGAAAAGGACCCATATGTTAAGAAGAGAGCTTGCCAAGACTTCAACGGACCAGACGTGATGTTTGTAAAGGCATAGGCGAGAAGACCGCCCACTATCTGTTGGAACCCATTCATTACATACCAGTATGTGACGATCTGAGCCTGCTCGTCTCTCCTGTACCACATACTAGAAAGTGCAATGAAGATGGGCTGACAGCTTGCTTCAAAAATACCAAGCAATGTGCGAACGACCAGAAGACTGACAAAATTTTTGCATAGGGCGTGCATGGCAAGGACAATGGACCAACATATGATGTTGAAGGACAAAAATTTGCCGATAGGAACTCTTTGAATGATCCAGTTCAGCGGGTATTCCACAATCAAGATAGCGATGTAGATACATGTTGTTAGCCAGGCATACTAGTTATACAGTGGAAAATGGGTACATTGATTAGCTCAGCCCTAACAACTCCAATCATTATCGCACGTGATAGTTAAAGTTACCTGTTGTCCCACTAAACCAGCGTCCTTAGGCAAGTTCATGATGGACGAAAAGGCTAAGGTTCCCTTATCCAAAGCTTGTAAAAAGTATGTGAAGACAATGATGACCAGCACCCGTCGATCAATCAAACGTTTAAGCCTCTTATTGGTTTCGTCGTCAATGGGAATGACTTTTTCACTTGCGTACTTGGCGACTTCAGGATCCACACGATCGTAGTTCATGCCACTTTTCTTGTCATCGTTGGAGAGAACCTCCTCTAGATGATAAGAATCCTTGGGGTTCTTGGCAGAGTGATTTGATTGAGTCTCAGCTTGGTCGGCAGTCATTGGAGTGGCAGCTGGGGAAGCAAGATTGCGGGGAAGTAGGAACATCAAAACCCAAGAATTTTATAGCCTCCACATTTGGGCTTTTCGTTGTTAGGAAAGGTACATGTGGGTACTACAGCTTTGGTAAAAATGCTGTTTTAGTATGATGTTTTCTCATGATCGGAAGGCTATCGCAACTTTGTTAAACTCTGTTTATGAGCTACCCCGGATCCCTTTTTTCGAAAGAAGGTATCGTCGCACTCATTCTGAGACAAACAGCGGTGGATGAAGAGTGTACGTGCAGCCAAATCATTTTGTAGACGCGCTCGAGCAGAAAAATGCATTGATATCGGTGCCTGCATATCGGTCTAACGAGAGTTTTTAAAGCAAAGAGACAATCGTGAATAAAAATATAATGTGACAGTGGAACAAGTCAATAACAGCTAACCTCTCACAAAGTGTGGGGAAAAATTGAGCACAGTGCCAAATCACGGGCAGTATTCAAACCTTCTCTTCCGACTTCGAACTTGTCCCAGCTTCCACTCGCCTCTCTTTCGCTTTTAGAAAACTTTTCCCCGACTAGTCTTATCTTATTCTCCTGAAATCTCCTTGATATATGATAGAACAGTTGCAGTCGTCATCACCACCATTGCACAAAGCTTCGCCATCCAGTTTTTCTTCTTTCCAAACCGTTCAATTTCCCAGTCGCTCCTCCACATCATTCTTTAAAATCTCGCTCGACCCTAAATGCCAGCGTAATAATCACTCGCCTTCTCCCAAACTTAGTTCACCAACAGCAGACTCAAAAACGGATCCTTCAGCAAGCAACAAACGCCACCTGAGAAAACCCAGGCATCCACATGACCAGCCTGATGAAAACTACATGTTTCGCATCTTCACTCCTGGAGAGTATGATGCGATGCAAACGGCAGACAGCAAGTGGAGGGTAACAACTTCCAGTGATATTTCTGGGTCGTGGGATGGTATACCGTTTGCTGCAGAGGAGTACAGATCCGGAAAACAGCCAAAATTCATGGGCCGCCCACCCAAATCCAAATTGCCTAGACAATCCACCCAAATTTTGGACTTTCGTCCACAAGCCAATATAAAAAATGTGGCAATACCAGAAAGTAACCAGACACAAAAGCTGCGATTTGCACCTCCCTGTGGCATCGAATCCCCACTTATTAAGTCCGAGAATAATCATACTGTAATACCGCGATCGGGACCCTTCACAGTCACTTCGTTAATAGATCCTGTCACACACGCCTATATACGGAATCCAGGCGGCGCCGCACTATGGACTTGCACTACGGCAGGAGCGACCGAACGTCGATTGATGATCAATGTAACAAGAATTAGTGACATCAAGGCTACCATGACGTCCTTATTATGCTTCTTACAAGATGGCTGGGAAGGGCTCAAGATATTTCAAGTCAACTGTGAACCCTCACTTGTGACACACCACTCTCTCTTGGACGCAGCGTGGGATAGCGATGAAAAAATCAGCCGACCCTCTCGATTTTCACAACGGCCGATTATTTTTATTAACAAGGACATTCTTCAAAAATACACTATTCGTGCCTACAAAGAAGATGCGTACGACAGCGGTCTCAATGGCCCAAGAGAACAAGTCTCTTGGATCCCTGAATGGTACTCCATCAGTTTGACTGTATTGCCCTTCGTGTATCCATTGATGAGTTCGAGTACCATGGAAAACGACGTTGCACTTCGTATGCTAGTTGATGCGGTAGTCCGCCAATACATGATCTGCGGAAATGGATATCATCCTCTTCTCTACCGACCCAGTGTCTTGGAAAAACTGGAAAAATTGGAAGACCCTTTGGAAGATGCTCTAATTTGTGCTATAGTCGCTGGTGAGCCTGAATTTTCTTTATGGTTGGTAAACCCCACACCTATGAGTAACCTCTCGGGTGTGGAGAAATCAGTAATGAAAATGAAAATCTAACTTTAAATTCCTAAAAAAAAAAAAAAAATAGGTTGGGTACGGCACACCTTAATGATTCATATGCCTAATAGAGGTTTCCAAACTGTTGATAACATCCAGCCTTTGGAGATGCACTTTCGACAAAAGGCTTGGGAGCTCTTTAGTGAAATTTTTGACGAAACATCATACGAAGCGCTTTGGATTCTCTCTATTTTCATGCTGGGTTGCACGTCCGAGCGGCACACAATGTATCATTATCTTGGAGTCCGCTATATCAATGAAATGAATCTATACGAAACCGTTCATGACCGAAAGCTACATGAACAAACTACCGATCCTGAAGACAAATTTGTTCTGGAAATGAACCGAAGAGCGTGGTGGGACTGGTATCACAACAACGATTGCTGTAAGCTGATGCCTTGGGTGGATTTCAATGACTTCGACTCGTTGATGATGCCACAACGAGTGCCAGATGAAAAAATTGAAGACTGGGCCAATATAGAATTCCACTTTCAGAGCAAAATGGCTTTACGAAACATTGAACGCAAGTTGGCAGATACCATTGAAGCCAACCCCGAAGAAGAAGCGCTATCTCAGGAAGAAGTGTCTTTCTTTGAAACCAAATTAAGTGAATGGCACAATTCTCAGCCTGACTTTCTACGTATTCCCGAAGAAGAAAATGTACTCCCATCGATGTGGGCTGTAGAGATAAATATTCGACATAATCTCACCAAAATGTCCCTCAATCGACTTTTTATTCAACACCACGAAGAACAACTCGTTGTCCCAACAAACAATGAAATGAATCCCCATACCGCGTTAGCGAACTGTACCCAAGCCTGTGTTTTGATAACCGACCTCATGTATATATTGCATATCAAGCATTACTGCCGACCCCACATACGAACATGGCAACAGGTGTGCAGTACGCTCATCGATATGATCGCCATGTTCGCAGAAAAATCCAATCAGTGCGATGCGCAGTGTCTTGCTGATGCACGAGGTGCTCTTGCAAAGTCTTTGTGGCTCCTTCAACAAAGCGATGCCTTTAACCGTCGCGTGCCTGGCTACGTTGAATATGGTGAAGTCGTTCAAGAAGCGATGGATCGATTAAATGTCGAGCGACTCTTATGGAAAGAAGAAGCAGCATGGGCCTACGATGTTGGCAGCGTTTATAACTACATTGATCATACCTGCTTGTAAAAGAAAACCATCATTGAAATAAAAAAGAAAAGTCAGCCAATACCGACTCTCAAAAACCCCGTTTGCTCGAACTTTCTCGCAATATTGACATAAAAATTCTCGTGTGTTTGGATTGGCTGCTTGCCTTGTAAAACTGCTGCGCTCATTGGCTGTTAGGCGTATGGATGGAACTTGCTGGAAACATTAGTATACTGGTACTGTAAACCACTTTTCAAAGGCAGCCCAAGATTTTTCTCTTGATCGTGAATAAAAGCAAACAACGCGCGGTCAACTTTGACGAGCGACTTTTTTATCCCTTTTCTCATCTCATAAACATGTCTAGCGAGACCGAGACCTTCACTTTCCAGGCTGAGATTTCTCAGTTGATGAGCTTGATCATCAACACTTTCTACTCCAACAAGGTAAGTTTTTTGAATCTCTACTAAGGTGGCTCGCGAGTGCCTTTGCCACATGCCTGTTTATCAAAAAGTATTCATCAAAAACTAACGTTTCTTTCATTTCTTAATAGGAAATCTTCCTCCGTGAACTTATCTCTAACGCCTCTGATGCTTTGGACAAAATCCGTTATCAAGCTTTGACCGATCCCTCCAAGCTCGACTCTGAGAAGGACCTCTATATCCGCATCACCCCCGACAGGGAGCACAACATCCTCAGCATCCGTGATACTGGTATTGGTTTGACTAAGGCTGACTTGGTTAACAACTTGGGTACCATCGCCAAGTCTGGTACCAAGACTTTCATGGAGGCCCTTTCTTCCGGTGCTGATATTTCCATGATTGGTCAATTCGGTGTTGGTTTCTACTCTGCCTACCTTGTTGCCGACAAGGTCCAGGTCATCACCAAGCACAACGATGATGAACAATACATCTGGGAATCTGCCGCTGGTGGTTCTTTCACCATCACTCGTGATGAGGTCAACCCCCCTCTTGGCCGTGGTACCGAGATCCGTCTCTACATGAAGGAGGACCAACTTGAATACCTTGAGGAGAAGAAGATCAAGGATATCGTCAAGAAGCACTCCGAGTTCATCTCATACCCTATCCAGCTCGTCGTTGAGAAGGAAGTTGAGAAGGAAGTCTCTGACGATGAGGAAGAAGTTGAAGAATCCGAGGACAAGCCCAAGATCGAGGAAATCGATGAGGAAGAAGAGAACAAGGAAAAGAAGAAGAAGACCATCAAGGAAAAGACCACTGATACCGAGGAGCTTAACAAGACCAAGCCTCTTTGGACCCGCAACCCTGAGGATATCAGCCAGGAGGAATATGGTGCCTTCTACAAGGCCCTCACCAACGACTGGGAAGAACCCCTTGGCGTCAAGCACTTCTCTGTTGAAGGTCAGCTCGAATTCCGTGCTATCCTCTTCCTTCCCAAGCGTGCTCCTTTCGACATGTTCGAGACCAAGAAGAAGCGCAACAACATCAAGTTGTACGTCCGTCGTGTCTTCATCATGGATGACTGCGAGGAACTCATTCCTGAGTGGCTCAACTTCATCAAGGGTGTTGTCGACTCTGAAGATCTTCCCCTTAACATTTCTCGTGAAATGCTCCAACAGAACAAGATTCTTAAGGTCATCCGCAAGAACCTTGTCAAGAAGTGCTTGGAAATGTTCGCTGAAGTCTCTGAAGATAAGGAGAACTTCGCCAAGTTCTATGAATCTTTCTCCAAGAACATCAAGCTCGGTATCCACGAAGATGCCCAAAACCGCGGTAAGCTCGCTGAGCTCTTGCGTTACCACTCCACCAAGTCTGGTGATGAGATGACCTCTCTCAAGGACTATGTCACTCGCATGCCCGAAAAGCAACAAAACATCTACTACATCACTGGCGAGTCCCGCGCTGCCATTGAGCACTCTCCCTTCCTTGAAGCTCTCAAGAAGAAGAACTTTGAAGTCTTGTTGATGACTGACCCCATTGATGAGTATGCCACCACTCAACTTAAGGACTACGATGGCAAGAAGCTTGTCTGCGTTACCAAGGAAGGTCTTGAACTCGAAGAAGATGAGGAGGAGAAGAAGGCTCGTGAAGAGGAAGAGAAGAAGTATGATGACCTCTGCAAGGCTGTCAAGGAAATCCTTGGTGACAAGGTTGAGAAGGTTGTTGTCTCCAACAAGCTTACTGACTCCCCATGTGTTCTCACCACCGGTCAATTCGGTTGGTCTGCCAACATGGAGCGTATCATGAAGGCTCAAGCTCTCCGTGACTCCTCCATGTCCTCTTACATGGCCTCCAAGAAGACTCTTGAACTCAACCCTGACCACCCCATTGTCAAGACTCTCAAGGAAAAGGTCGCTGCTGACTCTTCTGACCGCACCGTCAAGGATCTCACCACCCTCTTGTACGAGACCTCCCTTCTCACATCTGGTTTCTCCCTTGATGACCCCAACAACTTCGCCAACCGCATTCACCGTATGATCTCCCTTGGTCTTAACATTGATGCTGATGAGGAGACCCCTGCTGAGGAAACCTCTGATGTTCCCCCATTGGAGACTGCTGAGGCCTCTAAGATGGAGGAGGTCGATTAAATCGCTATAAACATGATATTACAAGAAGAAGAAAGGTTTTTCTAATTTAGAAGAGGTTATTTTCCACCATGCACCACAACTTTTTTTTTCGCAAAAATTTTTTTTCTCTCGACACAACTATACTGTTTTTTTCCCCTCTTTCTTTCCCCCTCATGTACATTTTTTTCTATAAGTTTGTTTAATTTTCTTTCACAAAAAGCATCACTGACTTGACAGTAAAGTTTTCTGAAATCAACGGAAGGCGAAGGGTTTGCCCAGCCGTATTGATTGTTGTCCAAACAAAAATTGGAAAAGATGTGAAGTGAAATATGTGGAGACTTGTAAGTGTTTGGCGCAAACGTATTAGGAGAAGGTTTACCAGCTTGAAAGGCACTGGCCAGATACTTTGACATTAACATTGGAACTTCCCCCTTGGCTTGATTTCAAGTTATGCAAGCGTGTGGCTTGTATTAGCACGCACCGTTATGTTTTCTCAGACCGCTAACACGTTTTCACTCGTAGAACTTTTCTGCAAACCTTCCCAGTATTAACGCTTGCAACTAGGGTCCCAATCGGTAGGCAACAACCATGCTTCATGGAATCTAACACTAACTTCCTTTTACATGTTACTTGATTCAACAAAACTGTTAAAATGCTATGGTGTGTGTAAAATAATTGCCGTGGAGGTTTCACTTGTGCACACTTTACATCTCAGTCATGCCTTTAAGTGTGACAAGACCCTAACATGGTGAAATATAGGACTCCTTCGCATTTCACTGCCTTTCTTCCGTAATGGACCAATTATCTCTATCCAGGGATTATGCCTCTTATTGACATCTCCTGAACTTGGCTTCAATTTTAACAATAGCCAACGTATAAATCATAGAATTTGGAATCTTCGTCTGTACACAAAAGGTATATGCTCTTCGCTATGCACAAGATCTAACGACAGCAAACTTTGAGCATGTAGTACGGTACGATTCTGATAACGCCACTCACTGCACCAAACCTACCCTTTAAATTCTATCGAGCAGTACTGGGTATTGAAGTATCATCCCTACTTATATTAGATCTCCTTTTCCGTCTCTTTTCTCTTCTTTCCTTTCTGATTGATAATGAACCGTTCGTGGCTTACACTGCTACTGTTGGCTGTATTGGTAACGACATGTAACGGGCTCTTATTAACATGGCCACCACCAAACTACAGTGTCACTATTTCCAGTGCCCTTCAAATCATGTGGAGGCGAACGGCCGATACTTCAGTATCTCCATTCATACCAGGTTACGTGACCATCTATCTCACAAACGATGGAGCACAAGGCAGTAATGCCACTATGATGGCGACAGGAATTTCAGATAGTTCGGGAACGACAGTTGTTTACGTCCCGTATTCGGTTCAGCCAGGAACATATTATATCTTTTTGAACGACACAAACCCTCTTGAATCGATCGATGTAGGAGGTCCGTACAACTTCATCAAATTAGCCGCAGCCTCCACGCCTGCCGCTTCAACACCATCGCTGACAGCAAATCCAGCAGAATCAACATCATCAAAGACGACCACATCGAATTCAGGTTGGAATTTTGGACTTCCACTGTTCATGGTACCAGTCATCATTATCATCGTGCTAGTGGCAAGTACCTATTCCCTTTTCACCTCGATGCTTTAGTACTTTAACTGATAAGTTTAACAGAAAGTAGGCTTGCTGGTGTACACCATCCGCCGTCGAGGATGGCGAGCGGTATTTAGGACCCCATGCTGCGGGAGACGTGGCCGTCGACAGAAAATTGTGGTGTATGAGACTCGTTATGTTGTGTACAATACTGAGGTAGAAGGCAGCCAAACTCAAATAATAGGCCATTCTCCTGTTCCAATTGCACCCTATCCCATGATGTACGAAGGGCCGGAATACCCGTCGAGATATTCAACGCATACCGTCTCCCATGCTCAGGCGTACGACACACCCTACTCGCCGGAACACCCGTCGACATACCCAACCCATACAGTAGTCTACCCACCAACACATATTTCAGAACAACCTCCGGAGTATCGACAATCAAAGTACTATTGATGGATGTTGTTGATTTCAAAGATATTTTTGACGTACTGGATGCAACTAACGGAAGCCGTTTCATATATGAGGAAGATAGATTCAATATTAATTATTATTTTCAAAACCTTGTCATAAAGATATCAACCATTGTCTCAATGTTCTTAAGACTCTATGTAGTGCTAGATTTATCCTGATATTCATTTCCGATAGTTGCAACTGCGTTTGTGTGGAATTGGTTGGCAGTCAAAAATTTTGGGTGGTCGACGTCATCCATTTTTTGGGATGGTCAAGTCCCCTCACAGGCAAAACAGCAGCGAGCCGATTCGTTCATTACAACAAGATGGCCTCGAGAATTCTTGCACGATCTCGCCTTGTCCCATCGACTCGCCAAATCATTAGCCGACGTGGTTATGCATCTGAGCATGTAAAGCATGCTGGAGAAGAACCCAAATTCCAACCAGAGAGTATGTAGAATTTGACATTTATCGGAATGAAGATTCTATCTACCCATCATTACCCCCATGTACGGCAAAATGTACCCTTTACTAACTACAAATCGAATAATATTATAGCCTTTGGTAGCAATGCTTGGAGAAACTCCATGTTCGTCGTCATTGCTGGATTGGTTTGGTACAGAGTTGATCAACACATCACCACCTCTGGCGAAGTAAGTATACCTTTCATATGTGATTGCACCCACCACATCAATGGCCGTTTTCTATCTATCGAAAACTCGACATGGTAGTGTTACGTCAAATAATGGACCTGTAGCTAATTATCACGCGTATTAGGACAAGCATCCCATCACCAAGTGGGTTGAATACCACATGACTCCTGCCTCTGACAACGACCGTGTCGCTGCCGAACATCTCGACCAAGCTGTCGCCAAGGCTGAAGATAAGCTCTTATTCCAAGAGGCTAAGCGCTCTCCTATCTATCGCATGCGATACCCAGAGTAAGTAGACAAGGCGGGCAATGAGGGGAAAATAAGGGAGAAAAGGACACTGCATCGCGGGATTGCGTATGGGCTACGATTTGTGATTTTATGCCATATTCTAATTGTGACTATTTAGGTCCTTTGAACGCGCCAGCCCTCACGCCATTGCCGTTGGCTCACAAGCTGATCTCTCCGACCTCAAGGTCAAATACAACTAGAGTGGATGCCAGCAAAAAAATAAACCCTGGTTGCTTGCTTGGTTCTACTGTTTAGAATTTTTTGTTATTATATAAAAAAGAAAAAGAAGAAAACTTATATGCCGTTCTGATATAAAAAAAGGTGTGATATAAACAAGATATTCCTGTTAAGCACTAAACGTCAGTGAGGGCAAGAGCGGAGTGTGCCCATGATCAAAAACATCCAACCTCCGAGCACAACAACACAAAAAAAAACTGGTTGGCTAACCCTGTGCTCAAGCAAAAAAAGCCGATCAACTTTTTTGACTCTCTTCTTTTCTTATTCTTTCTCCTCATCTCATTCTGCTTAGTACCCTTAATATCAAACGTATCATGACCGACTTCACCCTTGTGGCTCCTGAACCTCTCCGTTTTTCCAACTCTCAACCTGAATCGCTTCACTATGCTGTAACATGTTCACTTGGAGATGATGACCAGAGTTACACATCTTCGTCATGGTCCGTACTGAGCGATTTTGAGGAACCAGCAGGGTAAGTAGTACGCAGCGAATCTTTTGATCAACGGGGCATTTTTTTTTCTTCCATGTTTATTTTTATCTGTACCTCTTTTCTGATCTTAAACCCTCCTTTGTCCTCCAGGTCGAACGATTCTTCTGAGACATCCGCCTATACCGAGTTCCAAGAGATTATCAACTCTTCTCGGTGTGCTCATCGAGACAGCTATCAAGGGAATCTTGGACTCATCACTAAGCTAGTTCAGACCCTTCGCGAGCATGTCCCAGGTAAGAAGCATGTTCATGATAGCGTAACAGGCTGAAGTCCAGATGTGCTGATTTGTTGGTTATTTTTTCCTTTTTCCACCCCGCCCGGCTCTCTTCTCCGCTTTCGCTTGTCTCTTGTTGGTAACTATCAGCCTCACCCGTTCCTCGAAGTCACAATCCACTGCCCAACAATGCCACTTTCGCCACCTTAGCGGCTGCTCACTCCAAGCGTGCTAGCTCTTGCACACCCTCTGTGCTGACTTCCGCGTTGGAAGGCTACCCCGTTGGCAAGGCTTTCTAAATTCTTGATCACCACTTGTGTATAGCGACAACATGAGAAGGCATACTACTTAATCTTTCCGCCATTCCCTTCCATTTGATCAGTTCCGAGAAAAAGCAAGCCATGTACATAACCTACTCTTTCTTCTATATATCAAATTTTTCACGCAATACCCATTCGTGTTCACATTTATCGACACACCGAGATCCCCTACGCTATCATTGGGAGCAGTCTTTTTATTCTCTCTCTGTACATTCTCTCTTTTAACATTATTCGACGTTTGATCGCGCCTTCTTTAGAGACTCTTAAATTTTTTCTTATGTACGTAGCAAACACCACAATACACAGCTTTATACTTTTTTCCCCCCAACAAAAAAAAAGAAAAGGATCGAGATGGCTCACCATTCGACGTCACTCTTTCCATCTCGCTTCGCTTCACCTCTCGATACGACTTGACTTTCATGGGGCGTTATTTGTTTTGACGCTCCAGTTCGGCATTTGCCCTTTTGCGAAGGATGGCCGTGGCGTGCATCGGGAACCCCATTCAAGGGTTTGTGAGTAGCCAGTGAAACCCGCCAACAGCATTTGCGCGGTACATGTTGGTCTCCCAACAAACGATGCCATGCCATGCTGTACTTGCGTGGAGTTTGACTTTGCCTGAACGGGCCCCACTCATGGCATGCCAATGAATGAAACATTTTCATATGTCACTTTTGACAACCTATCATATTCTAGCCCTTTTGCGTTTGTTTGCCCTTTGGAAACATTCTTACGTCTAACCTCACAACGCTCATCCGACCCGACCGTTCCATGCCATGCCACAAAAGATTGGCAGAGCATTGATCGCCACCGATATGGAATCGGGTGTAGCCGCTCAATCGATATTTTTGTCCCTCTTTGCCGACGTTATGATGACCGAAGCGCTCTTTATTTTTTATTTTTTTTTGAACAAGGTCCCCCTGCTCTTGCATTCCGTCGGTCTTCTTTTGACCAATATAGGTTCTCGACCTCGACGAAATCAATGGGTTACTGTCTGGGAACCTTTTTATTTTCAAATTACGACAGCTTAACAAGAAAAAATTTAGACTCTTTTTCTAGAGATCCCCGATAGACGTTCATGGAATATGATAACGTTGATGATGGCAAAATTTACAATGCCCCAAGCCTGGAGAGGGGATGTACCGAACATATCGGATTACTGACGTTTCACAAACAATGTGCGCAGCTCCACTCAAACTTGAGGAATCAAAAGGAACAACCACCTTCGTCCACCTTTTCAGGGCATACCGAAGCCGATCAGCCATGTTGATCGTCATCGGGATACGAAGACGGAAAATGAAAAAAAAAACTACCACCGAAGCCAAAAAAAACCCATACTGGACCCCCCCAACGGCGCTAACCATTCAAGTACCCTCGTTTGCTGACGACATCAACGTAATTTACAGGCTCAATTATTATTTTTATATTACCATTGCGCATGTGGCCATTTTCTCCAGTGAGGTACAGAGTGAAAGTCTTCCTTTGTGTAGAGCATATTGATCCTAAGGCGTTCATGATGCTTGTATTTTAATCTCATACGGATCCTTCAGAATAAGCTATGTAGGGGGCGTATAATAGAAAAGCAAACCAGAGGGCCAGTGCGCGGTTTTCAGAGGGCGAGCTAGTGGCCTCACATGGCAAAACTCCATGCGTGACTGGTAAGTAAGGAGAGTCCAGAACTTTGCGCACAAACTACGGGCAATGTAACTGCATTTGCCTCAAGCTTACAACCATAGCACCACAAGTGAGCTGATGATGACATGATCAAGGAGCTCCCATTTGCACGCGGCAATGTGAATCTCCGTTAAATTCGAATTGAAACTTGTACCTGAGTGTAATAATTGAACTGCTTTGTTCCACGCTTTCCTCGTCGTTCGAAAGGCTCACATTCTTTTTTTCTCTTTATTTTTTTCTTCTCTTTTATCTTTTCTTTCTCTCTCCCTCTCTCTTCTCCTTTTACTTTCTCTCTCTCTGTCGCACTACTTTTACTTTTTGTAAAAAAAAAAAAAATTAAGATTGTCCGTTTAGAATAGGGTTCAACCTCCATCCTGAAACTTCACATCAACAGTTCCACTCCGACTTGCCATTATATTGCCCACTTCCCACCTCTAGAGTCAGCCCAATATGGACCAACCCATGTCAGACTCATCTTTGCCATTGCTGATGCAACCCATGTACACCTCTGCCGGTTCAGAATCTGTTAGCGAAACAACTTTAACCTCAGGTGTGCAACATTTTCTGCGTGTGGAAGCGCCACTGTCACTTTTTCCGATATCTCATTAACCTTCTTTTTTAACCTTTCTTCTTCTTCTCTTCTCATCTTTTCTCACCAGACCCAATGATTGGGATGTCTTCAGAACCTGCTTTTGAAGCCACGTTATTAACGACAGAGCCTATGATGGATTACGCGTCCACTCCTACTATGAATCCGATTGCTATTCACTCTACTATGGCGCCCGCTACTGCTATTACTGCCCCCGTAGTACCCTCCATGTCTTCGGCCATCATGCAATCAGGGGCCTATGAATACTCAATGCATAGTCCTACAGGCATCATGTACAATTCACTCTCGCAGCATCCTGGCATGGTCAACCCCGCTCAAATGGCCGCTGCTGTTGCTGCCGCTGCTGCCGCTGCAGTTGTTCAGCCCCACATGTATACACCAGTGATTGCAAGCGATCACCATAGCTTTTCCAATCATCTTCCACACGTTGCTGGTCAACAACATCAACAAGCTGAAGCTGTCCTTGCTTCGTCAAGTCATACATTAATGAACCCATTGTCATCTATTCAAGAGCCTGAAATTATTCATGCTCAGACAACGCTGAATGAAGCTGCCAATGTACTACAACGCCAACAACAACTATTGCAGGATTGTGTACAAGCAGCTGTAAATAATGCTGTACCTGATCAGTATGTCACGTCCTGCTTGGCCGAACACCAACAACGGATGAACCATACGATTGTTGCCAACAGCTCATTAATATCCATGCTGGAGAGGAGACGAAGTCACCATGACATGATGGTAATGCCTGCCTTCTCATGTTTAGAATAGAAAGAAAAAAAAATTAATGGATTTGTCCTTACTAATATGTCATTTTACACTCGGCTTTTTCTAAAACAGCTTCCGCACGCTAATCCCTCCTCTCCTCCACCTCAACCAAAGGTGGCATCCCATAAGCCAGGAATGCCTCGTCGTCATACTGTATCCACACCGTATCATCAACGAGTCACTGCTGCCTATCAAATCAGCCGTATTGTACAACCACAACAGCCAAGCAAACATGGTCGTCGGCAATCCCTTAGTGATCTGACGACACCTGTCTTACCATCTGACAGTGAACTTAAAGCAATGGCTCCGGCCGGCAACTTTGAGCAGATGACACGAGAAGAGCTTATCGAACGCTTGGTACAACTTGAAAAACAGAAACGAACACGGTCAGGTAAGCATCAGGGCTTTTTGATTTTTCGTCTTTGAATATGACACTGATATCCGCTCTATTTTTCTTGGCATAGACTCCTCTGTTATGGATGATTTGACTTCCCAACATATACTGAACGGAGATAACTCAGCCCACATGGAATCCACGTCTCCTTCTATGTCATCCCCACTTTCGTCCTCAGAACACTCACCCCAGTTATCCGATCGGGAAGATGTCGATGATAACGAAGAGTCTTCAAGACAACGATGTGGATGGAAACATTGCGGTACAGAATTTGACACACTCGAAGATCTCATCGTTCACGTTCGCGATGACCATATTGGATGTGGCAAGGTACGCAGGCTGGCAAAAGAAAAAAAAAAATTTTTTTTGACAACGTGAAAAATAACCTCCCTGCCTTTTAGCCAATGTACAGCTGTGAATGGGAAGGTTGCTCTCGTAATCAAAAACCTTTTACCAAACGCCACAAGATGCATAATCATGTTCGTACACATACAGGCGAACGTCCTTACCTTTGCACGGTTGAAGGTATGTAGCCAATGCGGACGACCGGTGTTCGGTTAATTGTTTTTCACCAACCCCCTTTCTTTTTTTGCATTAGGCTGTGGCAAGCGGTTTTCTCGCCCTGATTCGTTGAACACGCATATCAAGACGCATTCAAACGAAAGACCTTATGTTTGCCCTCATCAAGGTTGCAAAAAAGCATATTTCCATTCTCGATCCTTAAAAAAACACGAACGAGCTCACGAACAACAAGTTTCAACCACTGTTTCACCTGGTCGCTCCCATCCTTACTATGGAGCCTATCGCGGTAGTAAGACCACTACGCATGATATGCTTCCAGCCAATTGTTCAATGGAAGCGATGCCCAATTGGGTCGCTGGCACATGGGTGCCCACTGCGACATCAGCGTATCCTCTACCGCTTCAAGGTCAACCGCACATTGTCTTACCTGACCAGCAGCAGCAACTCTACCAGATGCAAGCCAACTTAATGTCATCCAATTCTGACTCTCTATGATCAAAGGGTAGAAACCCCCTGCCGGCCGCGCCTCATCCACGCTTTCTTATTAATGTACATCTAATCTCTTGTCAAAAAAAAAACATACTCAAAACCGGTCGACATCCCCCCCCCCACCTTGTCCATCACCTCTCCAAATCGAAGGAATTTTGATTATTTTGGTCTAACTTCTTTACCACGGCGCTGGATCGCGACCTTTATGCCTCTACATAACAACCCAAGTTATTATTACCTACACAAGCATTAACGAAAAAAAACCCCCCAAGTCCTCACAGTATGGAATTCTTGATGAACCAGATAAGACCATCTTTTACACATTCAACAGCAACTAATGATTTGATCATCAATGGTTGGACTCCACTTAAACCCCAGAAGCAGGCTTTCTCTACCTCATACATATCTTTTTCTTTTTATATTTTTTGTTTGTTTTTCTTTGCTGAACGCCGAAAGCCTTTTTTTTTTCTTTTGGGCACTGGTTTTTCTCTTCTCTCTTTTATCACTCAAACCATCCCTTTGTGAGTCTGCGACCACACCCTTGCCTGCCAGGCGATAAGAAAAAAAAAATGAGGGCACAGATTCAGTATTGTAAATGATGATGCCAAAAATAAAAACATATATAATATCCAATTGGCTGTGCGACACTCGGTGGAACGGAATGGATGAAGCCTTATTTTTGACAAAATCTGTTCTTCACCAGGTTGCGTCAAACACCATCCGACTCGCTTGGTTGCAATTATAAAAAGATATTTTGATTTATTGGATGCACTATTTATATCATTTTTCTTTTTTCTAGTCATCGCTTGGTCTGCGCTTCAAGAAAAAAAAATATACAGACGGCGCAGCACAGGCGAAGACCCAAAAAAAAAAGAGAGGTGGGGGGTTTTCAGATCAGTCTTGTGGGGGGACCTGCTAAATTACAAAGTTGGCTTTTCGGGGTTGACTGCAGAGGGAACAGCAGGCTGGGCGAGAGTGGGCTGGGCGGTTGTGGTAGCAGGGGTGCTAGTGGTACCAGTGAAATCGATGGGTGATCCCTTCTTCTCCTCCTAAAAATATGCCATATTAGCCATTCCATTCGGTTGACCCCGGTATTAAAAAAATGATAATTTCAACTTACAGCAAGGCGAAGAGCTTCTCTGTGAACAGCACCAACTTGCTTCATGATCTGATCAGCAAAAGTCTGAACCTTTTGTCCAGTCTCAGTCTGCATTAATTCTTGAGCCTTGGTTTGAGCAGTCTCACCAGCGGTCTTGGTTCGTTGCTGGATACCCAACTTGCTGTCGACCTCGGTGGCCTTATCAGTGACCTTGTACTTGTCGTCCAACTGTTGAGCAGTGTTGGTCAACTTGGCCAAGTAATCTTGGATACGCTTGGTGAAGGCGTACTTGGAGTCAAATTCAACACCCTTAGCGACAACGTTGTCAGTCAACACGTAACCGGAGGCCAAAATTTCGGCCATGATGTTGGACTTTGGCTTGGACTCTTGGGAAGTATCGTCGTCGTGGTGAGTGGAGGAGGGCTCGGTGGTGGAGGGGAAGTACGATTCGACAGTGATGTGGGATTCATCGATCAAAGCGTTGGAAAGCAAAACGGCCGTCTTGGCAGCAGACTCGCGTTCAAACAGAATAAGCGCTTCTTGGTGCTTACCGTCTGCGCTGGGCTGAAGTTCAAATGACTTGATCTTACCGCAGAACTCAAAGAAGTCTCTGGCCGTCTTCTCGGAGGTGGTCAACGACAAGTTCTTGACGTGAACGAGGGTGGCAGTGGGTTCAGTAGGTATGGGAGTAGTCCAGTTAACCATTGTTTTGTATACTATTAAAGAAAAGTAAAGAGAAAAAAAAGTTGATGTGAAACGCAGCTCTTTTAAAAAGCCTTGCTTTGTCCAGCTTGGACAGGGAAAAAATTCCAGCCAAAACCATGACACGCGTATGACGCAACCATTGACAGCATTACATTCCCTTTTTTAGCGAATCCCAAAACTTCTCGAGCTATCCCACTCACATCATGCCCTCAAGACACAATCAAACTTACATTTGATCGAGTCGATCCTCCCCGCCAAGACTTGCTTGCACATTCAATTATCTTGGTTGCGAAAGTCGAATGGTTTCATGCAACGTGGCATTTTCAAGGACCGAACCGTGGTAGGTCGCGTATGATGAAGTCAAGCCATGACCGAATAGATAGCATTACCAGGCAATGCGTTAATCCGTCGTCTGGTAGAGTTATAACCATTATCTCATTCCATGAAAACCTTAATACGGAAATTCTTTGAAAAACGCAGTATCATTCGTAAAATCGATCCTTTTTGTTTGAGCGATCACATGATGTGTCGAACACCCACTGCGCTACCTCCACGCTGTTGGACTTTCCTTCTTCATTCTATTCACCATTCACTATGTTTGCTGTTCGAGGACTAGGAAAGCTAATCTTTGGTGACGAGAAGAATCCAGAGCTCATTAGCTTACCTCACGGCGACTTTTATGTCACGACCGTTGAAGGCAAAAAATCCACTCGAGAAAAACTGTAAGTTGTCACTCGCGCACTTTTCCTTTGAGGAATGAACCCTAATGGCTTTTTATCCATAGATTCTCTGACAGCCAAATGGCCCTTCGTCGCACTACTCAAAAGTTCCAGTACCAAATTGTTGTCACTCGCGCAGTCGACGCAAAGAACCCTCCAGAGGATGATCGTAAGTAACTGACCGGGATCAGTCAGGCTTGGCATTTTGACTGATTTCGAATACCCCCCCCACTGACTTTAATTTTTTTTTATTCTAGTCGAGGATGAACAGACTTTTTTGGTCGATGAAGCGATTCAGTTCAGGAGAAGAACAGACGGTGATATCACTTCGTTTGTTTGGATCGACGTATCGGAGGTAAGCTGCCGAGTAGAAAAGTCCGGTCGGGCGTAAAGACTTGCCATATACTAACTTTTTGATCTCTAGTCCAACGAAGTCTTTGAGTTCGTGTGTGACAAAGCAACTCAGAAATATGCCCTCGAAACATTCGAAGCTACTGTGTACGACTGTATGTATGAGCGTAAATCACAAAAATCACGCGACGAAGCTACCGAGCAAGATATTGAAGCCATCAAAAAAGTGTAAGTAGACATTCCCCTCGTTGCAATTCCTTGCAGCCAATGATACTTCATGTATTCATGTTCATTTTCCATTCATAGTCAGCTAGTTCCAAACGCCTCGGCCGCCGCTCCCAGAGAAAAATCTGTCGATGATTTGACTGGTTTGATGTCCAACCTCAAGACCCAGGAAGCAAAGGAAAAGGGACCAGCTGGAAATGAACCCCTCAACAGCTCTTTGCCTACTGGAGACGCCCAACGCATGATCCATACTGTGGCTGATCTCCATCTCTTTGACCAAAAAAGCAATGCCTTTGTTCCAAAGGTCACGAATACCGATGTCCGCTTGGTACAAATTGGTCCTTACAAATGTAAGCATTCGCTAAGTCATACACCGCATTCCCCCATCCCTCTAATTTATCTTGTATCAGATTGGCTCTCTGTCTCACAAGGCAGCAAACCCCTCATTGCACAATTGGTCGAACCATCCATGAACCCCGTTTTCAACAAAGAACACAAGGCTTTCATCTGGAATTATTATGAAGGCAATCATGTCTATTCATGGCTGCTTCAATTCCCTAGCAAGGAGAGCATTGAGACATTCAAGGAAATGTTCGGAAGATGTATTTTCGAGGCTCTCAACCAGACCTCATTTTCCAAGTTTGAGGTAAGAATACAAAGCAGGGTCATATTCTATACTAGAAAACTTTACTAACATGGACTGTGTTTTCTCTCACGCAGAAAGGAGATCAGGATTATGTTATCAACGCATTTGAGGAAGAGAGTGAAATGGCAGAAGATGATCTTTCCGACGAAGGTTTGTCTATTGAATTTGTTAAGTCATGCATCGTTGCCCTCTCGCTTACCTTTTTTTTTACACCTAGATGAAGAAGAACTATTCCATGATGTTGAAAATGATGATTCAGACGTTGAGAGCAATGCTGACCACTTTGCCGATGGAACCGAGAAGAATAAGCACTTGCAAGTGGGTTACAAGAATGCTCGTTCCTTCGTCGTTCGTGGTGACAAGATTGGCGTTTTCCAACATACCGATGACGACAAGCTCAAATTCTACACCACCATCAACAATGTTCGCGACTTGCAGGGAAAGCCATTGAACCCTAAGCAGGCCATGTTGCATCAAGAAGACTCTTCCATGATTCTTTTGGACCCCAAGGACAACCATCGTGCATACAAGATGGATTTGGAGCGCGGTGCTGTTGTGGAAGAGTGGAAGGCGCACGACGATGTAGCATGTAAGTTGTGTTTTTTATTTTTGAAAAGCTGGTTCCGGTTGAACCCCTGGCCATGAACCTAATATCACATCTCCTTTTCTTAGTGAACTATATCACGCCAGAAGCCAAATATGCTCAAATGACCAATACCCAGACGCTTGTTGGTATCTCGCCAAACGCTTTGTATCGTATTGATCCTCGTCTGGCTGGAAACAAACTTGTGGATTCTCAATTCAAGCAATACGTATCCAAGAATGACTTCTCCGTCGTCTCCACTACCGAGAAGGGCTATGTTGCTGTTGCTTCTAACAAGGGAGACATCCGTTTGTTCAACGAAATTGGCAAGAACGCTAAGTCGGTGTTGCCTGCATTGGGTGACCCTATCTATGGTTTGGACCTTACTGGCAATGGTAGATTCATCATTGCTACTTGCAAGACCTATCTTTTGTTCATTGATGTCGAAAACAAGACCGATCCCAAGAGACGCCTTGGTTATGAGCATTATTTCCCCAAGGATGACAAGCCTATTCCTCGCAGACTGCAATTGAAGCCTGAACATGTTGCTTACATGCAAGAGCCCATCAACTTTACTCCAGCTCGCTTCAACTCTGGTCCCAATGAAGAGACCACCATTGTCGCGGTAAGTTTTTTGATCCCGAAATATATATTAGTGCTGCGGTGACACGCTCATATTAATGGAATCTCTGCTATCTAGTCCACCGGTCCCTATGTTGTTAGCTGGACATTGAAGAAGATTAGACTTGGAAAGATTTACGATTATACGATCAAGAAGTACGACGATGTGGTCGTTTCCGATAACTTTGTCTACGGTAACGATAACAACATTGTTGTTGCTGTAAGTGTCACGAATGTGCCTGGGTTTTCCCCGCCCGGTGTCTCGATGTTTCAATCCAATATGACGTACCTATAACCAATTCACTAATCCTCTTCTATTATGTAGCTCCCGAACGATGTCACTACCTTGTCCAAGAAACAGCTCGGTACCCCAAGAAACATCTTGACCACGCCTTCCCAGAACTTGCGCTCGCGTTCTAACATCGTCAATGCCCCTTACTAAGAGATGCATAATAAGAACTAAATCCCTTTCTCCATCTGACATTCCCTCAGACCCTTTTCTGGTTGACGTTTTCTTTTCTATTTCCTACCATACGACAGCTTTCTTATCATCTTTTTTTCTTTCCGATCCAATACTCTAGTTTCCTCCTCCCACTTTTGTCCAATATAATATAATAAATAAAAATCCCACTCCCAATTGATTGTAGTAGCAAAACGTAAAGCAGGTCGTTTTTATGAAGGTAGTATAACAAAAGTGAAAACGAAACAAAATGACTTTCAAGTTTGGGTAAAATGTACAATGGGGTGGATTTTTGTCATCGCCTTCGACGTTGTGTGGCCAAAAGAATCAAACCTGTTGGGAAACACATATAAACAAGAGCTGCTATGAGATGACTGCAGCGTCAATCGACATCCATGAACGCAACGTTAGAATCTGGGGTCGCTTTATCTGACTGATCCAGATCCATGGTCAGACCCACGGGCACATTGTTGAGCACGACAATGTGTTTTTCTTTTGGCTGTAGGAACCTAGCGTCAATTGCCATTTTCTTCACACGCATCGTCACACCTCCCTTACCTTTATCACATCATTGGCTCGGCTGTCACTTTGGCACACGGATGGACCTAGTGCTAACTCGCGCACAGATTTCGGTCTATCATACAATCAGTCAGCGTAGGTCATTGCCATTCATTTGACAGAGTAGACTACTTACGCGCGCGGATTCTGCAGAACAAAGTCCGGGACATGATACTTCCGTTCTCCGGGCCGCTTTTGCATTGGTAGAGTGTAGTCGGTTTCCATGCCGTCGTCGTCGTCGTCGTCGTCGTCAGAGAGGAAATCATTGATGTCTTTGATCACTACCACCGACTGCTTTCGCTTCGGGTCGTTGGGCTTTGACGAAGGTGGCGTTGAGGTATCCACCATGTCGTCTTTGTGATTCAGTGACATGGCGGCTAAGTCGTGGGCAAACCTTTCAGATATATACACTTTTTGCGCTGGCTCATAATGTTCGCTGTCCACGGGGTGAGGCCGCTTCTTGGGTTTAGGATAGGGCTCATTATGAGCAAACGAGTAATTCATGGGCATGCTGCTAACTCGTTTAAACCTTGGGCCAAAAGATAACCAAGGGAAAAAAAAGTCCGTTGGCAGTCAGTGGAAATGACTGGCGGGCTCCAGAAATTTCCTCGAGTGCAGCAGCATGAAATATTGGGAAACAGGTCAATAAGCCTATCGACCGAGCCCATGACACCTCTTTATTACATTAACAAATCTATATACTGTATGCATGGATGCTTATATCAAGCCAACTTCTTCGCTCCCTTCTTCTTCGTCGCATCCACATTGATACATGTCAGCAACCAGACTGCAATCGAACATTGGCTTTTCTAACCGTTCATTGACCTTGTTATGCACCGCACACGCCCATTGTGATGCAGCGTCTCTTGAAGATGTTTGTGGAGGGTATTGCTTTAAGAGAACTTGAAAGTGTTCAGCGCATTCGCCGCATGGGTATAATCTCGATAGCAATGTGATCCATTGTTTAAGCGCAGTTCTCTCTTCTGATGTGGGTTCTAACGGAAACCTCGCTGTCATCGTATGTAGCAACTGTAATGTAAAATACATAGGTCAATTGTAAGGTAGAGAGCACTGAAAGGTGGTCAAGGGCGTTATACCTTCCACGTTGATCGACCAAGCTCCGCTCTATGGAAAACCACAAAAAAAAGAGTCGCGTCTTCTGTTAATATTGCTGTACCAAACATGAATCAAGCACGCTGTCCAAGAAAGAAGAAAACTCACTTTATTGTCTCATTGCCAAGCTTGCCCATAATCACATGTCCACCGACGTCGGGTTCATGAGCAGCATGTATGGCAGCTTCTTGCGATTGCCAGTGTAAGTTAGGTTTAGACGGTTGCAAGAGTACAAAAGCAATGGTAAGGAACACAAGTACACAGGCAGTTAGCGTGATTTGTATAGGAGGTGCTCGCATGACTATTGTCGTCAAAGTACCGTTACTGGCTGACAGTTTCTGGCCATATAGGGAGGCTTTTCAAACGAAATTCTCCATCACGTGATTGATTTGATTTTTTTAATAAAATCACATTTGAGCTGGCCCTGTTCGTTTGTTTCATCGCAGGCACTCCAGTCTCTAGATAAATGTCTGTTCTCTTCGACCAGCCTCGTTCATATCGTTTACAATTGTGCCATTCTACCCATTAGAGACGCTGGACAGTCTCGACCTCACTATGGCAAACGCAAGTGCCGACTCGGTGTTACAGCTTACTCTCGAAATGCTGCCAAGTGCACAGACCAGTCATAAGCCAGGTTGCTCGAGGCCTGCCAAGGAGACGTGCTGTAAGTGCACAAAAAAGCATCTGGCGCCATCAATTTGAAGCTTGTCGGAATTCATACCTTCGATTTTGCCCTAGTTCTGGTGTTGTCTCTCATGAAAATTGCTTGATAAATCCTGCACTCTTTGTACTGATCTATTCAATTTATCAATGTGACATAATGACATGGTCTGCACATTGACAAGTTAGAAACAGTAGGGAGGAAAAACGAATTCATTTGGATAAGTTTGTCTTGGACAGCAGGGTCCTTGCGCGATGTGCGAGACTGGACGAGTAACGTAACTGTAGCAACATAGCATGACCGCTTTGAAAGTTTTGTAACTCTATCTCAGGTAATTACGCTTTATTGACCAAGCTCCACTTAAGATGTTTTCAAATTTATTAGGTATTGCCAGCATGACCTTATGCTGTAAGGAGTACCAGTACAGTATGTAAACTTCACACTTTTTTCGGCGCCTCATCCGCATCTGGGTCCTGCATACGCGTCGGCTAGTAGGTCTGTCAAATGTCTAAATCATGCAAACCACATACCGCCAGCGACTACTATGTTAACCAAGTAGCGAAGGACAGCACCATCAACCCTGATGCTTAATGCACTTTTCAACTCAAGTCAATAACATGGCGTAAGCCTCATGGGTAGGATAGTCAGGCACCATGGATTTTTTGGCTGGTTGCACACAAGTCTGTCTTACCAGCCGCGGAGCTCAAGAAAAAGCTAGAAATAAACGGTAGGCGTGCGTAAGCCTCATCAGATATTCAACGGAGTGTGCTGCTGGTTTTATATTAGGATAATTCACTAAGCTGCATTACACGTACATTCAACGCAAATGCCACTCCATAGCTTTTTTCAAACGCGTCGCGCGTATATTGGATATAAAGGTGAATGAAAATTGTGGGTCGATTATTTTGAGCATTAGAATTTCTAGAAGTTCCAATATGCAGTTTATTTACGATTCAATTCTATAAAAAAGACATTTAGCAGCCTTCCCTTTTTGTGTCTTCACATATAGCCCCCATCTGAAAGTCAGTGCGTTGACTTTCAAAGTGTGTGTGTGCAATGTCTCAGTGATGTAGTAAAGTGCGGGCTCCACATATTGTGAACGCAGTAGAAGTGTGGTGGGTGATACGAGCAGAACGGGCTAAAATACACACCGTGGTGCTACTTGCATTACTGCAGTTTGGCGGCTCTTGCTTATTTTCAGACACAATCGTCTCCGGCTTGGTTGCACAGTGGCAGTTTTACGGCATTTTGCAATCCGGGTAAGGACCTGAGGCGTTTTTTACAGCTAGCCACCGAGCCTCAAATCGGCTACCAATGCATTCCACATGCGCTGGTATGTCACAACTTCCGTCTTTTTTTTTTACCAAACCTTTGTCGGCTTGCTCTCTCTTATCAAAGACAATACAGATTGTCCGAATTTTGTTTTATTTTTCACCTTTCTTCCCTCCTTTCATTCATTCGTTTCTGTCAGCAAACCGTTGCTTTGATATCCTCCAATCCTTAATTTGATATCACCTAGTGTCCTTCCCCTTCCTTCAACGTTCAATTGCTCACCATCCTTCAATTTGTTCCTTCCTTCAACCAAGCAAACATGACCTTTGAACGCTCAAAACGACGTACAGTTAGCCTCATCTTAGTGTTTATCACTGGAATCCTGGGCTTAGTTGTCTTCTTTAACTTTCGCTCGCTCGCATTGAATGATATGCACTCGTCTGCCAGTAACGTGCACGCAGCCGACGTATCGCCTGTCAGTGACGTGTATACGGACGAAGTAAAAACTGTATTGGATCAGGAAACAGGCTTGCCAAGCTGTAATGTACCCTATGGAGAACTCATGTCTATTGTAGATGATGAACCCTACACCTCTTGCATTTTCAAGGATAATGAACTAGGCGACTTGATTTGGGAAGCTGCCGAGTACCCTCTGCCTTCGCAACATATCGTCCAAGCTATTGAAAACAACCTCATCGATGAAACGCAGCGAACTCTACTGCTTGCTGTGGTCAACCACGGTATGCTGGAATATACACTCAACTGGATTGAGTCTCTCAGGAGAACTCAAATTGAAAAGTACCTTGTTTTTGCCATTGATCAAGAACTGGTAGACGCCTTAACGGAGAGAGGATTAGGTGAACATGTAGTGCTTATTCCTGACGAATGGCGCCATGTAGAAATCTCAGGTGATTTTGCCAAGTGGAAATCAACTACCTATGTACCTATCACGCATGCCAAGACGCTTATTGTTGAACGTCTGTTGTATATGGGCATCACCGTATGGTTTTCCGATGTCGATATTGTATTTTTGAACCCTACCATTTATAACCATATTTTGTGGAATATGAAGAACCGTAAGGATGTCCACATGGTTTTCCAACAAGAGACTCGTCAGACAAGTATCAACAGCGGTTTCTATCTCATGCGCCCCACTCTTGTCACCAAACGAATACTTGGTCGTACGATTGACCTCCAAGACCGCCATGGCAACCTTACGCAGCAACGTGTTATGAACCTTGTCCTGAGTGACATGAATCAAGACTATAGAAATTCTCCCATGCTTCTATTAGACTTCATGCAGTTCCCCAATGGCAACATTTATTTTGGGGCCAAGCTCCCCACCAAGCTTGGTTTTGAGCCCATGATGGTCCATGCCAATTATCGGTAGGTTTTTAGCGTGTTCGGAAGGTTTCGATGGCGTTCGATAGCTAACCCAAATTGTACTCACAGAGTTGGAGATGCTAAGAAGACTTCGCTTCAGGAAGCAGGTTTATGGTATCTCCCTGACGACGAGGTTACAGACGCCACTACTGAAGAAACTGGCAATTAACCAGCCTATACCAATGCCTTTTGCCTTGTGACAATTCGCTGCGCGGACCTAACAGAACTTTAAAGTTTTCCCTTTTCCCAATCTAATCCACTATTTCAACGCCATAGAATTGACTCATCCTAACTGTATCATATATAAAGTTTTGTCCTTTCCCTGGGTCATCGTGTATGTAAAGAAAATGTTAGAGTACTTGAAACGAGGAGCATATACGACAAGGGAAGTCGATGACAGATAGCCATGTGTCGGCAAAATCTGTATTTTTTTTGGTGCTGCTAATTGTCACCCGCCTGCAGCATCTCAATCAAACCCCTTTAAGCACCCCCTTTTTTCTTTTAACAATCACATCTTCCAGATGTCATATTGCGTTTTTAAATATACATCATCCTTTAATGACCTTCCTTCAAGCTGGTGAATAGACCGGTTTCATATCTTCTGAACTACATGGTTGGGTAGGAGCATAAATGCTGAAGGCGAGGAACAGAACTGGCTTCGATAATTAAGCTGCGCCTTTGACTTCTCTGCGGTGAATATGGCTTAACAAATTATTCAGCTTGCAAACGACTTCCACCATCAAATAATGACACTGTTACTCTTCGTCTTTTTCTTTCTTTTGCGCAAGTCGAGTAGTGGTCAACTCCTTCATTTACTATAATAAGTTTTTCTCTTTTACACATGGTCTGGGGTAGTTAGAGTCCGAAGCAACGTGCACAAGTGGAATCTCAAGCGGTGGTACCAAAGTTCTTTCCCTTTATATGGATCAATTGATAGCAACTGCTGATACTGCTGTAAGAAAATATCAGTGGTGGACGACTGCTGCACAGCAAGTTGGTGGTGTAAAGATTAAACGCAATGGCTTCCATCAAATAGCCTGCATCAATTTATCCACTTTGTAACCAGAAGGTGAATGCCATATTGCCGTAGGCTGCCATGAATATGAGAAAGCTTGAGAGAAATAAGGCTGGACTATGTCCAGTGTTCCTCATTGTACACACAACCGCTGGGTAACTAGTAGACCTTTTGAAAGTTCACTGGACTTACCTGTTAGAGCAGCAGTCTTGTATATGGCAGATGTGCAGAAAACCCAGATTTTTCCCAATGAAATATTTCAATCCGACGGCATTGTAGTCATTTTACATACCCTCTGTCAAATAAAAAGACATCCGTGCATTCGACATGCTTTTTATGTCACAAATCGAACCTTTAAACAAGCCTTTATCTGCACGCTCTCACTTATCACAAACGAACCAGTTTATATGTTTTCCGCATTCTTCTTTTCTTTCACACCTTTCTTTCAACAACCGTGCTATGACTTCTCCAACCCAATTCAATGCCGTCCAACATATCTCCCTAAACCATACAATTATTTACAGTCTTTAGATTTATTGCTTCACTTGAGCAGCATGCTTGCCTATTACACCGCTATACAATGGACCCATTCTAGCTGCATCGTATATTTTACATATTATAATACATGCTTTGTTTTCCTCTTGGGTCATCTGTATCTTCTATGTGGCAAGCATACTAGAGCATTTGAAAAAAGGGTCATTATGACAGGAAAAGCGATTGAGCCGGCGCCGAATGGCCTTCTCAAATTTTTTTACGTTCCTGATGATAGTCACTGCCTGCAATAGTCTTTCATTGTTGGACCCTTTCTAATCACATCTTCCAGAACTCATATTGCGTTTTTAGTACATCATGCTGCAGTGACACATCCCACTTAGATCCAACAGCTCTGAACCTCATGTTGAAGGCGGGAGCTGAACGCTGCAGGTAAGACTGGTCTCGACCCTTAGGTTTATTTATCCCATTTTTTTCCAGTGCTGTGCACATCTCCGCCGGACTGAGCAAGTTACCCTATTGTGAGCATCTGCATTATTGAGTCATGGCACTGTTCAGGTTTTGTCCATTCTTTCGAAATGGCCCAGCTCCTCCATATTCTGTCATGGATTTTTTCTTTTGTACATGGATCTTCCAGTCTGGGGAAAAACAGGGCTCGAAGAAAAAACGTGCATAACTGGGACCTCAGGCAACAGTCACTTTAACGCTCAGCGTTCATCCTCCGAAAATCGCTCACGTCTATCATTTCACATCATGGCTTTCATTGGCTGACGATTGCGCTTAAAATGGCAAAAGGGCTGCTTTCTCTACCAAAAAGGAAAGCATTCTTATAGCGATCAAGAGCGAGTTTTACATCGCCGCTCATATTCCTCCAGGACATGGCTAGATAACCCTACTTCATTACCCTCTTTGTTCATACACATCAGTCTCGTTCAAATCGGGTTTGTCCCATGGGTCACTATCTATGTTATGCTAGTCTAAAAGGCAAGGCGACTGATCATGTCTACTGCACAACCTGATTCAAATCAATCTCCGCGTGATACGAAAGAGCGCGGCGGCCATCCGAAAAAGGATGACTGACCGCTGAAGTGTGTGAAAAACAGAACTCAGTCGTGATGAATCCAGCGTCTCTTATATACTGAGTCGTATCTTATCTGCCCCCCTGTACTGATTCTCTATCTTATCTTGTCGCACCCGGTTATCTCCTCACCATGCTCTTCAAGCGCAAACACTCTTCCGAGCTATCAACAACAGCAGGCATTGACACATTACCCAATGAACTATTACTGCGTGTCTTAACACACCTGCCTACTCCTGACTTACTTCACCTCGCCAAGCTCAACCGTCGTTTCTATCATCTTTCGGCCAAGACGCTTGTCTTGAGACTCGCCGCTCGCCCCGACGCTCTTCGTCTTCGAGCCCACTTTGAGCAAGAGTCAAGATGGAAATTCTCTGTAGACATGCAACTGACTGCCATTGATGAAACGGGTCGCTTCAAGTTCGCTCCTATTCAACCTATGGCTATGAGATTGTTTGAATCCAAGATGCTACGCTCTCCCACCATGCACAAGCTCAGCATCATAGGCACCGATTTTGATGGTTTGTCATTGAACGTACCAGAGAGTCTTATTCCCAAGAGCCAAACTCTACCTCTCAAAGAACTTGGCCAACATCGCATCACATCCACTTATAACCGCCTGGTCGCCAATGTTGCCAGTACGCAAACAGCCCTCGTTTACAACGTTACCAAGACACCTGAGGAGTTCACCAAAGTGCGGTCTGGTGAACGTTGGGTTACACCAATATTATTTGAATGTCCAATGATATTCTTGTGTCAAGCTAGACCTGGCATCACTAAGATGATGGATAAATTGAATGCTCGCCCAGTTGGACGAGGCATCGATGGAAGACACTCAACTCAATCCATGAAGACACCCATGTCCTCAGCAAGAGGTGGTGTGGAAGAGTCTATGCTCTTGCCTTCTCGGCCAACTCATGCCAAGGCCACTGAACCCATGGTTGGAGGCTTGCTCTTAGCTGCCCACTAAGTTTCACCGAAACAAACCAGCCTATGGGCTATTTTCATGTATATACCCACCCCCCCCCCCCACATACCAAATCACTCATCTTGTAAACACTACATCTATTTTACTACGTATGCCTTCTAATCATAATGATGGACTTAATCCAAAGGAATAAATTTCTACCTCCTATTCCAAACTTGTGTCTCTGATCACCGACTTGAGGAAATTTATTTGAAACATTCTGGGTGAAAAATTCTTATTGCATAGCATTCACCGACCCTACTCTGGGTTTCATGCCCAGGAGCTGTCAACCACCGAGACGACTCGGCTGGGAGTTGTAGCTTGGCAATGAAACAACAGAGCTGATCATCGCCACATTGATGCGATTGGATGCTTCTTTCCCGCCTAAAACCAAAAAAATCATAGAATTTTCTTTTCCCGCCCTTGGCATTGGCTGGTTGCTCCTCACTCGGCCTTGCTATACCTTCGGCGCTAAAAGTTCACTCTTTTTTCCTGACATCATCATTTACCTGGTTAAAACCGTGCCTTCTTTGGACATTCCACGTTCTGCTAGTGTAACCTGCAGAAAAGTTAACCCATTAAGGCCGCTCGGCAACGCAGCCCTATTATCCACAGAACTTCCATATAACCGTACGTGTTATTATCATTCCTGCTCACATGAACAGTTTATTTTAATAAACGATTGCCAAGCTATAATGTTAGTTTAGGGGTCGCACTTGAATTTTTCCATCTTTCAGATGTGATTATTTTTTTTTTTTAAAAAAAAAAATTTACTAGTCACGGCTTAATTTGCTTTGGGTTTGATTGGCTCGCACAGTGGAGTTTCTCTTGGCCTCACTACTGGCTGACTCTTGTACTTCACGGCTCCATTCCCTCGCCTCTCCCGCATTTCATTTCGCCCATCTCTCTCTCTCTTTCCTTTTTTAATCCTCTGCGTACCCTTCCACCCACCAACAGCGCATCATGAATAATAACTCTAGATATACCATCAGCAGAGACCGCATGTCCGAGCTCAGAGTACGTTTGATTCACCGTTGTCTAATTCTGGGCACCCCATAGCGGATCATAAATCCGCTTACCCATACTCCCCTTACTCAATGAATATTTTCCTTTCCATAGGATAACGGTAGCCGCACTCCCCGCGATAACGCCTATGAGTAAGTTACATATTTCCCGATGTCCAACATGCTGTTTGTGTGGCTATGGTTCCCTTAAATTAACCCCATTGCCAACTTTGTAGTGAAGACGAATTCGGTCCTCCCAGAGTGCCTTCTGGTTACCGCTCTCAAAGCCCACGAGGCTACCAAGACAGCTATGATGATGACAGTTACAATTCGCCTGCTGATAACCGTTATGCCCCGTCGCGCACTCCTCAGAATCAGCAACGTGGTCGTTACAACGATGAATATGAGCTCAGCCAAACCAATGGCGGTGCTTCTAACACTGCTTCAGGTGACATCTACACTATGCCTGGATACCTTGCTGAGGTTTGTGTTTCGCTCTACCCAATCCATTCTCTCCATTTTTCCTAATATTGGGATCGACTCGTGTGTTTTATAGGTCGACGACATCCAGAGCCTTATTCAAACATTGAACCAAAACATCTCCACCATCAATGACCTCCATGGAAGATCTCTCATGAACGAAACTCAAACTGGCAAATCTTCCGCCGAGCTAGATTCCTTGATCAACCAGACTAACAAGCTGAACATGAGCATTAAGAATAGAATAAAGGGTAAGAGGGGGTTTTTTCGTATGTGGAAGACCTACCTGACGCGCATTACCTAACCTATCCTCTTGCAGCTCTCGAATCCTCCAATGCTAGCTTGCCCAACAACTCTGATGCCAACATTCGCAGATCCCAGCTGGCAAAGCTGAAGAAGAACTTTATGGACGCCATCGTTCGTTACCAGGATGTCGAGCGTACATATCAACAAAAGTACCGTCAAAGAATGGAGCGACAGATTAAGATTGGTAAGGATGGGTGGAAGAAAATGGGAAAAGACGGATGCACGCTAACATACTGTGGTATATTTTCTTCGTACAGTCAAGCCAAATGCTACCCAGGATGAGATCGACGACATCATTGACGCTGACGATCAATCGCCTATCTTTGCACAATCGGTAAGGGGAGATCGACACCATACGTGGTCAATAATATAACACATCGTCTAAACATTCACTTTAGCTCATGCAACAACAACGCTCTGGTCAAGCCCGAGCTGTTTTGGCTGAAGTTCAGAACCGTCACGATGACATGAAGAAGATTGAAAAGACTATTATTGTGAGTGCACTCTTTTTTAGTAGGCATGGGCCGTTGGATGTTCGCTAATGCGCGGATTGCCCCTTTTAGGAACTCCAACAATTGTTTATGGATATGCAAATGCTCGTTGAACAACAAGGAGAGCATCTTAACACCATCGTCGAGAACGCAGATACCACTGTCAATGAACTTGAACGAGGTAACAAGCATGTCGACAGCGCTATCAAGAAGGCAAGAGCCACTCGTGCCAAGAAATGGTGCTGCTTCGTCCTCACCATCATTCTGGCTGTCGTCATTGCTATCCTTGTTTGGTGGTTTGCCTTCAACGTAAGTGTTTGTTTTTTAGAGTGTTGTCGCACCTCATCATCGCTAACCATTCAAAACAGCACAAGGGATGTTGCGGAAACTAAAGAAATGTATCGAGGAAATCAAAGAGATCTTTCCTTTTTATTTTGGACCGCCCCGATTTTACCTTTCTCTCTCCTACTACCCCATCCAGACCCTAAACCCCCCGACACCCTCCTACTACGTCTTAATCTCTTATTGCTTTTTTCTTAAAATCTTACATGGACAGCCTGTCTTTTTTTTTTTCCTTTGTACGCCAATATACTGCAAGCAAGCACGCGCATCTGCGTAAAGAATCACTACCTTCTCCCTTTTCTTAACAAAACTAAACATTTTATTATCCCCAGTATTTTTGTGAATCAATGTTAATGTGATACCCATTGCGCAAGTTCTTTGTCACCGGCTTTTGCGTTCTGGAGTGAGTCTCTGAGCACCTCCTCAAGCTGTCGTGGTTTCTTACCGAGCAATTGTTCAAGCGTAGGGTCCACGGTGGCCAGACCGCCCTTCTCCAGCGTTGCATAGGTGCTTAGCCACCATTCTGCAACGTCCCGTTTGTCTTCATTGCGTTTCAGAAACTCTTCGTCGCTGACCTTTTGGAAGGCAATGTCCTTCTTCAGCTCCTGAGACAGTAACTGGGTGACCTCTTGTAGCGAGTATGCTTTGGACCCTGTCAACGTCACTGTTTTTCCATTGTAATCGCCGCTGGCGATGATTTTAGCCGTGGCCTCACCCAGATCCTCGCGAGCTGCAAACGCAACCTTTCCGTCACCTGGCACCGCCACGGTATCGGACGAAGTCTCGTAGAACCCAAGATAAAGTGGGTAGCTGGTCATGTACGGACCTTCTCTGATGATGGTGCATGCTATGTCGTCATGTTTGAGGTACTCTTCCGTAGCGTAATGCGCTTTCATCACCTTGGCGTCGCTCTCATCTCCGAAAGCAAGCGACGTGTAGTAGATATGCTTCACTCCGGCTTTCCTGGCGACATCGATGACCTGCGTATGGCCTTGGATCCGGTATTCATCGTCTCGAGAGGGCAACGACATCAAGAGCAAAGCATCGCCTCCTTTGAACGTCAGAACAAGCGACTCAGGATCGTTGAAATCGCCAGACCGCACTTCCACTCCCTTGTCCTTCAGCTCCTCATGTCCGTCAGGGTTGTGGACCGATACAATGATGTCGCTCGCAGGTATGAGTTGTAGTAGGTGCTTGAATACCACTGATCCAAGCTTGCCAGTGGTGCCAGTGAGGATGATTTTATGCCCCATAGTATGTTGCTGTAGAAATATGCGTTTTCAATAGGAGGCGGCGTAGGTCAGATTTATATGTCAGATTTGCCTTCTTCGTCAGTTCACCTGATCTTAGAAGAATAATTGCGTATTTAGGCTGAATTTGATCAATCAGTTACTGGATTTGTCATTCCTGCAGTCACACCTTAGTGTCTCTGTCGACCTTTTTTCCTTCGCTATTCTCTCATCGTCGTTCATGCATGGTTACCGCCATATCTCTGTGCTTGATCATCAAGCTGATCACCTTGCAAAAGTATTCTTACTGCCATCACCCTTCGATGCGCTAATGAGTGACTTCAGTACCCCCATTTTCTTACGTTGAGCAAAAAAATCTATCAGCCTGAAATTTTTGTTATATTTTATTTGATAAATTGCCAGAGGAATTTTGTTTCAATAGGGTCGATGTGATGTGGCCATAGTGTTGTGTTAATCTGTCATTAGTGAGAAGACCACTCTGAGAGTTCCTGATCACCGGCAGTTCTATTCGAGAGCGTTTCCCTAAGCATTTCTGTAAAGTCCCGCGGCTTTCTACCCAGTAGCCGTTCGAGTGCCGGATCAACAACTCCTAGCCCGCCGCTTTCTAACGTTGGATAGCTGGTGGCCCACCATTCTGCAACCTCGTATTTGTCTGCATTGTGTTCCAAGAATTCCTCTGTGCTAACTTTGTGAAATTCTATCTTCTTTTGAAGGATAGAGGAAAGAATCTCAGTGGTTTCCTTCAGTGAGTACGCCTTGTCACCGGTCAAAGTCACCGTCTCATCTACGTACTCGCCACTAGCAATGATCTTCGCTGTAGCCTCGCCTAGCTCTGCTCGATCAGCAAAGGCAACTTTCCCATCACCAGGCACCACCACTTTATCAGACGAAGTATCGTACAAGCCAAGGTAGACAGGGTAGCTTTCCATGTAGGACCCTTCGCGGATGATAGTGTAATTCAACCCGGACTGCTTGATGTAGTCTTCGGTGGCAAAATGGGCCTTCATGACATTGGCTTCGCTTCCATCGGGGAAAGCAAGCGATGTGTAGTAGATATGCTTCACGCCAGCTTTCTTCGCTGCATCAATTGCCTGGCTTTGACTTTTAATGCGGTACTTGTCGTCTCGAGACGGTAAGGACACCAAGAACAATGCATCACCACCTTTATAGGTTGACACAAGCGATTCGGGATGATCGAAATTGCCAGCTCGAACGTCAACGCCCTTGGACTTGAGTTCTTGGTGGCCATTGGGGTTATAGACAGACACAATTAGGTCTGTTGGTGGCAGTGTCTTCAGTAAGTGTTTCAGAACCACCGAGCCAAGCTTGCCCGTGGAACCAGTAAGGATGATTTTCCGGCCCATGCTATGTGAATTGTATTTTCGAATGATTCAAAGTAGAATGGTCCTTTATATGTATGTCTCCTGCAGCACCCTGAGAAGATTATTATTAAAAGAATTGCATAATGTTTCTATTCATGTCTTTTTAGTCTGCTTGATTTGTCAGAAAAATGCCCGTCACGCCCCACAAAGAAGGTAGCATCGTTGTCATACTTTGAGAGATGCGCGTGTTCCTTTCCATTATTTCAACTCTGTACCGCCAATTCAGCTGTAAAGTGAGAATTTTGAAGAAAATAGTTTGTTGTGAGGAACGGCACATGGAAAGAGGCAAAGAAAAGAAAAATAACATGATTGACTAGAAGGTACGGGACACGACGTTTCAAGAGTTTTGTTAGACAAATTTATGATTTTGAAAAAGTGATATCATTTGGCAATGTATCAAATTGGGTCAGTTGGGTTGGTGGAAGAATGATATGAATGCTTTGGCTTGAGTCTGCGATAATACGATAATATTTGCCAACTCTTGTTTCCATTGAAAGACTCCAAGGCCACATGGGTGTAATGCAATTGGTCACAAGAGGCCGCGCTAAGCTGCATTTCACTTATAAAATTACATTCTTACAACTACCTCCTCTTTGAGCCAAAGTCGTTGACACCATGGGATAACACGATAACCAGAAAGCTAGAGGATGAGGTCTTAAGCATAAATGAACTACCCGTACGTGAAAATTGAAGATATGCAGTATCATTACAATAGTATGAAAGTCCTCCTCCTGACTTTTTATAAAGTGGGTGACTCGCGCATCGTATTCACCAAGATGGCCAGTCTTTGTTTTGTTTGTTCAGCGTCGAACAGCTTTTTGGGTTAGGTGCTTGTTCCTCGCTTGCACCGGGGGCTGTGACCATGATTTTTGACTGTCGTTGATCGTCCGCCACATCGATTGTTCATCATTACCACGTTTGGTCAAGGTCATATCATAGAATATCAACCATGAAGGAGGACAGTACATGTTACTTGGTAAGCGAACCTCGTGGCAATTCAAGCTCCTCCCCATTGTCAGACATTGAAGAGAAATTGAATTATTACAGACATCTCCGGTGGTTCACACCTATTAGCTTTTTTCTCCGTCGCATTAGCGCGCTTTAGCCAGCTAGTTTTACTGGGTGTATTTTTAAATCGTGTCAACAGTATGACTCTTGCCGCCCAAGAGGTATCCCCCTCGTCTCAAGAGACCTGGCCTGGCCTGGTTTTTTTTTTTTTTTTTTCAAACTACTGGTTCTTATTTGTTTGCAGTAACGTGTGTTCCCCTTTATGAGGGTGGGTTTCCATTGCAAAAACACATGGTAATACACAGAATTTTAAAAAATCAAAGAAAGTAGCCTTGTGCAATGGGGGCGGGGGCGGAATTTCATTTCCTTTCTACTTGTCTTCATCATGCCGCCAAAATCTCGAAAGAAAAATGCAACTCCATTGAACATCATGGTCACTGGGTTCTCTGGAGTTGGCAAAACAGCGTTTGTTCGAACCTTTTGCGAGACTTTAACTGAGCAGGACACCGACCCCATTCCAGAATTGACTGGTCCACTGTCAAAGACAGAAAAACCTTATCCTGTGTCTCTGGATTTTGACTATGAAGGGGAGAGGATTGCTTTGACTGTCATCGATACTCCGGGATTTCAAGTCAATACATCGATAGAAAAGAGCCTGCAGGAAATAACAGAATACATTGAACAACAGTTTGATCTTGCCATTGCCGAGGTAAGTTCACGCGGGTGCATGGAGACAGGGGACAACCAGGGCAAAAAGTACGCAGTTACGGGAACTGACACATCGCACCATGGTCATTTTATCAGGAACTCAAAGTGAAGCGAAATCCAAAAGCTGTAGATACCCGAGTCCATGCATGTCTCTACTTTCTCGATGCAAATGACCGCTCACTCGGCGCTAACGACTTGGCGATTTTGAAGAGACTTAGTACGCGCGTTAACGTTATACCGGTCATCAGCAAAGGCGACACGTTGACTATTGCCCAAAAGGCGGTCATCCAGCCCACCATTATGCACGAAATTTTTGATCGATATAAAATTCCGATCTTTGGGTACCCTGATCTGGATGAGGATGAAGAATTCGAGGTGCTGGATACCGTACAGGAAGAGGATGAAGAGGAAGAGGAAGCCGACACCGAGGAGCACAATCTACCCAATGGCCAGGAAAAGAAGTCCCAGAATGCTGTTGATCAGCAATCTTCACTGTACGACGAGATTTGTAACGAGACCGACGTTGACACTCTGGACGAGGAAACGCGAGGTCTTGTTGAGTATCTTCGAAAAAGTCCCTACGTCCTGATATCATACGAAGAAGATCCCAGGACCGGCAGACCCATCGTCATCAAGGGAGATCCAAACCGGCAGCAACACATGGATGAAGAGCAAATGGCTATGTCACCTCAGCCAGGCTCTTTGAATACCAATATCATTGGCCGACAATACCCTTGGACTACTCTGGATTGTCTCAATCCTCAATTCAGCGATTTCTCGATTTTGAAGACTCTATTGCTCTCAACACATCGCAAATTGCTCATCACGGAGACGGTCGAAAGGTTCTACGAAGGTTACCGAACCGAAAGACTGTTGCTCCGAAAGGCGAACAAGACCATGAGTGTGGTTATGGGTAAGAAGATTCTGGAAGAGCTGCATCACATTTAACGAAGGTCCCCCCCTCCCCCATATACAGACGCCTCCCCATATGAGCTGTTACTCACCCTACTTTTCTAAAAGTTAATGCCTGCTACTCTTTATCTCTTACCCTTACATCGCACTTGTTACCGATTAAATACCAACCTTATTTTTTTTTTTTTTTTACATTGGGGCATGAGAAACATTTTTGGTCCATGCGTAATTAACTTGGAAGAATGGGACAGGGGTTTCCGACTGTGGTGAAAATGCAGGGACACCCAAAATGTAAGGAAGGAAAATTTCATTCCCCATCCCATTTGTACTTTTTATTTCGATGCTTAACAATGAGCTATTTGACATAATCATGAACTCCTAATTTGACCAAAATAGGTCGACATGCTTGGTTGTCTCAGCTCTTTGCTCACGACGATCTCACCATTTGTGAGGCCCGCATACCGCAACTACGGATGGCATGAGGGCTTATCGCATAGCTTTCAAAGGAATTGTTTGCCCAACTGGTACTTATGCTTTTCCACATGCTCTGACGGCTTTGACATGAACGTGGGCCCAATCTGGTACATGTCATGCTTAAGCATGGTATCCAAATTTCATCCAGATTTCTAAACCCACTCCTCTCCTTCAATTTAATCGTCTTTCTCTCTTGTTGTCACCATATCTTTCGGCTTTTTTTCCTGCTCCAACCAAACACTTTTTCTCGAAACGAAGCAACTCATTTCACAATGATCGATCACAGACTTCTGACCACTAATCCGGTCTTACTTGGTTCTTCCTTGTTACTAGTGGTGAATATCCAATGCGTATCAATGCTTGTCCTTTGTATTGTGGTTTAACCAGGTTTCCTTTATTTTTTTATCTTATGTTGGATCGTAGATTGGCTGGGCCGTTGCATTTTGCGGCCTTTGCATCTCCCAAGGACTTGTATTCAATTTATCATGGTGGTTTATTATCTATCAATTCATGATCATGATGTTTGTCTTCATTGTCATTGTCACCTCCTCCATTGCACAATACCGCCTTGTGGTAAGTGCTCTAGCATGCTGAATAGAGAGTCACTTTGTTTTTGGATGTTTTAAATAATCAATTTGACCTTCACATCAACTAGGTTTTGACTTTCTTGGCATTAAGCCTTTCATACTGCACAGGAGAGATATCAAAATACCTTCATACTGAACTCTCCACATCCGCAGCCATCACCACCGGTTACATTTTCATAGCTATTGTCCAGGTGAGATTTAGTTGTTTGCGAATCTTGGTTCATGGGCATCCTAGAGTTTTTACTCATATCAATTTTATTTTTTTCAAGTTCCTCTGGGTTTTCATTTTTGGCAGCACAGAGAATTCAAAGTTGGGCAGCGTTATCGACAACTTGACACTTCATGCACAGGTCATGCCGACGGCAGCAGTCGCGGCTCCTGCCATGGTCCAGACCAAGACTTACGCCACACCCGCATACAGTCCTCCCCGAGGCAATGGTAGCCAGACCACACTTCAACAGCAGCAAAGCATCAAGCATACATCTTATGTTTCGAACAGCAATCAAAGTGCTCCCGACGGCGAAAATACTGTGGTGGTTAGTCCGAATGCGGAATATCCACTTGATGTGGTTGCACTACATTCATGTAAGTATAGGCAAAGTGGAGGGTAGGCGCAGTAAGGGGAAAAGATTGCAAAATGGGATTGCCTATCACAACATTCCCTGCTTTCTCCATTCTAACCATGACCATGTTCGATCTGTCTAGACGACGCCAACCCTGATGACCCGAACGAACTCTCATTTACCAAAGGCGACGTTTTGCAAGTCCACGATAAGCGAGGCAACTGGTGGCAGGCTCGCAAAGCCGACGGGTCAGTCGGCATCGTGCCGTCTAACTATGTAAGTACTACAATCAGAAATCCAATAGCGAACTTTGCCCTGTGTCTAACTCCACAATACTTGTCCATCAGTTCTCAAGGGATTAAAGGAATCGTTCAAAGTAAAACATCTCGTCTACCGTCGACAGCATCATCAGACCTTTGCTTTCTCTACATCATGAAAGTTCCATGGCATATTCACATTTTTTAAGCTATCTATCTATTCCGTTATCATTTGTTCCTTCATGGCATGCCATACTGTAATTCATTGCAAATACAATTCATATCTCGACGCATAAATATGTCTCTATTTATCATTTACCCAAAAATATATATCATTGGTGTATTTGTTTTTTCATGGTTTTTATTTATTTTCTCGATGGCGATTTCCTCCATGATATGGTTCCTATGAGAACTCCAATATATACAAGACATTCAGGTGAAACGTTTGAGACACATAAAATCCAATTCATGCAAAAATTTGATTAATCCAAACGTTTGATGTTCGGCCTGCGCATGGGCTTGAAAAGCCCAATCTGTGGCTCAGGTCGCTCGGGATGATGCTTGTGGAATGAGGGAAGTACTTCGCTCTTGGTGCGGAATAAGATACGTTCTCCTTCGAGATCGCTAATTTCTAGATTGGCCGCACTCCAGGTAAGGATATTAGGGATAGAGGTCAGAGTACCCTCGGTCTCTTTCATTTCCAAGGCTGGATCGACGGTCTTGTTTCCACAGGTCATGGACATTGTAGTCTCATACGTTGTTCCAGAAGAAGAATATTCATTGCCAAACGGCTTGTAGTCCTCTTCTTCTGGCCACAGTGAAGTATTGATATTAAAGCCCTTGGTCTCAACAGTAGGAACAATCCTTGTCATAGTACGGAATCCGCGAAGGGTAGGAGTGTACAACTTTTTGGTAATCAATTGTCTCATGGTGGTGAAAGAAGAAGAAAGAGATTCAGTCGCTAATTTCGATCTCTCACTCTGCTTTTTTATTCGGTTTCCCTTTATTGGTGATGCTCGCCTATCACGCATGAAAACGCCTTCCCTCATAGGTCTCAGGTCTAACTTGCTCACGTGCCACTGACGATATTACCACTCCATTGACTATTGCCATCATATACTAGACAAAATGGGATTGAACTGTCATTTAAAGTGAGTATGAGGTTGAGGATCTAGATGATGAATTGAGGCGACCTTGGATTTATTTAAAAGCTAATGCTCTGCGGTGATCTGCCTAGCGCACCCAACCAGGTCCTATTCTGCCTGCAAAGAATCCTGGTACAATAGTGACCTTCTGTTGACAATCAGGAAGGCTTGGGAACTCCCCATCTATATCTTCTAAAACAGGTGAGGCGTATATCCATCGGACGGTTCCCAATCCACTTGAGGGTCGAAAATTTACATCTCACACGGGGGTACTACTGACTCCCTTCTGTTCGTGAATCCAATTGAACACCGATCAGCCGCCGAGACATTTATATTGAATGATTCTTTCATGTTGCCATTGTTATTCTTTCGTCAAAAGTAGTGCTATCTTTGAACCTGGGCCTGCTTTGGTACGTTCTGTCTCATGTCTCACAACCAACAATACTGTGAGCGGTACCTTTCCACAGATCAATAAAACACCTAAAGGACCTAAATGTTATCTATCATTTATACTAAACCACATTATAAAGGTTTCTTTTGCAATGGACGGCCAGATTTTGATAAAATTACGCCGATGCTTTGACGTAACAAGTACATCCGTGTGTGTGAACCAAAAAAAAATATAGCCAATCCGTTTCAACTCCGCGATTATACCCCCAGGTATTAATTTTTTTATTTTTCTTTGTGTGCGGTGGGGGCAATGGTGTCGGTTCTATGGGGTGTGTGGAAGCATTTACATCTTTGGAGAAACAGCCTCCAACTTCTTGAGACGATCACGAGCAATCAACATCATGTCCACAATACCAGTCTTCAGTTCAGCATCCTTGTCGTTTGATTTGATGCGTTCCTCAATCACAGGGATGATATCTTTGCGTGGGCGACCAGCAACAAACACAACGAACTTGAAGCCATATTGATCCTCATATTTCTGAACATTTCCAAAAAAAAAACACTAGTCAGTGTGCCGTCTACGCCTCTGCACCAAATATCAACAGTTTCCCTACCTTGTTCAAAACAGCAAGTCGCTCGTTAACAGCTTGGTCTTCAGGTGAAATGGCCTGTTGAGCAGTCTTGTAGCCTTGTTCCTTCAATGACATTGCTGACAGCTTTCCGCTGCTTTCTCCAATACGGGGATGTGCGTTGATGACTTCCAACTTTTCGCTTTCGCTAAGTTCGTTACCAAGGCAGATATCTTGTCCTCGTTCAATAAGTTGTATGTATGAAGAATAGGGGCGAGCGGCCAATAGCTTATCGGCTAGAGGAGGAGCAGTCTCAAACAGGGTATTGACAACAGCGAGAAAGTTGTCTCGCGATTCGTTGTTGAGCTGTTGGATAGATGGCAAGGTGGATACTTCGGACATGGTGAGAAGGAAAAAGAGCGGTATCCAAATCAGCAAAATGCCATTCCGCACCATAAAATAGGATCAGGCTTTCAAGTGTGACTGCTGTTAATACCAAAGTTGAATCTCAGTGATTTTTTTTTCCTTTTGAAAAGAGCTGTAAGGTTTTCAGTATTAAGCAGCAGAGCGCTTACATTGTCATACAGAAATGGACGACGATGGTTTAATGTTCAACTTCGGAGGCGGCTCCGACAGCGGTGCGGTTACGAATAGGAAGACAGCAGCAAAGGGCGGAAAGTGGCGAGATCGTCTGAAAGCCAAGAAAGCAGCAAAGTCATTCAACAGGAACCAAGGAATGCTATCCGAGGGAAGCACTGGACAACCTGCTCTTCCAAAGCAACCGAGAAGTGACGGTGCTGGATCGACTAGATTGCCCAAGTCCGACAAGCCTACTACCAAGGACGGCGTCAAACCGAAGGACAACAGTAAACCTACCGAAGCACACACAACAGCATCCAAGATCGCTCACGGCAAAGCGCAAGTCATGTCATCCTTGTTCACATTCAATCCAACCATAGAGCGAAACTACAAGGCTGAAAAAGATGTAAATAGAGGAGATGTGGTACCAAGTAATGCTCCCGTAGCGGATACAACGACTTTCCTCGGTATCGGCATTGAACCAGATCTCGTAGAACACATGACCAACAAATTATCCATCACTACTCCAACTAATATCCAAAAGAATGCATTGCCCATCTTGTTGGGTCCATCCAGAACGGTATTGGACGCAAAGATCCCAAGTAAAGACGTGGATGTCGTTGTACAGGCTCAAACTGGTTCCGGAAAAACCCTCACCTACCTTCTCCCTATTGTCAATCGCTTAATATCTGCCTCCACCTCACTTACTGGCGTGGCTGCATTTGGTGATCGTTCCGTGGGAACAGTGGCCATCATTCTCACACCTACTCGAGAACTCGCACAACAAGTGTTGACGGTGTTAACATCTATTCTCAGTATACCCCCTAGCAAGACCCCAGGCAAGAAACGTAACCATTGGATAGTACCTGGTATCGTTATCGGAGGCGACAAGAAGAGCTCAGAAAAGGCAAGACTTCGTAAAGGTGTGAACATTTTGGTTAGTACGCCAGGTCGACTATTGGATCATTTGAAAACAACCAAAAGTTTCAGTATTGAGAACCTTAAATGGCTGGTTCTGGATGAAGCCGATCGATTGCTTGATCTTGGATTTGAGGAAACTATCAAAGATATAATGAAGATCATCGATGAGCGCACGGCGACCCCCGGTAAATTCAAACAAGCTATGACCAACAAGTTTTGGCCCAAACGTCGACAAACCGTTCTCTGTTCTGCCACACTTCGAGATGATGTTCAAAAGCTTGCCGGTCAGAGCTTAGTGGATCCAGTTTTCGTCAGTGGAAATGGCGATGTCAGTAGTATGGCTGTGGCAACACAAGGCATGTCCGCACGTGAGGACGACGCAAAATTCACAACACCCAATCAATTAAAACAAACATGCGTCCTGACACCAGCCAAGCTCCGGCTAGTGACACTTCTGGCAATGCTAAAATCATGTTACACTACCCGCAAAGGCGGCCGCATGACTCACAAGAACAATAAGGTTATTGTTTTCTTTTCATGCTGCGATTCGGTGGATTTCCACTACGATCTGTTTATCAACGCTGGAAAACCAAGAAACGAAGGTGAAAACGCTAGTGATGACTCTGATGACGAAGACCCAACACAGAAAATCCTTCGGGAAGTGCTTGATGGCCAACCGCCCAAGAAAAAACATGCAAGTCGCAAGCCCATAACGCCACCAACTCAACAAGCAAAGGATGAGGTTGTGGGAGTAAGCGGTACCGGTAAACTGCTAGAACATGTGCCTATATTTCGATTGCATGGTGATCTTGGTCAAGCCATTCGGTCTCAAACCTACCAAGAATTCGGTCAAGCACAGAGTGGAGTCTTACTGTGTACCGACGTTGCAGCCCGCGGACTTGATCTGCCCGACGTGAATCGTATTATACAGTACGACGCTCCTTCTGATCTCAAGGACTATGTCCATCGTGTGGGAAGAACTGCAAGATTAGGTAAAGCTGGCGAGGCCAGTCTGTTCCTCCTTCCCAGTGAAATGGAGTACTTGGATATTTTGAAGGCACAAGACCTTCATGCCTCCATCATTCCCGTGGAAACGGTTCTTGCCCATCTGACAACCCATGCGAATAGTCAGGATTATCAAACGCCTGCACAAGAACTCCAAAACATGCTTGAGCAATGTGTTCTCCGCAGCTCCGAAGTAAGTGTCGACAAACAATATGAGACATGGAAAAAAAAACATCAATTTAATTTTACCTAACCTCCGCTCACAGCGAATGAATTTGGCCAGAAAATCCTATTGGTCTAGTGTGCGTGCCTACACTACCCATTCAGCCGCCGAGAAGCACATCTTCCATATCAAGAAGCTTCATCTGGGGCATTACGCCAAAAGCTTTGCCATGCGGGAAGCGCCATCTGACATGAACGAAACCAATTCGAAAACGCAAAAGAAGCGACAACAAAAGAATGACCGTCTGCCTGGAATGAACACATCTAATAATCGTACCAAACGAAAATACGATCAAGCCAGTGAATTTGCCATCAGTGGTGCCGCAAGTATGGTGGGACCGCGGACAAAGCGAAATAGGAAATAAAGCATGACATTTCGTCCAAATTGTTTGATACTTCGTTCGTGCGCTTAGTAAGGTCCAAGCGTGAGGGGAAACTACGTCGTACAAAGTGGAGAAAGTGAGAAAAAGGAGAAAAATTTAAAAGCGACAGAAATTGTGTTTAAGCTTTCTGTGATGTTTTGTTCGTTTATGACTCTCCATCTTTAAATCCATCTCAAAAACATTGAGCCATCATGCAGCATTATCGAAGTCCAGTGGTAGATTCATCGCGTCGTTATGGGTACGATGCAACCTCGTTAGAGGTCCGAAACGGTCAGTGAAATAATCTTATGTGGCTGGCATTGGCCAGGATTTGCAGGCACAAGAGTCAGATCCCGGATCATTCTGCCACGGTTTTCTTCTTTTTTTTTTTTTTTTCCTCTCACTCTCCAAGCACTCTTCTTTTTTCTACACATCACCGAAAAACCTCCTTACTTTTTATTTATTTATCTGCTGATCCCCTCCCTTTATAAATAGGCACCTCCAACGTCTTCATACCATCAAGAAAAATGTCCAGGTCTTCCTTGTCGGGGCGATCACACACTACTTCTTCATCCGACGATGATCGACGACCTTATGATGCAGTAGAACAGTCGAAATTTCATCCTGCAAAGAATGGACAAGTCCCCTTAGGTGTAGTCAAGTCATATGCTACTCGAGTTGGCTGGCTCAACAACCACATCCCCGCAAGCTTTGGGTTCTCAAAACAGTGGAAAAAGCGCTATTTCGTTTTGGTCGATTCCATGCTGTTTATCTACAAAGACGATAACCCCAACTTGGTTTGGCGAAACTTTATGGAATTATCCAAAGATACCATCGTATTTGTCACCAATGAATTTGGTAACAAGCTGTATTGCATTGAAATCCGAAAACCGGGACAAGAACGCAGTTGGTATGTTCAAGCCGATGGCCCAGACGATACGAAAGTGTGGTTAAATGACCTGAAGGGTACTGTCAAGTGGATTAAAACCGGGAAACGCGATGAAGATGATGTCGCTAGCACATTGTCGGATTCGGTGTCCAGCCTTGACTTGTCAGTCAACCGACATTCGCAACAACAGCAGCAGCAGCATCTTGTCCAACCTCCGCCACCCGCACCGGAATACACTAATCGACCTCCCCCGCCCGTTCCTTCTGATCCCAGGTCACCGACTCGATATAAGATGATGCCCCCTCCCCTTCCTCCGCCAACTAGTATTTTGCCCCCCACACCGACTTCACGAAGTCCTCCCATCAGTCGATCAAATTCTTTCAGACAAGTTCCCCCACCTACTCCACCTCCATTCACAAGTCTACCTGCCATTCCAGGTAACTCACCTTATGTAAAATCCCCCGCCAAAGCCTCTCGTTCTTAAGAAATAAGGGAAAACAAGGAAATATCCGCAAGCAGCTGTTTTATTACCAACTTCTTTTACTAGAAGACCTCCATCCCCCCCCTTTGAAGTCCAGCAAATACGCATGTGAAACAATCTAATTGTCGCCAAGCTTGCGAGTGCTGCCCTGTACTATATACTTTATTTCTTACCCTCATTTGGCTATCTATGTCTGTTCATTATTCTAATACGTTTCTGCTTTTGATAACAAAATGCAAGAAATAGAACATGTTTTTTAAGTAAAAAAGGAAAAAGAGAAACGAAAGCAAGGTTCAAATTTTGAGGGTATGGTGGAAATTGGCTGTGTTCCTTTGTGTTTCGAAAATTTCAGGCGGGCGGGCGGAGCGTAAAAAAGTCTAGCAGTACAATAGTCCAATTTACAGCGGCCATCTGGTTGCTCCTTCTCTTATTCGTAGTCATGGTGCGTATCCCCTATATCAATCCATCCATCCATGCATCCATCCCATCAGCGACACATACGACGATCAATCAACCTGAAAAATGATGGATTATGAACTGGAATGCGACTTTGATTCTACATCTTGCGACAATGCGCAAAATTCTTCATTCAATTACTGACATGTTTTTCCATCTTGATTCGACTTTAGCCCACTAGACTTCACCACAACAGAAAGAAGCGTGGACACGTTTCAGCTGGTCACGGTCGTGTTGGTGAGCATTACATTTTCATGGTTGACCATGCGGTTCACAGGGCCGGATCATGTCCCGTCGATCCTCCTGTGAAATTCGCCCAAAAAATAATAATCATAATACTAATCCTAATTCCATTTCTCAGGCAAGCACAGAAAGCATCCTGGTGGTCGTGGTCTTGCTGGTGGTCAACATCATCACCGTATCAACATGGACAAGTACCATCCTGGTTACTTCGGTAAGGTCGGTATGAGATACTTCCACAAGACCCATAACCAGTTCCACCGTCCTATTGTCAACCTTGACAAGATCTGGACCTTGGTTGGTGAGGAAGTCCGCAACAAGTACAAGAACACCGAGAAGGTCGCCGTCATCGATGCCCTTCAACACGGTTTCCACAAGGTTCTTGCCAAGGGTCGCTTGCCCGAGCAACCCGTCATTGTCCGCACCAAGTTCGTCTCTCGTCGTGCTGAGGAGAAGATCAAGGCTGCTGGTGGTGGTAAGTGTTATGCTGAATACGTGTGTACGGCCCCATCCTGAATGTGTATTAATCTACTTTTTTTGTAGTTGTTGAGCTTATTGCTTAAATTTCCTACTTGCGACTAAAACTTGTGCAAATAAAATGAATAATTAAAAATGATATACACATCAAATTGTATCAGCCTGTGCTTTGTGGTAATGGGAGTGGCGGAATAATGATCGTTGACAATGGAAAGAGTTAGTGGCCCTCCCGCCATGGATAAAATACGTGTCAAGGCGGACAGGCTTATTGAACGTTTTTAAGATGTGTTCATTTCGACATATTGGCTTTATTGCATAGCAACTTTATGTATCACGGCTCGAGCCAGAAAGTTTTAAGAATACTTCCACAGTGCTTTCTGTAGGGTGCATTGCAATGATTAGACCTTGCTACAAGCAGCATTGACTATATGTAACAGCACTGGTGATTGTCTACAAGATCTGCTCTTCCCAAAAACTTCAAATAACAGTGTTTCACGACCAGAACGGACGAAATAAATCATATATGTTGTGACGCAAAATAGTCGACGCATGAAATAAACACAACAGAGATCGCCCCGCTGTCAAGGAATACACCACTTTACCCAGTGGTCAAATTTTTTAACAAACCAAAAAAAAAAAAAACCTCTGTTTTCTCGTAACGTGTGATGACGGGACGCCGTGATGCCACAAATGTCTCATCTCTGTCACAATACTCTTGGTATCAGGCAATTATCACTTTATGTCATAGGTCACAAATGTCTTGTTGCCTATATTATTACCCAACTGGTCTAAGGATAAACACCTTTTCCTCCCAAATTGTTGGTTAACTGTCGGATAATCATTCTCCTCCCTCGCTTAGAACAATGAGGTTTCATTGTTCAATTGGTACAGTGATACCCCACATTATGTAGGTGTTGTTTCATCAACATTATTATACCATAAATGATAAACATGCACTGATTTTCATGTAAGTTGACACAGTGAAGTTCGCAGGGTCTACCTATTGTAAAACACAGTATGTCTCTTGACAGACTATCCTATTACCTAGCGTCATCAGACCACTCCGATTCAAAAATCAGTTGACTCGGCCTCCATGTTTTACAGTCTAAATGGCCTAATGGGTGATTTATTATGAATTATGGGTGCTGGACAGAAATAATGATATGCAAGGTTACTTTCTTGTGATTCGAAAGTGGACCATCTATTACGTAGGGATACATTCATACATATTAGCTACAGTGATTGAGCATCAATTTTTTTAAACATGTTGCAGTTCGCGGAGAAATACGGCATCATGGTGTTGAATGGGCGACACAAAACTTGCAGGCCGGCTCGACAGTTTTTGCTTGAAGCTATGTGACGGCTGTTCCGATGCCCCCCAAAAAACAAGATACTCCGACAGTAAGTTCAATGGTGTTCCGAAATGTGTGCCTGACTCTATGCCTAACCATACCTTCAGTTTAACACGTCGAAATATGAAAATGGCTATCATGGTCACTGCTACAACACAGGATACCACAATAGCAGCTGTGATCAAGTGTTGCGGCCCACCATCATCACTGACGTCCGCACTTTCCGCCTTTTGACTTGTGTTTGGTAAAGTTGTTGGCGTATCCACCACATAACTGCGAATGAAAGCCGTGTCAATTACGCTGAACACGCATTCTAATTCCATTAGCGATCTTACCTCGTCACAACAACATCTGGCAGCCTACTTGGCAGATTATCACCAGGCTGGAGTGGCCTGCTACTTGGATATGGCGACACCACAGAGCTTGAAATTGGCATTGCTGACCCAGTAGATGATCCTATTGATGATGACGCTAAGGATAATGGCGTTGAGGATGCTGCAGGTAGGTGACTTCCAGTACTTTCTCCTCCCAGTAGACCTCCAAGCAACGGGCCGCCCGCCACTACCAAACCAAAAAAATAGGCCGCCCACCAAGCTAGAAGGAAGGATTTCATATAAATCGACACAGTATATTACAATGCAAATGGGACGCTCTTTTTTTCAAACGGCGTTGAAAAAAAAAAAAGAAGAAAATAAATAAGAAGGCCTAATGGTCAGAACGACAGGATGGAAGCGCTTTTGTCCATAGAGGAGTCGAAGGAGTCACCATTCGTATGGCTAGTACACAGCAAGAGTGGATGGACCAAGGAGAATAGGACAAGGGGGAAGGAGAGTTCTGGTGGTGGTGTGACGGTGGATAAAATAGCTTTGGTCATCAGTATTGTGATTTTCTTACTGTCGGTTTGTGTTCAACTTATTATTTTTACAAATGGTGCTGTACCTTTTTTCATAACACAGCAAATTCTTCGATGCACATTCTTCATGTTCGTTTGTTTCTTGTATGAGCTTCTTTTGGGAACGATAGGCGTTAAGGTTTGTAATGAAAAAGTGCCATAAGAGGGTGCCAGTTTTACCACGCTTGGGCCGTTGAGCCAGCTTCGACTGTCGGGCGGCCTTTTGACATCATGGGTCAATTAGCCCCGCCAAATCAATTACCGCTTTGAGCCCCCACACACATTGGAACTGTAAAAACTTGCACGTGTGTTTAGAGCCAGCCGGGACGGGCAACCGTAGTACACAAATAACGTTTGGTAATCAGGAATCCATCCATTGATATTTTATCTTTAACTATTATTTATCTCTGTGGAAAGCATGTGAGCATGACCAAAGAGAAAATTCAATTGAGGGATAAAAGCGAACAGGAAGCTCCCCACAAAGAGAAAGTGACTGGGGAAAGAGGGGCGAGGAAGTTTGGCTCGCCTTGGAGTGAAGGAATCAAACGGTTTCCTACGATCTCTTATCAAAAGATAAGCTGAGGTTCAAGGTCACTTTCCTTGGTTCCAAAATGAGACCCTCATAGCGGGCTTCTAAAAAATTATTTTTGTAAGGCAATTGTTGTTTATAAAATTTTCGTATATAAATGAGACATAGCATCATAGCTTCTTTTCGCTTCTTCAACCTCCTTTTCTTGCACACATGTCTGCCCTTCGTTCTATTCGCTTGTCGAGCGTTGCAAAGGCTGCTCGCTTCAACATCGCCCCCGCCACTGCTATCGGTGTCCGTGCTTACTCCTCCAAGACCAAGGTAAGATATTGTTGTCCTTTTGTTTGCAGGCGGGCCGTTATGCAACATACCATACCCCCCGTCATACTTTGAAGAACCGTCAACATGTTTAGAACTAACGTATGCTTCATCACAGTCTTTGAAGGAACGCTTTGCCGAGCTCATCCCTGAGAAGCAGGAGCAAGTCAAGGCCTTCAAGTCCAAGCACGGGAATGACGTCCTTGGTGAAGTCACCGTCGACATGGCTTACGGTGGTATGCGTGGTATCAAGGGTCTCATCTGGGAAGGTTCCGTTCTTGATGCTGAGGAAGGTATCCGTTTCCGTGGCAAGACCATCCCAGAGTGCCAAAAGGAATTGCCTGCCGCTGAGGGTGGTGAGGAACCCCTTCCCGAATCTCTCTTCTGGCTTTTGGTCACTGGTGAAGTCCCCACCCAAGAACAAGTCAAGGAGCTCTCTGCCGAGTGGGCTGCCCGCTCTGATATCCCCGAGTTCGTTGAGGAAATCATCGACCGTTGCCCCAAGTCTCTCCACCCCATGTCTCAATTCTCCTTGGCCGTCAATGCTCTTCAACACGAATCTCAGTTCGCCAAGGCTTACCATCAAGGTATCCACAAGAAGGACTACTGGAACCCCACTTTCGAGGATTCCATGGATTTGATTGCCAAGCTCCCCAACATTGCTGGTCGTATCTACCGCAACGTTTACAAGGATGGCAAGCTTCCCGCCATCGATATGGACAAGGATTACGGTCATAACTTGTCCAAGTTGCTCGGTTTCTCTGAGAACAAGGACTTTGTTGAATTGATGCGTCTTTACCTCACCATCCACTCTGATCACGAAGGTGGTAACGTCTCTGCCCACACGTAAGTTTTTTGTTTTCATTTATTGGGTAATTGCAGGGATTGGCCGGGTTGCCGGGTTATTGACAATTTTTGGGGGTATCCCAAAAATTTTCACTGCCGCATTTTTACTCATCTTTTTTTTTTATTATTATTTTCTCTATCCTGCAGTACTCACTTGGTTGGCTCTGCCCTCTCTGATCCTTACCTCTCCTTGGCTGCCGGTCTTAACGGTCTCGCTGGTCCCCTCCACGGTCTCGCTAACCAGGAAGTCTTGAGGTGGACCCTTAAGATGAAGGACCAAATCGGTATCAACGCTGATGAGCAAACTGTCAAGGACTACGTCTGGGCTACCCTCAAGGGCGGTCAAGTCGTTCCCGGTTTCGGTCACGCTGTCCTCCGTAAGACTGATCCCCGTTACATGGCTCAGCGTGAGTTCGCTCTTAAGCATTTGCCCAACGACCCTCTCTTCGGTCTTGTCAGCAAGTTGTACAACATTGTGGTAAGTGGCGGGTTTTCAAATTAAGCACTACCTTTCGATTGTTTATCTTTTGTGTCGTCACCCATGAAACCCATACTAAATAATCTCCTTATAGCCCGGTGTCTTGACTGAGCACGGAAAGACCAAGAACCCATGGCCCAACGTCGATGCCCACTCCGGTGTCCTTCTCCAATACTACGGTCTTGTTGAGCAAGACTACTACACCGTCCTCTTCGGTGTCTCCCGTGCCCTTGGTGTCCTTTCTCAACTCTGCTGGGATCGTGCCCTCGGTATGCCCTTGGAGCGACCAAAGTCATACTCCACTGACCACTTGATCAAGATGCTCGGTAACAAGGCCTAAGCTATCCCCAAAAACATTCACATTCCTGCAAGAAAAGAAAAGAAAAGATCAAAAATTTGAAAGGCTTGCTTTCTAGATGTAAACCAAAAAAAAAAATTTACGTGTATTCTCCAAAATGGCTTTCCAACCTTTTTCTTCTTTTTTTCACTCGACTTTTGTACATTTTTCCATCCTATCCTCTTTTCTCTCTTGACACGCATGGACATGATAACTTCATCTTCATTGTGAAATGGAGCCAACCATAATAGAATCAAAGTTCGCAACAAAAATCTTTGCATTTTCGTTCAATATGTGTATGTTTCAATGGCATTTCAAGTGAGAATCTTACATGAGAGTAGTCCTTTGGTGAAAAGGAGGGGGTATTGCTGCAGCAAGCGTCTTTTCTCCAACCCTTCAGATACGAAATGACTCCGTCACTGTACCTTGTTTAAAAGAAAATTTAGAAATGTCTTTTTGGGAACTTTATTGGTTGAAGAAATTTTTCAAGCGGATAGCGGTCAGGCCTAGGTGCCGTGCCGATTTTTCAATCTCCATCACTACCATTCTCAATCATCAAGCTACTGGCGGCTTGGGACCTTATCGTTTGCAATGTCAGGTGTGAAGAAGTAACATGAAGTCTGGACTTCAGCTACTGAAATATTCCAATCGCCGTTACAATGCAGAATGCATGGCTACATTCAGCATGGAGCCTTGTGTACCTGAAAGCCCTCGAAAAGAGAACACCGCCGCTGCAAAAAAGCACCGCACCGCACCACGACAATTGCATGTTATCATCAGCGTTTGCTAGTTTTGCATCGGCGTTTACCACTCGCACTCAAACCGACTGTAAAGAATATCCTCCCAAATCTAATTTCGATGATATTGTGGCATGGCTGCAAACTCGCTGGTGTTGTTTCTATCAATTCCCGCTACGTTTTGTCGCTGGTCATTGACGCAATGTCGAAAACAAAAGCGGTCGGCTGAGCAACGCAATCTGGAGAGGAAAAAAAGTTGGAAAGCGATGATCAGGATTTTCAAATAGCGTACATCTTTTGATTAAGGAGATTGACTTGCGCAGATGTTGTCTCCTGATGCCCCAATTTCAAAGCCGAATAAAGATGAACGGAATACTTGCTCCGAGGAACCCCCCCCCCCATAATTTACTGGAAGTAGCTGATGGTAATTAGCGAGCGTTGTCAAACGATCTAGTACGACACGAATTAAACGCTCTATGTTGACAATTTATTGTGGCCAAAACAAAACGTAACAGACAAAAGAGCAAGTGCTAGTAGTTTTTACTGTTGTGATGAAATTTTATTTGTGAGATGATAGCATAAAATATGGTGATGAAATTCCAATTAGATGGTCAAAATTTTTTTTTTCAGAAACATATTTTCTGGTCGGCATAGCACTTGAAGTCTATTTCGCGCAAATGCCTTGTTTGTTGCAAAATTTCGAGCGCTAAACGCTCTATTGGATGCGGTAGATTTCAGTGGGCTCGAGAAAAGCAACAGTTGGAACACATGGACAGATGCCGTAGACTACAGATGACCAATCTTCTATGGCCGCAGCTTGGACAAAGGGTGATAATAGCTCGCTCGCCGCTACATACGAAACACTTTGGTGGAGGAGCAAGTGGGCCGGGTAGACCAGTTTTCTTGGTGCCTGGCATCTGTCTATATTACTTGTAGAGCTTCGATGAGAAAAGAAGTAAAGAGGCATCTGCAGTTTGAAGGCATTGTTTATATATTTTGGCGGGCAAAACTCCTTAATTTTTGACAGCCGGGTTTCCCGCCTTCAATATCATCAAGACAAGAGGAGATCGGGGAGGGGGGTAAGGCCTCTACTTGTGTTGTTTCTCAATTTGGGAGGATTGTCCTACAATGCCATCATTGAGGCGATTCAATTACTTCACTTGTCAGTAATTATAGTGTAAAACCCAATCTGCAGAATTGAACAACTATGAGACGTGTAGAGTGTCTTCATTCAATTTTTGGTATGTGCACGAAATTCAGATGGAAGAAATACGCATTTCAGTTATGCTGCAAAAAAAAAAATTCTATGGACTCCATGTAATCAATTTCTACCGAGGGCGGGGTGCTGTTGAATAAATTTCTCGCAATCAGGTATCCGATCTATTTTTCTACACTTTTGCGAGGACCCAGAACGGCCGCTCTGGTCCCTGATCAATAAGTTGAACAGCATGGTGTAGTGGAATTAACCATGTAGTTCATCACTAAAGAGTAGGAGTGTTTCTTGAGCGCATGGTTAATCACTCATTAGGACAGAGGGCTATAATTAAAAACCATACGGTAACACACTCAAAAAATACGCAAGTTGTCGGAATCATAATCTGAGCAGCCCCAGGTAGCTTTTCTTTGGCTTCTCCTGCTCTTCTCCCTTTATTGCCAAAACTGCGCAATTTGAGATTCCACGTCTGACAGTATGCTACCAAATGAGCTAGACCACAGCTGTCACCTCGGGCAAAAAACCCTGTACCACCACCTAGTGTTGCTAGAGTGGCTGGCTGAATACAGCCATATATGAGGAATCGCCCCTTGCTCGCATGTTGATGGTAGTTGATCGTTTCTTTGATCGACTGCCATGTCTGACTTGAAGATACCTGGTGAAAATCCTAAACGTCACATTTCGGTATTCAACTATGTTTCCCAGAATAACGTCTTTAGGTATACTTGGTCAAACTCAGTTACTTCAGCAGGCTTCGGTTAGCTAAACGTTTTAGAAATGATCAACAGGGAAGTACGCTCCCCGTTCCAAATGGAAAACCACAGCATGTTACCACCCTATTCGATGAAAAATGCTTTAATCATTTTCAGATTGGACGAACATATGTCTGTACATCCGCATTAGCAAGCGCGCGTTACATGCCGCAATTCTATTTGATCGGCGAATCCTATCTTTTCACTACATCATCGTTCTGGTTATAGATACTCAGGTGGCTATTTTCCATTCGAAAAATCAATCTTGTTCGGGCCGATAGTCCCAAGAACACGTCACTCAGTATACGTAGATTATTGCAATTGTGATGGCTCCAAACACAAGCTAGTAAGTGGGGAAGAAGAAATAACAATTTGCTCATCAGAAACGCCCTTACTTGATAGGACTGAAAAGAATTTTCATTGAGTTGCAGTTGTTTGTTTACAACTTCTGTTCCTACATGAAGCCACCCTCTGGCTACTTGTCTACTGAATCCAAATGAGAGAGTTGCGAAGTACGTTTCAGAATGTGGTAGCCTTCCGCTATACCAGAAGAAAATGGCACCATTTGAAAACAACGAAAGTGACTGTATCATTGCGCTCTAGCTCAGATATTGTGTACACCCACTTACTCTTCAAATGCTTCAGGATATCGACTGCTCCGTTATGACAAGATGAAATGACACACCACTACTAATGATAAGAAGGGCGGTAGCCTATACGGCCAATTACACCATTGAATCACCCTTTCCACCACTTTTAGTCTTGCAAAATAACGATAACACAGTTCAACTTGGTCGAGAGACCACCTATCAGAGCACTTCATTCTGAAAGCCACCAGGCAACCGGAGATGCATATCACTAATTATTTTGGTGAGAACTAAGACCTTGGGTTGGTAATTTGCACTTTCCATATTTGAGTCGCATTATTATGTTTGATGCGAACCGATAATACTACGACCAAATCTTACGAAGCTGCATAAAAATCTTAATAGGTCGCAGACCCACCATGCAATCGTGAAAATGATGTCCTATATGTCAACCTATATTTTCTTCCTAGCATGATGGGACTCAAAATCATCATTGCAGATCGTGCTTCTCGACACGTCTTCAAGACTAACTGTGCCGACGATATTTGTCCCCCCCCCCATGATTTTTCCCAAATTTCGACTCGCACAACACCCCCTCAGGAATTAATCTTTTGGTACTCAGCATATGTCTCCTAGAATCCGCATTTGTAACGTCTGGCCGCGAATGGATGATCGTCTATCGGACCCGGCTCGGCATACTACCCATCTCGATGTGAGAGAGCTATCAATCCTATATTGGGAAACTTGCGTAGAGATGAATTACAGACGACCATAGCGATGGGTACACTGGCAGGCGCAATATGCTTCATATTACGTCAACAGATGATGGGGAACATATGACAAATGCTCCAGATCCACCACGTATGTTATGAGCCAACGTTATATCTGTATTCTTACCGATTAAAAAGTAAGGATCACAATTCTCTAATCGTTGATGATCCGGAAAATCATTCCGCTAATCCCGTTACTCTTTTAGTGACAACAATGGAGAACATAATGGGGAGCACACTTATTACCAAGTCTAAACATATGAGCAACGGTATTCTTTCTAAGAGGTCACCGGCTACATTTCCACTGGAGGGCATTCATAAATTGTGATACTTATCTCGTCACAACGTAAAGTAGGCTACGGCCACATCATCTCAGCATAATAAGTTTCACTGCACGCACCGTTTCTCCATGGAAGGTCATCACATGTTCAGGAGCTGACTTGAATTGAAGGCATTGCAATTACACCTGAAAGCCACCTCCCTGGTGCTGAATGGCAAATTTCTGATGGAAAACCAGGTACTTCGTTCGACAATGCGACCCCGCCGCCCACATGCTTCATAGCCGAAAGCACGCCAGACATCCCTTACCTTCCATCCAAAATGAATAGACATGGGATATCCATTTCCTAGCGTTATATTAACGTATTTGAATCAGCGTGATATTTTCTATCTCGGATTAACAGCATGACAAAGGAGTAAATGAATGTAATTAGCATCGCTCTGTGCACGTGTTCCTCCAATACTACGGAAGAAGAATAGATCAACAGAGAATGTGGAGGACTCGTTGCCCAAGCGCAAAAAGATGATTCTCATATCGTACAAACCACATTGTTTGAAGCAAGAAGTAATCCTTTGCCTTGACCCCTGAAAAAAAAAATGAGGTGTGGACTATTCAAAAACTGTTTTGTCAAATGTCACTGCTATTTCCATATTACATTATCACTTGGAAAATCAAAAAATGCTTGACACCAAGCAAAATGGTTGGCCAACAGTTCACAACGTCTCACCTGCGTTCCCATCAACCTGCTTTATTTGTGCAAGGGAGCGGACGGACGCAATCGTTTGTCCAAGTTGTGGCCATCGAAGGCTGTTGCAATGTTCTATACAGCGACAATGTGTATGCTACGATGGTAACAACTTATAAGTCTATATAAATTGCACCGTTTCGAAATTTGAACGGAGTGGTTAAATGTCAACAATAACTACAGTATCTACGCACTTGGCGCAACGGATTTACATGCTCCACACCAGCTACAAACCACTAGAAAAAAGTGGCTTTTTCCATCAGGAAATTTTTTGAGAAACTAGGTTACGACATCTGTATTGAAAGTGATGAAGGTCTTCTGTCAAATTATTCCTAACTGCATGGTTAATGCTAGCGTTAGCTAACTTATGTAACAACGACCATCAGGTAAGGTTTTTTTCTACTGGTGCTTGCTTCAGAACATGTTGCGATACTCTAAATGACACTGTGAAATGTTGGAAACCCAAGTCAGTCAATAGTATCAGACATGTTGTCAGGTTTGTCTTTCACCGCACAATAATTGTCAAGACTTTAATCTCATCCGTTACATAGTTAACCAATTTGTGCTATAACACGCTGTACTGTGCCAATATATGTTAAACAACTTGTGCGCTGCGTGCAAGGGTCATCGTATTTTATTTTATTTTTGAAAACTCATACAGGACGCGATATACGTTTGTCTCTGTCCGCATATGAGCATCTGCTCAGCTCTTTCTTGTTTGTATTTTAGCTTGTACAATGCGCTTTTAGAGTTCTTCCGCTTTGCTACTAGGGTTTCACGGTTATATCCTCAAACTGCGGGTTCTTCAAAGTATATCAAGTTCAATAGGTTAAATTCTAGTAGTGAGATCTTGATATCGTTCATAATTTCTCAGATTTATGTGACATAATTCTCGTGAACTTAGAGACCTGTATTGTCGTTCTCTCATAAGTTGTTTGCGCCAAAGAAAGATTGGCACCTTTTTTAGGTAAGATTTTCCGCTGCGCACCTCCTAGACAAGTAGCGGCACACACTTGCAGATCTGCCCCTAGTGCTACAAATGAATGCGGCATTGTAGTGAGCGGTAACCTAGCAACCTAATTGTAAATATGCTGATCTACAATAAACGTTTGTCACAAATTGATTTTTATTAGGGTCAAGTAAATCTTGCCCCATTATCCAAACAGGTTCTGCCACCAAGCATATTTGGGACGCACTGTTTGTATGCGGATTTTTAAGCGAAACACTACAAGGCTGAAGTTCTAATTTTTATAATGTGACCTGTGCTCTATATGACGGAATTCTTCGGTATGTTTATGCCAATGGCCTTGTGGGTCTGAAGTGAGAATTAGATGTGTAGCGTGCCTTGTGAGTAAATGGGAATCAAATTTTTGACACTTCCCTTTAAAAATAGAATGCTATCTTGCCGCCCTGAAAGCATATAAGGAACAGCGAGGGTCAAGCTTCCCTGGATACCGTAGAATAACGAGTAAAATAACGAAATGATGCGTCACCAGGATGGCGGTTATGGGCTATCTCTAAAGTGACAAGATGTTTTGATCTCTATATGGTGTTGTTGTTCTCATATTTACTCAGACACTAATATGTCAAAATTCAAATGGCAATTGTTAAGGGTTTGAAGATGTAATGATTTTATTAGTTGAAATGAAATGTAGATAATATTTCTCCTCTGAAGTCTCGATCTGGCCTCAGGTGACCATAATACTTTTGTGGTAGGCATTGGTTGCACTGACTGTATATGACATCTTGGAATTTTTTTCTTGCTAATTTTGAGTGTAAACTTGTTGATGGCGATGCCGTGCTGAATATCATATATATTTGAAGTAGTTACAGTTATAGCACAAGCATTGTCGCTGTATTGAACACCGCAATAGTCTTCGATGACCACAACTTGGACAAATGATCGCATTCGTCCGCTCCCTTGCACATAGGAAGCAAGTAGGTGGGAACGCAGGAGGGACGTTGCGAACTGCTGGTCGACCATTTTGCTTGGTGCCAGGCATCTATTGATTGTACTTGTTGGTTACAGAATGCGATGGGGAAGCGACAATAGCGATCCATTTAAGTACTTGTTGAGATTTACACACGGAAAATTCCATTTTAGTACGTTTGCAGCTGGTTTTATACTTGTACATATTAAGTACCACCTTTCAAACTGTTTCATACTTTGCGCACGAGATTGTTTTCTGTACAAGGTGGAGGCTCAATTTGTACCTCGCAGTAGAGATAAGAGGACAAAGGTGAGCCAAAAATATTTACGAATTCAAATTTTTATTGATTAGTTTGGTGACAGCTCAACTTACTTCTATTTGAACTCCGTAGAAGTCAGAGTTTCTGTGCCAGTCAGACAAAATCTTATGGAAGGTGTCTACGATCAACTCAGCGGGCCTCCTTCTATTTCTTGAATTATACAATTCGCAGAAGATCCTGCCATGTCATGTGTATGCAGCTCTATTCCATAATGCATTGGCCCTGTATCCCTATTTCGATTTGATCTAGGTCCTCAGAGCTCGCGTGATGAAGGACTCAATGACGGCAATAGATTCAGTTAATTCATCTATTAAAATGTATATAGTTTCTACAAGCATGGTATTTTGAGATTAATCTGTGCTATATCCATTTCATCAAGATGCTGGTCACTTGAAGGTAATTGCACAGGTAGAGGAACCTTGATGTTCAATTCCAGATGGTGAGGTTTCAATCTTGTTTTGTTTCAAGAACACGGATAGCATAGTGTTTGATATCGGATGCTAATGGCCTGGGAGCATCTATGTTTCAATTGCCAACTGTAGACGCGTCAGAAACGAAATATATACATATCATGTTGCATTCCAGTGTCGGCTGCTAAGCTTTTCCTACACAAAGTATTCTTCCAAGACGTGTGTGAATCAGATTCCACTTCAATTTCAGTGAGTGATTTTCAGATGCTTCCTTGCAATGGATAACGCGTACGTGTCTAGGTGCATCGGGTTAGGTTTTCCAAAAGACGAAACGGAATGCAAACTGGATGGGTGATCGGCTAAGTAAGCATCACGTAGACACCCTCTGAGATCAAATTTCGGAAAGAAGGAGAAGTAGCCATCACACGTCGCTTTGGAAGCAGCGCCAGTAAACATAAATCTGCAATTTTGTTCAGAGTTCCCGATACGTCGGGGCTAATGCACAAACTCTGCTGGCGACATCGCTCGCCGTTTAGAGTGACTGACTGACTGAGCTGTAGTAATGAGCTAACCGCCTTACAAATTTTGAGCTACGGCGATGGTATTGAAGGTTTGCATATTTACGACAAGTTTGTATTGATCTGGGAAAGGAGCGAAATGTGAGTCTACTGATTTTGCCTCTCACCGATCAACATGAAGATTTGTATCCTTGTGTGTCCGAAGACGACGCATCAACGTAAATTCCATAGGCAGCATCTAGCTTGCTAGAGCATTCATTAATAGTGCGAAATGAAAATGTGAAAGAAAGGGTTGGCAGCTTGCTCGCTGAATCCGGACAACTACAGCAAACTTCCTCTGGTCATCCTGGAACAGTATTTTCATCTATCCTTGACAGTTGGCTAGTTTTCTCGAAGGCTTTGGGCTAAGTAAATACTTCACTGTACTAATGGGAAAGTAGTAGATTTATTGTAACCGCCTTCAGTATTGTTGCCAAAATGAAACATTTTCTATTTTACAGTAGAGAGCTCATAAACTCTCTATAGCAGTCCGCAGCTCTCTTACCATGACTCGTAGTAAAGGAATTCTCCACTCCGAATCCCTGGTTATTGTGGGTGAGCCAATGACGCTTTTTGGAACTTTGTTCAGCAGACAAAAAGCATGTAGTTCCAACTTCTATTAGAGCTCAAAATGAAGGCAAGTTAGCTGGGGTACCAATACTACTTTCTTTTTATATCATGTAGACATGAACTTACGTGGCTCAAACAGATCTCTAAATTTATGTCCTACTTTTCTTACCACTGAGCTGTAAATCAAACACTACCTGGTCAGACAACAAGGCTTATGGTGAAAGACTGCCAAGCGGCCTATATAATTATGCAAACGTACTAAAATGGAATTTCTGTATGGTGGAACTCAAAAAGTACTTAAATGGATCGCTATTATCGCTTCCCCATCGCATTCTGTAACCAACAAGTACAATCAATAGATGCCTGGCACCAAGCAAAATGGTCGATCAGCAGTTCGCGTACCCCCTTTTGTGTTCCCGCCAGTTTGCTTCCTTTGTGCTAGGGAAAGGACGAACGCAATCATTTGTCCAAAGTGTGGCCAACGAAGACTGTTGCGGTGTTCAATACAGCGACAATGCTTATGCTACTATTGTGATTACTTCAAATATATATAGATTTCTTCACGGCATCGATATCAGAAGGTCTACTCTCATGGCCTGCAACGAAATTTTCCAAAATGTATGGACACATTTAAAGGACCTGTTGCCGATTGTTCAAAAATATAATCATTAAATAAACCCTTTAGAGTGTCTCACCTTTATGATTGTATCTCTATCACTTTTTAGAAAATACATGATCGTAATCCGTAATATCTGACAGTATCAAATATTTTTTGCCACGAGCTTGCAAAATGGCACGATAATGTGATAGCTTGGATATTGATGTCTTCAATGCCGTCCAACATCCTACCGAAGGTGCGTTCATTTATATTCCAGCTTCAATTAGTATCGTCCACCACTGAAAAATGATTTTGTTCGCAAAAATCAGCTACCGGCACTTTAGGAGCGCGATGAAAATCGCAAGTACACCAACTAAGCAACTTTTTTTTGGGTTGGGGTCATTTTCCAACGGTTGATGAAAAACTTTTTTTTATATATACACTCACCACGCCACGCCACAAAGCCATGTCCTCTACAAACAAAATTAATTTATTAGGAAAAAAGTAATATCATATACCAAGCACTAGGTAGAATGGTTGACCAGTAGCTAACGCACTTTCGCACCAATTAGTTCACTAGCTCATTTTCAACTGACAGCAGCGAAACGAACGCAGCCGTAGCCTTGGTGCGCCAAATTCAACAGTAATAGACATGACCCTCGTTAGGAAACCTGCCAAACAGTGATGTGTCCGGTCACATTTTTTTGTTTTTTTTTAAAAAAGTGTGTCCCGCCATGCCATAAACAGATCCGGTAATTCCGTTTGGTGAAGTGCTGATGAATATATAAAACCCCTATAAAATAGATTTGACGTTTGTCTATCTATCCGCTTATTACCAGCAAGAAAGTAATCTCATCAAATGCCAAGCATCAAGAAATACGAACGACCTGTAGTTCGCGTGTCTGCCCCTGCTTTCCCACCAAAATGTTTTCTGTGTTCTCGGGAGCCTACGATCACCATTGTTTGTCCAAGATGCTGTCGTCGCAAAGTATTGAAGTGTTCCGTACTGCGACAATGTATATGCTACAATGGTAACTGCGGCTATGCCAAGTATATCTAAACTTCACCCAGCTTATATCCCTAAATGAACGCTCATGATCCGTGACAAGATCTGGCCGTTGTGTTATTTACGAAAAGTTTATATAGAGGAGCAAACTACGTCAACTTTGCTGGATTTTTGTGACTTATAATGTAGCTTAATTTTTAGTGAAAGTCTGTATTTGGATTGATTATTCAAACAATAAATTGGCTTCGTAATTCTGTTTAGCAAGGCTGCTTGTTCATAACTAGATCAACAGCTCAAAAACTAAAGGTAGGTAAATCTCGTCTGTGGAGGCAAAGATGGCGCATGAGGCAAATCGTCATTCTAATCGTAAGTTAAGCAGACAGTCCACATTACATGTGGATGTAGTGCGGGCAGGCTTGCTTTTGTTAACATTTTTAATTGCGAGCGGGCCGCCAAAAAAAATTTTCCTATATTTTGGGGGGAGGAACCCATGAAATTTTCCCAAAGGAGAAACTGCACTTTGTCCATTACAACATACAACTTTGTCTCACAGTGAGGTCCTCAGAACAGGCATGCTTACAACAGCTACGCGCATGTTATAGTTGTGCTGTAAGAGTAAGTGATTGCCAGCTTCATCTCGTGCAAACAGAACTAATACAGTTCATGGCGTGGCCGAGGCTCACTACGTTGCATAATGGCACTTTGGTTTTGCTACCGGTTGCCACAGCTACCTCAACCCACCATGCATTGGGAACTCTCACTTTTGTTTCCTTTACCCGCGGCTTACAATTATCATCGTAGTCTATTGATACCAACTGTTGATGAGCACATTTGAAGCATGCTTAGTGATCCTTAGATTAGTGTTGAGGACATTCGTTCCATCGCCCGCAAGGTCTAAATCGGTGGTAGCACACCTGTTCGTTAGATCGATCAAGATGAAGAAATTAGTGTCAATTCCTCGCTGAACGATGTTGCTGGTATAGATCTTCTTCGGCGGCTCTGCCTTGTCGGACCTCGACGCACTATTTTCGATGATAGCTGTCAATCCTCACCGACGATGTCCCAGTGTCTATATGAATCTAATGGTGGGATTGTATTATTCTTATGATCGCTCTTATATAATTTGTAATGATATCATTATACAGGGCGGGTTCACACTTATATCCTGTATCGAACGTGAGTTTTGCCAGAGTAATAGATGGGCCCAGGCCACATACACTACTCAAAATTTTAATTTACTGCTTTTTTTTTCATGTCTTTATTCAGAGTTGGATGTGTATACAAGTAATCTGTCTCTTCCATTTACACGGAATCGGTATCCATGGGTGCGATATCTTCAGTCAAATGTGCATCAGCAGCCGAGGTTGCAGTGCCTTGTCCGCGTCTTGGTCTTCCGGTATCACCGATCAGATCGAGGTATCGCTTCAAATCCTCTCCTTCAATGATTTCAAATTCTCTGTCCACACCAACAATGCCTATCGACGTGTTCTCTGTTGTCAACTCACTGTCTTGTTGCAATGTGTCGCGCAAAGCTTGCAGTCCGTGCTTCACAAGATCCTCTAGCGATGCTATGATGAAACAGCGCTTAGGTCAGTACTGCACAGTTGGTGCTTCCATTCACATCGTTTGGCGTACTGTGACTTACCATCGTTAAACTCGGAGTATTTGCTTTCAAGATATGTTTTTGCGGATTGCGATCGTGCTCCAATTGACATGGCATAGTATTCAAGATTATTCCCTGATGGTGAGCATTCGTAGAGATGAGGACCAGTTTCCTACACAATGAAAGTAAATAAGTTGATTGGAACATATCTCACATAGCTTCAATGATAAACTTACATCATATCCAATAACAAGAAGTCCAACTCCAAACGGTCTTTCACCATACATGACAGTTCTCTTCTGTGCCTCTGTCAGTGGGTAGGAATGTTTAGATTGGTGATCGAACAGAAGGGTTAGGCACGCGGCCAATTAATCCATTTACTTACTTTCACCTATCGCTGAAACAATTCGGCCAACTGGAAGAGGTTGATCAAACAGCATTTTTGATCTCATAGCCTCTGTTCTCATGAAATTGCTTTAAAGAGGGTGCGTTAACTTCTCCGGTGCATTAAATGAGGTTATCGCCCGTTCCTTGCCACGTACCTTATATCACGAGCGTCGGACGTCAACCCGGCAATGGCAATTCCCATATGATCGTCGACCTTGATTAACTTCTTCTGGTATGATGCAAGTTCGCCGGATGAGCGCTGTACGAGTGAAATCTTGTGGTTAGCCAAGGCAGGTACGCAATTATGAATGTTTAACAGGCATCGGTACCTTGAGCACAAGAAGGACAGCGTAATCCTTGCTACGAAGACCAACGGCTGCTGATCCCTGTTTGACAGCTTCAAGCGCATATTCTAGCTGATGGATACGGCCTTGTGGCGACCATGTGGAAACGTCATTGTCATATTGATTGCGAAACTAAGTCATACAAAGCTTGGTTAGTGAATGTCGTTCAAAATATTCTCGGGGCGCGCTTCTTGCATCGTCCGAAAAATATTCAACATGTCCTTCGATTGAATCGTCAGAGTATTCATGTTGGAGGTCGTGCGTCCAAACTCACCATTGTTTCGAAGAGAAAGTAGTTCGGTAAGTCTCTTGCACAAAGTGACGCGCAATCGAAATGTGCTTAACGTCTAGCTTGCGCGGCGAATGCTCAAAGCGGTGACGTAAAAATTTATGTTGACTTAATTAGTTCATGAAAATTCAGGAAAATCGTGTTTGTACAGGAAAATGTATTTGCTTCACATCGGCAGCCATGACTTTCTTGGATATCTAATTGCAGTATTATGAAAAAGTTCATTTTGCTATGCTTCTGTCATGCCACTTGGTTAATCAACTATAAGGCACGCTCTTGATTCTCAAAGACTTGTGAACAGCGTACGCATGGTAGTCTTCTACAGACACAGTACAATTTTTGAGAAATTCATAGCAAATGATTTATAAATCATAAATTATCGCAGTATTACTCCAATTAGAGGCAGCGTATGTTCCTGAAGTATCTATTCCATAGGCTAAAGGTATTTACAATTTAAAGGTCTAGCGATACAAATCAATACTTCTTAGACAAGGTGAGCGTTGACCTATTCAAGGATATACATGTTAGTAGGCTATTTCATCATGGCTGTGTCAGCCCTCAAGTTATAAAATAAATACAAACATTTTTGATCCATTGAACTTTGACATATACGCATCTTCCAATGCTGACTGAGTGACAGACGAGTCTAGTTGATACCCTCTCTGTTAGTATGGTCGCCATGATTACCTTCTCATATCCGCTTGCTTACCTGAAACATCACTGAATGAGGAACCCACGCTGTTTGTTCCTTCGGTAGTAAACTCTTCTGCAGTAGAAAGTTGATGTGTTCTTTCATGCCTTAGTGGAGATCTAAGTTGTTGTGCAGAAGGAGGTTGTTGCTGGCGCATATCTGGAGATGTAGGCAGTGACGAACTGCTAGGCTCGTGGCGAAATGGACTTTGCTTGTCAATAACCACACTCTTCAGTAGGGACATGATACTATTCGAGTGGCCTCTGGGAGATCGTGTAGAAGATGGAAGGAACGCCGGTGCATCTTCTTCATCAACATACAGCTCATGGAATCGCTCTTCAAAGTTGTCATTTTTATCATTATCGTTGTTGTCATAATCGTCGTTTTCTTGGCTGCTGTCGTCTTCGTCGGGTGCGAAATCTGATGCCCCGCCGCCAGTGAGTTCCTGTCTATCCCATGCATCCAATGGCAGTGATTTTTGCAACACACCAGAACCACTTGCTGACGACGTTTTGGTGCTTGCTTCATCTTCGAGCTGTGAATTTGTCATTTCATGTTCAGCCATTCTCGATCGTTTCATATTGTGAAAGGAGGACTCAAGTGGCGGTAAAGGTGAAGTCGCCTGAACCATTGGTTCGGTGTTGCTTGACTTATCTTGAGATGTTTGGCGAGTCATATACGGTCGACCTGGCGACCCAAATGATCGCGGGTGACTGGTAGCTGAAACAGTTGACAGGTACAAAGAGTCTACTTTATATGATTAGAGGGATATCCGTTTTTGCTTGGAAAAGACAACGAGTTTGACCTATTACCTGAGACGTTGTCTACAGTCGGAGAAGTTGCATTTACAGTTGATATAGGTCGATTCCCAATATCGGAGTGTGCTGTTGGAAATGATCAGCCCGTGTACACTCTCTCATGCGTAGACCGTAACTTGGAAGGTAAAATACAACTTACCATGCATAGCACTAGATGGCCGACTAGCTCGTGATGATCGGCCGCTTGCACTTGCTGAGTCCGATGCTTTGCCCTTGCCCATTTCACCCATTCTTAGCTGCTGCTGAATACCTCGGAGCTGAGTTTCGTAAAGAAAGGCAGCATGTCGAATTAGAATCTGGGTGGGCACTTCCAATTGCCTTGCTATCGAATTCCCTGTTTCAAACAGTTAAAAGATAAGGGCATGGAGGTCAATAACCAACGCCTTTGACTTACAATCGGTGTTCTTTTGGCTAGTATATTGCCATAGCCTATGCTCCATTTCCTCTGTCCATACTATCTGTACAAGAGATTACCACTGTGATTCAAGGCTGGTTGGCAGCAACGGAGAAACACATACCAAAGGAGGTTCTTCAAAGTCTTCGGGTCTCTGAAAAGGCAACCGAACAATGACATGGTGTGGCTCTTCTTTCTGAGGCATTTTGTGATGGGTTAAAGATAGAAGTGAACAAATTCAGGTGACTTCTGACAACTCTAAATCCTATTTTGCAAGCAGACACACGCACACATTGACAATCAGAACAGACCATACGCGCAATCGCGTTTGCTACCTTTGTGACAAAATATGATATTTTTTGGGCTTTTGAAGGGGGTGTCTAACAAATTATACAACGAGCGAAAATGTACGGTAAAAATGTATTGAAGGAGAGATATGGACTCTATAGCCGCCCACAATATGATCATGTACCTCTCCATCAACATAGTACTAAATAATTTAGTACTTGGTTCCGAACATGAGGATCTGGAGCTGATCGTATCTATTGAAAGGAAAATCAGTATTAGTTTGGGTTAAATGAGCCGTAATTTCCCACTCTTAACTATATACGTACCCAGAAAGGACACCAGCACCAGCGATGGCACGGAGAATGTTAGCACCAGCACCCTTGAAGAGAGACTTGTAACCCTCGTTCTTGATGACCTCACGGAAGCAGTGGAGGGAGGAGTCATACTTGACGGCGGCACCGGAAGTCATCATCATACGACGACGGACAGTGTCAATGGGGTAGGAAGCTAAAAGAGGAAAAAAAGGTCAGCCAAGCCACTAGGAAGCACAGGGCGGTGTTTCAAAATGACGCGCAAATTTTTGCGAAAAGTAAACTTACCAAGACCAGCACCAGTGGTAACAGCCCAACCAAGAGCGAAGTTAACCAAGAAGTTATCCTTGTACTGAACGGGAAGAGCGGGCTTGAGGGAATCGTACATACCGAAGTAGAGACCACGGTAGACGATGATACCAACACAAGAGATGTTGAAACCACGGTAGAGACCGGCAACACCATCGGAAGCGAGGGTCTTACGGTAGACATCGACGAGACCGTTGAATTGACGCTCACCACCCTTCTTGGCAGACTTGGCATCGTTAGCAAGACGAGTACGAGCATAGTCAAGAGAGTAGACGAAGAAGAGGGAGGAGGCACCAGCGGCACCACCGGAGGCCAAGTTACCGGCGAACCATTGCCAGTAACCATCTCTGTTCTTGTCCTTGTTGAACATGCGCTTGAACTTATCCTTGAAAGCGAAGTTCAAGGCCTGGGTAGGGAAGTAACGGATGACGTTGGCCAAGTTACCTCTCCACATGGAGTACATACCCTCATCCTTGATGGTACGGGCGAAGCAGTCGCCAATACCCTTGTAGGGGTGGGAAAGACGACCTTGCTTGATCATCTCATCCTGGTTCTGGACGAGAAGCTTGACACGCTCGATGGGAGCGGCAGCAGTCTTGGAGACAGCGGCGGAGACACCACCAGCCATGAAGTCCTAATAGAACAGAAGAAAAAAAAAATTATAATGCAGAATTAGCAAATGGTCGACATCAGAACAGAAAAGGTATAGGAATGGCTCTTAGGCCACTCTCGAGGTTATTGTATTGTCTCTACTTACCATAAGGAACTTGTTGGTCTTGTTATCGGCAGACATGTTTAATCAAGAGATGAGGAGTGGATTACTTTTCAGGCCAAAAAGAAGGAAAGAGCAAGGAGCGAGGGCCGAGTTGAATGTTTCTTATACTATTGGCCAGACCAATGAAAATTTTTATTTTCAATTTCAGGGCATCTGGGCAGGGGTCACATCTACAACGGGTATTGTAAATTCTATAAAGGCTGACAAAATTGTGTTTGTGTTCATGAAAATGTTATTTGTGCCTACTCACTTGGCCCTTGAAGGATCCGCTACTCTCCTGTTATTAAATTATCTGTTTGTATGCGCTTCAGTTGGTGCTGGGATATGGATGATTCCAATATCACAAACCCATATTGCAAATCTCTTCAAAGCGTGTCTTTCGGTCTTCATTTCCATTTGCCACCCCGCAAAAAGACTAAAGGATATTCCGACTTTTGCCGAGTTCGATGTGAAAAGGCAAGAGCCAACTATTTCATTGTTTACAAACCGACAGCAATGCGGGTGACATCTCTAATATGTCTTCTTATACAATGGCTACATATTGCCTTTTCATCAAAAGCAATAATGTTGTAAAGGGGTTAAGCTAGAAACTTGCAATAATTTTTTTGTGTGCGTAAGAAGGTTGACTTTTTACTTTTATAGACACAACACCTATCTTCGGATCGAGTTTACAAGACGGTATTGATACGAGCTGATCTTAACACCTTGGACCAGTAAAGCATCAGGTTTTGTATATTCATCATAACACCATGAGGGCTACGCCAGGATGCATTAAAATATCCACCTTTTAATGGAAGCCTATTGATTTACATGCCAGCATGGCAGGGACCAATGAACCCCCATTTTCGATTTACACGTGATGCCCACAACTAATATCAAACAAAAACTTTGTTGTCTGTGCTCTACCTGCCTTCGAGTGTATTGTAATATTGGAATCGAATAATATGACGACTTTCATTCATCTACATAAGCTGCAGATATAAGGTAGATTTTCTACAAATTAGACTCGAATTTAGCCTATGGGCTACTTTGCGTACCCCGGTCGTCCGTAGTTTCAGCAGTTCTCCGAATTTTCAGTTATCTCGATCATGCTTTCTACAAGGGCCGTATGATCTACTAGACTGGTGACCAGCCGTTGTGTCCTACTGATACTAAAATTACTGGCAAGCTCATAATGCTACTACTAAACTGTAGATACGAAATGAGTCTTAACGTCAATATATTTTTCTAAAGTGAAGCGAGACAGTGGAATCATATCTCAGCTTTAAAGCTATCAAGTGCCACATATTCACTATGTTAAAACGATGATACTCAAATATCGCACGAGTCAATGTAAGCTGTCTACCATTGCCACAACTGCTGTGGTGAAACGTTAACCAAAGGACATCCTTACTTATGTCAAGAACGGTGATTTTGCACAAGTTGATCTCATTTCAACAAATGCTAGTCGTACCGCAAATATATGACATAGCCATCTGGACATAAAATGGGATTGCCAATCATTTTTTCAACAGCGTGCTTGTTCCTAAGAGGTTGAAGGGACAGGGTCAATTTACATTGAACTCAGCAGGGACCAACAGAAATCCGCCAAATTAAGGTAGGAAAAATTCTTCCAACCCTGAAACAGAAGCGATTTAACTTCAGGAACTTTCCGATACATTGGTAAGAATTGTAGCTAATGCGCGGAGAAAGTCAAAGGCGGAAAATGTGTCAACTGTTTCTGAGCATCCAAACTTTTACCACCACCATTCATAAAGTAATGAGACAAAATAGCGCTTTTCCTTAATTAACTGAATAGGTCGAGAAAACTTACCATATAGCTGCAATTTTGGAGACTTTTATGTGAATCTGCTGTAAACCTGACAAGCTACAAAATGTTAACATGGCATTGCATTTGTGCGAAATTTTCGATACCTGTTTAATGTCGATAGATCATCCCCAGATCCTTTCTGCTCATTCAAAGTCTCTATATGACAAGTCGAGCAGTCGTAGCGTACTAGATATAAAATTATCATCTACTATTGACATTCTTACGTCAATATAATGCGATCATTTTTCACTATCAGACTACATTCACCGCATGTAAAAATCGCACCACGTTTAATTTCGTAGTGCAGCATCGGATCTCTATCTAGGTTAAATGTCATTAGTGCACCGCGGTGATTGTCTTCCATCAAAACCGCAGCCTCGTTATTATGTTTTGATGCGCTTGCATTCTCGCCTTTCGAGTTTCAGGTTTATGACTGCTCTGGCCAGCCATAAACGAATTATGCACTTTTCACTTGAAGGTTTCTGACATAAAGCAAACTGTAAATCCCCTTATCTCTGAAACGAAAATGGTAGATCTGTTAGGGGTTGTAGCCTCGAAAAGCAATTTATGTTCCTGCAGAGTACCCAATGCTAATACTTAGTGTACATCAAACCGTGGTCTCAAGAAGGAAAAGCCCCACACCATCAACTGGTTCGCGAACTCTCGGTGCTGGGGTTACACTAATGTCGCACTAGCGATCTTGTTATTTCGCAAAGCACTGAATACCAGCACAATGATTTCTTTGACTAAGGTAATCGTTGCTTGCTGGGAAAAATAGGGTACATCAGTCAAATAGTCGTTCGAGAAGAAGATATAAAGGCTATACACATCTACCAAAATCGACTCCTTTAAGACAGTTGACAGGGGTGCGGTTACTCCTCCACATCGCAGGTTGCAGCTGACATTCGCATTGTATGCAGATCGTTCAATTAGTTTTGTGCTTAGCACCACATTGTAAAAATAGTCGTTGGTAGCTGTATTGAGCTTCTCCATTTGGAAATCATTTGCAAGGCGGCTGCTCTCCCTTGAACTACCAATCAGCGTCAGGCCAGCCTTCTATGTTTGTAAGTTTTGGTTTGTGTTCCAGCATGCCACTTTGTCGGGTCATGATCAACTGCTGGCAAAAACCGAAGGTGAGCCTCAAGAAGACAATAATAGAACAGCGGAGACGGTAAGTTGTACAGCATCAGCGAAGAATAATCAGAAGCATGCAATTTGTAGCCACCACCCACAAAATTTTTTTTTCTTTTCGGACACAAATCACGAATGTTTTCCTGTCTTCACGGGAGAGGGGTTTATAAATCCATGCCATCGTATGTCCATGAAAAAATCACACAAACCTCTTCCGCTTGTCCCTTCTTCCACTTTCCTTCATCCCTTTCCACTCATTTCTAATTGCTAACGTGCAATGAAAGTAACTGTTTTTACCGCCTTTGTTTGGGCATTGGGTAAGTGCATTCGACCTCACGCGACTTTCCATAGTAGTATAACTCCTGATTAACAATTTTCATTGGGCGCTTCTTTTTGGTTCTTCTATACCTTGTTTTTCACTTTTACTCAAGTAGCTACAGCGTCTGTGCAATGTAAACTGGCTACCTACACTGTGCTTTCCCCCAGCCCAACTGTTTCGGTCATTGTTAAGAGCAAGACTTACACCCTAAAATCGTCCACTGCTACTCCTCTCGTTCATGTTGGGACAGCACCAGGTGGCTCATCCTACCGCTACGTAATCAAAGGAAAAAAGGAGAGGGCTACTCGCAATGCAATCCCCGCTGGCAGTGCTACTCAACCTGAATTTTTTGATCGCCCTAATCAAGTTTCTGTTCCCAAGTTACCAAAGTTGTATACCAACAAGTATTCCGACAAGGTCTATACCAGCGCTCACCTCGAGAATGAGATTGGCTCCATTCACTTTTCAGCTCCTGCCTCTGAGGTGAAGAAATTGTACGCAAGCAAAGAATCCAAGGCTAAGGTGACTTCAACCATGACTTTCATCAAGTAAGTTGATCAAAGTGTGCCCACATTCTACGTTACGACAAAAATTTACAAATTCCTATCAATTGCAGTTCCAAAGGTATCCAGACATTTACCAATTCTACCATTGCCATTGGTGGCGAGTCCACCAGAGACTGGGCCAAAAAAGCATACAAATTTTCGCTAAGCAAGGACACTGACGGGTTGTATGGACTACGCAAATTCAAGCTTAGAGCTGAGGCGTCTGAACCTACCATGATCAGAGAGAAATTGTATTACGACATGCTTGACGCACTTGGCCTTCCTTCTCCTTCAACCTTCTATGTCCGTCTTTTCATCAATAACGATCAAATTGGTCTGTTTTTGCTGGTCGATGAGATCTCCAATCCTTGGCTCAAATCAGATTTCAACGGCGGTAAAAAATATGACAACGGTATCCTGTACAAGATGGATGGCGGCGGCGACACCGTTGGTGCCAACCTTGCTTATGTCGGAAGCTCAGAGAGCAAGTACACAGATTTCTATTCTGTCGAAGAAGAGTCTGGTTCTGGCGAAAAGTCATTGAAGCGCCTTATTGATTTTACAAAGTGGATTAAAGAAAAGGGCAACACCGCTTCTACCGCTGAATGGGACGCTCAAATTGATACTGATGGATTCCTCAAACAGTAAGTGATCAATCGATGGTCTCTTAGTTTCAGTCTTTTATCATGCTTCTAATCAAGGTTTCTCCGCCTTCCTTTTCTTTTGGCAGCATGGCTTTGGAGTTTCTCAATGCCGCATGGGACAACTATTGGGTTTCTGCTAGTAACTATTATCTCTACCATGATCCAAAGAAGAACCAGCTTCAATGGCTCAGCTATGATTTGGACTATACTATCGGTAACGGCATTGAAAAGTTCCAAAAGCATATGCTGACGGACACCTACAGTAAATATGCCGCCGACCAGCCTGCTCGCCCACTTATTGATACTCTGCTCAAATCCAGCACTTTCAAAAAGAATTTCGAAAAGATCCTCAAGAATGTGCTTGAAAACTTATACAAACCTGATATCCTCAACAAACGCATTGATGGTTTGGTCAACCTGATCCAAGACGATGTTGCGTGGGATCGTTCTCTCAAACGCGTCACCAAAGGCGATGATTGGGAATGGGACTTGAGCGATTTTAAGTCAAGCATCACCAAGGGTTTTGGTGAAGATGGGCAGTGGTATGGATTGAAGGAATGGATCAGCAAAAAGTACGCTGCTGTCCACAAGCAATTGTAATATGAGTAACATGAAATGTTGATCATTTTTCTTTTTTGTTCAAAGAGTGTTATATTATGCAAAGTTGGTGATAAGCTAATTGCCTAACGTGGTCTAGTTAAATGACCTAGGTCCATAGCCAAAAGTTGGCCAGCATCCCAATAAAACTTGTCAGAGTAGATAAAAATTTGCTATGGTGCAGGAGATAATTTTACTATTGAATATCATGATTCCAGCTTTCGCTTCCAGCCTCCCGTATCCCCATTTTTCTTCGGCTCTGTACTTTTTGGAGGTTCTTCGTTGGAGGATGACGATGATACCGAAGCTGCACGAGGTTCTCGATCGTCGTTCAAGACTGTACCTAAAAACAGCTTTCGCCGCTTGCCGGTATTTTCGTCAGTGTCCTTCATTGATCTAAGGAGATTTCCTTGGAGCCCAAGATTATGTGGGCCAATCAGAGATTGATGCACATGTTCGATGGATTTAAAGTATTTGACGGTCTATGGTAGAGTCACATTTAGCTCAACTAGTAGTACATGGAGTCAGCAAGCATAAAGCCGCGGCTCTCACCTTGACATGCAGTTCCAAGGTGGCGTCTTCGTCGCACACAATTAAGCCTTTGGGGTGCATCTGCATCGCTGATACTGTCCACATGTGATTTACACCTTCTTCAATGCACTTCGCAAGAGCAATGCTTTTATGAGCCCCAGTGATGACGACCAGCACCTCTCGAGCATCCATAACAGTGCTTCAAAATTAAAAGTAGTTAAGAATGGACTGTTGCGCTTATCGTTCCTGCACCATAATTCATTCAGTGATGGAATACTCACGCCACACCTACGGTCAACGCAAGTTTTGGCACTTTTGTAACATCGCCTTCAAAAAATCGAGCATTTGCAATTATGGTCTCATATGCCAACGTCTTGACTCTTGTCCGCGACGTGAGCGATGAACCAGGTTCATTAAAAGCGATATGCCCATCGGGACCGATTCCTAAAGAACAAAATTCAGTAAAAACAGGATGAAGTAACTTTATGCTAATACAATATTGCCCTTTCTTACCGCCTAGGAATAGTTCGATGCCCCCAACCCGTGCAATCAAAGCTTCGAACCTTCGACACTCCTCATCAAGATCGGTGGCGTTTCCATCTAAAATATGCACATGCTTCATATTTATATCTACATGTTTGAAAAGGTGATTCCACATGAAGGAATGATAGGATTCTGGATGGTTTCTATGGCGATACGTTAGATGACCGGAGTTTAGGCAAGTTGGGTTCAAGCTAGGTTGAAAGACCTACCGAGGTAATCCAACGTATTCGTCCATGTTGAAGGTGATAACATTTTTGAAGCTAATCTGGCCAATCCTGTGTAAATCGACCAGTTTTGCGTATACACCTATGGGGGAAGATCCAGTGGGCAGGCCGAGCACAAATGGTCTTTCGGGTGTAGGTTGAAATTGGTTGATCCGCTCCTTGACATAATGCGCTTTTTGAATTCGAAATTCATGTCAGCGTAAAGTAATGGGGACAGAAAAGCGTAATATTGGCTACTTACCAACATACGACGAGACTTCATCATAATCCTGCCGAATGATGAGTCTCATTTGCGCTATGTGGTGAGGTTTTAGAGTTGAATGGAGTGTGCAATTGGACCCTGAAAGAAAAAGAAAACAAAATAAATTATTTGGGTTTCGGATGATTTCGTTCGTGGAAAAAAACTATTCAGTGTGGCCAAGTATATTCCGCGGGTGTAATGTAACACTCCAGCCAGGGTTTTTTTATAGCTTCATGCCCTTATCGGCTATCACAAGCGGTCACTACTGCCGCCTTTGCCAAACGTGCACGCAAGTAAGATATTGAGTCCATTGTATTGTTATTGACCTACTAACTGGATACCCTCTTGATTCTATGACTACATTACTTACCCGCAACCATATACCAACATTTCTTATTTCTACCATAACTCTGCATCCATTATCATCATATCCACACAATATTCTCGTCATCAACATTAAGGGAGCTGCACGCCTGATAGTCCAATGCTTTCATTTGTTTGGGGGGAAAATATCTCTCTTTTTGTCCACACAATTAATCAACAGTATCAACGTCGCATCTGAGGGCGCTTCTCAACGTCTATCATATGGGCTAGCTGATCTTCCTCGTCCATAATCCGGACTATAACCTCGCGCTGATTCAGAGTGAACGGGTGGGGATGCTCCTGCAATGTAAAATGAGATAGGTCAGTGAGAGGCTGTTGCGAATATCAGCACAAAAGTTAGTTGCTTACGATCGATTGGTCCGCGGGAACTTTAAGACGACAAACAGAGCCTCGTTAGTATAAGGGACGTATCTTAATATACACAAATCGGACATTCACCTTTCACGGTCTCCAGCAGGGCGAGGGGGACGACGATCTTCCTTCTTGTCAATGCCAACATCCCTAAAAGCAATTTAACGACAGGTCAACTACGCCGTGTGCACAGTTATGACTACTTAATGTAACATTACATACCAGTCAAGCTTCAATCGACGTCCTTCAACACTAAAACCATCGAATTTATCAAAAGCATCCTCTGCGTCGCGACGTTCTTCAAATTCAACGAAGGCAAAACTGTATGTGAAGAGTTAGTTGAATACAACAATCACCGTACGATTTGACCATAATACTCTACCCTTTGTTCTTTCCAGTCATGTTGTCAAGCAGAACAGTAGTCTTTTTGATTCTTCCATAGCGTTCAAAAAGGTTAGACACATCCGGTTCTCTGAAACTGTAAGGCAAGTTGCCCACATAGATGGTTGTAGACGATTTTCGATCATCTTCATTACCGCTTAAAAAGAAAAAAAAAAAAAAAACACGGATACGTTAGATGCAGACCATAAAAACAAAGAGTCAATTATTCATAATAACTACCGATACACTGGTCTTCTTGGTCTACCTCTGGAGGGAGGACCGTGGCGAGACGGAGGGCGACCATAACGATCATAATCCCTATCGTAGCGATCATAACCGCGATCATAACCTCGGTCATAACCTCGATCATAGCGGTCTTCTCTGTAGCGATCATAGTAGTCATCTCGGTGTCTGCTACCTCGATGATCGTCTTTATGATAATCATCACGGTGGGAAGGGCGTCGGTGTCTGCTATAAGGATCGGATGATCTACGTGGTGAAACGGAGCGCTCACGACGATCTCTTGGTGATCTTATGGGTGAGGCACCTCCTGGTGGTGGAGAAGCTCCTCCTGGTGGTGGAATGTGTGGTGCAGCGTACGGATCCATTATGTGTCAGTATTGTCACGTTTGGACTGTCCATTTCATAAAGTTGAAATTTTTCAGACATTAATTGTTACGTCATCCTAGTACAATTTGATCTTTTGAGTCCGTCCCTGCGTGTTTCAGACTTTCAATTGTGATCTTTTGGTGCTGTTACTAGCATAGAGGCATACTACCAGGCTTTTTGTCAACAGTGTCTCCAATTATATAAGCAAGCAAGTGTCAGCAACGTCCGCTTACAGCAATATCTGGAGCATAATCAATCCAAGGTTTGTGTAAAATTAGCCACATGTCGGCCCATGCTTTGGTATCGCACTAGTGGTGTCCTTCCGATACAGAAACTCTCATTTACTCAGTGGACAAACTAAATACGATGGTATGCCAAAAGTGGGATTTGTAGGATAATTAACGGTATCTTGCCAAATGCTGTAGCATCGTATCAAATGGCTCATAGAGATGAGCTGCTAGGCCATCCGCGGAGGTTTTTTCCATATGTATCAATGTGACGGTTTGCTGATTCTCTATGAAGTTCCGACTTTTGGAAGAAACAGAACGCTTAGGAAGTGCAAATTGAGTTGGACAGGCTGTGACCAAATCTAAGCGCCACTTTTAAGGCAGTGATTGCGATTGTCGGATGCAAAGAATACTTGTCTTGCATCATGTACATTTACAATGGACAATCACTTCCTTACATCAAGTAGCCTGAAAATAAGTGTTCGTTCGGGTTTTCAGGTTTGTACTCCAGCTCTGTGACAGGCTAGCCGTTCCTAATTCGCTGTCAGCGTTGTAAATAAAAGGAATAACGTTATGATAAACGATTCGGGAAAGTAGTAGGATGAAAAGTCGGTATACCTCATTCAGCTGCCTGTACAAACATTCAATGATAACCACCTCAATACAAGATTACGGAGCTGGAAGTTGTGGACTATCATTACCTAACAAATAGCAACCAGTAAGCCTCCTAGCCGCGGGACAAGTATTGCAATGAAATCACAGCGATATGGCTATGCGTACCTCAGAGTTTCATCGAAAGTAGAAGTTCGATGTAATCTTCTTTCGTGCAAATCTCTTGTAAGCTGTAGCAATTAGAGCTATTCGATTTCATTAGATTGATAATCTAAGGCTACCTTTTGATTATGGCCATATGGAAAGTATACGACTTGAGCAAACGTGGCGATCTACCTCTGTAAAGAACCTCTGTCACACTGCTCAAGACATGAAATAGCCCATGACTTGAGGTATACGAGGGGTAAATATAGAGATATGGTTATATATGGTAGATGAAGCATGGCCACTTCTGTACACTACATAACACGCAAACTTTTTCTTTTTCTGCCATCCCAAACATCACGTCCGCTCCCGTAAAATTAGGTAACCTTAGGCGCACAAGTCGACACTACTGTCTTACGATACCCCGCGTGATCATATCACAGCATGGAGATGTCAATAAATGGAGTATGTCTTGGACAATAGGAGATATTCAAAAACTTTTCGGCTCGAGGCAATTTCGATGAAAGAGAGCTTGACAGTTGCACTACAGAAGGAGAGTTTTCCTTTCCCATATATTTTTTTTGATTCGTTTTGGATCTCCTCTGCTGGCAGCGCATCTTTAATGAAGAGGTTTTGGCCGAATTACCATAAGGGGAATTTACAAGGTTAAGCCAGCCATGAATTTTTTGCCCCGGAAAAACTTGGCTGGGTAACAAATGCTCTCAATTATTCCGCTACTCACTCACACCTGACTTTGTCATTTTGTGGTGCAGTGCTAAGGAAATAACTAGCAGTGAGGTATCATAGTGCTATATTGGAAGCAACTGGGTGGACTATGTGGTATGATTACATAATATAAAAGATAGTTCATTATGTTACGCCGCGTAGTTGGGAAAAATTAGTCCCCACACTACCGAATGACTTTGAAAAAAAAAAAAAAAGATTTCTTATAAAACTATAAAACGGGATAACTCTAGATCCACGCCTTACTTTCAGCTCCCTTTCCCTTCCCCTCTTCCTTTTAAACAGCCATGACTTTAGCCCACGAAACAAACGTGAACGTCGTTTTGCGCAAGCAAGGTGAAATTGTCCTCGTAAGTTTGAAACCAGCACATATGCGCTTCCTCTGTTCTACTTCCCACACAAGTGAATTAAAACCACCTCTTGTCAACCCATCTCGTATACTAGGAAGAGCGACCAGTACCCACTATTCGACCAGATGGTAAGAATTTGTTGTCACTAGGAAATGCGTACGTGAAAAGAAGATACTTTGAACCTCGGGCTGACGTAATATTGTGTTTCTCAGAGGTCTTGCTGAACATCAAAGTCACTGGTATCTGTGGTTCAGATGTCCACTACTGGCTTCACGGTGGAATTGGTGATTTCAAGCTTAAGGCTCCTATGGTTCTTGGTCACGAGTCTGCTGGTATCGTCGTTGCCGTTGGTGACAACGTTAAGCACCTCCAGGTCGGTGACCGTGTTGCCGTTGAACCTGGCGTGTCTTGCCGCCTCTGCGAGGAATGTAAGACCGGCCACTACAATTTGTGCAAGGACATGAAGTTGTAAGTTCATCATCTGGAATGAGTCGTAGTTCCTGTTTTGCAGCTACAACATATCTTACGTTACTCTGATTTGACAGCGCAGCAACTCCCCCCATCGACGGTACCTTGTGCAACTACTACGCTCATGCCGCGGATTTTTGTTACAAGTAAGGTTAATTCAAATATCACGCTTTGGTGGCAGAGATACTAAAAAAAAACTCCCTTCAGAATACCCGATAACTTGTCTTTGGAAGAAGCCGCTTGCATCGAGCCCCTCTCTGTTGCCATCCATACCGCTAACCGAAGCAATATTCGATCAGGAGACAGAGTTATGGTCTTCGGGGCTGGTCCCGTTGGTCTTCTGTGCTGTGCTATGGCTAAGGCTGCTGGCGCAGGACACGTTAGCATCGCTGATATCTCACCATCTCGATTGGAGTTCGCCAAGTCATACTATACCGATTCACAAATTGTTCTTCAACGACCAGAGGTTGGCGAGCCAAACATAGAATACTCGCGAAGAACTGCAAAGGCTATTTTGGAGACCGAAGAAATGGCTGACGTTGTCATCGATGCCACTGGTGCTGAGACCTGCGTTCAAATGTCTCTCATGGTAAGTTGATACCGAGTATGGTCATGAAGTCCAGTATGATCTGTGAATCATCTAATCTCATTCATGTATATCACAGTTGGCCAAGAATGGAGGGTGCGTTGTTTTGGTTGGTATGGGCTCTGCTGTTCAGAGCCTTCCTGTCCAAGAGCTTGGAGCTAGAGAGGTTGATATCAAGGGTATCTTCCGTTACCGCAACACGTAAGTACAAAGTCATAACCTCAAGTGTTTGATCGAATTATTCTTCTCATTTTCTACAATCAAACTTTTCAGTTACCCACGAGCTGTTAAGATGCTCAGCGCCGGCACTATCGATGTTAAGCCATTAATCACACACTCATACCCATTGAAAAACGCAGTGGATGCATTTGAGCATGTCAAGAGCGGACGGGATGGTGCTATCAAGGTCCTCATTCTTGGATAAAATCCCTTTTTCACTTTCTTTCTTTTTCTAAATAGTAGTATACAATATGTTTTTCTTTCAATGTGCTAGAGGCAAATACATTATAATGGACCATCAACGATACCAAAGATAATTGACATGCTACAGTGTTGTTTGAAGAACATCAAACAAGCTAGCCAGCAAACGGACGTCATGGCGGATTGAATACGTTCCCATCAGAAGAGAATGATTGGTGCAATGGGGATACATCTGTCAGACGGAGACTGCTGGAATCCAAAAGAAGGTTCAGTAATTGATAAATGACCGTACGACACCTTTAAGATGCCGTCCCAACGCCACCTTTGTATTCAAGCTCACCTCAGCTTTACAATAAGAACCGTTATATGAGAGTTTTGGTGACAAAATCGCGATGCTTTGATATTGATGATACGTTAAAGTTATGCTACAAGTACACAGTGATTGAAAGAATATACGAGTCTTAATACTGAGTTATATAATACAATTTTCTATTCTACACGTCCAAGTCTTCTTCGGCTAGGATGAGCATCATACCTTCTTCATCTACAAGACGTGCTTCACGCAATCGCTCATCCACTTGAGCCTTTGTGCTTTTGAAGCGGAAGAATAGGTATATGATGCTGACCACGCCTCCAACCGCGCAAATCACTCCAAATGCAATATTGGCATATGTCACCACTTCATCCAAAGATATAGGAGATAAGACGAGAGCTAACCGAATGATGAATTCGAGGAACAGAATGAATCCCCACCAGAGCGTCAGGAAAGTGATATCGAATCGGAATCTGTGAGAGTGTTCAAACATCCAATCATACTTGTCAATGGATGGGCCGGTTGTATCTCCAAACAGCTGCCTTATGATATATTTGTTAAATCTAGAGCGACGACGATTGGGTCGTCTGTTTGTTTCCAGATCATAATTATTCGTAGCTGTAGAATCTCTTTGGATTTCGTTTTCTTCTGGGGTGGCGTCAGGGGCATTGCCATTCGGCTTCTCATTGGGTAATTCCTGCTCAGCAGGATGTACGCTGTTAATAGGTTTGACGTTGGTTGTGTTTGTGTATTGTTGGTCGACAGGTTCCACTGATGTCACATTAGCTGAACCATAAACAAGAGATGGGTTGATATTACCAAGTGGAATCAATTGCTTGATGACGAGTAGCATGAATGGTTTTAGTCGCACTGATCTGAATTTGATCGGCAGTACAGTGATAATGAACCCAACACCTAATATCAAAGTTACGATAGACTTTTCAAATGTAAGAATACGGGCATCTCCTGAAGCAAAGGCAACAATGGCAGAGACCAGGAATGCCAAGAACACTGCAATGAAAAAATAATTAGTATGATTTCATGATACCCATTGCTAGTACATACTCAAAAGTTACCTAGAATCCCAATGGCATCCAAGCTTCTTGCGTAAATCAAACGAAGGATGACCATAATCAAAGCTGGTACACCACCAATCAAAAGGGCATATGCAGGATTGCCTAGAGGACCTTTCAGAACAAAGTATAGAAGGACAGGTAGTGCGACATCCATGATAATCATGCCGATTACTTTGAGGACATTTCGGAAGATAAGTCGCCGAGTAGCCATTGCATAGAACAATTCTCTATCTGGATTATTCGCCAATTCTTGTTCTTCCAGTTCATGAGGGCCTATTGAAGATGACGTTTTTCTGTACTTTTCTTCTATAGAAAGCCTGTTTTGATCTGGGCGTGGTGTATCAAGTGTAGTTTGCGTTGCTTCCTCAGGGCGGGAAGCTGAGGTGCCATTCTCTGGATGGCTAGACATGGGGAGGGGGGAATGAAACAAGCGATAAGTGTTGTGCGAAGAACTTATTTATGTGTTCAAGGTAAAGGTGCCGATTTGCCGTCTACAATGAAAGAACACTGTTCTTGTTCTTCGGCAGTAACGAACTTATTTCTCTGACACCGCATTTCGTCATTTTTTGTAAATCTATCACTGTGCTTAAATGGCATTTTATTTTTTTGGGTGATGACGTAAAATCATTGGTCCGCTGCTCAGGAGTCCCGCCGAGAGAAAATTTTAGGCTCGGGATCGCCAGTCGAACCAAGCTGAAAGAAGTAATTCTACCATGAGGCTCAACGTCCCTATTGCCATTGCTGCATCATACCTAGTATGCTCGGGACTTGCGCTACCTACCTTTGATGACCAAAAGCCATTCCTTTCAAAAGGCAACGGTGTAAATGCTATCGCTGATTTTCAACTGAAGGATTCCCCAAATCAACATTACGATGGCCATCAAGTGATCGCCATCAATGCAACTAATGAGCAAGCGCTATCAGCACTGTATGCTCTTAGAGAGGTAGGATATTGAACAATCATCAATATATTTCCAAAAGTGTGATTAACTCATCGTACATTATCACTTAGCGTCTTGCCCTGGATTTCTGGACCCCATTATCACTCGATAAACCTATCCAAATCCGAATCAATCCGGAACAAAAAGATCAATTTTTTGATCTTTTACCATCATCTACTAATTACTCGGTCGCAATACCCGATCTACAACAGTTTCTCGACAATCAAGCAAAGCTAAACTACGAGACAACAGTAATTCGAAAGGGATTTGAAAATTTTTTCACTGATTATCATTCATATGAAGATATTACGGCACACTTGGATGAACTTGCTTCCCAGCACAAAAAATTAGTTAAAAAAATCAAAATTGGTACCACTAGCGAAGGCCGCCCTATCTATGCTTGGAGACTTCATAAGAAGGCAAAAAAATCAAAACCGACTAAGAAACCCAAGAAGAAGACGCATGGCAAAAACCTGCTTTCGAGCTGGCTCGAAGATTTAGGTGATAACATAACTGAGTTGTTTGAATCGGCTGCAGACATTTTTAACACACCTGATGAGAATGAAGATCTCTACGAAGATGAGGAAGATGACTATCAAGTGACGAAGAAGAAGAAACAGAAGAAACCAAAAAAGCCCATGGAAATTGTCATCAATGGTGGTCAGCATGGACGTGAATGGATATCACCAGTAAGTTGTCAGAGTGGTAATGCGATAATCTAGTCTATCTCCTAACCCAAGAATTAGGCCGTTGTTTCTTACATGATGGCCGCCATGTTGGACAGCTATGATTCGGATAAGACTACGCATCGCTTGCTAAAGTATTTTAAATGGACCTTCATCCCAGTCCTCAATGTTGACGGTTACGAATATTCTCAAACCAACGATAGGATGGTATGGAAACTTTGAAAGAGAAAAAATGGCATTAGGCGCTCGAAATATGTACTCATGGCATTATTGGTTGCAGTGGCGAAAAACTAGACAGTCGTTTGAAAACTCAAAGTGTATTGGTGTTGATTTGAACCGAAACTGGGTAAGTATTCGCACAAGTACGATCTATGCCCTTGTTGTATCTTGCGAAATCTTACTAATTACCATCTCTAGGACTTTGAATGGGAAAGCAGACCAGGATATGATAGTAACCCATGTAGCGAGACGTATGTTGGGACTTACCCGTTCTCAGCTCCTGAATCGCAAGCTCTGGCTAGTTATATTGCATCTCGCAAACGAGTTATTAGTTACTTGGATCTGCATTCATTTTCTCAAATGTGGATGACACCTTATGGTAGCGACTGTCGTCATGAACCAAAGGACAATGAGGATATTATCGAAGCAGCCCTTCATGCTGTCAAGTCCTTGAAGCGAGTACACGATAAACAATTTGAAATTGCTCCCGTGTGCCGCTCGGTGTCAGAGGTAATGTATACCATCCACTATACCATGCTTCAATACCATATATATCTAACTCATATCGCATTCAGACTTCTGGTGATGCCATTGAATGGTCATACACCAAGCAACATGTAAAGTATTCGTATGAAATACAGTTGCGAGACACAGGTAGTTACGGCTTTTTGCTGCCACCTTCTGAAATTTTACCCAGTGGAGAAGAAATGCTCTCTGCTATACAAAACCTTGCCCTTTTTATTCGCTCTCGAGATGGAAAGGGAAAGAAAGGAACATAAATATTTTGTCGTAACCACTTTCAATAAATCAAAAATCAAGCAATATCTGTCCTTCCCTGAGGAAATGTGGTTGACTGCTCTCCGCTTTGAGTGCCAGTCACACTGACAAAAAAAAAAAAAAAATTGAGCCATTTCCTTCACAGTAGGCTTGTCTCGATAGATCAAACATGGGTACCAATTTCAATCCTAACAAAAGTGAGTCGACGCTTTGTATTCGAACTTCTTATCATGAATCTTTTTCTCAAATGTTTTCATCTTGCAGACCAACACAAAAACAACATCGGTGTCAAGAAGAGAGTTAGAAAGAATGCTTATAAGGCCCGCCGAGGTGTTGCAGTTCCAACTGTAGAGATGCGAAAACTCGTTAGCAAGAAGAAGCAGCAACAGTTCGCCAAAGCTTTGAAAAATGTAAGATCCCCTTCTGGCAGTGTGAAGTGATGCTTGTATACCTATCTCACTCTGCTTTCATCAATTAGGAACAGAAAGGTTTGGCAGCTCAAGGAAAGATTGTCATCGAAGAAGAAATGGCTGGTAAGCACAGGCGCTTGTGGTAGTGAAACAGATATGGCATGGCCAGAGGTTAACACTATAATATAGATGCAATCGATGAGGAGACACAGCAACGAACAGGAGATTTCCAAGTTCCTGAGGAAGTTCTTGTCGCGGCGGCGAGTGGTCCTGGTACCACTCTCGGCGGCCCACAATAAGCAGAACCTTCAAACCGAAAACGACTTTCGATACGCTTGTATTATACATCTTCATGCTTTAGTATTCGTCATCACTCATTAAAAATTGTCACTTTTATTATTCTTCATTCGCCCTCTCAAAAGTGCTGGTTACTTGATCAATAACCACGATCGATATATATATATATATCTTATTGGCTTTGAGCCCAGTAAATATCCGTCTCGTGAAGGAAAAGGTACTCGCCATCAGAATTTGGGATGAAGCCGTTCTCTGGATCATCGAGGATAGCGTATACTTGCTGTTGCAATGTCTCTTGCTCTTGAGGTGGCATCACAGCAACATAACTTTTGCTCTTGACACGTTGCCATACAACTTCCTTGTTGGCTATTAAGAAGTCATTTGTGAATTGGCGATGGTTCAATGGCAGGTGAAATAATTCACCGGCCTCTTCGGTATTGAACACTTTCTTCCATGCTCCTTTGCGGTATTGCGGAGCCTTTACATCATGCTGTTCATAAATTCTGCCGATAATATTTGGTTAGAATGGTTTTTATCTTTGAGAAATTTGTCACAAGTGGTGATACTGACTGTCTCAACTTTGCAATCCATTGGCAACGCTCTTGGCTCTCCATATTCCATATAAACACAATGTAGCCATTGGATTTGAGAACCCGTCGACACTCACGCAAGGTTTCGATATCGTCGAACCAGTGAAATGCTTGCGCAATAACTACGACGTGTTGAGAGTCACTTTCTACGGGGATATTCCATGATGTTCCTTCAACTGCTTTCACAGTAGGCAATGTTTCAGTGATTTTTGCTCGCATTTCTGCGACCGGCTCGACCGCTGTAACTTGATAGCCATCCTTGACGAGAAGCTCAGTGAACTTTCCTGTCCCAGCTGCTAAGTCAAGTATCTTGGTCTCAGCGGGAATAAGCTTGAGCTCGGACTGAAGGCATTGTAGCGCTGCGGCCGGATAACTCGGGCGCGCTTTGGCTAGTATTTTTCACGTTTTAAGTTCATGTGCATTTTTGATACAAGTTTGGTTTACGTTGTATTTACCGTAGTCGTCTGCACCAGTGCTGAAGCCTTGCTCTGCAACAGAATGAGGATTCTTGGATGTCATGATCTCAGAAAGGAATCGAGCGGTTTGGGAAGTAAAGTCCAAAAACTAGCAAGTATTGCAATAAAGTTGATTGATCCGATTTCCGGGCAAACTCTTACCCCAGTCCGCAATCAACTATTGCACCATAAGTATGTCTTTCCATGTCATGCGCTACCAGCAGCCCATTGACTGGACATTATTGATTGATTCGCAACCAGATGTTTTTAATAAATCTGTATGGTAGTCCAAATTAATTGGCATCAATAAGTGTCTTCTTGACTTTGTATTTTACCACAGACCAAGGCTCTTCTCCTGTTAAACCTTTTTTACCTCTAACTGTTGTAGTCTTTAACTGGTTAAGTTTACGTGATTACCACTGAAATGAACGTTTGTTAAGCAAAAAACAAACACCACTGTGGCCACCTACTGCAAAAGTGGGAGAGAATAGATATAGTCTTCCTTCACTTCGTAAAGCCATATCTCATATACGATATAAGCTATTTCATGAGGTTTACAAACCAAAAACGCTGTGTTGTTCATACCATTGTTTTATTTACGACGTCCCGACCATCCGCTTTCGAATTGGTCGACTTCTGCAACATCAAACTGATCGCCTAGCCAGATTCTTTCAACTGCGGCATCAACTCTTCCGAACAGCCTTTTGAACTCGTTTTCTTCTATTTGGCAGCATTGGAGTCGATGACGCAGCTTTATTGGTCGTCTACCACTTGCCTGCGACTCATCGTTGTAGGTTTCCACTAACATAAGAGATCTGATATGGTGCACGACGGCGAGCTCGATGGATGAGGCGCTTTGTCCTTTCGATCTTTTTTCCGCTTCTATCAACTCGTCCACACCTAAGAATCGTCCTTTAGCGAAGCTCATGGTTCTCCAACGATGCAATTTATGCAGTATCTGACTTATTTCTTGCCCTTTGATAAGTTGAACCTCAAAGCATATACCGAAATGGCTGACGGTAATTGGCGCCGGAGCTATGGTGCACTTTGCCACCAAATAGCTGGGTTCGCTAATGGCCGGTAAGCAATTCTGAGATATCGTTTGAGTCGTCTGGAAGCTCAAGAATGATAGATCTCCTTTCTGGGTGGCTAGTGCATGAAACAGTCTATCACGAGATTTGATTCCTTCACCATATGCCAATGTATATCGAAGAGAAAATACACCTATCAAACTATAAGCGATATCTTCATGGCGTGTTGTCTCTCGAATATTCATTCTTGTCAGGATTTCAGCAGCATTCCCTGGCCGATAATATAGATGAAGGTCAAGAGTACAGATGCTCTGGCGCTGCTCAATGGCTAATTCTTGAATTGTTACAAGCTTCCCTTCCTTCGATATACCGCAAAGGACGCCTGCGGCAGCACCTTCTTGTAGACACCAACCTCTCTTGCACCACACACGTAGAGGAGTACCAGAATCCAGAATAACAGCAGCACAACTAGCATACCACTTATACATCGAACGAATAGCTTCATCAACCTCTGATAAATTCGACTTATCGATACAAATAGTGTCGATCCAGATATATTTTGTATGTTTCAGTAAGGCTCTTCTGATGCGATGTAATTTATCTGATCTTCTGCTTATGGACTGACCTTTCCACCGTTTCATTTTTTCGACATCATGATATTCTACTTCACCAGTAATCCATCTGTGTGTGATAAACATGACGTCCGTTGCATCAATATCCTTTACAAGCTTATCTTGCTGCAAATCCCATACTCGCTTTAGGGTTTGCTTAGGTCGGTCGCGCCAAATGTCTATCCCAACGGCTTTCGCAGCGGCTACTGGTGAAAGTGGACGATGGACGGAATCGATGTCACAAGAACACTGGCGACGATTTCGGATAAGCCAGTCTCCTGACGCTTCCTTCGATGAAGTAATTTGTGCAGGATCCAGCTTTACGCCAAGAATGATCATGACTAGCTTATCAACAGCTTCATCGCCTCCAGTAATGGCGAGGATACTAAGGCCTGCTATTAATATGGCATGTAAATCGACTGCAAGTGTGCGCTCCGACCCACCAAGTATGTCTGAAAATACTTCTTGACCAATGCTAGCGGACGCCTTTCGACATACATACATAGCGTCAATGAATCGAAGATATGGGTGAGTACTTTTGTACCATGCAGGTATGGACAAAGCAGTTTGTTTTGAAGGGATTTGCATAATCAATCGACCTGATTCTCGAATAATACCTTGCATCTTATCGAACTGTATCGCCAACTTTGTAGGCGCTGTTTCGATATATCTGTCCGACTCCATTACGAAGAAATATTCGGATATGAATAACTTGATACCAAAGCAATCGAATAAAGCTTGGATTACAGCTACAGCACGCTCGTTGATAGATATGGTGTCAAATAACTTCAATGATCGAACATGTGGACTCGTTTTTGCTGATGTACAAGGATCGTCTATTTCATTAGCATTTGACAAGTTGTCCAACTGTAGTCTCTTTGAGAGCGGAAAGCCATAACCATACTTGTGCTTTATTTGAATCAAACGCCTTTCTTTGCAATGCCTATCTTTGGAAGCAATGAAGTGAATAACGGTGAAAATAGGAGAGGCGATGTTGATACCAGTGAACATTATGATACTTACTTTTACGTCGGTTGTCGGGATTACCAATGTATTCCTTTAAAAGGATATCCGTCTGATCGAGGTTACTTGCTTCTTCCTCCAAAATAACTGATGATGGATACATAACATTCCTCCCACTGCTCGTAGATTGAGTTGCGGGCCTGGTTAATGCGCTAACTAGTGCTGGAAACCTCTTTCTAAATTCTTCATTTAGATGCAAGCCGGTAGTGTCAGCACCGGCTTCGATAATTAAGGTTATGATCGATATAAATTTGCTCTCAAAGTAGAATCCTTTTGGAAGCATAAGAGCATTGATGGTAGTATTTAGAAGACGTGGGCCAATGTCTGATATTTGAACGGAAGCACCGTGATCCAGCAATAGCTTAACAAGAAAGGGGTTACAAAGTAGCATTGCGTGGTACAAAGGAGTCCTCTCTGTCTTGTCCAATATATTAACATTTGCACCGTGCTCAATAATTAGATAACATTCCTTTGTGAGGTTATGAGATGCAGCTATATGTAGGGCGGTATTTCCGAAGGCATCCTTCGCATTGACATTGGCGTTTCGGTCCAGCAAAAGTGAGGCTAACTTCGAGTTATGGTTTTCGATTGCAATATGTAATGCCGTCTTTTCCAGAGCAAAAGTTTTTGATTCAACATCCACTCCAGAGTCAATCAATATCGTTACTAGATCAAAGAATCCATGAGCTACTGCAATGTGCAAAGCAGTTTCTCCGTTTCCGTTCTTGGAATTAAAATCTACACCATGTTCTAGCAGTAGAGTTGCTATTTCACTCTCTCCGCTTTTCGAAGCATAATGGAGAGCGGTGTTATCGTCATCGTCAAGCAAATTAATATTGCAGCCACAATATAACAGTACACGTAAAGCTTCAAAGTGACTGAGAAGAGTAAAATGATGTAGAAGGCTTTCTTTCCGGTTTTTTGAGCTCTTACTGTTCATGCAAGCTCCGTAATGAAGTAGAATAGAGACCATCTCTGGATACTGGCCGGCTAAGAAGAGTGGTGTGAGGCCATCATCATCTCGGTCTTCAAAATCAGCACCGACGTCCAAAAGATGTGATGCGATTTCAACCTGTCCTTGTTGTGATGCTCTGCGCAACGTTGCATTAATCAAATATGACCTTTCTTGTGCATTGGTGATCTTTTCTAATGCGGTCTTGACCAGCTTCAATTGGCCAGCATCCGCAGCCAAATACAGTATCTCCAAATCGACGTCTCCCTCCATCGTTGTTGTTTCTCCAGCATGTTTTAGACAGTATACAATTTCACAGTTACCATTTAATATAGCCACCTGGATTGGCGTGTTTCCATCGAGGTTTTCAGCTTCAAGGCATGCACCATATTCGAGTAAAGTAGTTACGATTTCATAATGGTTGGATTTTGCAGCGATATGTAGTGCGGTATCACCATGTCTTGTTTTAGCTTCTATCTGCACGTTTTGTTTTAAAAGCAACTTCAATACATCCAGATTGTTCTCCTTAGCTGACCAGTGTAAAGCCGTTAGTGAGTCCTTATCGGTAGCTTCCATGTTGGCGCCATGACTTATAAGCAAATCAATCATTTCCCGTTGGCCAGCTTTTGCAGCAATCATAAAGATGGTTTGACCTTGCGAGTCAAGAGCTTCGAGGTCAGCACCATGACCCAATTGCAGACGGGACATCTGTCCGGTACCAATTTCCGACACTTCGGTACGAACAGGACTTATACTTTCAATCTCTTCTTTTGCACATGCGCGACTGCCAAGCAATAAAGAAACCACTTCTTTGTGCCCATACCTTGCAGCCTCGTGAAGTGCAGTTTCTGACTTGAGATTTTTTGCATCAACAGTAGCGTTATGATCCAATAACAGGGTTACTACTTTTCTGTATCCCCTCAAAGCAGCCTTATGTAATGGGGTATTACAATCTTGATCTTTTGCATCAACCGCCGCTCCATAATTGAGCAACGAGTGTATTACTTCTTTGTGACCAAACAATGTAGCCTTGTGCAGTGGAGTATCCGAATTCTGATCTTTCGCATCAACTGCTGCACCATGTTCCAACAGCAGCTGTACTAATTCTTGGTGTCCATCTAATGCAGCCTTGTGAAGTGCAGTACTTGAATCTTCATCTTTTGCATCAACCGTCGCACTGTGATTAAGCAAGAGCTGCACAATTTCTTCAAATCCATTCGTTGCAGCCATGTGAAGAGAAGTACTAAGATTTTGATCTTTTTCATCAACATTTGCACCATACTCGAGAAGCAGGCGCGCTACCTCTTTGTGTCCAAACAATACAGCCTTGTGAAGTGCAGTATTTGAATCTTCATCTTTTGTGTCAACCTCCGCATTATGATCGAGCAGCAACTGCACTATTTCCTTCTCTCCGTACTTTGCAGCCTCGTGGAGTGCTGTACTTGAATTTTCATCTTTATGGTCAACAGTTGTATCAAGGTTTATAAGCAATGATACCAATTCCGTGTATCCCTGTCCAGCACATATGTGAAGGGCTGTGCACTTCTGTTCGTTCTTCCAACCAAAATCTGCACCAAGTCGTAATAAGCGCTTTATATCATCGATGTTTCCGCTACGAGCTGCGTCAAACCATTCAAGTCGATGGTCGTTCTCTTTCATGGTATCGCCGTCGATATGTTGAAGATTTGTTTTTTCATTTATCAACTGGTTTTCCCCCGAGAAATGCAGCTTAGAAGTGTTCCTGTAGACTTCTATAGCTATTCGGGTCATGGGGGAAAAGAGATACAAGAGACGCTGAAGTTCGGTTGCTAAGCGCTTTCTTCGAGGCAAAATGTAAATACACTGTGTAACAAACAAAAGGCAGTTGACTTGCCCTCGAACCGCTCTTCGAACAGTAATCGATAAACAGCTTGGAGAATAAGATCATTTCAAGGAAAGATAATATGAGCTTGCAGTTCACTTACCATAATTGCCGAAAAGCATTGACCGATTGAAGCAGGCATTCGCTGAAACCAAATGCCGTGATAAGAGATCAACTTTAGACCAAGTCATTTCATGGTTGTAGTGAAGACAATCCGATAATGACAAATCCAAGGGACGCAGTAATTCAGGGCATATGGAATATACATTGCCAAGCCAGGCCCATCTTCATGCACATTTTTGGCGTATCATGTGCGAGCTAAGCAGCTTGAGGAACTTTGATGATCCTCTTTTGTACGATGTTGTCGCTACATGGCTGAAGGACCGCCACTATTCCATATGTCTCAAGTTGAATTGCTATGCTTGATTTGTACAATTTTGATATCACCCTTATTGTATACTTGATCAAAGCCAGACAGCATCCTAAACTTGGAAGATGACTATAACTTTGGAATGAAAATCAAAAGTATAATACAGATTCTGGTGCTTCAAAGCCACATCAACTACTGACAACAGGCATATGATAGGTATTGTTTATACTTATAATTCGGATAGCGTCTAGAGCTATAAAGCTCACATACATTGGGAGAATCAAATGTAGGTAAATATTTTCGCCGACGAATGGCTCACTTACGTGACTGGTTCTAAAATTCATGATTCGGCCCAGTATAAGGGCTTCTAGCGAATTCTGAAGCCCTCTTCACTCTTTTTCACCTCCACCTAAACAAACCGCAATATGTCTCAACCACACAAGCTTTGCATGATCCCAGGTAAAGCCAAATGCCAACACCATAAATGTGTCTTCTAGGCTCTATCATATACTCTTGCACACACGCATAGCTACCTCGTAAGCAAACAAGCAACTGAACACTTTGTCGTCATACTAGGTCCCATCGAATTTCACGAGGATGTCCTGAATGCCATGAGCACCCCTGCTACTTCTCATGTCGACCCTCTCTTCGTTCCTATTTTTGGAGAGTCTATTGAGCTTCTTCGCAAGGTACTGTTGACTAAAGACGCGCAACCTTTTGTTGTTGCTGGCTCTGGAACTCTTGGTTGGGATATGATGGTTAATCTCATTGAGAGAGATGATGAAGTGTTGGTAGTCAACACCGGCTACTTTGGCGACCACTTCGGCGAATGGTAAGATAATCTACAGGTGGTTTTTACGTGGATGGTGTGGGAGGGTACTTTGAAACTACTATCGTGGGTAGCAGTATATTTTTTTCGCATCAGCCAATCGGGTTCCAGACTTAGTCGCATATCCAAAATATCGAACTCCGCTTCTTACACATCAAACTCTATTAGCTTGGAAGTCTATGGTGCCAAGGTCACCCACTTGAGAGCCCCTATTGGCTCTCGCCCATCTCTCGAAGACCTTGAGCAGGTTCTCACTGGAAAGAAGTACAAGATGGTTACCGTCACACACGTTGATACCTCGTAAGTAAAAGCGGAACTTTTGCACTTTTTTTTAAAAAAAAAAAAACTAAGCCAGCTCTATCAATCCAGCACTGGCGTTTTGGCTGATATCAAGGGCGTTGCCAAGGTTGTAAAGTCCATTTCACCAGAAACTATTGTCGTTGTTGATGGCGTTTGTTCTGTCGGTTCTGAGGAGATCAGATTTGATGAGTGGAATATCGATGTTGTTATCACCGCTTCGCAAAAGGCTTTAGGTGTTCCCCCTGGTCTCGGTATTGTTGTTACCAGCCAACACGCCATGCAAATCTTCAAGAGCCGCAAGACTCCTGTTGCTTCTTACTACTCCAACTGGAACAAGTGGTTGCCCAGTCAGTATGAAGACATATGTTTCTTACGATAATTCCTACATATGATCTAATATATTTCTTTCCTTAGTCATGAACGCTTACGAAGCAAGAAAGCCGGCTTACTTCGCTACTCCTGCCGTTCAACTCATCTATGCTCTCCATACATCACTCAAGCAAATCACTGCTCAGTCTATGGATAGCCGCTTTGAGCAACACCACCAGGTTTCCCAGAAGTTCAAGAATGCTATCACTGAACTTGGCCTCAAGCAGTTGGCAGTCTCAGATGAGGTAGCTGCTAACGGTATGACCGCCATCTGGCTTCCTGATGGTGTTCAGGTCTCCGACATTGTTCCCAGCTTGGCTGCAAAGGGTGTTCAAATCGCTGGTGGTCTTCACAAGGAGTGCGCTGCCAAATATTTCCGTATTGGCCACATGGGTATCTCCGTTACAGAACCTCAACGCGGTCATATCGACAAGGTCATCGAATCTCTCGCCACTACTTTGAAAGAGCTCAAGTCTAAGGCATAAATTACCTTACGATAACCAGACTTAAAAATCAGCTTATGTATTTTGTAAATTTAAAAATATCGTAGATCACACAACCCTGTTGAGCATGATAAAAATATATCTCAGAACTTTGGTGATGTATAGAAAATTCATTGTGATATGATGTTGCTAAACGCGTATCATTGACATAGAGCCAGTAAGTGAACGCGTCTTACACAAAGGGTGGTCTTCGTTTTCTGTAGTGAGCGATATCAATTACATATCCTTCACGCAAAACATGTTAATGATTCTAGTGAGAAATGCAACTGAGACAAATGTACAGCTTTTAAAAACAGTGATTTTTCTGACACTCGTCAAAATTATCTCATATAAATTTATTTCGCAACACACAGGCCCTTCGTGGACGTCTTTCTGGCTGCATTCATTATGAATCCAGATTCTGCTAACGACTCCAGGAAACGACCCCGCGAATCCCCACAGCCAGTGCCGTTTGCGTCAACATCTGACGATACGGACCTGAAAAACGTTGACTGGGCAGCACTTGGCATTGATCCTGCTGAGATTGCTGCGCAAAAAGAATTAGAAGAGCAATACTCAAAGAGACACCGGATTCAAACAGAACAGGACGCTGTCTTGGCTAGACGTCTTCATGAAATGATGAATGGTTCTTCTCATGACGTTATGGGAAGTCAACCAGAACCTGAATCGGAAACGTCAGAAATCAATGCCGTTCGACATCAACAGAATGAACCTTCAAGCTCCTTTGTCGCTACGGGGACTGGAAATTTCCCCACCAACATCGCACCACCACCACAAGAAGTCAAATTTGAAAGCATTTCAGTGGCAGATTCGCCGTTGCCAGTCAATAGTGATACGCCTGCGTCGACTGTCAGCACTCCTCCTACGACTTCAAGCACTAGCACTTCAAATTATGATTTAGACGTCATAGACTTAACAACTCAGGATGAAGTACTGGCTAAACGGCTTCAGAATGAAGAGCTGATGCTAGTCGAAAATGGACTGATAGGAAGCAGTTTAGATACTCCGTTAGTCATATCTGAAAAATCCAGAAGTCCATCTGCCTCATCGGCAGAAAACCAGAATCATTTTCTCTATCAAAGTTACATCAACGGCCTTCAGCAAGGAAATAGTAACGCGGCAAATAGAACGGGAAACTCTTCAGAACAAGGTTACATCAAACTGGACGAGGATCTGTTCATGAGAGATGGCCAACCCAACAGGATGTTATTGGCTAATGGATATATGCAAGCTCTTCAAAATCTGTTTCAAAGGCAAAATAGAGCGTCGCTTTTTCCAACGCCTTCTTCATCCTCCTCATTGGCCGCCGAAAGCTCTTTATCCAATCGTACAGACAATCGTGTATCAAGAGATGAGTCTGAGAAGGAACTTCGCGTACTACTAAAGAGCATAGAAAACGATTACAACATCAATCTTGAAGACAGAACAGGTACACCAGACGCACTAATTCCAGCACTGATGGAGCATCAAAAGAAAGGTTTGTCTTGGCTGATCAACATGGAAGAAGGATCGAATAAAGGCGGTCTACTTGCTGATGACATGGGACTTGGTAAAGTGCGTATTGTTTTGGTAGTGACCCTGATAACATTGCTCGAGATCTCACATTCTTCAACGCTCACCATAGACAATACAAATGATTGCATTGATACTATCACGACCGTGTTCCGATGCAGATCCGATCCCTCCTGTACCCAAGTACACTCCGTCAGAAAGGGAGGCGATACGACAATCGTTTCAAAGACCCTGTGGGTATCTTGATCACAAAATTCAAGAAAAAGCTAAAGAGAAACAACCAGAAGCTTTATTGAAGACGAAAAGCACTCTTGTGGTGTGCCCAGTATCACTTATTTACCAATGGCGAGACGAAATTCTTAGTAAAACCTCTCCCGCTCTCAACGTCGTTTTACATCATGGACCCCTACGTGATGTGGTTCCAGCTGGTCTGGCATCTGCCGATGGTGCGTAATCATATTTAACTTGTACTGAAGTATGAATGTATACAATTTACTCAAAACTTATCACTCTAGTCGTTCTCACGTCGTACACTTTGCTGGTCTCGGAGTTCGGTTACGAAGATATGGATAGTGGACCACTTTATAAAATCCATTTTCATCGGTATCTATTGCATATTCAAGTTCGAATCGTTTTTGAAATGGTAAATGTATATCTGACTTTTCTCAAAAGTGTTGTTTTAGATGAAGCACATTGTATAAAAAACAAAGCAACTCGATCTGCGAAAGCCTGGTAAGCAAAAAGCTTTATCTGATGATAGAGATCGTCTACGCTAACCTTATAACTCCTATCTCTGTTAGTGCTGCTATTCATGCAACTCATAGATGGTGCTTGACGGCCACACCAATTCAAAACAGAGTGTCAGATTTGTAAGAGAAATACCACACGAGCACTTTTGAGTTGTACCTTCATACCAGCACTCTAATATTTTTTACGAAAGATTTTCCCTCATTCGCTTTCTAAGAATCAAACCATATCACGAGTGGTCAAGATTCAGCGCAGAAATTGATCTTCCAATGCTTTCAAAAAACCGGGATCATGTAAGTGACATATCTATAATTTTCAGATGTTACATGACCATACTAAAGCTATTGTGACAGGCAATGAAGCGCGTTCAGATTTTAATGAAAGGTATGCGATTAATTACTCTGAAGTGATATATTTGCTCTTTAAGCTAAGTATTATTATGATTGCAATAGCTATCTCTCTTCGGCGTACAAAGGATGGGACCATTGATGGAAAACCGTTACTGGTTCTGCCTGCACGACGTGTCCATATCACCCATGTTGAGTTCAGTGAAGATGAGCGTAATTTTTACGACTATTTGCGGGAAAAGGCGCAAGCTAAGTTTAGCAAGTACTTGAACAGCGGAACAGTTATGAAACATTATTCAAGCGTAAGCCATGAGATTTTTCTGCGTAAAAGTAGTGTTTACTCAACTCATCATGAAATGTATATTACAGGTTTTGGTCTTGATTTTAAGACTTCGGCAAGCCTGCCTACATCCTGTTCTCACCACAACGGGTGTTAATGTTTCCACAAGTGAAACACAGAAGGAAGAGACTTACAGAAGGCGAGCTGCTATGATGCAAAGTACGGTGATTCAGCGGCTGATTCAGCAGGAGCTAGAGGAGGAAACACCGGAGGTTGGCTTTTCTACTTAGAGATAGTACGTTGGCGTGTAATTGTTCATGAACATTATTTTTTAGTGTCCCATTTGCATGGATGTTACCGGTTCCCCATACCTGATTACTGATTGCGGTCATAGCTTTTGCCAAGAATGCTTATTCAGTAAGTAATAATATTACGCCAGCCGTAACTGTGAATCGACCTCTTTCTGATCTTATTTTACGCTTAAGATTTTATGAATACAGTTTCGGGCGAAACTGTAAAGGAATTGAAATGCCCACAGTGTCGCATTAGATTCAATGAACATCACCTCATACCAATTGAAATATTCCAAGAAGTGCACAATCCACACTTTAAGAAGGCTGAAAAACCGGATAAGGATATTGCTGTGATGAAACCAAAAGATTTTGTATCCAGTACCAAAATCGATACCATGTTGCAGATTCTGGCCAAAACAAAGGAAGAAAGCAATGGAAAAGACAAGACGATCATCTTCACTCAATTCACGAACATGCTTGATCTCATTGAAAAGCCATTGAAGACCGCAGGTTATAAATTTGTTCGATACGATGGCTCATTAAATGTGAAGGCGAAAAACAACGCAGTGCAAACTTTGCGAAATGATCCCGATACGACCATCATGCTCACATCCACTAAGTGTGGATCACTGGGTCTCAACTTGACAGCTGCCAATAGGGTGATTGTATGTGCCAGCAGTAACTTTCTTACAACTTTTCATTTGGAGATTTTCTAATTCTTCTTCCTCTAGCTTCTGGATATTTGGTGGAATCCTGCTCTTGAGAATCAAGCTATCGATAGGTATGTTTTGATATGGATTACAGCTTGCCTTGATATATGTAATATCTAACCGCTAGGACCATCGTATACAGAGTTCATCGAATTGGCCAAACGAAAGACGTAGAAGTCCATCGAATTTTAGTGAAAGACACTATCGAGGACAAGATTGTAGACTTGCAAAACAAGAAACAGGTGAGCCTAAGAAATAAGAAACGATGTTACTATTATGGATTTCTCGCTAATGGGTTGTTATCTCTGCAACATTTAGGCTATTGCTGATTCCGCATTGAACGCTGGTGCCACCAAAGAATTTAGTAGACTTGGTATTAATGAACTACTTCATCTTTTCCGAGGACCTTAACGCATTCAACCAACCCCATCATTGTACATTAAATAAAGCAAAAATAGGACTAGCATAAATTATACTTAATATTCAAACACGTCAGCGATATCGAAGTAAGTGGGGATTATTAGTAGAGGAGAACAATCTGTTCAATAATCGCTTGCCATCGTATTTTCGCTTTTACGCGACTATTCATTATTGGACGGCGGAATTATACTTCACTGAATATTTCTATCACGAGCTTTGCTTGGAAAAATGATACATTTAAATGGCGATATTCACATTGAATAGCATTTAGCCTATGCCTGTATATTCAATAAGATCTGTTCTAATGCAGTGTTATGGATTGTAAACCCCATGCGTCGCATCAAATAATCTCAGCGCTTTCAAAAGTCGATAACTCCTTTTTGCTTTCAAATAAATTTCAAGTGTATTATCAAAATAAATTAAAAGTTTTCATCCATCTTGTCAGATCAAAAAGTTCACGCAATGCCGTGCCTGACACCATATCAGTTTGATTGATCAACTGATATAAAAGAGAAAAGTGTTGAAAACGACAATGCATTGAAGTTTGCCACCTTTTATGGTTTCCGGAATAAAAAAGAAGTGATTTACAGTTTACGATATTCGAAAGTGATATGGACACTAAAAGAATAATTACAGTATGCTATTAACATGTTCGCTCAAATGAAATCGGTGGTGACTTACACAAAATGAGTACCTCTTTGCTTTGATAAACCATCAGCGCGTATTTCTGAGGTTTTCCAACTGCTTTCTGCTCTCGAGTCAGCACATATATTTTCCGCTTCTACAGGCCTACAATTATAGCATATCCTCAAGGATGTCATACAGATTTTCGATTGCCCGACAATCAGTATGCATCCAACTGCCACTTCCTGTGCTTCCTTTTCTTTTTTGGAGGCTGACAATCCGCTGGAGAGAGCTGCGAACAAACGTTTTAACTCACATATTTAGTAATATGCGATCCTCATTAACGAGACACTCATGTCATAGCTACAGTCCTATCTTGTAAAAAAATAAAAGGCCACCTATGGCTGAATTTTTTAACTCCAGTCATGTGCTTAATATACACATGACTGCAAGAATAATTGCAGACTGTATACTCATGTTAGATAGAAAGACTACACAAATGGTGTTGTAACTATGCTTAAGCCCAACGAACACTAGGTAAATGAAAGTAATGCATTTTATGAGTAAAAACTTATTGATTATCCATTCTTCGAAGAACATGCTCAACAGTATCTAATAACACTGACTCAACAGCGCGAACATTACGGATAGAATCACCAATGTCAAGGTGTCTATATAACTTTGGACCAGAAAGCGCCGCAATGTTGTTAAATTGGTAGTTAAAGCGTCGGGTTGGATGTTGGAGCTCAATGACGCCGCCGTATGAAGGCATGAAGGATGTGTATATGAAAGAAGCTCCATGTGGTCCAATAATTATGTCAGATTCCCTTGCGAGAGCAATTTGTTCCTGCATGGTCGGTAAATCTGCAGGATTGACTCGACGGAAGACCAAAGCTCTATCAAAATAAGCCTCGCTAAAATGCGATTCCAAACGTGCTTGAAGTTGTAGAATGACAGAGTGTTCGTTGCCAATCTTCCGCAGAGTGTTCACGTTCCATGCATTTTTGGTAGGGTTTCGAGACAAGAATGTAACTACCAAAGGTTTTCTAGAGAGATCTGTTTGGTCGGTATAAAATAAAGTAGGCTCTGGAGTAATTGGTGGGGTAATCAGTTTGAAGGTATCAGCTGTAAAATTTGCTGGCGCTGACGATGGCAAAAAGTTGAGGGGTAAGTTCAGTCGGGATAAAACATAATCAATATAGGCTTTCAAGACGACTGAGCCGTCGCAACTGGTCGCTTCTGCTTTTTCTCGGCTGAACAACGTGACACCAGCATGGAAACCAAAAGTCGCTGAGCGGAAGCATATATTATTCAGTGGAGCCTGAGATTTTTCCTGTGCTTCTTGTACGATGTCGCGTATAGTCCGTATATGGTTTTGAGAACGTCGTTTGCTTGAGAATAGACTGGTCCATAAACTATTCAGGCTAGGTATGCCTCCTTCGTTTGAATCAAGAAATACGATTTCGGTTGTTTCGGTATTCATGTCACTTGCAGCCAAACCAATAAATGCTTGCATTAAGTCTTGATGAATGTGATAAACGTTGCCAGTATCGTAGCGGGAAATCAAATATAGATCCTCTTCTACCCAGGCGTCACAGGTAACGTTTTGCGCCAAGCTTTCTTCGTTTATGAAACGATTTTCCAACCCAGAATATAGCCACATAGCTCCTACAGGAAATTATTTCCGTCAGCATAAGCAGAATTTTAAAGTCCAAGTCGAAAGAAAATGCGTACCTCCAAATCCCCAACTGGGACGATCATAGAAATTGTCCTTTAATTTGCACTTTGCTTCCGTGCCACCTGGTACAAGAAACATGTCTATGCTACCTCTTTTAGGTTCTTGTGGGAGTTCATCAAGATTTAGCACAAGATTCTTGGTATGACAGAGGTTCTCAGGAATATCCATATGTATCATGCTGCACTCCATCGAGAATTTCGATATTTCAGGTGAATTTCTAGAATGAATGTAGCCCACCTCAGTAGAGACGGATTCGTCAAGCGTGACACATTGCTCGGCATCATCGTTGCCACTTGTTGAAGGACATGAGTCTTCGCAAAATGGTTTTATATTTTGCCGCCAATTGCGAATGACATCGAATCCATATCGTTCGTCGCAAAAGGATGAAACACCGGAAATAGCGTTATCTTTTTGCAGCTTATACAGAAATGAATATGGTCGCGATAAGGAGTCTTCATTTATGGGCTCCATATCTGAGTAGTTGTTATAACCTTCCATCCACTTGCTTTCTTGGCTATTGTCGATTGGTCGGCCATTCACATCGGTAGCATCCTGTCCAGAAAAGCCAATGAACTCTTGATAATTCTCACTTCCTTGATCATCGTTCAGATCCATAGCCACCAGGGCCTGAACCTTTTCTCTATAACCAGTGATATGGTTGGTTAACATGATCATACCAGTGACCATTATGAAAGCCAGACATGCTAGGATGACTACTATGTGAGATTTCCTTGACCATATTATCCTGTTACGAAACGGCAGAAGCTTCATAATAAATTTGACATAAGAAGGGAAGGAGTGTAATAGAGGAGAAAGAGCTTGGCTTCACCCATTTCTGTACTTAAAATGCCATCTTTGGGGATATTCGGACATGTTCAAGTGATACGAGATCGGTGATTGAACAATTTTTTTTTTTTGCCTAAATTTTGAATTTCAGATATTGTACTGTGATTTCTGCAGAGAATCGTTCTTTTGAAATCGAGAATGTAAATAGTCCTCTTGAGCAGAAGTATATCATAGTAGACCAAAAAAAATTCTGGCTAAAAAATGAACAGATTACTGGTACGCTTATCGAAGGCTGCATTGAAGGCATTGAGTAGTTGTTTCAGTCAACAGATGGCTTCCCTTTTAGGAGAGTACCGGTTGAACCATTACCCTCACCAGCATGCCGTTGTTGTAAAATCATTGGGGGACGTTCTTTATATATGGCCAGGATAAGTAGTGAGCTATCCTGACTAATTGTTAAAGCGATTTAAAATTACTTTGGATTGTAGTACTCCTCCATCGTCGTAAGATGTGGAACCTTGCTCGCTTGATGACCGTTAGGCCGCATAATCCAAATTCAGCAATTTGGTGGCTTAGATGATTTGCGGACACCAAATACTAACATTTTCTTTCCTTCCGCAATTTGTTGACATCCAATCTCTGTTTATCCATCCCATCCATCCATCCATCCATCATGGTAAGGGCGCGTATTATTTGTCCATTCATCGCTGCAATCTGATTGACATTGCGTATGATAGTCCAAGAGAGCTGCCAAGAAGACCGTTCCTCAAGAAACTGTTACCCTAGGACCACAAGTCCGTGAGGGCGAGCTTGTCTTTGGCGTTGCCCATATTTTCGCCTCCTTCAACGATACTTTTGTCCATGTCACTGATCTCTCTGGCCGCGAAACCATTGTTCGTGTTACAGGTGCGTTATCAACATCATGAAGTCGGCCGCCACTCTTTAGCATACTGTGACAACCTTCTGTGATCTGTCACATTTCTTGCCATAAGGACATCACTCCATCACTGGTCCATTGGGTGTGTTGATAATCAACACATCTATTGTACTAGCTGATGGAGAGAGCGGCATGTGCACATCACTTGTCAATCACAGCTAAGCATTACACATGCTTAGCTATGATTGCGAGTGATCCATACACACCCCCCTCCTATGTTCCTTCGTGTATTTAACCACTGAATTATTTTGCAGGTGGAATGAAGGTTAAGGCTGACAGAGACGAGTCTTCTCCTTATGCTGCTATGTTGGCTGCCCAAGATGTTGCTGCTAAGTGCAAAGAGGTTGGTGTCACTGCTCTTCACGTTAAAATCCGTGCTACTGGCGGTAATGGCACCAAGACTCCCGGTCCTGGTGGCCAGAGTGCTCTTCGTGCTCTTGCTCGTGCTGGAATGCGTATTGGCCGTATTGGTAAGTAATTTTTGTGAAAAACGACATCTTTATTTTTTCTTATTGTTAATCATTCATGTTTTATCATTGTAGAGGATGTTACTCCCATCCCAACTGATAGCACTCGTCGTAAGGGTGGTCGTCGTGGTCGTAGATTGTAAATTTTTAGTGTTGTTACCTTGTTTTGTGAATATACAGTATGTCATTACTTCAAACAATGCTCAAAAAATTTTGTATGTTGCACTTGGCTTCATTATTATAAACCCATCTGGAAGCGATCAATGCAAAAAAAGAACAATCAACGAATGAAAATATCCCTACTACAAGCGAAATTGAACAGAGAAACAAAAAGCCAACTATTAAAGTAGAATTATGTATCAGCCATGCTGACCAAGTTATTCAGCTTTAGATCCTTCATCCTCTTCTTGGCCGATCTTCAGCTTGTTTTCAACAGCGGTGGACAGTTCGTCCTCGACTTTAGGTGTAGCTTCTAAATTGTCATTGTCGCCATAGTAAGGCTGCTGAGTGTTTGGGTATTGTGCAAAGCTATAGAGAAGAATAACAGGAATAGTTGATGAGGCAGCTGAGCAATTGATTGGTATCGATAAATTTCAGTTGAAACTTACTTTGCTTGAGACAGGTACGCAGGATTGCCTCCTGGGGGTGCGTTGGCTGGATTATTGGACGCAAAGCCGAGCATTGTTTCAGGAGTCATAGGCATTTGCATAGGTCTAGCAGTAAAGCCTGCCATAGGTTGGAAATCTCGGGCTCTCCACACACGCTTGCGAGCTGTCTGGCCCTTGAGGCGCTTTTGTGCCAAGGAGTCAGCAAATCGAACCTGCAGAGGGACATTGCTCCCAGGCAAGGTATGTCCGTTGAATGTCTCGATAACGGATATCGCAGCAGAACGATCAGTCATTCTAAGAGATCCACAATTAGACTAATGCTATTTCTAAATAGTTTGATAGAGTATACGAAAATATATACCTTGCAAAGCCAACACCTCGACTAAGACCTGTTTGAGGGTCTCTTAGAATTCTGTTGGAGACCGTATGGTAAGGCTTGAACATTTCTTCGAGTTGCTATGGTACAGTTATGTGAAATGGTGAAATAGGTACGTGTTTTAAAATATGGAATGTTTATACTTACAGGCTCATTCATGGTAGGAGGTAAATTGGAGACATAGATATTGGCAGATGTCTCGTCTTGTAGACTTCGAAGACGGGCACTGAATGATTCCTATAACGGGGCGCAAGAGAGACGTAAGCATTTTGTTCGTAAAGAGCGACAACCACAGGTTATCAATGTTTACCTGTCCAACCCTGGCGAAAGAGGCCTGGAGTCCGTTTCGATTGAGACCTTCGATAGCGCGTTGTGCCTCATCTTCGTTCTCAAACATAGCGAATCCATAACCCTTACATTCACCAGTCTTCTGCTCTATAATAGCCTTGGATGAAGCGATGGCGCCATAGCTAAGAAAGAGTTGTTTAGTACAGTGCGTCAACGGTTTGCTACAAGCATGCGCATTCACTTACGGGCTACACATGTCTGCAAATGCCTCATCTGTGGTGGTTGAATCAAGTCCACGAACGTAAATATTATGGGTATGAAATTGATTACTTTGTTGCAGTTGCTGCAGTTGCTGCAGTTGCTGCTGCTGTTGTTGGTCAGGTTGATTCGCTCGTCTTTGGGATGTAGAAGAACCAGAGCCAGTGGATCGTGTTCCCGTGTTGTTGAAAGGGCCAGGAAGACGCTGCATCATTTGATGAGGTGGTGATCCTGGAGCTGAGTTGGTACCAGTCAGCACGGGTGAAGAAAGGTGCAATGGTGGGAAGTGTTGCCCTGGCGGCAATACGAAGGCGTGTGTGGGTGGCGACATTGACATACCACCTTGTTGAAACTGGAATGTCGGGGTAAACGGAGGGCTATTAGGATTGAGCGGCGGTGATTGCGGATGCATGGCGGGAGAACCAGGGTAGCTTTGGTAGCCACTCATAAAGTCTGGATAGTACTGCATCGTGAATTGCGGACTGAGCGGGTAGATATACGCTCCAAACGATGGGTCAGAAGGGTCATATCCACTAGCGACAGCTTGGTCATACGCGTACTGAGCTGTAATAGGATCGACGTATCCAAACGCGAAAGGTGGATAAGCAGGAGATGTAGGTGGAGGAATGTTACGATCATCGTGTTCGGCCTGTCGGTGTTGCTGAGAAGGACCATCTTGTCGGTCTGAATTGTCAGCAGGCTTTACATTTTGCTTCTCTGTTTCAATTTGAGTTTGTTCCGGATTAGCCGTGGCAGTTTGTGGGTTGGTCATGTTGAATTGATAGAACAGTGTTTATCAGAATGGCAGGTAATTCGTGATGGCTAGATTTCAACAATGCTCGATAAACTATTATTCGTCTCCAGAACTCCCAGCGGAATCTAAGCGAGTTTTGCTGGTAAAGTTGACTAGAATGTCTGTTGTGAGAAGTGAAAAGGTAATTAAAGGCAGCTGATTGTTGTAAACGGAAGGAAAGCGCCCAAGCTAAGAGATGCTGTTAATAACAAACGAAAAAAAATAAGGCGAGTGACCTGGACGAGAACAGGTCATCAACTTCAGATGAGTTACACCGGCAAATCCTCATATGGAAATAGGCCAGGTGGCCCAGTTCAGATTTGCAGCAACGACAAAAAATTCTCTATCCAAAAAAACAAATATACTACAACGTCAACCTCGTACTATGACGGACCAGAAGCACCAAAGTAAGTCCTGGATGCTACAGCTCTATTTCGTTCATGCTGCTGTTCGCTGTTTACTTATTTTGTTAGTTCAAGACTCATACGTCCAACAGAATCTCGATTTAGCGCGGTAATACCAAGGCGATAGCCACAAGTTGTACATGCCAAAAAAATCCAGCGTCCTGATTGTAATTTCACAGGATAAATGCCTTCTATTTGAACCGAATTCATACACTGGAAAAAGAAGTTGAATACCTTCAATGCGAAAACCTGGATCTACGAGCGTTGCTAGCTCAAAGTCGTCAAATTCCACATGCTCAAAAAATCCAGGGCCCGCCGAAGGGTAAGGTAATACTAATTTTGTAAGGGCATTTTCAACTATGTTTAATTCGATTTATAGTTTTAAAGGAAAATCTCCCAAAAGTAATATAAATTATATTTTATAATATTTTATTGTAATTTATTAATTTTATTTTAATCATTTAGAGAATTAAAAGATATTCTGCGCGTCCTAATTATGTACTTCCAAGCCTAAAAAAGTTAATAATTTATATTATATCAGTATTTGCTTAAAATTTATAACTAATTATAGGATTTGTTAGAAAATTGAGAAAGGGTGATTCATTCACATTCAAATAACTGTACATAAAGCTTTAAATATGCGATAGAATAGAAGTAGCAGATTACACGCTATAAAGTCGCACTATGGTCTAATTTTTATTGTACACAATTCTACCCTTCTACTAGCATTCTATTCCGAGTTCTGCTTATAGAAAAATTTTGTTCATGAATTTTTTTTTTTTCACATAGAGTATACCGCCGAGCGTTCGAATCGGGAACTGTGACTGCGTTTTATATTGTTTTCAGTTTCTTGTCAAGGACAAGATAACTGCAGATTGGTTTGAGAAGTGCTCATGTTCAATCGTGTACGAGGTATCCGCTTGTTTACACAAGTGCAAAAGAGCCGATCCCGTGCTTTGTGCAGATCTGTAGTGAACTCTGCTTTTCATACTCTTCCTTTAGGTCAGTGTCTTTCTTTTTGCTTGCCATATTTCTTCGGTGTGTTTACTAACTCGTTGATTTGATCTTCATAACTCAGTAGCAGCAACAAGTAGTATTGTATCATCTAATAGAGGCTACTATTTGGATGGTGTCTTAGACAAACGTGGTTTTGTCGCATTTACCCCCGGTGTACGGCATGCGAGTACTTCTACTGGCGAAGAAGCCTTAACCTCTACCACCGTGGATGCACACTTGCAAGCATCAGTAGACGCATTAGATCTTCATGGAGCGATGGATATAATTGAACAAGCTCATAGCCGTGGTCTTGTTCAACCACATCACTACCGACAAGTTTTTCGTATACTGGAATCAGATGTTGTACCTGATTTCGCAAGCCTCTCACGTATTGCTCGGTGGTTTACATCCTCACAGCCAGTACATCTGAACACGGCAACTCCAGAAGAATTAAATCTTTGGAAAAGCGCTATCAAAGCTTGTTTTAAGCTTGGCAGATCTCATTTCAGTCGAGACTTAAGCGGTTTATTACAAGCCTTTGCGTCTCGCGCAAAGCTCGACCAAGTTGTTGATGCCGATCTTTGGGGTATCGTACTTCGGGTAATGTTGCAAAACAGAGACACTCTTCTATTATCTCTGTACTGATAATTTTTTTAGGGATACGGTATTCTGAAACAAGAAGACATGATCGATGCCACCATTGCCAAAATTCCCGCTGATGTAGATTGCCAAGACTACATACCAATGGCATATGCGTCCGCTGGAGCTCATGGCAAAGCAGATGTATATTTAGACAGACTCATCGAATTGAGGATCCCGAAACCCGAAGTCTTCAAAGTTTTGTCCAAAACTGCTGCATATGAAGGTGACGTACAGCGTGTCAAGAAAATTGCCTCCATGGGCACAGAACTACTGGATGGAGTAAGCTTTGATCAGGATGTCATCTTGGCGCACAAAACGAGATTATTTCATCTTTTGAAAAAGCAAAACCCAAGCACAAGTTATTCCGGCAGGAACAACAGTGGCATACTCAGTGAGGAACTGAAGGAATCCAGACGAGAGTGCGAAGAGCTGATGTCAAACATGCTTTCAGACCGATACCCATTAGACATATCCTCTGCCAATATCATTCTTGATTACCTGACCTTTGGTAATCGCCTGGATCACGCCAAGTTTCCCATGGCCCATGCCCGTGACATCCTTGAAAATGTTTTACCTACAAAGGGCATTCAACCAAACTTTCAATCCTATTTCCTTGTTCTGAGAGGATATGCCAAGACTAGGGAGCTGGATTCACCACGACACAATGCCAGATTAGACAAATGCCTGGAGTTGTTTTATATGATGGAAAACGCCGGTTTCCATAGTCATCAACATGCAAAATTCCAATGTCTTTTCGAAGCATGTTTGCCACACTCGGACCGATATAACTACGATTTGTTCCAGTCAAAAAGTAGATTGGCACCAACACTCCAAAGTAGCGTTGCTCGCCACAATGCCCCGTATGTGGACCCACGTATATTTGACATTGAACGTATAATGCTAGACTCCAATATCCGCCATGACCGGATCACCATCAAGACTGTCTTGACATGCTTAGGAGTCAGTGGGCTCTATGGGGCCATGTGGAGAAGATGGAAGGAACTACAACTTGCAGGAGTGCGACGTGATGGTGGACTGTTTGAGAGGATCTTTTCACTCGCGGCATTGGAACCCGAGCAAGCCCAGTATGCTCTTGCTGTTGTTCATCATCAGCTGGAAAGAGAAACTCCGAAAATTGAGATGACTATGCCTCTATACCGATCCATTATCGATTGTTGTATAACGGCTCAAGACGCCGTCAGTGCCACTTCAGTATTACACACTGCAGGTGTTGACAATCTGCCATCTCCTGAAAAGCTCTCTAGTCCTCAAGAGAAACAACTAAAGAAGCTTGGGCTTAAAGCACAATTAGGTATTAGATCATTGACTGGATCAATTGGCACCCACTTGAAGGACATGATGGACTTGCAAGTTTCACCCAAAAGCGACATGTGGTTGATGCTCATGTCTCATGCTGTAGAGACACAGTTTTCATTGCAAGATGCACAACGTGTATTCAATGGATTCACAATGTCAAGGTTTGAAAAGACAGGCAAAATTCCCGTCCCTGCACATGAGCAGTCGCCGATCATTCCATTCCCTTCTTCGCCTTATAACGAAACGGATGTTCTAATGATCGATATGTTCGTTTCTGCTTTGCTCAAGTCACAAAACATTCCGGTCATCAGAGATGTATTGGAAACGTATGGAGAACAATCTTCAAAATTATGGCTCTCTCGCGATTCTGTCAAACAATTTGTCACTTTAGCTAAGGAGGAGAAGAGCGATGACGATGTCAAATGGATTGTTGAGAAAATTCTTCCAAAAGTATCTGGTCAATCATCAAATTACAGACATTGGATGCGCAAACTTCAACGATCTGTAGACAATCTTTGAAATGACAATAGATTTATAGATTTTTCATGTATAATAAAGCTGTTTTATTGAGTAAACTTAAACATTATATCCATGGCTCCAGATACTAAATGTTGTTACTGAATTTCGCGTGCATTATAGACGCCTGTGACAATTTCTTTTAGTTCCTCTAACAAGTTTGGCCATCCTTCAAGCGAGTCAAAGATCTCCTCTTGCCATTTGTCATCATTTGGCTGTTCCCTTCGCGAAGTCTTCAATACGGATATGAACGTTTCGTAGTCGCCCTCTGCATCGACGTTAATATTTTGATGTCGAACTTCTGCAACATCAACGTCAACATCATCGGCAAGGCTATCAGCATATACAGAGTTTCGACGTGATGGGATGCTGATTGCATCTGAGCTGCATCCTTGTGATAGACAGTGTTTTACGTTGCGGAAGAAAGCCGGAAACGCATCTGGTAGCTGCTGTTGAAGGTCTGGGTAATTTCGGAGTTGACGTAGATCGATGAGGTCGTCATCCGCCTCGCTGTCAACTTCTTGCCGGTTCAGATGCAGATTACCCCCACGATTTTCAGCCTCATCCTCTGGTTCAGAATCAGAATCATACACATCGTAACCAACGATTTCATAAAATTTGGCGATGAAGGTTGGGTTAGAGTCCAGCTTGGCGACTAATGAATCCAGCCAAGGACCATCGGGCACAGTTTCTCTGGGAGAGAACATGATATGCTTGAATTCATCCCATGCTTCTTTTCCTTGAGATTCACGTATGTGATGCTCTATCACTTCAAAAAAGTCTGTGTTTCGCGATACTAGATCCTCCATGTCTCGCGAACGATCGAGGAGGGCAACAAGGACGGAGTCTCCAACAGCTCTGCCACGAATGTCAACCAGTCTGGCATTCAAGCTGCTCTTCCTACTAAGGGCTTCTTCATGTTGGCTATTTTCTTGTTGTAAATGTGCAATGGTAGATGCGCGTTCGGTTTGCATTATTGTTTTGTTGATGAGAGGGGCGATACAGGTAGTGATGCATTTTTCCTAAAATTAGGCGCCTTATAGCCAAATATTACAATTGGCTGATGAGTGAAATTTTTGTTTGGTTGGCAAATGAAGTGAATTCGCTGACGCATGGTGCCAATGCTTTATTCTTTTGAGCACACCATTGACTGCATGCTTTCTTTAAAAAATGTGGACATGTTGGAAGCTTGAGACATTGAATAAGGTCAATACTAGTAAAGTACCTTCTTTCTCCTTTTACAATACACATCTCTAAATGTCAATTTGAGCCACTTCAACCATGTCAAATCAATCCCAGGATGAAGCGTATTTCTAAGTATTTCATCTTAAGAAAAGGAACAATATACATGAGTTGCTTCTATAACATTAAGCGTCAGCTTTGTAGATACCAGTGTGTGGGACAAAATGTCGGAATGTGAACGAACCAAAAAATTCAACTAACGCTGATCCTCGCATAAGTGAAAATTATCAGGTCATGTTAAAGAACCAACTGAATACAAAAAAAAATGTTAAAGAACCAGTCTTCTATCGCAATGAGCAAGATGATATTTGTACAACCATTGTTACGACAATTCATTCGAATCAAAAGATAAAATACAGAGTAAAGTACCATACACTAAACTAAGCTAATGTGATTGCTATGCTGATGATTCTAAATTTTTTTGTCAGTGCCATAGTAAATGCCAAAAGATGTCTTCATGACTTATCGTTTAGTTAAAGGAGTCGATATGCATGTGGTCAATAAGTGCATGTGAGTGCTGATCAGGCAGTAAGTTCTGTGCGGGGCTACTTGGAACGGTTATGGAAGCCGTGGTAACTGGGAGATCATTGCCATGCAGAATGAATTTGGAGGTAGATGAAACGCCAACATCCAGTGCAACAGCGTTTGGCGGCGGCTGTGATTGCTGCTCTGGCGTACGTAATATTACTTGTGGTGCTTGACTATGATGTCCGCTATACCACTTTTCGGAGTCATCTACCCATCCTGTAGCAGACGCTGCGATTGAATAAAGTATGGTGTCATCAGATGTTGGATTATGATCTAAAGCATTGCTTGTGTGATTCCATAATGTTCGTGGATCAGGTGGAGGTGTGTCCATTTCTGGAGGGGAATAGTTTCTTGTGATAGCTGGTGGGGGAGTGATATGCCTTGAGTTCTTTATGATACCGTGCTCATGATTAGAATTTGACGGCGAACTGTGAACTGATAAATGAGCTTGATTCATCCCTGAAATAGCTTCCGGTTGCTGATGATCCAAAGTCCGAGTCGTTGTAGCCATCCGCGACGAATATCCCCAATTGTCATCTACCGATATAAGCTCAAATGTGTAGTGCGCAGGCTCTAGTACTTTGGATGTCTCTGGTAAAACATGGTCTGAATATTTTGGCACTAATCGTGATTGGTTATGATGAGAGTCGCTTTGGAGAATCGGTGGTAAGCTTGAAATATGTTCGGGACTACCAGAGTGCCGGAAGCCGGTCTCCACAATCTGTTGGAAACTTGTTTGTTTGGAAAGGGGGAGATGATCCATTCCTTGACTCTGAGGTCCGGTAGGCTCTATCTGTAGTTTCTCCAAAAACGCCTTTGCTTTGTCGTGCAGTTGAAGAGATGATAGATTCCTACTATCCTCAGAATACGAAGAATCGGCTACGGTATCAATGAGAGCTGAAAATGAACCTGATCCGGTCACGGTACGAGTATCCAAAAGATAACCTATGATGGCAATTGATCGACGCAATTGCACTTCTGATTGTATTAGCACCTGAGGCGTCGAATGCTGTAGGTCGTTTGCGTGTGTCAAGGCAGCAAGTAGAACGGAGTATGCACAATAATCATAATTTGTAAGAAGACTTGTGTCATTGACCAGAAAATGTGCCAGTTGAGTTATGGTATTTGCTACGGTCCGTATTCGCCGATGTACCGACTTTACCGATTTCTGAGAATTGATTGTCAAGATGTGGTGTTCAAGCACATTGTATTGAAGATGTAGCATGGCAACTGCGGCAGCCTGTGGTGGTTTGACTGGTATGGGGCTTGAAACCTCCGGTACTGGTGTCCATGCAATCGCTCGTGGAAGTGAAATCAGCCAGTCTGACAGTTCTTTTAGCAATTCCGACCATCGTTCTTGGATTTGTAAATAACTGGGGTCGGTCTTTATGCTTGACTGTAGAACCAAATATTTCTCGCACAGTATCATCAATTTTGTTTGGCATGCAAATGCTTCAATAGGAATGGAATCCTCATCATCTGGAAGAACTTTTGGAATGGGTATCATGGTGTCCCTTTTGGAGATCACAAATGGGCGCCCGGATCCAAGACTAGTCAGCTTGTCCATGTTGTAACAAGTCCAAAATATACGATTTCGTAGTTCAATATCAAACTTTGTCACTTTTCTAAGATCCACATCCTTCTGAAGCTTCATTTCGAAACACATTGAGGTTGCCATTCCAGCATAAACCGATGGTCGACACGATCGTCTACTACTTTTTCCATCATTGAGTCGGCATTCATAAGTTGCCATCAGAAGTAGCGCAAAGATTGTACTAATTCTCGGGACATCCAAAAAATCTTCCACAAGTGACCTTGCCCGATCAAAAAATACATCAGCGTGCTCTTGCAGGTCTGTCTCATAGGTGCATGCATGTGCATACATTGCGTTGAGGACTAGTGGTGAGACTAGATAGCCCTTTTCTGACAGATGGTGCGTGAAGACTTTGCGCGAGAATATAGGCATTATCTGATAGTGTCTTCGAAAGTAAATGTCCATGAGATGCTCTTGAATTGTACGTGTGGGCATTCCTAGGACCCCACTGTAGCTTTCTGGAAGAGATGGCTCCAATAGATAATGCCTATACTCCCAAAGTATATCGTTTGTTGAAAGTAAAGGATGTGTTTTGCCTTGATTAATGGACAATCCGCCAATACGGGTTCGCAAATTTTCTACGGTATTTTCGCTTGGTCGATTAGCATCTTGTATTGGTCTTGATGAGGTGTTATTATGAGTTGGACTATCTGCCAGCGTAATTGGATGTTCGGTTTCCGGTGGTGGTCGGAAAGGAGACTCTGGTCGCGATGGAGTTTGGCTCTCGTCTTCTACCATATTGCTACTTTCCGCCGTCAGTTCATTTTTAGGAAGCAGTTCATCTAAATACTTGGAATATGTACAGTTTCGTCGACGGGCTACAATTAGATGACAGAAACGAGATTAGATTATCAATTGGTGCGTAGGAGTATATCGCTTTTGAGAAAATAACCTTTGCACTACAAAGAGATATCATTAGTATCATGTCATGAGAAGCAGCATATTTGAGGTGTGAGACCCGTACCTGCCAACATGGTCGCAAGCCATCGCACTGGAAGAACATATTTTTGTTAATACCGGTAACATACCGATTATTATGTACGTACAGCTCCATATCTATTATTACCTTAATTTTTTTTACACGGCATGATCGGCAAGCTTCCGTCACTTTGAGTCGCCTGTGTCTGCTGTCATCTAAGGAATGTGGTTATCATACTGCTGAACTAGAGAATTGTGGCCAAAGCCAAAGATTGCCTGTCGCTTAGACATACCCTTTAATGGCAAGTTTAAGGTTGCAAACATATCTTGACACTGAGGATTCGCAAGTCAGCAGACCAATAATCAAGGTACATGCACTTTCGATTAAACAATGATTAGGTAGCTTTTGTGGGCAGTTGAGATGGTGAAGATTCAAATCAGACTGCAGCCCGGGAACGATTGAATGTACCAGCACCTAAAAAAAATTGCCCATTTTTTGTGGACTGCGCGGGAATTGAAATTTCGGGAAGGGTCTGTTGTGCAAAAAGGGTCCTTTATCAACTTTGATTGATTATTCTTAAATGCAAATCATGACATATAGACCAGTGCTTCCACGATAGAATTTAGTACCATAGATAACTTTAATGTACTGAGAACAAGCTTTTGGTATCAAGCAAGCTTGTTGTAAGCTTTCATAGTATGTGATTAAATTAAACACTATGGGTGGTGAATAGTATTGAGAAAGGAAAGAGATGTACAGGGGCTTTTTTCATTTTTTCAAAATCGAAATAGAGAATAAAAAGTTAGGAAAGAAACAGCAAAGGGAAGCAGAAAGGAGAGGATTGAGCGTTTCTTCGGTATACTTGTTATTTCACAGGGAGAAGAAGGGTAGTGAGGTTTCATGACAATTGGGTTAAGGAAGTGCAGAGGCGATTATATTGAGTTCAGTAGGTTATGTAATGGGTAGGAGCCGGGTTTTGAGAAAATTTTGCGTTTGCTAGTTATCGAATATCTGACGAACACTAGCACACTCTGGCAAATGTTCGCCGCGATATTTAATTACAAACGTTCCGTTTCCTCGGTCTAGGACAGTCTTGTTCACAGGGCATCCATTGTTGCTACTGCTACATTTATAATAAATGCTCTTGTTGCCGGTTTTACGATTAGTTCCGTTATTCTTCCAGCAGTAGCCATCTTGATACGGGAACTCAGTGGTTTCAATGATGTTAGTTATTGGCTGCATCTCTCGTCGTCGACGAGTACGGTGGCTGTCAATACTATCGTGTTCAGCGTTAGACTGACGCTCATCAATGGAGTTTGAGCTCGATAACGGAGGAGATAGAGGATGCTTCCTTGAGGGAGGTGATGACATTTGATAAGAACTACATGCATGAAGTAATTAGTATCAGCAACACAAGACTCTTTTGGTGGTAAGTTGGGTTTGAAAATCCCCATTTTTTTTTTTTTTAATTTTTTTTTTTGAGAAATTGCGTTTACTTACCGAAGCGAGGAAGTCAAGGTAGAGGTAGATGATCTCTCGAATTCATCATCAACCCAGTAGGATTGGTTTGCCAAACGGGGTTCATGTTGGTCATCAGACCGAGTAATGTTTCCTCGCACGTGGTTAAACGTGGAAGTGGTTGAACGTGGTAACGAGGGAAGCGGGATTCCATTCTGATATTCCACCACTTGAGTGTTTTGCGCGGCGGGAGAGTTAGTGGCTGACACGAGTCCCATGTGCTTGTATTGTAATAGCAGTAAATCAATCTCTTTCGTTCGTAGTTTAGCTTCTTCAGTTCGCCGTTTGTCTTCCTCCACTTTACTTCGCAATATCAGCTTGAGCAGGTCCGGCCTGGATTGGTAGCTGCGTATAACCTCATGAAGATCGCTTGATACTTGAGCTAAAGCAATCGACTCTAAAGTCGAATCAGGTGTGTTTTCGTAAGATACTGAGCGATGGGAAACTTGTAAAGGCGATGGTGGAAGAAAACTATTCTCTTGAAAACTGTTGCTCCGTCGTTGAGGAAAAGAAATGCGTTCTTGTGGATAAAGGTGGACGAGTTGTTTTTGAGATTTTTGAGGGTCAAAGGAATTCATGTAAGCTGACCGAGTATGGGGTAATTTGGAGAAAGGGAGAAAGGGAAGACGGAATAAAAAGGAACAGAGTGCTTAAAAGGTTGAAAGTCTGGAGATGAAACCCCGCTATATGGGAAGTGTGGTGTACTTTGGGGATCTACTACTTGAGGAAATAAGAAAAAGAAGTGGAAAAGCTAATAACTATCCGCTGATATCTGGCTGGCCAAAGGACAGGAGAGAGGTTACATTGCGGGGTTGGCGTGGTACGATGGTGGTGCGGACTAATGAACATGCCTGGCTAATCGATGATATCGCGGGAGAATGCGGCGTATGGCGGGGCAGGAATTGGAGAACGCCTGGGCATCCGCGGGTGAGGCATCTTTGATCAAAGATTGTGACCCACCGGTGAGTGTGGGGTAGACCGGTGTCTTGAACCCCGAGCTCCTTGATATTGTTGCTTAGCCTTAAACAGCAATCTGTCCGCGGCACGCAGCCATCTCAAGCAGAGTACCTTTGCAGGGTCCTTATGTTGTGACCTACTCCAGCTTTCCAAAAGAAAGTCGAGCCCATGGACGGTACAAAATTATTGCTGTAGGTGTGACCCATATTCATATTAACGTCATGAATCCCACTCTTCCCAGGAATACTTTTAGACAACCACTTTGACTATTCCCGTAAATCTTCGTTTGGTGGAATGGCTGGTCATAAATGCCCACACCATTGAGTAACCCAAGGTGCATAAAGAACCCATCTAGGTAAAACGTACAACAGAACATGTGGCAAACCAAAGCAGAGGAAAATCACTGACTGAGTCTGTAGAAAATTTGGTGTCCGCTTCTGCACGTATTGCAAGTCCAGCATGCTACAGGGGAAATGTAGCCCAAAGATATGTTAAATATATATCTGCATGTCCCTTTTATCGCTCTGCTTTCTTTATCTCTACAGATAGAGAAAAGCAACGACAAACATACCAACGGAGATACAAAAAATAATAAAATAATAAACCGTAGCTGTGCTCCATCGTGAACTCAAATTTTTTTTTCTTGCCTTTTCCCACCCACCAAACCGGATATTGGGCCATTCCATACGGCCTCCATCGAAACCAGAAAATTTTAATATACTCATCATATCGGTGAATTAACATGAGCAAAAGCATTCTGGCTCTGGCAAAGTTAACTCGGTTTAAAACACCAAGCCAATCAATCCTGTTATCTAAAAGGCGATCTGCAGGCAGCAAGAAAAAGACATATGTGATCTGTACAGGAATCCTGACCGGCATGTCATTATGTTCAATAGCCTCCTTTACGCCGGTTCTCTCAGAAGCTGAACAGGAAATGCCGGTGGCAACCGGCTCCATCATGGATAAAGTGATATCTAGTCTTGCAGATCCCAATAACCGCATTGCATTACGGGATAAGCCAACAACAAGTTTAATTCTCTCTCTATTGGTCTATAAGGCGTGTTCAATGAAATGGCTAATCGATTCTGCACCTTCTATATTTTCATATGCCTCATACACGCATTTGACAAAGCCGATAAATTTTATAATCCGACACACAGTCTTCAATCAATTTGTTGGTGGTGAGTCTAGCCAAGACTGCCAAAAGACAATGTCCAAACTGAAAGATCAAGGGATCGGAGTGATTTTAGCTTTAAGTGTTGAGATGGATGTTGGTGACGTTAAAGAAACGAATGCATCACATCAATCAATTCATATGAACCAGCAGGCTGACTTCTTTATGGACGCCACCAAGCAATGTATTTTGTCCGCTGGTACTCAACCAGGAAACTTTATAGCACTAAAGATTTCTGCACTTACATCCCCTCATTTACTTCAGAAGGTAACCGGTGTCCTATCTAAATTGTACGAAAGCTTCGGCCAACACACGAGCGTTTCTTCCCATACACTGTCACAAAACCAAGTCTGCCATGTGGTCGCACAGCACCGTGGTCTGGTAAACGTGGAAGAAAACGTGCCGGAAATCATACACAACAGTAATGAAATTGATATAGTAGACTTTAAACAAATGATGTTACTGCATCGCCCTGCTGTTATGAGCCTCCTCTCCAACGTACTAACAGAGCAAGACCAAGAAGATTGGTTACGAATGTTGCACCGAGTTGATGAAATATGCTCTTTGGCAAAGTCATGTGGTGTGAAAGTCTTAATTGACGCAGAACAGACTTATCTGCAGCTGGCAATCGATCAGGCTGCGTCAGTCATGGAGCAAAAGCATAACCAACTTGGTAGTCGCCCTACTGTTTTCAATACCTGTACGTTTCTCATATCATCATGTGCTAAGCCTATGTCCTACCTACCACATTAGTAATTTCATCTCTTTTGGATACCAGACCAGATGTATACAAAAACCGCACTACCGAAACTGAAGCTAGACTTGGTAACAGCCGAGCGTTACAAATATGGTCTCGGCGTTAAATTAGTTCGTGGAGCGTACATGGTTCAAGAGAGGGCGGTAAGTCGCACAACAATACGTGAAACGGCGTTGCGGAGACCGATCGAACTTCTTCCATTTCATATTAAATCCACCACCATCTTCCTCCTATTCAATCAGCGCGCCGCGGAATTAGGATACTCTGATCCCATTCAAAATACTATTAATGATACACATGAGTCATACCATTCAGCGATTCTCTTATTATTGAAGGCGCTAGAGGTAACACAGCAGAGGACAGGTATACCGGTTACAGAGGAAACCTCACCGCTGTCTTTCGTCATAGCATCGCATAATCATGAAAGCGTCATGTATGCATGTAATGAGCTTCAACATCATCACATATCGCTAGATTCTGGTGTAGTCTCCTTTGGCCAGCTATACGGTAGAGTATTACTTTATTTAAATTCAATCAGAAGCTTAAGTAATCACTGACTCCTAAACCTTTCCCGTTCTGGCATTGCATCGATTAGGTATGGCTGACAAAATTTCATATACGCTGAGCCAATTCGGTTTACCGGTATACAAATATCTTCCCTATGGAGAAGTCAAACAAGTCATTCCGTACTTGATTCGTAGAGGACAAGAAAACGCCGCCATGATCGAACGAACTCAGTTGGAATGTGAGCTTATTTTTGACGAGCTGAAGTACCGTTTTCAGCAGAATAACACCAGACAGATGAAGGAATAGGGGTTCTTTATGTAATTGTGAACCTCTTCGAATACATGTATCAAATATCATAATTCTTGATGACTCGCTAACATATAAATATTCTCAAATGTACGAAGGTGTCCCATAGTATGCTATGAAAACGTACGTGATCTTGCAGATTTTTCAAGTAAAAGCTCTAAGATATATGGGATGGATGATGAAGGTAAACTGTCCGCTGAGGCCACCTTCATGCCCATGCTCAGAGTATACCGTTTGATCTCTATATTTGAAGGACTTCTGGCGAGGAAAAACTCGTATATGCTATGTTTTCAATGGCCGTCCATACGTACTGATAGATGTAATGTATTTCCATGACCATATTTGCAATTTTGCTATGAGCGAAAGACAATTAAAAAAACCCACGCTGTCCATATACATTTATTTTCAGACCTCATGATTATCCTTGTTTACCGGTTCGTAAAACGAAGGAACCCATATACCTGGGTCAGAATGCATGGTTGATTAAAAAAGTAATTCCATCACCGCAGCTACGTAAGTACTCTAATTCCATAATTCAAAGTCCATCCCATGAAGCATGGCGGTTACTTGGTTCTTCATGCATTGGCTGGCTTATGAAATTTGCAGCGCTACATCTGTATACGGTCTGAATGATGCTGTGTAACCTTTTGATCGCCCTGCTGCCTTTTGTCTTCAACTTGGAAGAAACTAAACAACAGATTTACAATTTTAGCCAAGCATACCTTTCTACTTCCACGTAGAATCAACGTCAAAGAGCAGGAAATGTTGCCTTTGTTTCTTAGCTTCAACAAATTCAATGTCTTATATCGGTTGGAGACCATCGAATAATGCAAGGTTGAATATACAAGACGGAAATAGTACTACAATACTTTGAAATATATTGCTTTGCGAGCTGGTGTGCTTACATGTTCATCATGCAAAGCACAATCGCTTCAACTAAGCTGTTAACTAAATAGTTTTACTCAAAGAGAGAGAGTAAGGTCCAGATCTTCTTAAGCAAATCTTCAATGCCTGCGATAGTCAAACACGTCTCGTCCTCCCATCCACTGCTTACATTGCTCTTTTCACAAGTAGGCTTTGCAACTGGATGTAGTCTTGTAGCAGGTGAAGCATCGCCATATCCATAGTACATTGAATACATTCGGTGTGTTTGCAGATGACCAAACGTGCTTCATATCACTAGCCGCGACTGCTACGAACTGGACTATCCTAGTTGCTGCACTGGGACATAAAGCCAACGAATTTGTTTGTGGCCGCTGAGTGGAGCCTTAATACTTAGTTTCACACATGACAAGCTGATCAATGACAGTGGATGTACTTGAATGTCAAAGTTCTCGTTTCGAGCTATCACATTTCTGGCATAAGAATGGACGTTCGGATTTCTCTGAAATCAGGTTATATGTGACAGAGCTGAAGTAGCTAAAGACAGTACTGTTGTTACTGTCGAATTTATGTAAACGTGTGCGTCGACTGCTTCCAATTTAAATTTTGGGAATGATTTATTGTCAAATCTTTTGATGGCACAACAGGTAGAGCTAGAAGCTAAAGAAGCTACACTATACTTATTTCTTCTGTAGATTCGAATAAATTGTGTCAGTACCAAGTCATATAGTATCAATAAGTACACAGAATAAGTGCTCAACTAACCTTAGCAGCTTCCTCCTCAGCCTTATCACGGGCACGCTTCTCACGAGCACCGAGAGTGCGAGCTTCGGAACGGGCATAACGCAACTTCTGGAAAGCGTTAAGCTCCTTCTCCTCAGCCTTGATGGCACGAGCTTCCTCACCAGCAGCAACTTGCTCAATGGGAAGAACGGCACCCTTAAGCTGAGAAACACCAGAGACATCGGTGGCATCACCGTTCTTGGGCTTACCGGCCTTGCGGGGGAAGATGATCAACTTAGCCTGGTAGGCCTTGAGACGCTGGACATTAAGCTCAAGGGATTCTTGAGACTTGTTGCGGCGACGGTGGTCAACGGAGATACCGATGGTCAAGGCTTGCTTGCGAGAGACACCAGCTTCCTATACGTCAAAAAATTAAACAGACCGGAAAAGTTAATTATCTAGTTTTCACCCGAATCCAACAAGTAATGCGATGCTATCAAAATATAACATCCCAAAACACAACATTGACTATGAGTAAGTGTATATACCTTAAGCTCCTCAAGAGTGAAACCACGACCAGCACGGAGCTTGGTGTTGTACTTGATGGTGGGGCAACGAACAGCAGGGCGCAAAAGTCCATCGACGGGTCTGGGAGCAATGCGAGCAGCCTTTTGGATGCGTGCAATTCTTCTGGACTTCTTGCGACCAGGCTGGTCGAACCAAGTCTTAACGCGACGCTGCCAGTCCTTGCGGAAATGCTGGTTGGGCAGTTGATTGTTGTGCTTCAAAACCATTGCTCAACTAAATTGGTTGTAGATCCGATGTAAGTGTTGATATTTGTAGCAAATAGAGAGCAAAGATAGCAGTGGTATTGCAGTTGGTAGAAGATTATTGGATAATAGAGAAGTTAGTACAATGTTGATAATGCAGACCCCATGCTAGCAATTTTCCACATGTTGATTGTCTAACTCGAAATGTCGCTATTCGCACGTCGATAATATAATCCATCCATCTATCATCGCCAGGAACCCATCCATCACATTTCACCATCCATTCATCAATCATTGAAACTTACGAACCTTGACGGATGAAAAAGGAAGCTTCATGGCTCGACACTGGCAGCATCCTGATAAGTCCTGGAAACTCCGACTGTGCAATTTGCTGCCGTACTGCTGCTGGCTAGAGTTTTTTGATCTGGCTGCCAAAAATTTTCTCAGCTATAACAATTCACTGGCGGCCCACCTCTGGAGCATTTTGATCTCGACTTGATAGTCAAGCTGCGTATTCATTGATGGCTGAATAATAAATACACTTGCTATTATTTCATCTATGTCTTCTTATGCAGCGAAATTGTTGGATGCAAAGCTGTATGAGATACCCAATACCTTAAAAAAAATTGCCTGCAAGAAATGGCCAAAACGGCTTGAAAATGGAAAATACAATTGAATAAAATAGCTTATATTTAAATAGACTTCGTTTGCAATGATGATCAGAATTTTTCTTTTAGTTCTGTATGTAGTTCAACAATTTTCAGGCAACAAACCAAATTTTTAAAATGGTTTTCATCATGACTTTAATTCATCACCTGGGAAGTAAGATTCTTTGATATGGTTTCTTGTTGTATTCTTCCAAGAGTAGAAGATAACAGCAAGTAAGGTGTTGTATAGTACAACAGGCTATTTCATGCTAAAAATCTGTAACATTCTATTACTTTACCTTTATCTAACAGCGACGGTTCATAATGTTTTACTTGGTTCAAATACAAGAAGCTTTTTTCATAAGTATTGGTTACTTACCGTAATATTATGCCCCACAATTGCACAAAAGCGTTTTTCCTATGAGAAGAATAATTAGGAAACAGTCGCTTCAAAGTGGAGTTGCATTATATATTCCAAAATGATCAATATTCGCCAGCATGTCGAAAGTCGAAATTGATTAATTAAATTGTAAGCTCTTTACGTACCATGACAATACCTCCCGAAGGTTAAAATAAGATGGCGACAATTTGGAATAGGAATCCTTGCCGCTTTGCTTAAAATTAACGATATTAATGAATCTAATGACTAGTTGGAAGCATTGAGCCGATATAGACAATCTGTATTAATATTAGTAAAGGTCGAAGCAGCGTCCTATTCCAAACGCCCGTTATGAAGTCCGGAAAGCGCGGGTAGACCATCAATAAACAATAATAACTCTCAGTATTCGGATAAAGAGTCGTTGCGTTTACTACACATGCGTCATGTTTACTGCTTTGTCCTGCTTGACCTAGAAGTTAGTGCCAAAGATATTCGGATGCAGAGTCGGTAGTTGTATTCTTGGAATACCGCTCAGGTTCTGGACATATCTCACAAAAATAGTCTGCTTTATTACTCATGACTAGTGTTAGCACTATAAGTCAACAGCGACATCAAAAAAGTCAGTGTCCAGTTTATTGCTCTTTAATTTGACAATCAGTATTGTATTAGAAAGGAGCTTTCAGAGCTCTGGCTAGGCAATCATATAAAGAGCGACCTGAAACGGTCCATGGTTCCGCTGCAATTATAGTACCACTCCTGCTGGTGGTTGGTACGTTGAGATACTCTCTAGTGATAGTTCAGCAGTAGAAAGCACGCCGTATCATATACCATCTGAACACTACAGCTCTCAAAGATAGTGTTATGAGAAAATTGTAAGTGGCGGCCATAAATACATAAAACTCACTAATATCACAGCTCAAAAGTTTCATAGCTGTTGGAACAAAAAGAAACTACCGGACATATTCACCCAGGTTTAGCAAGTTTCTAACGCTATGAAAAATTCTTGTATCCGACAAAGTGACGGCATTGCCTATGTTTCGGACCTGCTTCGGGTCTGATGTTTTTCAATCGCAACCATCGAACACGATGCTACTTCGGCTTCTTTCACTTCACATTCTTTTCATCGCTTGAATATATCAAAATCTTATACCAGCAGGCCAGATAATGCTATTTCCCCTTTTTATTGCATTGAGTTGTTTTGTCTACGGAATCATTGCATTAAAGTGCAACGGCCACGAGGAGTTTTGCGACCGTCCTTACAACAAAATTACTTACCTTGCAACCCATAACTCTTACGCTTACGCTAAAAACATCGGTGCAAACCAGGAATACCCAATCGCCTATCAGTTAGATGAAGGCGTTAGAGCTTTGAAACTTACGACTGCCAAGCCTGGTTCTTGGAGCAATTCTACGCAATACAAAGTCCAACTGTGCCACACCATGTGCGAAATTCTAGATGCCGGCCCTCTAGAAGATACGTTAGACATCATCGCAAATTGGCTCAAGTTGAATCCGCACGAAGTAATCACCATTATGATGAACAACATTGGAGACTTTCATAGCCGCGATCTGGAGCCAGTGTTTGAGGCTAGTGAGATTATGCCTTACCTGTACATCAAGCAGCGCTACAGCAACCAATGGCCGACCCTTGGAGAGATGATTGAATCCAATAAGAGGCTCGTGGTATATCTTGACATGGGAGCGGACCCTTCGGAAGTGGCATGGTAAGTGCCATTTCAGTATGATTTGAAAACTAAGGCAGGTGCTAACCAGTATGTCGTGCTAGGATTAACCACCAATTCGAGTATATGTGGGAGACACCGTATAACAACTTTTCACCCGAGGACTTGAACTGTGATATTGATCGACCGGAGGATCCAAAAGAACCAGATGAAATGATGTATCTTGTAAACCATTTCCTGTATGGAAACTTCGTCGTTGGAAATATGAGCATACCTCTACCTCAAGGAGGAAAGGCCGCTGAAACCAACTCTATGCTGCAGCTGCAGGAACACATGTCCATATGTAAGGAAATGTTTGAGCGTAATCCAAATTTCATCGAAGTAGATTTCTTCAACCAAGGAGACGCGATGAATGTAGTTGATGAGCTGAATAACGTGTCGCATGTACGAAGAGAACAATTCAGTAATCAGACGCGAGTCATACGAATATCAACTAGTGAAGGTTTAGTTGTTGATCATCTCGTCCTATCCAGATTAGTGTCCAGTCTTGCTGTGGTCTGGTTTTTGCTTTCGCTGTAAAAAAAATAAAAATTACCTAAAAAATAGCATATCAATCTCCAGTCGGTTGTCCCCGCTCTCTTCTTCTCCCTTTCTTACTTTTACTCGCTCTCTCAAACTTCGCTGATACCATGTCCAAAGAACTTCCTTTCATTTCCCGTAGATCTGCCGTATACGGTACACATGCTATCGTTTCAAGCTCGTAAGCATCAGACATATCAGATGGTTATGTAGGAAATTCGAGAAATGAACACATTGTTCCCCCCTTTATCTAGGCAACCATTAGCTACTCAGGCAGGCTTAGAGATTTTGAAGCGAGGAGGAAATGCTGCTGTGAGTATTATGGATCGTTGACATCAAATTAACTATCAACTTCATATTATAATGTACTCACGCTTCAGTTTTCCAGGATGCTGCAGTTGCGGTTGGTAAGTACCGAGGTTTCGGAGATGTGCACTTTCAAGCGGGTGATTGATGAATTTCTTTTCCACGAATTTTCAGCTGCTGCACTGAATGTCACCGGTGAGAAAACCTAAATTTCGACGAAGTCCGATAAGAAGAGCATAGACTGATAATGCCAATTTGCAGAACCTTCTTCTACTGGTATTGGCGGTGACGCCTTTTGCCTCTTCTATGACGCCAAGTCTAAGGAAGTGAAAGCCATGAACGGATCAGGAAGGTATTAGAATGGATGGAAAAATCTTGCAGCTCTTCTTGAAGCCACACGTTAATAATCAACATCAAACAGATCACCAGCAGCGTTGACACTGAAGTATGCCAAAGAAACACTCGGTTTCTCAGGCAAAGAGATACCCGCGAAAAATTTGAATTCCGTTACTGTTCCTGGAGCTGCCGCAGCTTGGGTTGATACAGTCGAAAAGCTCGGATCTGGCAAAGTGACCATGGAAGAAGTGCTTTCCCCTGCCATTGATCTGGCTGAAAATGGGTAACGTTTGCTACAAATGCTGTTCAATTCCATACATAGCTTAACATTGATATCTTTTTTCTTTTCAAGCTTTCCTGTATCTCACATTTCTGCAAATGCTGTAAGTTGTCATGCTTTGACAAATGCAATCGCCAGTCAGTCATAACTAATGAACGTGCGCATATAATAGTGGAAAGGAGGAGAACAGTCTATCTTGAAGGCATCACCTAACTTCAATGAAATGCTGATTGACGGTCGCGCGCCTCGCGAAGGAGAAATTATGACCAATCCTAACTTGGCAAAGTGAGTAGCATGCACTATCGTACGTTACGAAAGACAGCAACTAAAACTTTTTTTAACGTAAAAGAACTTTCCGAACACTGGCAAAGGAGGGTAAAAAGGGATTTTACACCGGAAGGATAGCACAAGAAATTGTCGACCTCATCCAGTCTGGAAGAGGTGTCATGACACTAGAAGACCTAGCTGCTCATGATACGCAATTTGTTGAGCCCATTTCTATTGACTACGAGGATATCACTGTTTGGGAATGTCCACCAAACGGACAAGGAATTGCAGCTTTGATTGCTCTAGGAGTCTTAAAGGAACTTCAAAAGCAGAATATCGTTGATTTCTCAAAGCTTGAACATAATTCTGCAGAGTACCTCCATACCATCATTGAGGCATTGAGAATTGCCTTTGCTGATGCTCGCTATTATGTTGCTGACCCTGACTGTGTGCCTGTGCCTTCTAAGGAGTTGTTGGACGAAGAATATCTTCGCGAAAGAGCCAAACTCTTTATTCCTAGCAAAACTAATCCAGAAATCAAGAAAGGTTATCCAACCCATAATAGCGGAACGGTTTACTTTTCTGTGGTGGATGACTATGGAAATGCATGCAGTTTCATAGTAAGATTACTCAGATATGAACAAATGTGACTCTTTTAGATGCCAAATGGCTAACCTATCTTTTATTCATATAACAGAACTCCAACTACATGGGCTTTGGAGTAAGTACATATTTATATATATAGTCTCTTGGCAATATAAGAAAGTTTATCACTAACTAAATCAATGCAGACTGCAGCCATTCCAAAGGGATGCGGTTTTACCCTACAAAATCGGGGATGTAACTTTACTCTGACAGAAGGGGCTCCTAACTGCCTCGGCCCTAACAAACGTCCCTATCATACTATCATCCCCTCTATGATTACCAGAAAAGGATCAGATGGTGCACACCAGCTAGTAGCTTCATTTGGCGGTAAGTCTTCACTGAGTACACGAGCTCAATATATCATTTGATGACTACTGGATTCTAAATGATTGCCTTGCAGTGATGGGAGGCTTCATGCAACCGCAGGGTCACTTGCAGGTTGTACTAAACTTGATTCACTATCTTTTTAATCCTCAGCATGCACTGGATGTCCCTAGAATCTGTATCTCACCACCTGATGATGAAAAAGATTCGTCTGATCCTCTAGCATACTCGTTCACTGATGTTTCAAAGGCCATCGTGTATGTAGAGGACGGTATCGCTGACGAAGAAATTGAAAAGCTAAGAAAAATGGGTCATACTTGCAAGAAGCTTGAGCATTACGCAAGAGGCATGTTTGGCAGAGGCCAAATCATTCAGGTCCATAATGATGAACGCACAGGCAAGCGTGTTCTGTCCGCTGGTAGTGATCCCCGTGCGGATGGACAGGCTTGCGGATGGTGAAATTAAATTACAGCTCTTATGTGGGATGCCATTTGTGACTCAGTCAATGTAGGCTATCATTCTGAATAAATTCCATACGTCTGAAGGTTGGCCATAGTATGCACTATGATTGTATGAGGTGTTGTTCACGATAGCAGTGATTGCAAGAAAGCAAACAAGACAACGTCCCACGAGGTACGGATGTTACACAAGGCAAAGTGAGAGAGACTCCTATTGGATATTTCACTTGGCGCTCTCCCCCTTCATTTGCTTGGGTTCCGAGTTACGAGCCTAGTCCATCTCTTCCTCGATCATCTCACCTGTCATTATGGCTGGTACGTTCGCATTCTTTTATTCGTTTTGGAAACAGATAGAAGACGACATTCGCACATAGCTTTGAATCTACTCGACTACATACGCGTCCATTTACGACACCATCCGATTCATGTCGATTGTTTTCTGCTCAGTTGAAAGGACTTTTTTTTTTTTGGCCCTTCAAACGTACCTTGGAGATCAAACAATCCTGATGCCCCTTTCTTACCACCATGAAAGAAGCTAGAACTTCTTTTCTATTGATAAACATTTCTATGATATCTAACTTTCAATCCTTACAGATAATCAAGTTGACGGCGTGAACACTGCATCTGCTTCGGTAAATAAAACTTTGGAATGTACAACACTAGATGGTCCTTTGAATACTAATTCTTTTGTTTGGTACGTGTTTATAGGCCGCAAGTAATGTGATTCGCAAGAAGTTGCAAGGCTATGTTGGTTTTGCCAATTTACCAAATCAGGTTCACCGAAAGTCTGTAAAGAAAGGTTTCCAGTTTACCACTATGGTTGTAGGTAAGATCAACTTTCTTTCTCATTATTGTTGTAAACGTTTGGTATTTTGTGACTGACGGTATAATCTTTAGGTGAATCTGGTCTTGGTAAATCAACACTTGTGAACACCTTGTTCAGCACCCAGTTATATCCCAACAAGGTCGTTGCTGAGCCTTCTCACGAAACACCAAAGACTGTCGATATCCAATCCATCACAGCTGATATTGAAGAGAACGGTGTCAGACTTAGACTTACTGTCGTCGATACTCCTGGATTCGGAGATTTCGTTAACAACGAGGAAAGGTAAAGCACAAATCAGGTTACAAAATGTTTCAAAGTAATATTTTTAACCAGTCTTACCGAAATAGCTGGAAGCCTATATTGGATAACATTGAGTCACGATTCGATGCTTACTTGGAACAAGAGAACAGAGTCAACCGTACCAAGCTTGTTGACAACCGAATTCACGCTTGTATCTACTTCATCGCCCCCACTGGACACGCTTTGAAGCCTCTTGATGTCGAGTTCATGCGCCGTCTCCACACCCGTGTCAACCTCATCCCCGTCATTGCTAAGTCAGATACCATGACAGAAGAAGAAGTTCACGCTTTCAAGGAACGTATTCTTGATGACATTAACTTCCACAACATCCAAATTTTCCAAGCTCCCCAGTATGAATATGACGATGCTGAAACCATTGCTGAAAACCGCGAGATCATGTCTAAGATTCCATTCGCTATTGTTGGATCTGACAAGGAAGTTGAAATCGAAGGTGGCCGCATGGTACGAGGACGCAAGTACCCTTGGGGTGTCATTGAAGTTGACAATGAGGACCACTGCGACTTTGTCAAACTCAGACAAATGCTTATTCGGTAAGTTCTCATGTTTTTCAGTGGATGGTTATCATCCTTTCCATTTACGCTAGAATTTCCTTAGCACCCACATGGAGGAACTCAAAGAATATACCAACAACTTCCTGTACGAGAACTATCGTTCTGAGAAGCTTTCTGCTATGGGTATTCAGCAAGATCCTACCGTCTTCAAGGAAGTCAACCCTGTTCAGAAGATGGAAGAGGAACGATTGGCACATGAGACCAAGCTCTCCAAGATGGAGGCTGAAATGAAGATGGTCTTCCAAGCCAAGGTTCAAGAGAAGGAAGCTAAGCTCAAGCAGAGCGAAGAAGAATTGTACGCTCGTCACAAGGAAATGAAGGAGGCACTAGAGAGACAACGTCAAGAGCTCGAAGAGAAGAAGAAGAGATTGGAGAGCGGAAGACCTCTTACTCCAGAGAAGTCCAAGAAGAAGGGATTCTCTTTCAACAAGTAAAAATTTCATTGGAAGACCAGGCTATCAAAGCATCATGCTTAACCAAGTCCAGTTGACCCTTTACTACTGCTTTAATTAAATCCATATTAGCCCAACCAATCAATACAGCTAGTCTTTTTCTTTTTTACTTATAACAATGCGACGTTAAAAACTATCATGTAACAATGCTTGCGAGACAAGATGTGGTTATTAATCTTAGGTAAAACTCTAATAGTGCATTCACTGCCTTGCGATTTGAAAACTGGTTCTAGCCTTCCATTCAGCTAGCTAGACGGACTGAGACAGGATCTTGACTCTTTCCTTACTGAAAAGATCTCTTTCTCTGCCAATTTCGATTTCCAATTTACAGGCTGCCTTTGCGTTATCAAAAATGGTTTGCTGACAGTCCGCTTCCGTTTCCTCTACATTTGTTCGAATTTCTTTTAAATAGCGTGTAGCTTTCGAGAGGTAAAGATTTCCCAAATCTTCGTTTTGCCTATACCACCGATATTAGTGTCATGCTTTGTAAACGATACGAGTAAATATTCGACAACTTACTGTACGTCCGGCTTTTTGATCCTGGGAAGCGGTGGGTATAATTCCATTGCCTTTTTGAAAGATTGGAAGGCTTCCGCGGGAAAGATTTCTTTTACTTTTTCTTCCGGGTTATCGTTGAACTCTCGAGCCTGATACATGCCACCAGTCAAGTGATGCTGTGTTTCTCTTAGTAGTTCAATAACTTGTGGTAGAACCTCGTTCGTTCTCACTAGCTGTGGGATAAAAGTACGTAAGCGCAAGAAAATTATTAGCTAAGGCATAGGCTGATTTTACCTCCGCATGTTTAGACTTCATGGATTTTATTCGTTCCTCCCATTCTGTCACAGATGGATCTTGTCGGAGAGAGAATATCTGTTGAAAGTGGGGTCGTTGTTTTAGCACTTGAGCAAATGCAAAGAATATTACTGCCTGGCTATGCTTACCGGTCGTAAAAGCTCTTCTACCTTGTCTCTTTGCTGTTCAAGTGATCTTATTTCCAAGTAGGCATTGTCGTTCTGGATAGTATGGTAAATAACAATGAATCCTATACCACACAAATCTCCATGACTACCTACCCCTTCGCGAGCCAAATTGACCTTTTCATCAACGGCCTCAATTTGCTTTTGAACATCCTTCAGCTTTGACTCAGACTCCTCAAGCTTACGTTTAATGTCCTCTGCCTGACGAGCCTGATCGCACTATCAACATTAAAAGATTAGGATACCACCGTTTACCTGCCTCGGTATTGTACAAAGTAACTTACTGTACAGAATGCAACTGCCCAGGCAACACTCCAGGTAGTTAGATTCAATCGATCATCTTCCAGTACCTTGCTAGTAGCTAGTTAGTCTCCTTCGTAATAAAACGCTGTATTTCCAAAATTCTGTTGCTATCTTACATTCTGTTCTCATGCTCCCTAACTTGTCTTTCCAGCGAGGGAAGTTCTTCGAGGCGAATCAAGTCTGCCTTCAAGTTTCGTTCATGGTATGACCGCTCGTTCTGTGATTTTGCTTCTATCTCATTCAAGAGAATGTTGAGCTCGGGCAGAGCTTCGGATACTAAATCTTGATATGACATTTTGCGAAAGAAAGTCTCTGGCGGTTAGAATTCTCAAAGGTCTTTGATTTTTATACATGAACAAAAAAATTCAAGTGGCGTCCACGAGCGCACTCCAGACTGTGTTACACTAGGCTTTTGACCCCGCGTGCACACTGCCTTCGTGATCTCACTACAAAAACAGAAGTGGTGAAACCTCTGTAACCTTAATATTTAAAGGCGAGACGCATTGTACGAAATGCTTGTTCACCAGATGATTTGAAAAATACATTCTTTGAAGCGAAAGCTTTGAAGACGATGACCTGGTTAAACTGAGATCGACCGCTTGATTGTCTTCCCCGACGAGGCCCCATGCACTCACTCATATTACACTGGCCAACTGGAAAGTCACGTGATCCATTGCTTCGATGATGATATCGAAGCAATTTGAAACCGTCCGCTGTGTTGCACTTCATAACTTTGTGCTGTTATTTGGGGTAATGGCCGCCAATTTGCAGCGCTATTCTACAATGCCATTGAATGAAGCAGGAGGTAATGGCCATTACTTTATGTTTGCTATAACCGCTAACTGGTCCTTACTCCCTATTGAACTCTGCTACAGATGCCAACGTACAAGCGAAGCTGTCGCCGGAAGGTATTGCCCCCACCCCCTTCTAGAACTTTGTACCGTAGCAAATGCCTAACGCTAATTGTTCAATAGAACAAGTTGACTACCCCAAGCTTTTTAAAATTGCCAACAAGTCTGGCACCGGGATTGTGTCTGGCGCCGAAGCCATTGAATTCTTTGCCAAGTCTGGTCTCTCTCCAGCCGTTTTGTCGGAGGTACTACTTTGCTTTGTTGGTGTACTGTTCTCTTGGCGAAGGATAAAAATGTGCTAATGCTTGAATCGCTAGATATGGGATATAGCAGACGAAGCAAACGCTGGACAACTTGATAATCATGCCTTCTATGTCGCTTTGAAATTAATTGCTTGTCAGCAGCAAGGAAAGGAGCCTTCCAAGCCAATAATCGCAACAAGTGAGTACTTCTTCCTATTAATCTGATGCTTCGAATGGGCATGGAGGTCTTGGCACACTCTCTTACGCTTTTATATCGATAGACGTGAAAGTACCGGTCTTCGACGGAGTATCAATTAGTGCGGTACCAGATGCCGGTAAACCGATCATTCAGCCCGCCGAAAGAGAAAAGTTTATTCGCATCTTCCATGCTTCACGCCCAGAGAATGGAATTCTTGATTCTGAAAAGGCCAGGCGTGTGTTTTCTCGGTCACAACTACCTGTTGATACTTTAGCGCAGATTTGGACTCTGGCAGATAGCAGACGATCCGGTACTTTGAACCAAACCGAATTTGTCATTGCTATGTATTATGTAGCAAGATGTATGGAAGGAAAGAAGGATCTACCATCTACACTTCCTTCTAATGTATATGCGGCCGCTGCTGGAAGGCCAGCATCAGCTAGTCCATCCCCTCAAATTGCTCATATCGCAGCACCCGCACCTAGACATAGCGCTGGTCCGCCTCAATTGGCTGCATCGCCTATACAATCTGTTGCAAGACAATTCACTGGATCATCTTCAGCGTTCTCTCCTATGATTTCTAGAGCCAACACCATGTCTCCTTCTCTACCACCCAACAGCAATAAGTGGATTATTAGCCCGGAGGACAGAAAAAAGTATGATACCTTTTTCGACAAGATTGATGTAGGAAAACATGGCTACATACAAGGCGGGGATGCAGTAGAATTTTTCCAAAATTCTCGTCTGCCCGACGCTGACCTTGCGCATATTTGGGATTTGGCTGACAGACACGAAAGAGGAAGGTTATCCAAAGAAGAGTTTGCCATTGCCATGTACCTTATCCACAAGCGACTGAAAGGCGATGCACTCCCCACCATACTTCCTTCCAGCTTGTTAAACCAGACCCCAGCCAGCGGCGTGCCAGTTTCTGAAGCCCCCGTGTTCGTTCAGTCACCACCATCAACCGATCAATCATTAATTGATGATGGAGACCACTTCCAGCAATTTGAAACCCGAAGTACGGTAGCAAAGGCGAATTCGGAATTGGAAACATTGCGACAAAATGTTAAACTTGGTGAAGAGCAGCAAGCAGGACTAAATGCAGAGCGCACTTCTTTAGATGACCAACTCAAGTCAGTGCAAAAGGAGCAAGCTGAACTTACAGAGCGTTTGAACAACTTGCGTACCTCTGAAACAGACGCAAAAGCTAGTATCACGAAACTAAAGGAGCAGTTGGAAGTTGAGCGCGAAGAGTTACGCAAAGTACAGGAAGATGCCAAGCAGATTACTGAAGTACTGGAAGGTTACCAGTCGCAGAAACAAGAGATTAGTACAGAGCTTGAAAATAATCGATCAGAATCAAGTCGATTGAAGAAAGGCATCTTTGCTAAACAAGAGCAGAGCAACCAGTTGCGACGAGAATTGGAAAAACTTGGTGCATTTATCAAGAAGGATCGTATGATGCTTGATATCACTCGCAAACAAGCCTCGGCTGCTGATGCGGATGTAGCAAAGCTTGAAACCGCTCTGGATAAAGCAAAGTCTGGAGTTCCAATAGAAGAAGTCTCAGACTCTATCCTAGAATCTCCCAAACTTCCTCAACTACCGTCTTCTCCTACCGACTCTAATTCCCCTGGATCTACCGCTCGTCGACTTGTGTCTAGTCCAACTCAGCGCACCAAAGCTGCACCGCCTCCACCACCTCCTTCCAGTAGATATCATCAGTCTGTACAAGAGGAGAAGCGAAACTCTGCTTCATTGTCTGGTAAGAAGCCACCTGCGCCTCCTCCAGTCGCCAGAAGTAAGAGCAAGTCAGATCTTTCAACGATTGCTGGTGTTTCAGCAGTAGCCACCGGTGCTGCCGCCGCAGGATTAGCTATGGAGAAAGGCTCACATGACGACTTCAGTAACAGCGATCCGTTTGATGATTTCACCCGTACCTTTGAAGCTGCTAAGGAAAGCACAGTTCCGTCCGATTTTGACGAAGTGTTTGGGGACCAGCCAACTTCCCCCTTTACCTCATTCCCTGAACAGCAGCAAGCATTTTCCAGTGGCTTTGATGATGATTTCGCAACACCAACTTCTACTCATTTCCTTATGACCGACAAAGCAGATGATTCAAAGAAGGAAGCTCCTCAAGAGACTCCTGCTGTTGAAGAGATTGCTAGTGCACAAGAACCTTCTACTACATCCGATGTACCTGTTGATTCTGCTACTCAAGCGGAACAATACGAAGAGAGCGAGGCAGATGATACCGAATCAGATTCTCCATCAGAATCAACTACTGACTCTGAAAGTACCGAGGAAGAGGAAGATGAAGTGGAGGAAGAAGAGGAGACTCCAGCGATGGAAACTGCTGTACCTACTGCTGCTGCTCAAGTATCTTCGCTAGAGCAACCATCGATTGAGCCTAGCAAGGAGGATCAGCAAGTAGTTTCCGATCAGCCTTCAGAACCTATCATAGAGGATCAGAAGAGTGAACATTTAGAGTTGCAGCCAACAGATGTTCCTGAGCAACAAGGCGAGCCCGTCCCAGAAAATGCAGAGCCATCAGTCCCTGTTGTCCCAGAAGAGGTGGAATCACAGCAAGAAGAGATCGCTGAAGAGAAAGGACAACCAGAGGTGGAACCACAGCAAGAAGAGATTGCTGAAGAGAAAGGACAGCCAGAGATGGAGCAGCCTGTGACAGAAGAGCAAGCACCTGCTATAGAAGATTCTATTCCTATGGAGGAAGAGATCGCACCCACCACTGAGTCTCTGTCCGCCCCGTCTACCGATACTGCAAGCACTGTTAAAGTTGACAATAACACTGAAGCAACGGAAGATGAACAACAGGCTCCAGTAGCATTGAGCCAGCCTGTAGAAGTAACACCTGCAGATTCTGCATCAACGGAGGTTGCACCGGAGACTACTTCTGTGGAGCACACCACCAACAACGAGGAATCAAAAGAAGAAGATCAATCTGTAGATAATGCATTTGAGGAAAGCTCTGCAGTAGTCAAGGATGAGTCCCCGCACGAGGAAGTCGCCTTGGCCAATAACCCAGCAGCATCCCATGTTGAACATGAAGATCCTGATTTAACTCTAACCATTGCACAACCTACATTGAATGAAGAGCCTGTTCCTGAATCTAGTGCTACTCCCGAGGATAAGCCTGACCATGATTTCGAGGTCATTGATCCAGTTTCGTCTACGTCGTCTTTTGTTTCGGAAGGTATGACGGTCTCCATGGAACAAGAGCAGTCTCCCTTCGATGACTTTGAGTCAGCGTTTTCTGGAAGCATGTCTGAAGCCAGGGTCATTCCAGGAAGCTCAGCTAATGACTTTGAGGCTCCTTTTGATGCATCTTTTGAAGAAGATTTCAACCCTACCTTCGAACAGCCTTCTCAAAAGGCTTCATTGCCCGCACCTACGGCAACAAAGGACAATCCAACGGATGCTGCTGCCTTTGCCGACAGTTTTAGTTTTGACAATAATGCATTTGATTCAGCCTTCGGTTCGTCAGCACATCAGACTGACATGGAGTCTCCATTCAATGTAGACACTCCAAAGCCTGCTTCCTTGTCAGATGCTGCTCAGAATACCCAATATCTTCACTCTGGCTTTTCTGCCTTTGCTCCAGCCCTTGAAGCATCTTCAATTGAATCCCCTGGTTCCAGTTCACCATCTGTCCCACAAGCTACACCAGCTCAAGAGAACATCGCTCCACCATCTGCAGAACCATCTTCCAAACCTGTCGTCCAGAATACTAATAGTAATCCCGCAACTGCAGTGACACCATCTTCTGTGCGATCGCCACAGCTTTCTGAACCACAGGGTCTTCAAGAGTTACTCAACATGGGCTTCTCGCGTGAACAAGCCGTCGATGCCTTGCGCCGTTATGATAATGACCTTGAAAAGGCCACCAATTTCTTGCTAGATTTTTAGGATGCTAAAAATTTATATTTAACTTCTCACAATAAATTCATCTTCTGATCATTACAAGTTGTCATCTGTTTCGCACATTCGCTGCTTAGGAAAGGGATTGTAACCAATGTAAAAGAATGAGTACAAAGTGTCTTAGGCTACAGCTTACTAGCCGCGGTCAAATCTTGAATGCTTCGGCCGGCCGAACCGATATGCTGCAAGTCAGGTATACCGACACAGCATATCCTTAACGCAAATGTACCACTTTTTCAATTAGTATTTGATCTATTTAGCGATTGGTGGGAGTTTCGCAGAGCTTGAAGAAGTATGGTTCGACACCAAATTTGGGACTTTTCAAATGACAAGAAGTGTTCTGCACGTGCAATATCGGGAACACAAAAAAAGTAAAACCCCAGACGCTTCTGCTAAATCTTAACAGTTGTCTTCCAGTCGAAGTCAGAGTTATGAACAGGTACTTACAGAGACAGAAACACAGCGAGCTCCATTGAACTAAACACAGTCATCCATCGTAGCCTGGACTTTGACTTGCACGCTCGCATCTTGTCCAAGCTAGCCGAAACGCTAGCGGACTCCAGAGCAAAAACCACCAATGACGAACTTGCAAGGTTAAAGCAGAAATGCACTCCTCTCACCTCTGATAATCTCGACCAGACATTGAGAAAACAGAATGGCAATTCAGCCATTGTTGTTGTAAGTTGCATCCAATCATTGTAGCTCAGTGCTTATTGTTATACTTATTGCGCCTTTTGTCTGCTAGACATACCGCGGTCAGCAGGGTATCAAGAGTCTTGCCAAGTTTGCCTCTGCAGCTTCTCCAGAGATACAGCGTGAAACTTTGCCAACCCTTATCTCATATTTGCGCCATCTACCGGCGTATGAGTGGGAGCACATTGTAAAAGCTAAGGGTACGTTATGTGCATGTTTAAACACAACTTGAATATGTGGGTCCTGCGTATTAACATGCTCCTTTAGGTCCCCTACCTCAAGAGTCGCTTACGTATGTCCTTGTTCAGACACTTCTTGAAATCGGATACAAGCTTACCGATGAATATGAGAGCATCAATGCCGCACTTTGGGAGTATGCCGAAGTTCTACTCCGAGGTTTGGAATCCAGAAATGGTACGTATGAGTTTCATGGTGATAAAGGACGAGAAAGAGTGTAATAACTCAAATTTCGTTCAAAGTCGAGTATACCGTTGGCTTTCTGTTGCCTTCCCTCGCTGGTCTTTCCAAGGCTCTGCAGGAATCACCATACTTGTATAGACAAAATCAGCTCCTCCACATCATTCAAAACACTCAACCGCTTATCCAAAACGAGACACTGGACCACGTTCGTTATGCGATTGATACTTGTATTTCTGAACGACAATCGGATGACTATTGTCGGGAGATTGCAAAGAAGTACTGGGATGATAAACAACCACTTAGCAACAATCGTTTGATTTATGACTTGCTCGTCATTTTGCGCAACGTGACAGGACGAATGGTGACAGGCCAAGAGCCTACAAAGGGTCAGAAAGCTTTAAATTTTACCGACACTTGTAATATCTTGGCCGATAGTGCCTCAAAGATCATGCGACCCTCTTCAGCTGATGCATCCGAGAAGGACCAACAATTGTCGAAGGCAATGAGAGGCGTTTATGTTATGAGTTTGGGATATTATGAGGATGTGAAGGAGCTCGATAACTCGACATCATCCGAGATCAAAGCATCATCTTCTGAGGCTTATATGGCAGGAATCATGGCTTCTAGTCTGGTAAGGATGGGTGGAGCATTTAGGCTTTGTGTGTTCTTGAGCGAAAGTTTACTAAACCATCCAATATTCTCTTATCATATAGCATGTGGCCGTTTTGGCTTCAGTTTACCTTCATGAAGTCGATGACATCTTGATGGACCATATCTCTGACTGTTTGTTCCATCCATCCGTGATTACGACTCAGTCAGTCATTGAGGCTGCTTTGGATGTTGCTACTATCCTCGCTGTCAAGTAAGCTCTCAGTTTGATGATAATGAGATAATCCAGTTGAAATCCACTTCTAAACCCAATCAACCTAATAGCTTTAACCATCTTACCGACCACGTTATCACTTTGCTTTGTCGATATCTGACGGCTCCTATCAAGGCTCGCGCTGCAGATATAACTTCTACCATGAATGCTGATATTCGTGAGCACACTATTAAAGCATTGGCTCGATCCGTGAAGGTAAGCAATACTGGCTCGGTACATCCAATTCCCAGCGGTGACTCATAATTCATTTGCTTTCAACGTAGGCCAAGCCCGAGGGTGAGATGACACAAACAGCAACCTCCACTTTGTATGCTCTTTTGAACGAGATTACGCGCAACAACAGAGAATCCTACCCAGCTGCTAATGGAGCTGCATCAGGAGCCTCCTCTCTTTTCCCCAATGGAGCAGCTTTGGAAGTATCTGGATTAACGGATAGTGAGAGGGAGCAGATTTGCGTCAGTGCGTTATCTGGCATCATTGGTATTGCCAAGCACCTTGAAGACGATTCGGTATGTTACCTACACAGCATGTCTAATTTGAAGCAGCTATTGACATACAGTGGTTCTTGTAGATTTCTGGACAGGCATTTTCCATGTTGATTCTTCGCCGTAAATCTCTCACTGAGAACACTGCGGCTGCTTTGATTCAGCAATTCCCTGGTCTGGCCGTAAGTAGTTCGCGCGGAGTCTTCATGGATATCATCAACTTGTTTGCCAGCCTCAATACCGAACGTCGTGAGAGCAAGATGATTGCGGATGCTGTAAGTTAACGTTATTTTGTTTATGCGCGGAGCAGTCCAGAGTCAAAGGGATCACTCGGCTCATACCTAATTTCTTTCTGGTAGGTAATTGCTGCACAACTCGATCTTGCTAGACGACTTCATGAACGACCCGAGTTCTATTCGCTGTACCTCACAAACTTGCTCGCCTTGTTTGTTGAGAAGGCTAACAGCATTGAGCCAATCTCCGCAAAGGAAAAGAAAGGGATCAAACTTAGCCTTCCTACCGAGCTTGGTTCACTTCTTCCAGTCTTGGCAGCTCTTTTGGCACATACCGATTTCCGACCTCATGAGACTCCTGTCGAGAACACAGTGGCTTTATTCCGCAATACTTGGTTCCATCTTGTTCTCCACGGATTCACAGACGATGCCATTTCTATTCCAGAATGGTACCGCTCGTTGATTATCATTGCCTCCAAGACTCCAGTATTGGTGATGGAGAGTGCAACCAATTATTTGGAGAGTGACTTGGAGTACAACTCTGTACTTCGCAGCGGCCACATATCTGATCGTGATCTTTCCAAGATGCGTCAATCGCTCATCAACTATCTACCCAAGCGTAGTGCCGAAATCAAGTCCTTTTCATTCGCTCAAACTGTGTTTATCCTCGCCGTTTATCACATTGAGCTCATGCGTAACAAGAGTGGTGACTGCAGTTTCATGCTGCGTTACTTCATGAACCAGGGTGTCAATAGTAGCTCCTTGGCCTCTTGCTTGGAGCATGTTGTTGAAGTCGTGTCTGGCACCTTCATTTCTGAAAATTACACCAAGGCGGTTGTTTCTTGCAATGATGATGCCGTCCGAGCGCAACTCCATATCTTACTCAAGCTCTGCTGCCACCGGCTTGCCAAGGTTCATCATTCCGCCATCAAGATTTCGGACCGTATCGTTGCTGCTTTCCCTCAAATCTTTACTGACAAGAGCCTCATATGTTTGTTGCTTGAGCTTGTGCAACTCTTGTGGTTGTCTTGCGAAGCAGAATATCGTGACGAGTACTGTCCCGTCTACAGGTTCACATCCATCAAGGCTGATGTCACTATCACTCTTGGCGATTCGCATTCGTACCGAAGAGACATCTGTACGCGATTCACGGATTTCGGCAGAAAATGGCTTCGTATGGCGGTTGAGAGAGCCCCTCTGGAAGTCAATGGTCTTTTACAGAACTACCTTGCTGAGTTTGATCCTCTACAAGCTGATATGCCTACAGATACTGTCCATATGGGTCGTTCTTTGGCTCTTGAGGCTGGAAGAGCCGCCTCATCTGCACAACCTGTCATTCAATATGCCCCTCAAGTCACTCATACCATCGTGGACAATGCTTCCGAGTTTGTTGATGCATTCACCTCCAGAAGACATTATCGTGGCGAAATGACCGGATTGGCTCACTTTGGTGCTATCAACAGAGGTGTCAATATGCAACACGGTGACAGTTCTCTTGTTCGCCGCGAGGTACTCATGGATCAAACACCTGTTGTCAACAAGATCTTGACTGATATATTGCAAGAAGTCAAGAACAACAAACCTGTAGCCATCGGTTATTTGCACCATGCATTGTATCGTGCTGCTGGTCTGCTCATCACTCTACCCAAGCTTGATGCCGACATCATTCGCAACATTGTCCGTATTCCTGTGCAAATTTTCAGTCCCGACAGTATGCATATCGGTACAGCTGTGTGGGATTGGATTGTGGTTGAACGACCCGATTTCGAAACCCTGTTGATGGTCGAGATGCTGTCGATGTGGAATTGGTGCCAGCGACACAGAAGAGGTCTCTTTTCTCCTGTACTCAATTGCCAAAATCCTTTTGTCAGCAGGATGACCTACACACCTTCGGACAAGGCTATTCGTCAAAAGAATTGCAAGGTGGCCAATTACTTATTTGCTCCTCATATGACATGGATTTACTTCTTGTCTAGTCGCTTCCATGCCATCTCGCATCGCAACAAGCAGCTTGTGAATATGTTCATTCGACTCATTCAGGAGTCTATGCAAAACTTCCATCTGTTGAGCACTCATCCATTGTCTCGCATGGGTCGTTTCCAACTTTTGGTTTTGGCGGTGAGGATGCTTCAAGGTAACCGTATGGAGGCCCTTCAGGAATACAAGTTCAGACATCTCCTTTATCAAACCGCCTTCAACTGGTTCACCATGCCTGCAAGATGGCATTATGGTTCTCGCAAGACCTCCGCTCTTGCAGAATATAAGGTTGTGCTCAACTTCTACAATGCCATCGCCAACGATAAACCCAACTTGAACCGAATGGTGACAAGTTCGTTGTTAAAGTCTTCCAACAACTCCATTGGTTCTGGCCTCTACAGCTTTTTGTCAGGCAAGACCAAGGATGATGTCGTCAAACATAATGCTCAGTGCAAGAAATTGCTCATGCTCTTTTTGGAAAGTGAACTGAACAGAATGTCTGTATGGTCCAATCCATTGAATACCCCTGGCCACGGCAATTCGGGTAGCTTCATCAACACCGTGGAGAAATCGATGCTTGTGGATGAATTGTGGAAGGACACTGTTCGTTTGGCTTGGGAGATTGATCCACGTCTTGCTGTCCAGATGCCTGTCCGATTCAAGAATCCTGTGATTGAAAGTGAACTCCGAAATGTCATTGCTAACAACACATTGGAAGCAGTCGATGATGCTGAGGCCCTTGTCATCTTACTCGGCGATAAACTGGCCCCCAATACGCGTCTTAACCTTAGACATTTGCAATACTGGAGTCCTGTAGCTCCCATCACCGCCACTAGCTACTTCTCACCTGCGTATAGCAATCATCCTTTGGTTCTTCAATATGCCATGCGCGCTTTGGAATATTATCCAGTCGACACTGTGTTCTTTTATGTTCCTCAGGTTGTGCAAGCTCTTCGATCCGATGACTTGGGCTACATTGAGAGATATATCATGGAAGCTGGATCTGTATCGCAACTGTTCGCGCATCAGATTATTTGGAACATGAAAGCCAACTTCTTTGTGGATGCTGACAAGGAATGTCTGAAACCCGACAGCCTCAAGCCGACCTTGGAAAGGATCATTCATAATTTGGTGGAGTCGTTCACTGGCGAGGACAAGGCTTTCTACCAGAGAGAGTTCAAATTCTTTGGAGAAGTCACTGCCATTTCTGGATATCTCAAGGAGTACATCAAGTATGGTCAGAACGAGAAGAAACCCATGCAAAAGAAGCGCTTGGACGAAGAAATGGCTAAGATCAAGGTGGATGTCGGTGTCTACTTGCCCAGTAACCCCGAAGGAAGAGTCATTGATATCAACCGAACTTCCGGCCGTCCTCTCCAGTCGCACGCCAAGGCTCCTTTCATGGCCACTTTCAAGCTTGAAAAGGACGTGGAGGAAGTTGGACCTAAGAAAACGCTGGTGGCGGACAACGGATCACTTTCTAGTTCAGAAGACGAGGATAAGCAGACGATTCAGGTTTGGCAGGGTGCTATCTTCAAGGTGGGAGATGACTGTCGTCAAGATGTTCTTGCTCTACAGTTGATTGCTGTCTTCAAAAACATCTTTACCAGCGTTGGTCTTGATCTTTATGTCTTCCCTTACCGGGTTGTTGCCACTGCTCCAGGTTGCGGTATGATCGATGTCATTCCTCGCTCCATCTCTCGTGATCAACTTGGAAGAGAGAAAGTGAATAGCATGTATGACTACTTCGTGGCCAAATACGGTGGCGAAGACTCTATTGAATTCCAGCAAGCTCGCATTAACTTTGTCCAAAGTGTTGCTGCCTATTCAGTGATCTCGTACTTGCTCCAGATCAAGGACAGACACAATGGTAATATTATGCTGGACGAAGATGGCCATATTGTTCATATCGGTAAGCATTTAATACAGTATCATGTTCTCCACACGATATCTGACATTTTATTTTGTTATCACAGACTTTGGTTTCATCTTCGATATTGCCCCCGGTGGCATTACATTCGAAAGTTCCCCTTTCAAACTCACTGCAGAAATGGTTCAAGTTATGGGAGGTGGCTCAGAGGTGCAACAGTTCAAGCAGTTCTCTGAACTTGTACTAAAGGCTTATCTCGCATCAAGACCTTATGCTGACGAAATCTGCCACTTGGTATCGCTCATGCTGCAATCTGGTTTGCCATGCTTCAGAGGCGAGACTATCAAACGTCTTCGTTCACGCTTCCAGCTTGAAAAGACTGAGCGTGCTGCTGCCGACTTTATGAGCTTGAGAATCAAGGATTCTTTCGAGAACCAGCGCACCGTACTTTATGATTATTTCCAGAAACTCACCAATGGTAAGTTGTGTCCCATACCAACCAATTATAAAGATAGTGTCTCTAACCTTTGGATGTTCGCAGGTATCCCATACTAAAGGAATCAATCCATGAGCTTGTTTGAATGCTATGTAATAAATTCCAAAGAGTATTCCTATTTTGTAAGGCCGTGTCATGCCTCAGCCTCATTCAGTTGCGCTGAATTTTAAAATGATTAGAAAAGAAGGCACAGGGTTTTGCTGCTCTCTTGGTGGCAAATGTCCTACACTCAATACCCGCACTATGCCAGCCCTTCCAATTCCATCGCTCAACCTCATTCAGAATGGGGTGTAGATAGACTGGCTGACCGTATACCAGAGCGTACTTTGGTCTCCGAATACCCAGACCGCTCATCTCACTATCAGAATCACCCATTCCAAAGACAATGGTCCAACAACACACCACGACAGCCAGCCACCACCCAAGAATACTTTGGCTACAATCCTACTCAAAATCATACCCCACAACATTCGACTGATTACCAAGCCTCCTCAACCAGCTCGAGAGTCTATGAGCCACGGCCTTCACCCACCGAACTGGGAGAGTCTCAATCCCGGATACTGGAAGCGCATACCCCCGAGAGACACTCCTTTTCACGCCCACTTCCACTGATATTGAATTCACATAATGATAACAGAAATAATCTATCTGAACTCTCTACGCAGGCGTCATTGGAGGAATCTATCATGTTGCAGCTTCAAAATGCCACTGTCACCAGCTCTACTGAAAGAAGACCCAGCAACATAGACATCGAAACGGTCAGTCCGCTCAGAAGAATGGAATCACCACCTATACCCCAACCTCGTATGAGCGAATATTACACAAACTCGCCAGGAACCTCTTCGCCATCCTCAAATACATTCGCTCAGGCACGGCCTTCGTCCGGTCAAGGAGAAGAGGCTCCCTCTCCGACGCCTTCTACTGGCACATTTAGCAATGCATCTCCAGGACTTGGAACAACCGTCTTAACCCCTCAGCAAACTCCGGATAGTGGAAGACAAAATCCATCCCATTTTATTATGATACCCATCGGCAGAGTGAGTAGATGGTAACGGAGAGTGATTCACAAAGGACTCTTAATGAACTTGCTTTCAATTAGACTGGTCATGGCAAATCGTCCTTGCTGAATAGTATTATCGGATATAATGAATTTAGGGCTTCCAATAGTGTTCAGGTATGTTGCTTATCTCTCGTTGACTATTTTTACCGTACACACAATTCTTTGTGTTGGCATGTTTTCCATAGCGTTCTAATTCAATCTTTATTTGTTTCAAAACTAGCCTGTTACCGACGCTGTCACTGAACGAACTGCCATCTGGAAGGTTGATAAGAAGAGGAACCTTGTCACTGTAGCGGACACACCGGGATTTGCTGATCCTAATCGACAGGATCCACGTTGGAAAGTGCTGATCAAAGAGTACATCGTCAGTATAGGAAAACGATTTGGCATCGATGCTTTTATGCTGACCTTTCAACTGGGAGCTAGTGCGTAAGTACAGGTATATATGCAAGCAGCAACCAAATGACGTATTAACTTTTTTGAATGACAGGGATGTCTTCTTCAAGATTGTGGAAGAATTTGTTGGCATGATGGATGATATGCAACCGAAAACTTGGTGGGATAATGTTGTATTTGTATTTACAAGATTCGACCATTCCATAGCCCACCTCCAACAAACGACGGCACAAAAGATGCTTATTGTCGGAACGTTGATCCCGAAAGTCAAGCAAACATACAACCTTGAACGAACTCCTCCCGTTATTTTCTTGGGCACGCAACAACCTGTCTGCGGTTACGCGCGTGGTGCGGAATGCGATTGTGTAGAGGCTACTAGACATTTACTAGACGGTCAGAGGCGCCTGCTTCGTGCCGTCACATCTCGCTCGGTTTTTGGTCGTTGGTCTTATGAAGCTCCTGAAAGCGATGAAGAGGATGAGGATGACGAAACTCAAGAAAGTTCATCGCAAGACTCTGGCTTGCAAAGAAGTCGAGTCGGATCCGTGGCAAGGAAGCTTGAGAGAAAACAAACAAACCGACAGCACACTAATAGCGTCATAAGAAATCTTCGAAATACCCCTCCAGCATAGTACTACATCTTGATGATCAGTCATGATTCCGCTCTCTGTAACCCCCAAATAACCGCCTTGTTGTATTAACTCTAGTGAAACGAATATACAGTATATAAAAAAATAAATGTTTATTGACTCGCATTGAACTAAGTTACATATAGCCGCACAAGAGAGCTGGCTCATGGGTTTATATAACAGACAATGAATGGAAACAAGGTCTCGAAAGTTGAACATCAGACGTACGGTGCATCAATTCCTTTCCCCACCCCCTCGATATAAAGTGACACCAGGCGCCAGCTTAATTTGAAATGCTAAAGTAAAGTTTATGTCGCTAAGCTATGGATAAGACTGCATTTCTTGCCCTCTCTCTTTTCTCCCTTTCTTTCTCTCCCTGCTCTTTTCATCTCAGTTGCTACGACTTTAACATGTAGACTTTTCCTTGCGCCTAGAAACGACGATTGCCATATATGGTAATCCTTTACGAGTCACGGTTTTTGTGCTTGAGTGACGTCGCTTTATCCTCATGGGTCGGAATGACCATGCTGATTCACATGTTCGTGACATTTGCCCTTTGGGTCCTTTGCTAGAATGTCCCGACCTCTCCATTAGCGCGATTGCCTTCGCAAAGAGGTCCATCTACTTTCCTTTTTGGGAACACGATTTTCTCTCTGATCCGACACGTGATGAACATTTTTTGTTCGTGATGACCCATGTTAAAGTCCATGTTGGCGACATGAGCCTTTGGAATCCACTGAGCTGACCTCTTCGACCCTTTGCCAAGCCTTCATTCATGCGATTGCCTTCGCAAAGAGGTTCATCCGCTTGCCATTTCCGGACAGGATTTTTCTTCTGATCCGCCACGTGATAAATATTTTTCGTTCGT